ACAGTACTCCATGCTCCTCTGAGCATTCGAGAATTCCTCATTCAAGCACTCAATGCTATCTTCGTCAAGAAACAAATTCCAACAACCTCAGAATTCGAGGTCCCTGTTCAAATGCTTGAGGAGATTCTAATCTAGGGGAGAGGAAGAGAGTGGCTTATTCCAGAATGAATTATGATGTGTTTCTTCAGGAACATGGTAGGAATACTTGTATGACATGAAGATTGATTGAATCCAGTTTAGTTTTCATCAGCCATACAGTTCTGATCTCTATCCAGTGGATTGAGGCAATGAACGAAGAGTATAAGTCTATGCAATGACAATTCAAGTTTGGCGATTTGTTCAATTACCTTGTATGGGATCTTGTTCAATTACCTGAAGGAAAGAAACCCATTGGTTGCAAATGGATATTTAAAACCAAAAGGGATTCTCAAGGTAATGTGGAAAGATATAACGCACGTCTTGTAGCAAAAGGCTTTACTCAAAAGGAAGGGACTGACTATAAAGAAACCTTCTCTCCAGTTTCTTCGAAGGATTCTTTTAGGACAATCATGGACTTAGTTGCAAATCTTGATCTTGAGCTTCATCAAATAGATGTTAAGACTACGTTTCTCAATGGCAACATTGATGAAACAATATATATGGTGCAACCAGAAAATTTTGTAATTGGAGATCCAAAACATCTGGTATGCAAATTAAAGAAATCCATTTATGGACTCAAGCGAGCTTCTCGTCAATGGTACTTTAAGTTCAACTAAGTAATTGTCTCGTTTGGCTTTGAGGCAAATAGGCAAATGCTGTTGATAAAATTGTTGTAACCATAAAGTTTCAGTGCGGAGTAGGTTTATCTTTTTGGTCTTATATGTGATGACATACTTCTGCTACTAATTGTAAAGTCTTGCTGCATGGAAAACCAAAGTTTTTTTCTTTCAAAGCATCTTTGAGATAAGATCTTTAGGTAAGCTCTTTCGTTTAGGGAATCAGATACAATCGAGACGTTCTTCCAGAGGTATTCTTGGATTATCACAAAGAGCTATATTGATAACGTGCCTCAAAGATTTTGGTATGCAGAAATTCTAGACCATTGGATACCCCTATTGCAAAAGGTGATAAATTTAGTAATCAACAATGTCCAAAGAGTGAACTTGAAATTTAGGAAATGCAAAAGGTTCCTTATACGTCAGCTATAGGAAGTCTTATGTATGTTAAAGTTTGTACTCGTCCAGACATTTCTTTTATAGTTGGCATGTTAGGTAGATATCTCAGCAATCTAGGAATGGATCATTGGAAAGCAGCCAAAAGAGCCATGAGATATCTTCAGAGGACTAAGGGACATATGCTCACATATAGGAGATCAGATCAGCTTGAGATCATTGGGTATACTGATTCTGATTTCGCTGGATATACTGATTCTGATTTCGTTGGATGCCAAGACAGAAGAAAATCCACATCTGGCTATGTTTTTCTATTGGCTGGTGGTGCTATTTCTTGGAAGAGTGTGAAACAAACTGTAGCAACCTCCACCATGGAAGCTGAATTTGTAGCATCTTATGAGGCATCCAATCAAGCTATTTGGTTGAGAAACCTTGTCACTGGGCTGCGTGTAGTAGGTGGAATAGAAAGACCACTGAAGTTGTATTGTGACAGCAGGTCAGTCGTTTTATTCTCCAACAACAACAGGAGCTCTTCTCGATCAAAACACATTGACATTAAGTTCTTGGCTACGAAGGAGAGGGTACAGAGTGGACAGATATCCTTAGAGCATATTGGAACAAACTCTATGATTGCGGATCCGCTTACAAAGGCAGTGATACCGAAAGTTTTCATGAGCACACCGCTTCATATGGGCTATCGTTTTGTTTGAGGACTGTCTAGTTTAGTGGGAGTTTGCTCTTTATTGTATACATATGTTTTTGAATGCTCTATTTTGTTTTGGATATGTTTTATTATGTTGATGAAATTTTATTGAGTACTCATTTTGGTTGATGGTTACACTCTGTATTATTATTGTTTTGCTTGATCTCACTTTTGTTGGTGACCAGTTGGAAACAAACATGATGATCACATTACATTTAGTTTTCATCCTACACTTCTATAATGAATCTGTGTCATTTAGGGGTATTGGTAAGGTAGTTGATGATGAACTTAGTCATAAGATCTATGGCGAATGTTTCTTCAGCTCTTTATCAATATAATTAATGGACGAGATTGTTTTTGGATACCTCGTATGACTGCGTTTGTTGAGCTCATTTTGGTGTATGTATTTTATTTAACATACCAAGTGGGAGATTGTTGGATTTAATTTTCTATTGTGGGCTTAATATGTAAAATTAAATATGTACAGCAGTCTAATTATAAAGTCAATTTTAAATGCGGTCTTGATTGTGAATAATTGACTATTGAGGTATCAACTAATTATAGATATTAAGTGTAGAGACCATTATATAATTCCTATTTCTTTAAAGGACCGAAATAGGAATTGTACTAACCTACGGGTTATATAAATCGGTGGTCCCAGAGGAGCTGAATAGTCGATTCAGTTTTAAGTTCATTTCGTATTGCTTCGCTTAAATCGACATTCTTCAGATTCGTCTAGAAGGCTGCAAACCTAAGTCTTATACCATCAAGATCGACGAACAACCGATGTCAGGTACCAACCTTCTTATTTCAAGGTACGCAACCTTTTCTTATTCAATCTATTTTGTTGAATCTAGTGGTTTGCACGATCTAGGTTATTATTGAATTATTTGAGATTAATTCTTAACAGTATATCCCTTATTTGAATCGGGTGGGTCAAACAAATGCCTTGTTTAACCTGACCGACCCGAAAAATGAAAATATTAATTTTTTTTAATTTCTTCATATCACTGGCTCTCCCTTCTTTCTTCTTTTTACTTGTAAAATTGAAATTTTCAAATCAAAATTAATTTTTTCTTGAAGATGACATGTATTTTTGCTTGAGCACTAAAAAATATAATTTTTAAGTGTTCATGTTTTTTTTTTCTATTATATATATTAAATACTTAATAGGACTTTTTAATTTGCTATGATTTAGTTATGATTTGAAGATGAAAAATTATGGTTTGATTATTATTTTATGACTTTTTTTATTATGATTGTTTGAGCAATAATTATTTTTTTAGACAACTTTTTTAATTGTATAGAATCCAAATAAAAATTTTAATCTTGCAAAAGTCGTATAAAAAAAGTATTCAATCCATAAAAAATATTAATCAAAAATCAAATTAAATGGGCCCCAAATAACCAGACTCAATTTTTATAAAAATTATTGGGATGGGACCCAAATTTTTAAACGAGTCGGTGGATGAAATCATTTTCTCTCATTTCAAATCGGGTTTTGATCCGACCCCAACTTTGCTCACCCCTACCGTATCCTGCATATGCCTTGCAGTTGAATAATCAAGATTTGAAGCTCAGTGAGTTCAACTTTTTTTGAACTTTTTTCAAATTGAGTGTATCGATAGAGTGAATATATATAAGTTATTCATTTATTTTAATATGTATAAATTCAATATATCAAATACTGTCTTCCTCTACATTACAAATGGACTCCACATCATTCTTTTTTGGATTATATATATTATCGTTTCCTGCCACAGTAAAGCTCATCAATGGGGTACGCGGCGTCAGATGAATGATAGTGATACCATTTTGTCACCATATAATTATAAACAGTAGTGTGAACAAACACGTACGAGCTCTATGCCTGTGCATTTCCATCTTCCATGTGCTGTTGTCGCATGAATTTTTCTTTTTTTTTCGTAATAATTTTCATTTATGTCAAATAATTTTATTAAATTCTTCTAAAAAAATTATTAAATTATCTACCAAGTGCAGAAAATTATTCTTATAAGCACAATATTTTAAGAGCTAAATATATAAATTCAACTATAGATTTTATTACTGTAATTTTATAACACCTCAATTTGAGTGACTTATTACCCCTAAAATTACTAATTTTGATGTTTTTCCCTGCTAACAACAGTATTTTTAGGATTTTTAATTTTTGTATACAAAATATTATATTAACATGTGATTAATATAATTTTTAGAGCGTTATTTTTCACATTTTTCAACTATTTAGTATGTGTTTAATTAATTTAATTTTAATAGTTGATGTGTTGAATAAAAGAATTTTACAACTTGCAATTTTTAATATACGCAATTTTATAAATTAATTTATTCAATAAGTCAAAATAAAAATTGAGAATGCATTAAAATTAAAGTAATAAAATCCAAGGGTGAATATATATTTATCCCCCTGAATTTTAAGATTTTATCCACTTAATTGTTGCAGGAGTGATTTACGTATGCCTAATGTATAAATGGATATACACTAATTAAATTGCATAAAATTATTTGGTAAATAAAAATATTATTGTCCTTTTATTAAAAAAACATTAAAAAAAATTTTATTTTTACCAATTGGACTAGTCTTGTATTGATGCTATATATATATTTTTATCAAAAAAAAACCATAAACAAAGCCATAATTTATGTAAAAATTTTTATGAATCCCTTAACTTTGAATTTAAATAAATATATAAAATTGTACATATTAAATATTTCAATTTATAAAATTTATTAATAGATTATTTCAATTTGTAAAATTAAATCAATTAATTATTATTATATAACTGAAAAATATGAAATTATTTTTTCAGAAGTTATAATAATCATTCATCAAACCAATACTTAAAATTAAAAATATAAAAATATTATCATTAATGTATAAAAATATATAATATTATCAAATTTTATAATTTTAACAAATACAATAAGTGATTTAGAAAATTTCAGATACCATAAAAAAATTTTATACACGAAGTATATGGCTAAATTTAAAATGAACTATGAATCCGTTGTTTTACATGGGCGTGTGAATTGATAAAAAGTAGTAAAAAGTAAAGAGGAAAAGAAAAAGCAAAGAAAAGAAGTCTGAAAATGTTTTGCCACGTTGGACATATGTCACGCTTATTTCACTGTCATATCTCTATATATGGAGACCATATGCTGATGCCCTCTCTGCACTAACCTCTCTCTCTCTCTCTCTCTCTCTGTGTTTGAAATCAGAGATGAAGAATCCTATGCGTCCATTCTCAGCTGTTTTGTTCCTCCTCTTGCTGCTTGTGGCCACTGGTAATTAACAAAACAGTATAGCTTTTTTCTGATATTAACTTGCATGGATGTATGTCTAACATATATCTTATTTGTGCAGAGATAGGGTCAAAGATGGCGGAGGCGAGGACATGCGAGTCTCAAAGCCATAAGTTCAAGGGAACATGCTTAAGTGAGACTAACTGTGCTAACGTTTGCAAAACGGAAGGCTTCACCGGAGGAGACTGCCGAGGGCTGCGCCGCCGCTGCTTCTGCACTAGGCATTGTTAGTCGGTTATATTCCATATATGTACTGATCAGAGGAGAGAGAATCATATCTCATATATTTCCTCTTTATTCAGAATAAGATCATCTATCCTATAAATCATAACTGTGCTAACTTTTGCACATATTAAATTTTAATTTTTTAAAACAAATATGCTAACTGATAATTTAGTAACAATAAACTTCTATCACTTACCAAAAATTCCATGCCATTAAAAGCAAATTAATAAAATAAATTTTTTATTTTGTATTTTATTTTATGTTATCTATATTTTGAGGATAAAATTCCTAATTATTATATAAATTTTTAAATTGATGATATAGTTAGATTACTATTAAATTAATAAAAAATTTCTTCTTATGTCTCAAATATCATATATTTTTAAAATTAACAAAATATATGTGAATATAATTTTAAACAAATATTTTTTATTTACAATCTCCATCTTTAATTGAAACTGAGGGTGCTATTATTATAAAATATTTAAATTAAGATAAAATTGATAGAGTGTAAAAATAAAGCGAAGTTGCAAAAATAATCAAAATCGGAAGTATTCTAAAATATTAGGCGATTCGTGTTTTGTTAATTTGTTTTGGAAAAGAACTATCAAATTCAAAGCCTATTAAAACAAGGAAAATACTTTTTTTTTTCATAATTTTTAACCGATTTATTTTTTCCATTAATAATTGATTACCATTTAAAAATACCGTTACGATGCATTTCTAGTTTATTATATTTTTTTTGCTCAGCGAATTGTGAATAATATCTTTACTTATCTCATCATGTAATTTTACGAGATTGACTTGATGTATAAACGGCTAATATTATACGTTAGATATATGCTTGTCATTTTCTTAAAACAAAGTGCCTCGTTGAGGGCCATTGGATATTGGAGCCATTGCCCACAGAACAACAACGAACCACCGCCACATATGCCCAGTTTTTCCAAAAGCAAGGAACAAATAAAAAAAGCCATAACGGCTTGGCCGACAATCGGAGAGCCAGAGAGATGGCAGAGTATCCAAAGAAAGTAAGGTTCCAACTTCCAACCAAAAAACAAAAAAACAAACGACGACACAAAGGACCTAAACGAAACGGTAAAAGCATAGTAATTCTATTTGCAGCTAAAGCACGCAATTGAAGAAAAAAAAAAAAAAAGCAAAAACGAAAGAAAACGACGAAACCAGACAAATGCTTTATTTACCCTTTACTTTTGTAGAAAAGGATTAAAATCGATAAAAAATAAAAAAATATAAATTATTTTTATGAAAAGAAAACATGAAAGTGTTAATTGAAATGGTTAGCGAACTCAATTTTTATAAGAATGAGAATACAAATTCGATCTCCGGTTAGTGTACTTTTAATTTCTAGAAAACACATTATACGGAGAGAGCTAAAAGCCGTTCATCTCCAGGGGGACGCACTTTTGCACTTTTGATCTCCAGGAAACTATCTTTATAAAAAAAACATACAATTACACTGCCCTATTCAAAATGCACAATTTGAAATTAAAAAAAAAAAAAAGAAAATGATTAAAGCCACCAAAGGAATAGTTGAAATTGAATAAATTACCCTTTACATTTCTTTAGGTAATTATTACTTTTATAAAAAAATAAATAACAGATAAATGAATGGAAAAAATTGAAATTGTGAATAGAATTGAGGAAGTAAGAAACAACCCAGAAAAACAAATGGAACAATGCTACCACTATATTTAGAAAGGTGGATTTTTTAGAAGGAAAGATAATTATGGCAGAAAATAATAAGAGAATGCTAGATTCTTTTGTTGGATTAGAATGGCAAAATTAACCCGACCCGATGGGTATGCACTCAACTCGAATCTAGTCAAACTCGAGTTTTAGGATTTTAACTGAATTTGCGTAGGGTATAGGTAAAACCCGATAGTTTTATTTTGGATATGGGTATTGCTATTATAAACCCGAACCCGACCCCGCACCCGAAATTCAAATCCTCATATTTAAAATTTTAACTTTTTTTAAAAATTATAGTATGAAGGTTTTAATAAATTGGGTTAGAGGTAATAAATTATCTATATAAGTTATAATTATAATTTTAATTTAATGTCGTCTAGTGCAAAGTAATTTTATTCTAGTTTTCATATATTAATTTAAATTGATCAAATTTTTAAAATTTTAGATTTTAATTTCTAATATTTAAGTTAAACTTCAATTTTAAATGATGGAGAAAAATCATAATGATAATAGTGATTTAGAGTGTTTTTTTTTTTTTTTTGAAAGGTGATTTAGAGTGTTCATATAATAATATTTTACGTTTAATAATTTTGCTATATGATCTTTTTAGTTATTCTATTAATTGATTTTAATTATAATTACACTTAAAGAATTTGCTACTATTACATTTGAGTGGAGTATTATGATAATAAGAATAATTTTAGAATTAAAATTTTAATTTATAATTATCAATTAATGCATCCTAAGAACAGTGCTGATGTGCTAGAGCATGAATAAGTATAATTATACAAGAAAATCAGCAAATAATAAGATTTCACACCATAGCTCACCTTTAAATTATGCGAACAATGGCACGACTTTGGAAAGTTTAAAAAATAAAGGAAAAACAAAAAAAGTGCCTTAATAAGCACGCCTCTAAACAGGGGAAAGAGAATTGAACTATGTTTCGAATTATATATTAGCCACGCAATAGATTAAGCCCAGTATTGTAATTTTTTATTAGATCGATTTACTTACTTCTTCTCAATCTCAATTAGAAATGAATCGTCCAGAAGAATAATCGAGAAGTAAATTTGTAGAATGGAAAAAATGATTTGTGAATAGACGGCTTGAGGCAAGTAAAAACAACCCGTGAGGCAAAAACAAAACGCGACCATTAGCTGATCCGGAGACTCCACAATTTGAGAGAAGAATGGTATAAATTTATTTAAAGAAGGAGAAAAAAGGATAAAGAGTAGAAAGTATGAGGACAGAAAAGAACAATAAGTAAGAGAATGCTAGATGTGCTGTCCCTTCTGTAGAGCGTTGTGGGTAAACACCAGCACAAGCATTGGAAAGACAATAAAAATATAAAGCCCGAAAAAGAGAAACGAACCGAAATAGTGGTGTTCGTATGCGCACTCAACTCGGAATCTAGTCAAACGCGAGTGTGTGTATAGTGATCTTATATTGCTGTTTTAATTTTGTGGCGTAGCGCGTGTAGGATTGATAAGTACGGTATCCAAAAACCTCTCTATACAAGATTAGTGAGTATAGATTTTAAGTATCTAGTTTGCAAGTGCGGCTATTGCTATTATAAACCCGAACCCCGGACCCCGCACCCCGACATTCAAACTTACCAATACCAATATGATTTTAAAATTTATCGAGCGAAACTTTGTTTAAAATTATAGTATGTCACATGTATGTCTCCAGTAACCTAGAGCAAAGTATGTAACGGGTAGAGGTAATTAAAATTAGGTCTACTACTAGGGAAGGTATATTCACGATAATAATTTTGTTAAGATATTATTGTGAAATTATAGAGTGGCATAATAAGCCAACCTGACATTCTAACTTGATGAACATATATGATTTTCAGATTTCAAAAAGTTGCCAATGTTGCAAAGTTCTTTAGATAAAGATTTATAAGGAATCTGTAATTTCTAAGATTTAAGTTAAGCAGCTTCAATATTTTCTGAAAACTAGAGAGGATGAGGAGAATAGAAAATAATTCGTATTAAATGATAAATAGTGAATTTAGAGAGTGTTTGATTGTTTGTTTAATACCTCTATTATAGTATAGTGTGATTTAGTGCGTAGTCATCAACTATAATAATAATTGACTAGAGTCTTTAATTTGTACACTTTGAATGTGCTCTGATGGTATGATCTTCTTGTTAGTATTATCTAAACAGTTTAAATTGATTTACAATACTATTCATACGATATAATATTACCACGTTAAAGACATTTGCTTATATCTTTATCACGTACAATATTTACTTTTGGTAACATAAAGCTATTATTTTCGATGATTAAACTAAGAATTAAGTTTAGAATATATAGATGATTAACTTATTTTCTAACTGCTACTATCTAACGTATATTAAACAACATTTCACTAGCATATATAATTTAATTTACTATTATTTACGGTTACAACATATTCGTTTCTCTATTGATGTGAGAATAAAATTCGTCTAGGACTAACAAATGAGTCTAAATTATAAAATATTTTAAAACGTTCAGATAAATTCTAATTTTTTATAAGGAACAATTAACGGGCAAGATTCGTGGTTATGAACTAACATAACTCATCAATCCAGTCGTAGTGCATGATAATTAGGAAGAGTATATATACACCTGGAAGATCTTATCTTGAATCAGCCCCACGCAAGAGACATTGATCTATTGAAACGGCCACTCTTTTAGTTATTCTATTAATTGATTTTAATTATAATTACACTTAAAGAATTTGCTACTATTACATTTGAGTGGAGTATTATGATAATAAGAATAATTTTAGAATTAAAATTTTAATTTATAATTATTAGAACATTCATGTATATATTAATTTATTTTCACATTTTTTATGAATAAATCGTCAGGATAAATACTTTAATTTTTTAAATTCAGTATAATTTAATTTTTAAAAAGTACGAGTCTGTGGATAAATAGACATCCGTGGGTAATAGATACCCATGAACACCCACGAGTAATGGGCACCTGTGGGTATCTCCAAACCCTAGGTATAACATTCTCTACCCAATAAAGTATTGAGTAGGGTATGGGAATTGATGATGAGTTGGGTTTGGGTATAGATACTGCACTACCCGACCCGAACCCTACCCATTGTCATACCTATGTTGGATTGACTTGCATGAATTCCATCGTTTCAGACTAAATTAATGAAAAATAATTTTTTTAATTGAAATGAAAATATTTTTAATCATGCACCACCGGAATAAAAAGATAAGATAAAAAAAAAAAAATTTATTAGATTAGTCCATGGATAAGTATGATCCTCACTTGTCTGGAAGTAAATAGAAATTTTTAAAGAAAGAAAAATATTATCTATCTATTTTCCTTTGAGTAGCAGAGAATTTAAATATCTCCAGTTTGGAGAGAAAATAATAATTAGTTGAGAAAAATTTCACCATTTACTATCTAATTAGTAATTATTAAAGTGCTCAAATTCATTGTTTTACTTTTAATAAGTAAATATTGACTATAAAGGGTAAAATTATAAATATTTTTGCTTTTAATAGCATTTTTTTTCTCTATAATTTTATTTACAAACAAAGAAAAATATATTTTATTTTCTTTTTCTCCCTTTTTATTTTCCTTCAATGCAAATATAGAATGAAAAATAATTAAAGAAAAAAATAATACGACTTTTCATTCAGATCCTCCCTTATTTTTCTTTTATCTCCTTCAAAAACATAGTACAAGTTTCTCCCGTGATTTGTATGAGATATTTAACTTCATAAAAAAAAGACCTTTTTTTCAATTTAATACTTAAACTTCACCAAATTAGATAAATGGCCTCAACCCTTACCAAAAAATTAAAAATATTTTTAACTAATAAAAAAAATGAACAAATTAAAAAATTAAGAAAGAAAACAAAAGAAAATAAATTAGTGATGCATTTGTAATTAGCCGATTAAAAATCTAAAATACTCTTCTATTAATTATTTAAATAATTAAAACTTACTTTGCGGAGATATCAGAACATAAAGGCCAAATTTTTAATTAATATTTAATTTTTTAAAATGAAAAAAAAATCTCACATTTAAATCTATTGATCTATATAAAAATATATAATTTTAAGGCCTAAATGCTTATGTGGCAATATATTAGAATATGAAAGTGATAACATGAAATTTAATTTTTTCATTATAATTAATATCTTTTATGTTTAAATAAAAATTAAATGCTCTTTATTACACAATAGAGTTCCAATTAAACTAATAAGATTTCATTATAATTAATGCATAATAAATATAAAGTTTTTTATTTGATTAAAGTTTAATTTGACCCCTGGAACTTGGACACAATATATAATTTATCCAAAAATTGACTTTTTATACAATTTGTCCATGAACTTGCAACAAAAGAACAAAGTGCTCTATTTTTTAAGAAAAATTTTTTTTATAGTTTTAACTAATAAAAAATTACTTAAAATTTAAAATTAAAAAGAAAAAATTATTTAAAATATAATTTTAAAAATAATAATTATAATTTATTAAAAATTTTTACGGTATTTGATTCAAAAATAATTTAATAAATATTTGATTTAAAAAAAATTATAGAATTAGAAAAATATTGGATTATTTTGAAATATTTGGTTAGAAAAATATTTATTATTTTTTCGTTATTTTTTTAATTATATTTGTTTTAGATCAAACATATAATTACTTTTTTAATCATATTTGATTTATATCAAATAATTTTTTTTTGGGATACAAACCGAGCAATCTGTATTTTTGCTACAAATTTTAGGTGTAATCTGTACAAAAAGTTAATTTTTGAGCAAAATATATGTTTTGCCCAAATTTAGTGGGCAAACTGAACCTTATTCCTTTTTTATTAGATAGTTTTTACTCTATATAAAAAAAACTAATGAAATTATATAAAGTCATAGTTAATAAAAATTAATTAAATAATATAATTAGATTAATAAATAGATTTAAATATTAATTCCAATTCACTAAAATTTATTTAATTAAGGTTAAATATTTTTATACTTCATTTAATTTAAATATATAAGAATTTCCTAGAGAAAAAATAAATAATTAACTAAATATATCAATTAAATAACAATAGTTTGTTCACAGTAAAATAATTAACTAAATATATCAATTAAATAACAATAGTTTGTTCACAGTAATTAATTGTGGTAATTAATATTTCAATTTAATATTTGAGAATTTAAAAAGAATCTATAATATTACATTTTATCATTTAATTAAAAGTATATAAGTAAATTATTTCAATTAAAGCAATGCTAATATAAATTAAAATATTTTTTAAAAAAATTACATTTAATTTAGTTTAAAAAATAAAAAATTATACTATCCCCGCAAGGAGACCGTATTTGAAGAAAAAAAAAAAAAAGAAAGGAAGCATGGAGTTTAACATTGATATGACACGTAGCCCAATTGATGCGCAGAAGCGCCGAGAAGTCTACAAGAAGACTCCAGTGAAGCACCGATCTCTCTTCTTCTTCTTTAAAACCGAACGACAAAACCTTAATCTGGCAGCTAGACGCTAGAAACAAAAATGTTCTTCTTCTTTGCTGGAGGATTAGAGCAGCAGGTCCGCCAGGTCCTAAAATCAGGTGTAGGCAGGTGCATAAATTGCGGTTCCAAAGCTGATCTAGTGGAGTACGAGAAGGTTCTCAAGCTTTTCTTTATTCCGGTATGGAGATGGCCCGGCAAAGAGCCCGCTTTGTATTGTGGAAACTGTAATCTGATGTTCCCCCAATCATTTTCACTGCCGCCATCGCGGTCTGGCTCGGTGCCTCCGTCCGCCGTATCGGAGAGTTTGCATTGCCGTTTCTGTGACCGAGTTGTGGAGTCGAGTTCAGATTCTGTCCTTTTTGTGGGTCTTCTCTGTAATTTGGGGGTTGAGGGATTTGGGAATATTGATGTTTTGATTTGTAATAGATACAGCTGCAATATGTGGATTGAGAATTTTTAAAATCTCTAAAATTACAATTTATAGGTTTGATCTAAATTGTTTATTATGATTAACAACATAAACTTTCAAAACAAGAACAAATTATTGAACTGCAAAAATTGCGACTTTCATTTATATTTTCAGTACCAGACATGGTTTTACAGTAAGATCTAAACTAAAGATTCGAAATTTATCATAGTATGAGAGAACTAAAAAAGAAAAAACAATAAAAAATGGAGACAAGGAAGCTGAGAATGTTGCAATTCCATTAAAAATAATTGTTTGGTATGATACAACAGAGATTTCGACCGCCAATGTCCTTAAGGATGCTGGAGAACAATCCTTACGAACTTCATTGGCTTTGAAAGCCATGTAAAGAAGGGGGGAAAAGAATCTCACTTCACTGTACACAAAATCGATGTACAGATTTCTCTCATCTTGCAAGGACTTGTAGCAGAAACAACCTCTTCTCTGCCTCAGATCAAACTAACACTTACCGTTAAGGAGTGTTTTAATGATGTCCTTCTACGGACCAAAAACCAACCTGCACAATATTCCTCTACAAGAGCTCACTTACTTGGAAGTCTGCTTTAGGACTGTTAAGTTGGATAAGAGAGATTCAACTTGAAAAGATTCAGAGAAGTTAGGGCTTATTCTTTTTCCTAATCTTTTACGTTGATTTGCTGAAAGGTAATTGTTTTGCTCCTCTTTCCACAGCATCTCTCCATAGCCTATATCTTACTCCTAGTTTATCATAAGAAACCGGCAAATTCCACACATTTTCCCCATTGATCATTCGTTCTTGTTGCCCGAGTACAAGTCGTAGATCCTCATTTAATACCTGTTTTGTACAAAACCCAATTGTTCAGATAAAAAATTGAAACCAATCTGTTTGGCATTATTGTTTGAGCTGTTATTGCTGAGCAAAACAATATTCTGAAGATGCTGAATTTCACATTATTTGTATATAAAACTTTGAAAATGTAATTGTTTTTCTTTTTCACCAGCATCTAAAATCATAACCAGATAAATATGCTATATATCAACCATAAACATAAATATAAAGGTGAATTCAGTTCTGAAATTCTCTTACCTGTTCAGCAAAATGTCTCCATAGATAGTGCATGAAAGGAATGTGCTTTAACACAGGAGCAAAATCGAGTGACATTCTGTATAATAACCTAGTTTTTTGTCTTGATGAAGGCAAGCATACATGAAGTTGGTGAAGGTGAGTTGCACATTGCTTGGTGCTTTGCCCTTCTAGCTTTCCAGGCTTTGAGATCCCGATTGTAGATAACACCATACATGGTGGTCGAAATTCCATATCAATCGGATACGGATCCCAGTATCCTTGGAGGCCAGATGCAGGCGTTAAAAATTTCACCATGCTGAGAATTTAAATCACAAACAAAAGCCATATTTCAGCAAACCTCTTTGTACTTCTGAAACGATAGCTATTTTCAACTTTCAAGACTAAGTAACAGGATCAAACCTGGGAACACTCCAACCCTTTGCAAAGGTAGATGTATGAGTAAACGGGGCATGTGCAAGATCTAAAAGATTATCCAGAAGTAGCCCATGTTCCACTGGAAGTTCCATGACAATCTACCACATGCAAGAACATAGCTTAAATGAGATGACATGCTTCTTTATAAAACCATGCAAACATTCCCAACATTCATGAAAAAGCAAAATGGTCAAGGTGCATCTGAAATGTACCTCGGCATGGACTTCAAAACCTGGAGGAGGCTGTAAGGAAGGAAGCATCGCTGCAGGAGGGTCACTACCAGGCCAAACCCATATCATTCCTTCTTGCTCAAAACATGGCAATGACTTTATCTTCACATTAAGTAATCGTGTAGATGGCATCTTCTCACATTTTCCATCGGTTGAGTATTCCCACCCTGATAATTGATCACCAATTGTACAAGTTCAACAATTGAGTTGGTTGTCTATGATTACCATTTACCAGTTCAAATATATGTTGAATAGTAGAACATAATATTGACATTATTTCTTTTCTTTAATCTTACTGACCATGGTAAGGACACTTGATCCGACCCTCATTTACTGAACCAAGGTGAAGAGGACATGCTCTATGTGCACAGGTGTTCTGGACACATCCAGGTTTCCCATCTTTCCCACGAAAGACGACCCATGGTTCCTCAAAGCAATCAATTGGAATCTACAATAGAGGTGGTTTAAAAAACTCGTACGGGTAAATCCACTAATAACTGAGGTGCTAAAAATGACAAGTTTCATTATGATGACAAATGATGTGATTTTTATCTAGAAAATAAATGTCTGATACATAACGATGAATCACAAACATTTGAAAGAGTTACCATGGTGTCATCCTTTAGGTCAGTGGAGAACACAACAGGGTACCAGAAATTCTTAAGGTGGGAATGGTACGGTTGAACTGGACCGGACACATTCAAGCTTTTCCGGGGCAGTCTTTTCACAGGGTCCATTGATTCGGTAGAAGTACTGGGAGAAGAGGATGCTTGGTCTGACTCCGTTGTGCTTCTATCTTGCAACAGCCTATCATTAACCAATGCTTCCATGTAAGCTAGTTTATCTAAAGCAGTAGCAACCCTTGCTTCAGATATATGAACCTGTTGTTATTCACAGGTCAGACATTAGAATGCTGATGAAATTTTTCTTTCCACTTGGTAAAGAATTGAAAGTTTATCTTTGAATTTACATATATAATCAATCAGTTATTATTCCTACTTCATTTGGTTTGTGCTTATTACTTAAAATTAGTTTAACTACATTTTCTATATCACTGGATAATTTGATACCTGTCGGTGAGCCTGGGCCAATTCTTCTTGCAACCCAGCGAGGTCCTTCTTCAAGGTGCCAATAGACTTGTAATCACGAGCTAGAGGATTTAGAACTTCAACGACCTATATAGCCATATTTCTCAAAGTGATAAGTTAACTTATACATGATATACTCACCAAAAAAAAAAAATTGCAACATAATAATCTTAAATAATAAAGAAGATATCAGATTCTAACAGTCAGTTCAAGCGGACTAAAAGCTCAGTAAAACAAATATAAATCTAATGTACTATCCATTAAGTAACTCAATCAACTTCTACATTGCTCAAAATATATTATCTACAATCCACAAGAAACTAACTCAAGAAAATCAAAAATATCAAACCTTCTCATGAAGGAGCATGATGGTAAGAACATCTTGTCGAGCTCGCCAATCGCAATACTGAATGTCGTATCTAGCCACTTCAAGTGCTTGATTCACATCCAAGAACTTCCCTTTACATTGTGGCATTTTAGTCCTTGGATCCTCTACATTAAAGAGGGTACTCCATGTACTTTTTTTATCCAGCGGGGCACCTTCCTCCCCAAATACTGCAAACACCCCAAACCCACTCCTAACTCCCTGAAAACACACAAATGAATTACAATCCCAGCTCCATAAGCATCTAGAATTTTTAGGTATCTTAAGTATATATCTTTACAGAGACAACAAAAATCATAATCATATTCATAGATGATGTCTACTTGACTGTGATCTAAGTAAGAATTAATCTAATAAATCAATCAACTTAAAGAAATGTTCTTCTATATTTAGTAATCGGTAGAATAAGTCTAGCAGGAGAAGAAATTAAAAAACCTAACATGTTTTTAGCTTTGTCACGAGTCTACCAAAGCTAGAGGAACAATTCCATTGCCAATCATTAATCAGTTCCTTAATCAAAATTTTCTCTAAATAAAATAGATGTCCATTTGACTTCAACAGATAAAAATCTAACAGAACTCCCATATCTCCAGAATAAAAAATTTTTCATTGATTTTATCCAATACCCAGATAGGATTTTCAAATAAAAATACAAAAAGAAACATCTTTTTTTTTTTGAGCCTAAGCAACTAGCAAAAGAATAAATAAATAAAAATTTGTACTAAAATTAGCAACTACCCAGACAAGTTTAAAAGATAAATGAACGAAAAAGCGTACCTTCCTAGTATTAAACTTAGATGATCTACAAAATGAAATGGGGAGAGAAAGCGCTGCAGCGGTAGCAACAGGGTTCATGGCGTTTGAAAAATTTACGGTTCACTAGTTCAGACCCAATACCGTAGAGAGAGAAAAGAAAAGAATGAAAGCAAGTTTTGTTGATAAGAGGTTGGTGTTTCGCGCGATCTCCGTTGTCCTGCCATGGGTTGCCATGTGGACAAGCGTGGACTCCTTGGGCTAACACGTGGCATCCCTTCTTCCACAAGCTGGAAAGAAGACGAGAGATTCTTTTGATACTTGCAAACGTGTGGGGCCTTTATATCTTGCCACGTCGGATTGTCAAGATATATTTCTCTATCTCTTAGTGATTGTGTGCTTTGTCCTGTTTCGTGTTGTCATGGATTTTTCAAGTGTGGGGTTTAGGATTATGTGAGGTGGTTCTAAAGTTATTGGGTGTGATTAAATGAGAGGCATAAAATCTTATCCGTCCATTTTATCTTGATGGTGTTTTTTGCAAGGAGTTTGATAATCATTGATGGATTTAGGTTGCTTTAATTTTGCATGAGAGAAATGAAATTTCAAGGCAACTATTGGTCTATAAGAATTTGGAATATCCGAAGGTACCACTATTTACTTACTATTTAATATTAGAATTTGTTTTTGAAAGATTTCAACAGTTTGCCTACTTTAAAAAGCACTAAATTTTAAAAGTAATATTTCTCTTCTTTTTTAAAATTATAATAATTAATATTCTTAAATTTACTTTTGGCTCAAATGTTTTTATAAAAAGAATAAAGTGACATCTTTAATTTTTTAAACTCTTCGACGAGAAAAATTATATAATTAATATTTTAACTTATAAAATTATACCTATTGTACATAATATTTACACATTTTTAATTATTAAATATAGAATTTAAAAATGCAATGCTTTATGCATTTTATATTATAAATTATTGAATAATTATTTTTATATTTTGTAGCGATTAGCTAATTAAGTATTCAATAAAAATAATTTTATTAGTTGAAATATTTAATAAATATAATTTTGTAAATTAAATTATTTAATTAAAAATTTTAATAAATAAATGTATTTTTCCTCTTAGAGTTGAATGATCAAATTTCAATTAATATATTTCTTATAAGTTTTACAATTTTATGTGCTTATTATATTTTTATCTGGTCACATTTATATTTTATTTTTATACATGACTATTTAAATTTATTCATGTAAAATAGGTATTAAAATTCTTGTCATGTTCATCTCTTTTTTTTTTTTTTTTTTTTTTTTTTTTTTTTTTTTTTTTTTTTTAAGATAGAAATAGCTTGCATAAATAACAGTTGTCTTAATCATGTTGAACAAAATTCAGTTCGATTTGACATTGTGATCCTGGGAATACATTTATTAGTCGTTTCATTCAAAACCTTGTCGTTCTAAATTAAAATAGATCTATACAAACGGCATTTTTTTTTTTTTTTTTTTTTTTTTTTTTAAGATAGAAATAGCTTGCATAAAATAACAGTTGTCTTAATCATGTTGACAAATTCAGTTCGATTGACATTTGTGCATCATGGGAATACATATAGTCGTTTCATTCAAACCTTGTCGTTCTAAATTAAAATAGATCTATAACAAAACGGCAATATTGCCTTGTGTATTTCGGCTTCTTATTGGGCTATCCAGAGCTTCCAGATACTTGAAAAATATAATAATATTTTTTTATTCATCAGGTAAAACATTTATGATTGAAAAAATTTAAATTCAAGACTTCTCATTTCTTATATAAGTGAAAAGATTAGTCAGATTATAACTTATTCGCTATAATGTTATTTAAGTGATAATATCGCGGTGGAGAAGCCTAGAACCATGGCTAATACTTAAAACATAAAACAAATAAACCAAATCAAACCTCATATAAAACTTTAAACCAATAAAGAAACCAATGAGATGAAACTGGCAGTGTGTTTAAATATATAGAAGTCAAGAATTTTTTACAGCAGTACTGTGAGTTTATAAAATAGTGAACTTTTTTTTAATTTTACCTTCTCAAATATTGAAAATATTTTTCACTCTTTTACCTCTGGAAAAATTATAATAGTATTCATGTGTTTTATTGAAATTAACTACTTTACCTTTATATTTTTTAAAATACACTACTATATCCTCATGTTTTGAGTCCGTTATACCTAGTATCCCTTCTCTATCATTTTTTGAACTTTCAAATAACAAGTCAAAAAAAGCTTAACGGTAGAGAGATTTTTTTTTTTTCTACAAAACACCTTCTTCTTCTTCCTCTCTTTCTCTTTTAGCAAATATTTCCAAAACTTTCTCTCCATAGATTATGGCTTCTCCATGACACTTTCTCTCCCTTCATAATCACTACCACCTATATTCTCAATGGATTCCTATTTTGGATTCATTTTTTGCAAAAATTTGAGATGGTTCAAAGCTCGAAAAGATAGAAATAGCAGCGATAATATTTGAAGTAGTTTGAATCTGAAGACAATATAAGCTTGGAAAGTTATATTTTAGCCATTGCAAGAGTATCTAAGAGCCTAGCATGATATAGTTCGCTTTGGCCGAACTCACTCAAGCTAGCACAGATTTGTTCTTAAGCTAAAACCACCACATAATGCAAAAGGTTTCTCAATAGTCTAAGGCTTGCCCTTCTTTATATATATGTCGATGTAAGATTTCCCAAACATTTCAAGCTCGCACCTCATCCGGTGCGAATATTACAATCAATGAGCAGAAACCAAGAATAATAGTGATTATACAATTTCTCTCCCTAGTTTATCTCTCTAAAATTAGAAAAAGAATAAAAACAAAAAAAGATTAATTTAGTAATAGAAATCTTTATTCTTCCTTATTGTTATTGCTGAAATAATAATAAGATTATGACTTTCAATTTAGAGAGAAAATATGAATAAGTTTTTCTCTTTCTAAAATTTTAGAGTTTAAGAATTGATTATCAAAAAGAAAAATGAATGTAAAAATTGAGTTTTCCATAACATTTAATCATTTTGTTAGTTAGGTTGAAAGATTATGAGATAATCCGGTTTTCTGGTTACCGCATGCAGCAACACGGGTGATATTTTGGCAAGACAAAAAAATGGTATCGAAACAAAACTGATTTTTTATTTTTTAAATAGAGTCAACGAAGTTATTTTATAACAATTTAACATCTGAAAGTACATAAAATAAACAAAACGGATTAAAAACATGAAAATATAATAATATACTTAAAAAATATATAAAAAAAAGTTAATTTCGATAAAACAAATAAATACGCTTACATTTTATTTTTAACTCCGTTTACATGAGTTTTGAAACTAACGAGCCGTACATGTTTCAACATCCATGTTTGACTGTACATGGTAAAGGGGAGCACTATTCAGGTATGACCTGAAAAATCAATGCGGAGGAACCCATTTCAATCTGGTTCGGTCAACTTTTTAGAAGATCGATTACCCTTTGGTTTGGACAGTAATAACCTTCTATTTTTTATTTTCAATTCCAATTCAGTCTTTTTTCATACCTAATTTAATTAATTTTTTACCCATAAAATAGGCTATTCGTTCAAAATAATGAAATCAAATCTAAATCGATATGGTTTAATTTGGTATTGAATCGATTTATGTAGTTCTCAATCTGCTTTGGTTACTGTGAAAAACTTATTTGGTCCCGTTTACGTGGCGGACCATCTCATTGAAAAAAAATAAAAATAAATTAAAAACATATTGAGTTATTCGGAGCCACCTATTCGGGTTGAACGACGGGTGGGTGGGGGGTTCAGATTGCGGGTGACAGAAGCAATCTTGAATTCTCCAAATCCATTCGCAACTACCAGGGACTACGAACACAAAACAAGCAGTCAAGCCACAGCCATGTAATACTTCCAGAAAGTTCTCTCTCTAGCCCTCTTTCTCTGTTCCGGGAGTATAGGGCAGATAGAGACAATTCAAATGGCAAGAACAAGAACCAGTCACAATCGAAACGACAACAATAGGGCTGGCGTTTTCTTTTTAGCCACTCTAATTCTGTGGTTTGTCTCAGTTGTATTTGAGATATTATTCAATAAGCGATCAGAGCTTCTTTGGATAATCGCTGGAACTTGCTTCTTCCAAATAGCCAACTGGGTCATTAGATTTCTCGTCTCTCGTGATCCTCTCTTTGTTAATACCTCTGTTTCTCTGCTCCACTCCAGCATCACCTCCGCTTCAGGTTCTTATTTGTCTGTTTTCTTCTGGGTTGGATTGGGGTGGGATTTTTATGCTTGTGTTCTTATCGTTTTTGCTTTGATTGTTTCTTTTATGGGTTTGTTGGTAACTTTAATTATTTTTAACTGACTTCAATATAGGCCATAAATAGTTAAGGTTGACAGTGTTTTTGCTGTTTTTATCTTATTAGGAGCTTGATCTTTCAGTGAGAACTTTTGTATAGACAATTGTCTTTGAAGTATTTGAGATTTGTGGTGTTAGCTGGAAAATTAATCGCCATATAATACTACCTTGGCACTTCAATGGTGAGGTTGCCGGCTATTTTAAGGGATGATGAGATTGTTTGACTACCAGCTGTTATCCAGAGAGTTCTTCCATTTATATATTTCAATAACGTGATATTCAATCCTGCGCAATTGAGTTTTACATATAAGAGGATTTTCTTGATCTGAAGTGAAAGAATAAATAATATGGAAGTCATCGGTATTGGAAAACTCATGCTTGAAATCAATATGGAATGAATTCTTGAGTTGGCGCTTAACACATTGATCTCTTTTTACTTACTGATAGTCAACACTGAAAATGTTGTGTTCGTGAAAATAGTTTTATAATTGTTTATGTTGGTAAAACGCCAATGAATTTTCAAATATTCAAGTATTTTGATGACATTACTTCTGTTGCAATATATTTTTTCTACATATCTTTTACTCAGATTATCGTTATTAATTTGTTATTTATGTCTGTTTCATCTGCAGTGATCTTTATTTTAGCCCATCAGTGCTTAAAGCATGGTTTAAATGGGATGTTTGAGCATTCACAACTGGTTGGAGGTACTTGGCAATGGGCATATCCCACTTTGTGTTTCTCATGTGGATATTTTGCATATGATCAGTTGGACATGCTGCTTTACCGACTGTACAGTGGCTTGATCCCTTCCATCCTAATGCACCATCTGATACTTCTCATTTGCTTTACCCTCGCTTTGTATCGGAATGTCACAATCAATTACCTAATTCTCACTCTTATTTGCGAGGTATGTTTCCTCAACAATCAACTCCATCTAAATTCTGTTGATTTTTCCTTTACTGGTTTAACGTTTCACTTAAAGTTCAAAAAATGGCTTGAGTAGTGGCTAGTGGCTAGAATAGTTAATGCTTAGGGTTGCATCTGTATTTTGGGTAAGATTCATTATTCACGGTTCATAACTTCATACAATGGACAAAGCATATCATTTCAACAACTACAAGTTTAAATTGTGTGATAAATTGTATCATACCACCAATATTACATATATCATAGCATGTCCATCATCAAGTTAAGCAAGAATCAAGCATTGATGGGTGTGTTTCATTTGCATATCAAATAATTTTTATTCGACACTTGTGGGATTTCAATTCCTATGTTTGGATCTTAAGAAAATTTCTTTGGCAAAAGGGTGTGGATCCTCACTTAACTTATAATTTTACAATTAATGAAAGTTTGACTAGGTTTTAGGCCTCCTTTTCAGAACTTGAATTTAAAAGCTTAATTTCGAAAGTCAATCAACTTTGGCTTAGTGAGAATCACTTAAACTCTTTATCCATAATGGTTCTTCCAATTCAGAGGAAACAAAAGTATTCAAGTTTAGGACTTCTGCTTCCACAGGACTTTTGTCTGGTTGTTTATGTGATTGAGAAACTCTGAGCTTTTTTGTTGTTCTTCTATTATAATATGAAAGTGGATAAATTCCGGAAGAGCACTTCCAATTTTTCGAACAACATTTTTCAAGGGGAGGACTATCTGAATGTAATGTAGGGAATGGTCATTGTTCTACATATTCCTTCTTATCTTTCTTGGACGGATCTAGCTGTTAGACTCTTGAGACACTCAAATGCAGATGTGATCAAAGATTAAAAGACTTGTAAAATTTTAAAATATTAGTAAACACATATACTGTGCAGTTTTGTATTTCTGAATTTTTAAGTTATTTTCATATACAGCTGCATTCAATCTTCTTACATGTAAGGAAAGTGCGACGGATGGCTGGTGTACGGGACAGTGAGAGCAAAGCTGTAAAGTTGGAGTGGATTCTTAATTGGCTTACTTTCATTTTCGCAAGATCTGTTTCTCACGTTCTTATCACCATCAAGCTACTAACCGATGCACCCAAGTTTGGGAAGGGGGTGGAGTTGCCGCTTGCTCTGTTTGGAATGGCTGGAATGAATTTGCTCAATGCTTGTCTTGGCATTGATCTATATGATGCATTCAGAAGGGAGAGAAAACCTCTCAAAAGTACTGACAATCATCGCGAATAGCTGAAAAATGGAGATGCAAAAGGGATGTATTTATCTTAGTTTCCTTAATTTTTTTTTTTTTTTTTCATTTTTAGTTATTTGTTGAGATGAGTTGTACTCAGCCCAATGTAATTTCATAGTGTGATGTAAGGAATCAGCTTTGTAAATTATGTGCTTGGGAACATAGTTGCTTTCCCACAACCTGTTACAAGTGAAAATTTTGTCAGAGTTCAATTCAGCACACATGTTTTGCTTACTAGGTGGCCTCTGCACACTTGGTAGTTTCATTGGCTTCAATTTCATTATCGGTTTTGTTTTGTTTTGTTTTGTTTATCCATCTCTAAACTGCTCTTTTATGTTAATATTTTGCAGATACTACAGAGTGTTTTCTTTTTTTTTTTTTTGTTTTTTACCTACTCACCCCTACATTCTTAAACGTTAAGCTAATAGCTCAATAATTGAATATCAATTTATAGTTCAAATTTTATTCTTGGATTGACTTAAAAATTGTTTTCAATTTTTTTTTTTTTTTTAATTACTATCGGAAATCATGATCTAGAAAAAAAAAATTTATATTCAATTTTTTTAATCAATTAATTTCACTGGAATTGAACTTCACATGAGCAGCTATTTAATTTGCCATAACCTCATTGCGATAGAAATTAAGACCTTCTTTCTCGAGTTAAGCAGCTCTAGGATTTCTTATTAAGCCACAAAGGTTGGAGTTACGTCTTCTGAATTTGATTTTCTTTGGCTTGCCCTCTCTGCATAAAGACATAAATTTTTAATTTTTAATTAGTGTTGGAGTTTTCATTTTTTCCTTTTTTTTTTTTTTTTTTATTTACTGACACAAATTAATGGGCTGGTGTAACTTCGCCATTTACATTAGTATTAATAAATTTGTCTTACAAAACTTTCAACATGGGGTGGTGGCGCAGTTGGCTAGCGCGTAGGTCTCATAGCACTCGAGTTATCCTGAGGTCGAGAGTTCGAGCCTCTCTCACCCCAAAGCTTCTTTTGGCATTCTCATTTTTTTACATCTGGTAACCGGAAAACTTGGCCCAGCCAATGACCCATTTATGACTGCAACTCCATTCCTGGAAGTAGAATTCCCAATTGGCCTTTTATACTACTCCTTTAATAAGTAAATAAACATTTTGATGAATGTAGGGAACCCAAACAGTTAATCCTGAAAACAACAGAAGCATTTTCAATGCTGTATATGAATACATGACCAAAACATTTGAAATTTGCTCGAATGTGGAATTCCTAAACATCATTATGTATAATTAAATCAAGTAGAACAAGTACTACTGATGATTAAATAGCACTTAATCAACTGCTTAACAAGTTTCCTGCTTTTACAATCAAGAAACCATATATAGTTTGTTTTTCCTCTTTTCCTACTTGCTAAATTTCTAGCTGTATTCCATTCTTGTTTCGAGAGAAAAATTTTGCGAAGCCATTTCGGTTCTTCTCAGAATTAATGTGAATCGATGAGACTGATGAAGCTGATGATGATGATGAGGGGGTCGAGTGCCCTTCATTTTTATTCACTGAAGGACCAGAATTCTCACTGGCTATTCTTGAAGAGCTGGAATCCCTTTTAGGTGATAATGTGTCACTAGAATGCAACTTCCATGGTTCTTCAGTAGCTTTAGGCATCAATGCTCCTCCTGCAGTGAATTCTGGCAGGCTTGCCGTGTCAATCAAGAAGTCCTCTAAGGTTGCTAGAGATTTCAGTTGCTTCCCTAGAGATGCTATTGTTTTCTGGCATTCAGCAAGTTTCCCAGCAGCTACAGCTAAGTCCTCCTGCCAAACAAGCTCCAATATCAATGCATGATCAAGGATAATGGGAACATGAATATATTATGCAGACAATGCAAGTAATTAATTATCAACCTGTTTTATCTTCAGTTCACCATTTGAGCTAGCAGATTTCTGGAGTTCGACTTCCTTGTTCTTTTCAGAGAGCTCTTCTTCTAGTGTCCGACACTTGACAGCAAGTTCTGCTGATAGAACCTTCTCTTTTTCCAACTCTGCTTCTAATGAATCAACCTTTGAAGCCATGGTCCGGGCCTCCACTTCCATGCTAACAAGTTGAGATTCAATTTGTTGCTTTGATTCATTAGCGATAGATAATTCCTGGTGCAGCTGCTTCATCTTTAGTTCAGCCTCCCCCAGTTGAATTTGAAATTCTTCATTCTTTTCCCGACTTATGGTGAGGGACATCTCCAATTCAGTTCTTTCTACTAGTATTTTCTCTAACTTTTCTTCCAATTCAACTTTTTCCCCTTCCATCTTCTGTAGCTGTTTTTCCAACTCAGCTGTCCGATGAATCATTATTTCAAGCTCAGCTCGTAATGAGCTTTCTACATCAGTAGATTGTGTGGCAACAGGTTCTGGTTCAGATTGATGAGTTCCACTTTCATTCTCAGGCAAAGAAGCAAGTCGTTCCATTTCAAGAAAATCATCCATGAGATCAATTTCAATTGATGAGGCTGGAAGATTTCGATTAACAGCTTTTTCATTCTTGAATTGATCAAGCTCAGCAATCAATGCAGATGCCCATGAGTCTGAGCAACTTGGCTCACATTTGGATGGTTCCAAGCAACTTATTTTGTGAGCATCCAGCTCCACTGCATTAAGCCTCTCCCCACTGTCTGATTGACTATCAGTGAGGGATTCAACATACATTGAGGAGGCAATAGAAGTTTTATGATCATTAAGTGATGATGATTTGCAAGCCACGGCTTTTAGCCTCCGACACTCAGCCTCGAGTTTTGCTACCTTCTTTATGCTATCCAAATGTTGCTTGCTTGCTGTTTCAGCTGCTTGAGTACTCAAGTCCCTTTCAATTATTCTGAGTTCCAACTCCTCAGATAAAGACAGGATTTCAAGCTTCAGGGATGCATTATCTTTCTCCAAATATTCAAGCTTATGCCATAGATCCGGAACAATTTGAGGCGGAGATTCTGACTTAGTAGCTTCTGCTTTTGTCTTCAGTTCAAGAAGCTGATTTTCAAGTTCAGATTTAACGGATTCCCATTCAATTGTCTTCTTTGTCACAGCCTCGTAGACCTTTTCCTCATGCTCTTCTCTTGCTTGTCTTAGCTGCCTTACACATTCCTTTAGTGCCCCATCAAGATGACTCACCCGATCTTCCAGAGCACAGTTCTGCTGAATAGCAGCTTCAAGTTGTTTCTTCAAAGCTGCTACTTCATTTTCAGCCTTTTCCCATCCTAAAATTTATCAAGGAAACATATAGCTTAAACAAAGGAAAAAAAATTTATGCACCGTAAAATCATATAGAATTCACTGTAGATAAAATTCCTAAATATAGAAAGCATTGTGACAATTCATTTGTAATCAACCCCTTTGGCAAGAATGTGTACACAGCATGGTCGTGTAGGTACATCTTAATTGTTTCTAATTAGCATCTGAGTTGATACCTGCAACAGCCTCTTCAGCAACTTTGGAATGCTGCTTTACCAAGTCATCTTTGGCACTAACATTCACAAGGGCAGCTGATAACTTCTCTGTTAGAATCCTAACACTATCATTGACATCTTCATCCCTCACTACAGTTTTTGATGTAACCTCTGGAGATTGAGTTTCATTATTAGGAGATGCCTTCAAGTTGTCCTGCTTCAATGATCAGAAAAAGGGTGAAACGAGCAGGAACAGAGCAAGGATTAGCAATTAACAAGGGGGGAAAATGCAATCTCAAGCAGAAGCCAGCAAAACCACAATTGTTCTCAGTGGAGAATGTCACTTAATTTGATTAGACACAACATGTGACACAGTAAGATTCTACCGAACAAAATATACACAATCAAATAACTGAACAAAGATTCCATTGAAAATTTGATATCACAAATAATATGTAAGTCTGCTGTTGAAATAAAAATTTATGTCTGTTCCTTTTAGAAATGCACCTTTGAAAGATAGTCTAGGATGCTCTGCCTTAACAACTTGGAACATGCAACTGCTCCTTTTAATCTAGTTGCCTGTTTATCTGATATGAAAATTTGACATCCATTCAATGAAGAAATGCCATTATATGCTTTTTAATAAAGACTACAGCTAGAAGGATTTGTAGTTTCCAACATTATTAGCAAGAAATCCAAGTCTATCCCAAACGATAATGATTTTTGGTTTATATTTTGTGATGCTTATTCCATGTATTTGATTATAGTACATCAAATTTAGTTGGAGAATGTCACTTAATTTGATTAGACACAACATGTGACACAGTAAGATTCTACCGAACAAAATATACACAATCAAATAACTGAACAAAGATTCCATTGAAAATTTGATATCACAAATAATATGTAAGTCTGCTGTTGAAATAAAAATTTATGTCTGTTCCTTTTAGAAATGCACCTTTGAAAGATAGTCTAGGATGCTCTGCCTTAACAACTTGGAACATGCAACTGCTCCTTTTAATCTAGTTGCCTGTTTATCTGATATGAAAATTTGACATCCATTCAATGAAGAAATGCCATTATATGCTTTTTAATAAAGACTACAGCTAGAAGGATTTGTAGTTTCCAACATTATTAGCAAGAAATCCAAGTCTATCCCAAACGATAATGATTTTTGGTTTATATTTTGTGATGCTTATTCCATGTATTTGATTATAGTACATCAAATTTAGTTTTTAATCCAAGCTTAGCTTTACAATAGCTCAGTAACTCAGTTCATTATACCACTTCACTGCTTAGATTACTTTTCACAGCAATTTCCAAGCAGCAAGCACAAACTACGCCTATTTAGTTGGAAGTGTTCAGATCAAATTACAATTTAATAGCCACATTTCAAACACGCTTATGATGCCTAAAGCAAGCTCAAAATAAGACACTATGGTTAAACGTTATAAGTCATCACATGCCAAAAAGAATTAGACTAGAGACTTTCAAATGTTTATTCATAATCCATCGATTCCATTCGAAGAGCATGATTTCAAGAAAGAAGAGTTGAATAATCAACACTTTCATATGGTTAAGAAGCAACATTTTGATGTCAAATTCATCTCTGTCCAAATTTATTCAAGAGAAGCTTATATAAGACTCAAAGGAGAAAAAAAAATAGCTAAAAACCAATCTCAGATTCATACTCATGGGTTTGGGTTCTAGGTCATAGCCACCTACCTGTTCATCAGAGAATCTCTCAGATTGTGAAGATATTGATCCTGAACTTTCAGTTTCGCCCGGGCTTCTCTCCGATGACTTCCTCTTCCACAACCATTTCCTTTTTTCCATCACAATATCTGGGATTCCAGCTCTATCTAATCAAAGAACATTTATCTGCACATAATTGAGCTCATTAAAATGAAATAATCACTAAAACACAGATAGTAAAAGAGCAAAAAAGGATACCCAGAACAAAGTTCTACTGCATATTGTTGATGCAGCAGGCAAGAGCCCCTTATACCCAGAAATACTTGTCCTCTCTCAACAAACTCAAAAATTAAACAAAAAGATGACTTGTCTTCTCATTTTATCAGCTTTGCTTCAAATTCACCCAATAGCCATCCAACCCAACAGCAACAACAACAACAACAACAAAAGATTCCACTTTCAAACCCAAATAACCAAAGACTTAGAGAAAATTACCAGCACCCATCAGGCAAAGTGAAATTGTTTTGAAGCAACATTGAACAGTGAAATCATTGGAAACCCATGCGTTTAATCAGAAAACGGGGAGACCCAACTATTAAGGACCACTCAAATCTCTCCTCAGCAAAAAAAAAATCCTCGAAGTAGAAAAGCACAAACCAGTATCAATGAAACAGTGACTATTCACAAAAATATGGGACGCAAGAACTAGAAAACCTAGAATATCCAATTCAAAAAATCCCTACGATGAGCGACCCATCAAAGATTTAAGTCCAAAAATCCTGTAAAACTATTTCAAATAGATAATACAATTTATAAGAATAAAAACCCAGATCAAATACCTTTGACTGAACATCAAAAACAGACCAAGAGATCGATTGAAACTCAGTTTAGGTCATAAATGTGAAAGGAAAGAAAGATTAAGAATTGCAGAAACACAATAAATAAAAAAGTAATGCTCTGCAAGAATCTGCGGGATGTCAGTGAGAAATATAAACATCCAGATATACCAACAGCATCTAGTAACATAACAGATATTGTGGGTTTCTATTTCTTTTCTTTCTTTTTAAAAAAAGGAAAACTGGGGTTTCTATTTCTTGTTTTGTAGTTCTCACCTTCCGGTCATTTCCTTTTCTTTTTTCGAGAATTAAAAAAGGAGAAGAGCATGTGATTGTGAATGTGAAGCTGTGAACTGAAAGAGCCATGATGAGTGAACGAGACCTCAAAAAAAGGAAAAAAAAAAATCAGTTTTTTTGGGTAAAAAAATAAAAATAAAAAAGCAAATTTTACTTTTTTTTATTTGATTTCGCTTTCACTCATTCAATTTGTTTTATTATTGATTTTTGAAATTGGATTTCTCCTATTCCCGCCCATGAGTGAAGATTGAAGATTGCTGTAGTAGCAAAGAGTAATGGAAGTTTAATTCCAATATTAATATATTTAATTACAATTTTGAAATTTTAAATGTTGCAGAGACGCTCTTGTCTTTGAATTTTGAGTCCTTTTTTCTTTAACTGTTTCTGTCTCAGCTTTTCTAAATTTTTAAATAATACTAACTGTTTGTTGTTTGTCTGTGCCAAGGTGGAGGAATCCTATAATCAAGTGCGCATTTCCTGTCACAATCTCTATCTCCCTTAGAGATGTAGATATTAGGATTTTTGAGATCTCTGCTTATTTAGATCCGACGATTGGGAGTGCACCAGATTCTGCAGACGACTTGAATAATTGCTGCTACTCTGCTGGTGCAAAGCCTGTTTAGTGTTTGAAGCCGAAAATTATATACTTGTGGTATTTAAAATTTTAATAAATAATAAAAATTTATTTTTTTAAAAAATATATTTAATTTACTTTAATTTAAACAAATAAAATGATTTTTTTCATAATTTATTATAATTTAAATAAATAACATAATTTTATTAATTATTTGAGAATATAACAAATAACAAAGACGAACAATTATCCAACCGTAAGCTGGATCAATCGTTGAGAAGTACACTCTTGAAATGGATAAAAACTGATAAAAGGAGAATCGCACCGTACTTAAAAAAAAATTATTTTGTGTAAGAGTGATTCGAGATTTCAAAGAATTCAAATTAACTTATTTAATAAATTTAATGAATTAAATTATAACTTTTTTATTTATATTATATAATAATGAGTTAATTTAAAATTTAAAATGAAACTTACACGTCATTTGATAATCTATATTATGATTTGTAAGCAAAATTAATACTATCAAATAAATAAACTTATTCATGAATTTATTAAAAAAATTAAATTAAATTAACCCAATCAGCTAAAAGAAATTACTTTTGAATGAATCAAACTACAATATACACCTTATGATGAAAATCACATCGAGAATAATTTAACAAGATGTCTATTAATATTTAAATAGCATAAAAAATTTTAAATTATATATTTTTTATTTAGTGAAAATCTTAATGGGTTGAAATGATATGTTGAGTTGTAATGGGAAATAGTATTTTTTTTAGTAAAAAATATATTTAAATCCAAATTTATCGTTAAGTCATATATGTATTTACTACAAAGTTATAATTTACGCGAGCAAATCGAAGATGTCTTACTGTACCGATTAAAAGACACCTTGATTGACATACTTTTTTATATTTAAATTGAATTTTAGTGTAATGATTATTATATACAAATACTTTATAATTCTAAACAAACCTCGAAGTTTTATATAATAATAAATATAATTAAAATTTTATAAATATAAATATTTATCAATGTAAAGTTTATAATTTTCAATATAATATTTATTTCAAATTATGACAATAATTCGATTAGGTAAGATAGAAGAAAAGAAGCACATGCAAACTCAACTTATGTATATTATTATTTACTATATACAAAGTCTAAATTTAATTTTGATAGGTTGAAAATTAAATTAATATCTTATGGTGATAATGAATAATTGGTTGGGCTGCTAATTAAAATAAATAAAATAATTACATTTTTTTATGTGTATGATAAAAAAAAAAAAAGTGTAATAAGTGGTGTTATTTTCAAGTAAAATTGGATATTGAGAGGAATGATAATTCCTTTTCCAGTTGGGTGCCGGTTGCTAATCGCAGGTCGTAGAGGCTTAAAAGTCCAACCTAAAAGCCATTCACGTCACGTGGAGGAGACACTCCAAAAGGCGGTAAGGCCCTTAGGAATATAATGCATGTTATCATGTACATGGGCCAATCTATTTTTTTGGAATAGGGACCCACCTCTACTGCCTAGTCTTTTCCCAATTCCAATATTATCCCTTGCATGGAGTTTTAATTTATTAGGTTCCAATTTTTTATTTCCGAAGAAAGGGTAAATTCATGCATTAAAAAGGAGTATATAAAATTAAAATTTAAATTAAGTTTAAATTATAAAATTCAAAAAAATATTAAAAAAGTAAAATACACGAAAATGTATGGATGGAGCTTGCCAGCTGAAGAGATATGCTTGTTTAAGTAATCTGCTGAAATAGAAAATTTAATGTTATTGTTCATTCGTTGTACAAGCTACGCTTCGTACAGATATGATAATTTCTAAATTTGAAATGTAATTTCAAACTATTCAGACACATATAAATTTATGTTATTGGATATTATTATCTTTTGTAATTTGAGAGCAATTTACTTTTCAAAAAATTGATTTATATATTAAAAACATTCAAATTATACTTCTTGAAAAATAATTTCCTTAAAAATGTTTGTTTCCAAAAAATATGCTTTATAAAAAAATAGACTATTTTGAACCAAATAAGGTCTATTAAAAGATTAAATCAACCTACTTATATATCAATAATTTAGTAATCAACCTATTTATAATAATTATTTCAATTTAGATTAATTTCTATAAATAAATAATAATTGAGTGAAAACTTAATTATTTATATAAATATTTTAAAAACTATTTTAATGTGTAATGAACAAATATTTAATCTATTTCATTAAAAATTCGGTAATTCCAATTATTTTGATTTGATTTTTTTTTTTTAACTATTTCTAAACTTTCAATTAAACTTTGTTATGAAATCCAATTTTGTTAGCGAGTTTTTCTTGTCAAAAAAATTGCATTATTTTGGTTTTATGAAATTTTGACAAATTGATTTAACCCGCGATTTGCTCGCTCTGGTCTAGCTTTTCATGCGTTAGCCTATTCTTGGCTTAGCTGTAAATTTACATACACCCATACACCGATCGAGGACAAGGTACTACCTCCAAAGAAAAGGATATCAACTTTTTTTGATTGAGGTTTGAAAATTAAGAATAAAACAACAGATATGTTGAAAACGGTTTGTTGTGATATTCAAAACTAAAAAAATAATAATAATAATAATTTTTGTAATATATATATATTCAACATCTATTTTTGAAAAAAAAAATTTACATTATTGCTGTAAACGAAGCAGATTATTATATCAATATAATTTTGATTACATTATTAAAAATTATGTTACAATTATGAATTGATTAAAGAACAGTCTGATCCGCAAAAGATAAAAATTGTAAATTGTAAAAATGAGAAAAGAAAAAAAAAAGAAGAAAGTTTGGCATTATTCGACTATGCATTTTCAATATCTAAAAACTAGTTTTTTGTAAACAGAACTTGGAAAAAAAAAGGATCTATTGAATGAAAAATGATAAGGTATTTATGAATCAATGAATCTCTAGTGGAAAATCAAAGTGGGGACACTTCATCACCTCAACAATAATGTCAATACTATGCTTCTCAAGAAAAAAATAATAATAAATAAATAAAATTTTGGATTTTATTTATTCTTGAATATCGGGGTAGTGTTGGTCCATTGAATGTTAGGGGTAGAGTGATACAGAAGTGGACACAGATATAGATGAGTCTTCTTATACATTTAATGTAAACAGTTGAATATTAAATAATACTATTTCAAATCATTTAATCATTAGAGAATTTATATGTATATGAACACACATGCATTAAATAAAATATCCTTTCACATGTGTCATTTACTTTCTGATTTTAATTTAATTCAGTTTTACTGCTCAATCTGTTCCTCAATTTTTTTTATTAAGAAAATTAATTAATAATAATTTAAATTTTATAAAAATAGATAATAAAATTTCCATAATACCCTTTGGAGTCTTAATTATTATCATTCAATTTTTCATAACGTGGTTTTGTCTTCCGATCAATATCTAATTTGTTAAATTTAATGGGAAAAGGTAACATTTTGTTTAGAATGGTGTTATAATTATGATGGACAATACGTTTAACAAGGGTATATTTAAAAAAAAAAATTAAATGCTGTGTTGAAATAATAAAAAGACATATATATTGGAATTTAAGAAAAATAAAAAAATGACAAATATTCAGGAAAACAGAGAGAATACAACTTAAAATTTCTAGCTTTAAATTATATTATTAATTTAATTCTATTGAAATTGGAGGGAAGAAATGATAGAAAAAATTAATTATTTTGAAGGAAAAATAAAATGACCAAATACATAATCACCCCTAAACTTTATTATTTTAATCTTGTGGCACCATTAACTTTTATTTTGACGCATTAAATACTTCAACTTATAAAACTACACCTATTAAATACTTCAATTTTCAAAATTAATTTATTAAACTGTTCAACTTGTAAGATCAAATAAGTCAAACACTCATTAAAAAGTTAAATATATCATTGTCTCAAAAGTCATACTAACTATATAATAAATCAATATTTTATAGATAAAAACCAAAAATTCTAAAAATTATCTATAATTAGTGCCGAAAGGTGTGTAATATTAACTATAAATCATTAGTAAAGTTTAGGCTGCAAGCGGTTAAATGCATGTAGCCAAAATAAAATAGAATTGAGCACATTTTACAACAACCGATGAACTTAGAATACTTTGTCTTATAAATAATAATATTATTTCAAACTAAGGTGCATGTTAGAAATATGTCATTTAATGGCAAGATAATAATGAAGAAGAGAAGAAATGCCCCAACTCATATTTGGGCTGTTAAAAAAAAAAAAAAAACCTCAGAGTTGGGAGCTCTGGACTAGTCATATGACTTGGGCATGTTATGCATGATACCCAATTGCATTTAATGACTAAATATTGTACAATGATGCATTTGCTATGTGATTGTGATTGGAGTGAGAGTGGACTGGCGAAATGAAACGTGCAAGCAATATGGAGCTTAGGTAGGAAACTTATCAATTTGAAGTGAAAATAATTAATAAATTATATGTGTCCAACAAATAATGGCCATTTGATTTGATAATTGAAATTGAATATCAAGTTAACAAATTATGATGAGTGGATTTGTATTTCATGGTTGCTTACTTATTTTAAAACACCAATTATATGAATTAATAATTCATCAAAGTTTATGTAATTAGACAATAATATATTAGAAACATACGCTCTCTTTGTTTCGAAATATAAATTATTAAAAATTTTTATATGAAAATTAAAAAAATAATTAATTCTCTTAAATTATAATAAAAATAAAAAATAATTTGACTAATTATATTTTATTTTAAAACCAAGAGTAACTTGTGAATACAGTTATTGTGTATAATATAAATAAGAATAACACTGAAAAATCGATTCTAATATTATTGCTTTGGATGATCAGAATTGTTTTTTCAAATCATCTACAAATAATAGCAATGGAATCGATAAAATCAAAGAAAAAAAAAAACGCAAACAATTTCAATCGATTTGTTTTATCAAATCATCAAAATTCAAGAAATCAATATTAACCTCAATAATGGATACGATGAACGCCTTTTCGGTTCTTCTACTTGGTTTTCTCAAATTACTTTCGGGATTCGTTTAGGGCAATGTTTCGATTAGTTTAGGATAAATGCGATAGGGTTTCGTTCTTTGTAATTGGGATGAGAGGCTGTTTTCGATTTCACATCTGTTGCCCGAAGTGTCTCACTAAGGGCAATTTTGTCATAAGGTTTTGACCAATCAAAACTCTTGTATATGTCAAAATCAATGTAGCATGTCAATTGCCATCCTACACGACTCTTTTCTGAATATTTTTTGCGGTTGTTGGTAAAGCCACGTGTGATGAATACATATAATTCAAAATATTTTAAGAGCTTAGACGACCGATTACAAATATTTTTCATTGAAATATTAAAATTGAAAATTCTAAGAAATTCAGACATTAAATTTATAACTAAATCTTAAATAAATCACCTAAAAGTATTAGGGCACTCCGATCATTTTTAAATATGCCACTAAGAGTTGTATTAGGTACAAATTGTGGCAAAATCATTTATCGTACAGTTGTATTGTATGAATTAAAATCTTTGAGAAAAAATATGTCACTATATTGAATAAAATGAAAACTTAATTTAATTTTAATATATAAAAATTTCAATAATATTAGTTCATTTAAAAAATCCAATTTTTATATATTTTTATGATAATTTTATGCACTTCTTAATTTCTTACTCATCAAATCGTAGATAAATATCATTTATTCATGTCTTATTTACTATTAAATTTCACTTTTTATATTTATTACAGCATTTATATAAAATTCAAAATGAATTTTTATCTTTCAAAATCATTTATGAGGAATGAGGACAAAATGGGAGAATTATGTAATATGCGCACTGCCCACTCCCCTTTTTCATTTAAAAAAAATAAAAATAAAAATAAAAACAGTAAATATTATGTAAATAATTTGCTAATGATAATTACGTAACAGGTATGTCACCACAACAAGTTTTTGGATTGGAAATAATTATTCCTGAGTGACCAGCTACTAACCGATTGTCACCATCACAAATCAAAATATGAATGGTAGCATAATGTTCCTTTTAATTATTTATCGCTAAAGAAAAAGACACCGTTAATTTTTATTTTAATTGATTCATTAAATAATTTAATTTATAAAATTAATTTCATCAAGAGTCGAAAAATATGAAAAAATTATTTTAAAAACTACATTAACCACATATAAAATTAATATTTTACATTTAAAAGTTAAAAATCTTAAAAATTAATGCTACTAGTATGAGAAGGTATAGAATTATTACGCCGTCATAAAGATTTTTTACCATTCGGAAGTTAAATTATATATTCCGGAAAAAAAAACCATCCTTTACATTTTTTGTAAATTTATTAGAAAAATATTAAATTTACATGTATTTCACAGCTAATATTTAAAAAAATTCTTTCAACAGTGGTGATAACCGTAAAGATTTAGTTGATTAGTGCAAACAAGCAATAATTAATCCGAAATTGCATTATTTTGTTACGTGTATTTTACAGGTGATTTCTTTTCTTTTGTTAAAAAGATATATATCTGTTTCAAACCACTTTGCAACTTTTTCTCTCTCTTGCCCTTTACGTCATGTCTTCTTGTTTCCCGAAAATGCTTGGAGTTAAATTTTGTGCTTTCGAGACAACAAATTTTATTTATTCTCAATAAAGGAAATTTTGGCCTTTTATATTTATATTTTATATACAATAAAAAATTTATATTAAATCAAAATAAAAATATCACTTAAAATCGCATTTTTTTATGCACATGAGTTTCATTCTTTAAGTTTTATTAATATAAATAAATTTCATAACAATTTATAAAATTTGTTTAGAATCATTTATAAATACAGTATTGAAGACCGTCGTCACTTTCTTTCTTTTAGATTTCAAAATTATATGAAAAATTTTCTACTGAAAGATATTAAAGAATTGAAAATCATTTTCACTGTAAGAATTATTTAAATTTTCATATGAAGTGAATAGATCACTAATTTTCTTTTAAGTAGGTTGATGATTTGTTAATCCTTTCCAAATTCCATTTTCTTAATTTTTTTTTTTTAGGTACGAGAAATAGTGATACACTTTAGCATTTTCTTTTCTTATGGGCCTACATAAAGGAAAAAATAATGTAGGAATTGAGAGATGGGCTTTGTCTGCATACATAAATCATAAATGTAATTCTTCGGTTAAAGTTTGAGAAGGGGCTTGTCAGTTATAGAGCTCAAAGCCCATAACAGTAATTGGGTTGGGCCAAAGCCCAAGAAGAGTATCTACTACATATAAATTCCATGTGCTAATTTGGCGGGAAAAATATCCCTATGGATATTGTACTGTAGTTTGATGAGGTGTCAAATCAATAGTGGTTGTTTTAGTTCTAGTGGATTCCTTGGACCCTATATTATTGGAAGCCACATGCCAGGTTGGCATAACATGTGACGTGGAATAAGTATGTTACTGTGTGGTGCGCATCTCCAACAGCTACTGTGTGGACTTTTCTTGTTTCGTTTTTAAATTTTATCTGAGCGAGTTATGATGGAGAATTCAGATGACATCTGTCGTTTATTTTGTCAAGACTCAAACCCTCATTGGTTGCTTCACCATCACATATTCCACTCCTTCCTTTCAGGTTTCAAATTTCATTATCTTCTCTTTTCACTTTGAGGGGCTATTGTGGAAATTTAGTATCATACTAATTTTATTTCAGAATTGGTGATTATTCTCACGATAAATATTTTTCATAAGTTTAACTCTAATTTTATAGAGTTGAATTTACTTTAGTAATTTGTAGTTTATCATAATTTATGCTAAAGTGTTTAAATTTATAAATTACAATTGATTAAAATTTAAATAATTAAATTTGAAAATTATATGAAAAAAAGGTAAATATGATCATAATTCAATTTTAAATCGAGGTCGAATCGAAGTTAAATCTATTAAAATCAATATCAAATTGCGGTCAATGGTTTCTAATTTTAAATCATAACTAAATTATGTATTTATAATTCAATTTTATTTTTTATTTTTAAAATTGAGACTGACAATTTTAGTTTGCAATCAGTATTCCAAGTTTAAAAGTGTGAAAGAAAAATATTTTCAAAGAAATTTTTCAATTTGTTTTTTATTTTATCATAAATTTTAAAATAAATTTTTAGATTGTTTATCAAATTGGTTTAATGTTTTTAATTTGTACATTATTATCGTTGTTTCTTCGGGCTATAAATTTCAAAAATAAAATTTTAAAAAGATTAATAATTTTGATTTTAAACTGAAACAGAATCAAAATTAATAATTTTATACTCATCTTAAAAACTGCTTAAAAGTGATTTGATTTTAATTTCATTTTCTTATAAATGGAATCGGTAATTTTAAAACTAAAATTCACGGTTTTGAAACTGTAATTATGTTTAAAAAAAAAAAAATACTAAGAATTATAATAACTTAAGGAAATTAATGGTACCTTTGAGTAAATAGTAAATAATATGTACAAAAATACCAATTATTTTCCAAAATCTATTATAGAGCCAAGAGCCAAAAACTTACTTGAGATCTAAAAATCACATATCAACAAACAAAAAAGGGATACAAAGAGACGTGGTCACTCTATTTGCCCGTCATTTAACCCTCACGCCATATCCACATCTTATGCACACATTTCACTCTCTCCTTAAAAATAAAATCTTTATATAATATATAAAAAGAAATAAAGAAAGGATGCTTTTATAATTAAATATACTTCTTCACCGTCAATAGCTCCTAAAGAAATTAAAGAGAAGCTGTAATGGCTCAAACCATGTTGTTCATCTCTGGTGTTTCTACTCGGCATGTTGTAGATTTGAAGAGAGACCCTTTACTTCAATTCCAAGTTGAAAGATTAAGGCCTAAGCCATTCTCTAATCTTGTGTTTAACCCAATTTCTATCAGTAAAACTTCTTTTTCTACTTCTAAACCATTTACTACACTTGCTCTCTTCAAGTCAAAAGCCAAGGCACCTCCTAAGAAGGTAAGCATATGCCATTTCTTTGTTTTTTGTTGGAGTAGGAGAGATGGAATTTGTGTATTTAATTTGGGTTTAAATGTTGTTAATCTTTTAATTTATTTAATTAATTATAGGTTGAAAAACCCAAGGAAAAGGTTGAAGATGGTATCTTTGGGACTTCTGGTGGAATTGGTTTCACTAAACAGAATGAGCTCTTTGTGGGACGCGTGGCTATGCTTGGCTTTGCTGTGAGTTCATCTGTCTTTCTTTTTTTTTTTTTTCCTTAATTTTTTTTTTTTATATTTCATAAGTAGCATTATTATTTTTATATAATTTAAGTAATATTATTTAAGTGAATTGGCTGTTTCATAAAAAAGAATTTATATTTGAAAATTATTTTTAAAAGATTTCATATTTTCGTTACTTGATTATAATATCAAAATTTTAAATATTAGAAAATACTAGTTATTTAAATAGTGGCTCACTTATTTATTAAAGCAATTCATTCCATGTTAAGTCTTGAATAATGGTATTTTCGGTTTATTATTAATGTTGTATTATGTGACTAGTCGATTTTTAATTTTCTTAAAAAAAAGAAATAATAAAAACAATAAATAAGTCTTATACATTTAACAACAGAAGTTTTCAGAATCAAATCAATTTGTAATATAACAAAATTAAAAATTATTGTTGATCCAATAATTAAATCTAGTTTGCATTAATATGTTTTTTTTAATTTGGCGTTGGAGGAAATTAGAGAAGTTTTCAATGGCAAGATTATACTAATTTTGTAAAATACTTTCATCTTGTTACAAAAATTCAGAGATTTACAATTAAAAAAAAAAAAAAGAGAAGATTAATTTTTATGGCAATTGCAGTTTACAAATAAATATTTTGCAGGCATCCTTGTTGGGTGAAGCAGTAACAGGAAAAGGAATTCTAGCTCAATTGAATCTAGAGACAGGAATTCCCATTTATGAAGCAGAGCCACTTCTTCTTTTCTTCATCCTCTTCACTCTTCTTGGAGCCATTGGAGCTTTGGGCGACCGTGGCAAATTCGTCGACGACCCACCCACCGGCATTGAAGGTGCAGTCATCCCTCCTGGCAAAAGTTTCAGGGCAGCTTTAGGTCTTAAAGAAGGAGGTATAACAATTCACTTTGCAATTTCCACAATAATTCTATACTTACAGACTCCAAAATACCAAATAAATTAGGTTTGCCATTAAAGTTTACCTTTTTTTTTTTTTTTTTCGACGACCCAACCACCGGCATTGAAGGTGCAGTCCATCCCTCCCTGGCAAAAAAGTTTTCAGGGCAGCTTTAGTGTCTTAAAGAAGGAGGTATTAACAATTTCACTTTGCCAATTTCCACAATAATTCTATACTTACCAGACTCCATACCAAATAAATTAGTTTGCCATTAAAGTTACTTTTTTTTTTTTTTTTTTTTTTTTTTTTTTTTTTTTTTTTTTTTTTTTTTTTTTTTTTTTTTTTGGGAATTGCAAGGTCCGTTGTTTGGATTTACAAAGGCAAATGAGCTGTTTGTGGGGAGATTGGCGCAGCTAGGAATTGCATTTTCTTTAATCGGAGAGATTATAACAGGAAAAGGAGCTCTAGCGCAACTGAATATTGAGACTGGCATTCCCATCAATGAATTGGAACCCCTTGTGTTGTTCAATATTATCTTCTTCTTCATTGCTGCTTTGAATCCAGGTACTGGCAAATTTGTCACTGATGAGGAAGAAGACTAAATATATGAACTTGTTCTCCTTGTTTGACAAGAACCTGCCTTGTAATTTTATTCAAGAAAATACTTTGTGCTCTTCTTCCTCTTCCTCTTTCTGTTTCTTGCATCCTTGGGTATGTATAAGTAGGTATGCAAAATCAAGGAAATGGGTATGCATTCGATCCGAACCTGGTCAAGGAAATGGGTAAAGATTGAAAATTTTATTTCGAATATATATAGATAATTACATGAATATAATTAGCGATGGCGATGAATAAAACACAAGTCTAACTGAAAATCAATTTCACTAAATTCATATATAACTCTTATATAATACAGTAATTCTTATATATAACATTCTTTTAATTTATAATTCATACAATGACATGGAATACAGAGTTAATTTGTTGGGCTAAAAGCCCAGTGATGCCTCATCAAGTCATAGCAAATAGCTTTTGGTTCTTAATTTTACTTTATTTCTTTTGTTGATTTCCTAGTAAATAACTTTAGAAACATTTGATCTTATTGAAAAAAAGCAGAATAATAAACAAATATGTTATATTGGAATTTTTTTTTAAAGCATAAAATGTAATATTACTGTTTATATTATATTATAGAAAATATTTATATTAAATAAAATTATTTTATTTTAATTTAATGATAATTAATAAAAAAAACAAACTTTTGTTAATACAAAAAAGGAGATTTACAATCAATTGAACCAAACTTTAATTGCTCACATATTTAAAGATACTTATCTACACTGTATGTATATCCATCCCTTATACACCTATCCAATAATTTATTGTCATTTAAAAAAATATCATTCTTTATTACTATCTATATTATATATAAATGTAGAAATAAGAGAGAAATAATGAGATTACCTATAATAACTTTAATAAAAATTTAAAAATTCTGAAATATCCTTAGTCATTGGTTAATTGATAATAGATTGAATTGATTAAATAACTTGAGTTTTTAATAATTGATAAATTAGAGTTTTTTTTTATATTTTTTTATTAATTGATTAAAAAACATATATTATTATATTATTTTAATATTGTTATTTTAAAATATTTTTCTAATTAAATCTTCCATCATTGATTATTTACGATATTAATTGTTTCAAAAAAATTATTATTTAATTTTAAAATAAACTTCAAAATGCAAAAAAAAAAATATCTATAAAAAATATTGTTTCACACGATTTATACATATACCACTTTTAAAATTTTGATTTTTTTCATTTATATCTATTTATTTATATAATTTTGATTTTTTTTCATTTATATCTATTATTATATATAATTTATTTATATATAATTTTTTAATTTTTATATTTATAAAGTCAACATTTTATTTTTTTATTTTTCCGTAAATATTGATTGTCACCGTATCATACAATATTAAATCATTTTCAATTCTCGCAAAATAGATTGGATAATTTTCTTCTATAAATAGAAGAACTGCACATATTATAAGATTATGAGATATCTATATATCTACGTATCTCAATATAAATTAATCAAAGCAAAATACTCTAAAAAGAAAAAAAATCAAAAAATGGATATAATGTGGTCCTCAAAACTTTTAATTAATAGGAATTTGTAGATCCCAACACCATTAATCTAAATCGGTAACGAATCTGAAATCAAAACAATCTTTTTTTCACCGATTGAAATTTGTTTATGTGGAGGTTCATGTATATTTGAGTTCCTTTTTTATTATTTACTTCAGAGTTTTGTTTCTTTTATTTGATTTTCATGAACTCAAAGCATATCTAACAACATAGGATCATATTATTTAGTTTTTTTAAAGAAATCGATGCTAATTAAAGTCTAACTTTATCATTTTCAAAAAAATTGAAGTCTAATCTTATAATTAATAATAAATTTTTATTTTATCATCTATAATTGTTTTATTAAATATACTTGACTTTTAATGTCTCGCCTCTACTGAATCTCAAATGTTTATCCTAATTAAAATTCTCATTTTACAATTGTGTCCTATACTTCTATTATTAAGTCATGTCTTTCAGAGATAAATTTTAATTTAAAGTTATTATATATAAAATCATGTCTTAATATTATATAAATATCTAAAAAATATAAGAGAAAAATTATAACCATACTTAATCCTATATAAGAATAATTTAATGAGTATAAATAGCGAGTAATACCGAATAATAATAACGCGCAAACGCATGTTACAAAAAATACTAATTATACTAAAGTTAGCCACCAGTTTGGTTTGGACAAGAATCGACTCAGTAAAAGACTGAATTGAAATTGGCTCGATAGTTCTAGTTTCGAATTGGATTGATATTGCATATTCATGGGATTGATTCCAGTTCTTGCATATTTATTGTTGTGACATCCTACCGAGTCGAGTCAGTTCATAGAGTCGAGTTGAGTCAGACCGAACCAAACCCGGTTGGGGTAGAATGGGTTTATTCGAGTTAAGTCAGGCCAAACCAAACCCGGTTGGGGTAGAATGGATTTATAAGTGGATTTACTTGCCCTAGAAAATGTAGGTCTTATTTGGTAATTGCACCATACAATTAAAGAGATGGTTGGGAAGTATACGAGCCTTCCATTTGACCTTGCGTTCTTCATTTTCTTCATTTTCTTCACCTTCATCTTCAACGTCTTCTTCATCTTCAACGTCTTCTTCATCTTCATCGTCTTCTTCATCTCCTTCCATTCCCTTTCTTTCATTTTCATGGTAGTGAAGCATTAAGGCAACCTCTAGTTGTCTCCAAGTAAGTAGAATATCTTTATTCAACTTCTTTGAGGTATCTTGTGGATTATTTATAAGAATTTTTATTTATAGGTGAAGGAAGTTCTAAGAGTGTAGAGAAAAGAAGCTAGAAGAGCTCAAGCTTTTGGAGTGGAGGTTTGATATCTCTTTTCATTTACCATTTTCTTTGCATGAGAATTTGTGTGGTGTGTTGATGAGAACTTGTGTGGTGTGTTGATAATGAGACCCTATATTGCTTAGTGTTGAGTGAGAGGACTGGAAATGGTGAGAAAACAGGGGAATGTTGAAACAGGTTTTCTGGAAAAAGAACTAGTGACTTCATCTTAATTTTTACCCTAGTAAATGATGGAATTAGGAGGAGTCATAGAAGAGTTATTTGTTCCTCTATGTGTTATCTTTATGTGGGTTTTTGAATCACCCAAATCGGAGTTAGTTGTATTATTGAGAGATTATGGACCAAAGAGTGCAAATCGGAGTTGTATATTGAGAGATATGACCAAAAGAGTGCAGCTCGCGCAGGTTGGAAGCACGTCGCGCGACCGCGTAGACTGGAAACACGTCACGCGCTCGCGACTTGCACTTGCGCGCTCACGACTTTGGCCTGAAGCTCTCTGCCTCTCATTTTGCACATTACGCGCTCGCGACTTTTAAGTGCACGCTCGCGACTTGTGCTCGATAACTCACTGACTCTCATTTTGCCCTTTACGCGCTCGCGACTTGCAAGTGCGCGCTCACGACTTGCATTTCTGCAGCTCGCGCTCGCGACTTTGGTTTTCATGCATTTTTGGACTTCTTTTTCAATGCAATTGGATTCCTTTGCTCACCTTATATGCCTCCAACCATTCTAAAACAAAAATATAACATTAGAACATGGATCAAACAACATGAAAGCATACAATGATGTGAAATTAAGTGAACATTATGATTTATGAAGTTATGAACATGTTCATGAACATTTGGTAGTTATGAACTATAACGTGATGTTATGTTATTACTATTGCCATACCAACATTTATGCTCCATTGAGGTTCGTTAGAACCATGTAGATTAAGACCCATTTTTAACATTATGCTCCATTGAGGTTAGGTAGAAACCATGTAGATAAGACCATGTCGCGACATAGGATAGCAGATCTGCACCTCATACAGTTTGGTACTCTGGCTAAAGGCCGAGGCCGTTGAGTGGATATGATTATAAAGGCCATAGCAGCCAAGCATACAGTATTCATACAGTTTTTCTTATCACCTCGGTTTCGCTATAACCTTATGGACCTATACAGATCTCTTGACTGAACATTGCATTTATCATACAGTATAATAAACAGAAAGAAAGACCATCAAGGGAAAAGAATAGTATCATGATATGTATGCTTATATGTGCCATATGTGTTTACATGCTTATTTCTATACATGTATGTGTTTCATTATTTCTTTTTATGATGAGATATCCATTGAGCTCTTTTTGCTCAGCGAGTTACCTATTTAACTCGCAGGTTTTGAGACTGGTCAGTAGAGAGTCAGCTTACAACTGCTGCAGTTCATCTGTTTATGGGCTGTAAGAAGACTCATCTTCAAGAGTAGCTAATCATTTTTGTAGAAGACTCAGTCTTCAGAGTAGCTAATCATTTTCTTGTATATCTTTGGTCTACCCTTTTTATGGCATGTACAGGGCACTCAGTTGGGCCCATTTCATTTTTGTAAACCGTACCAGCATGTTATTATATTCAATATACAGTATATTTTCAGCATGTCCGACCATACAGTCAACCATTTTGTAGCGTCTCGGCTCGGTTCATTCAGGTTTACGGGTGGACCGGGAAGGGATGTTACAATTGTTGAGACTATAACTAGCTAAATACGTTTATGTCTAAAGCAAATACGTTTATGTTCGTCTCTCCCAAGAGCTACAGTACCATCTAGCCATGTGATCCCTCTGGCATCTAGGAAAATGGTGGGTGGGAATCTTTGCCAGCCTTTGACTCATGCCTGCAGCATCTATTTGAGCTCCGAATTTGGGCTTCATTTGGCATGCTCAGTCTCACGTCGCCCAAAACCTCTACATGTTTTGCTCAGCCACCACTTTTATTATTTGTCATCTCCCCTCAGTATTTCAATAGTAGTCTTTGTGTGTAACACCCACCGCCCAGTCCCGAGAGACCCGACGGCGGATGTCACATTCGGTGCCGGAGGCACCGTCTTCTTACTTTCTACCCATAAAAATCATGCATGCATGCATGCTCCAAAAATGTGACATAAAATAGTAACCATATATAATAATTTTTCTGGACCAAAATAACTCCAAAAATGTGTACATAAAATCAGTAACGATATATAAGTTAATTTGCTGGACCAAATATATCCGACTCCCGGACCGACAGTTTATTGCACAGACAGATTAAAAACCTACTATGTCAAGCACAGGAAAAATAGGGGGCGTCTGGACCAAAATAATACCGACTCCCGGACCGACAGTATTATTCACAGACAGATAAACTACTATTTCAACACAGGAAAAATAGGGCGTTACATTGTGCTTGTTCCTCATCACAGTTTCAACATTACTCTTTGTGCAACTCTAGCACCTGTGCCACCACCAACTAGCCTACCTTCTCCTCTCCATTTTCTTCTCACTGTGCTGTTATTTTTTGATGATTTTTCGGCCAAAACCACCACTGACAGCTGCTGAACAACCGATCTTGGCGCCCTCCTTATTTCCTGTGTGTTCTCTATCTCAACATTTTGTGGCTACTTCAAAATGATGGTGTGATTACAAGTTTTTTAATGCAGAAAGACTGCTTTAATTAACAGTTGTGAAATTGCTTCGTCTCTTTTCCTCGAGAGGTCTTCTGGTTTTAGTCTTGTCATTGACAAGTTTTTTTTTTTCTCATGGCTGATGATAAACATATTTCTGTGGAGATGGCTAAACTATCAGTCAACGGTGAGGAAGATGATGGACTAGTTTTTGAAGAGGACGACGAGCTCTCTACAGGTTCTGACAATTCTCTCTGTCTGGTAGGACGTTTTCTTATCGATAAAACTATAAACTTCCAGGCTATGAAACAAACCTTTGCTTCCCTATGGAGGCCTTTCATGGGAATGTCAGTCAATGAGGAGGGGACTGGGTTTTACCGTTTTCAATTTTATCACAAGGTGGATGTGGACAGAGTTCTTGATATGGCACCATGGACTTTTAACAATCAACTTTTGATTCTCGGTAGAGTTGAAGGTAATATTACATTGTCTGAAATTCCTCTATTTGAAACTCCTTTATGGGTCCAGATTCACAAACTTGATGATGGGTTTATGACTGAAAGAGTGGCAGTCCATTTGGGCAACGAACTTGGTTCTTTTCTAGAGTCCGATCCCAATAATTTCACAGGGCCAAGACGATCCTATATGAGACTAAAATATTTACATGATGTCCGTAATCCCATCCGACAAACACTGAAGCTCCGTTCAAAGGCTGGAAATTGGTTCTATCCCACACTGGCATATGAAAGACTACCCAGTATATGTTTTCTATGTGGTTTCCTTGGGCACACTGAATGATTTTGCCGTAAGCTCTTGAACGCAGGAAGCATTTCATTGGTCAGAAAGTTTGGTCCGGACATTCGAGTTTCTAACCAGCGAAGCCTGCGAATAGGTGAACGGTGGTTGAGGGAGGAGACAGGTGGGTCCTGGGATACAGCTACTCATGATGATGGTGTTGAAAAAGCCACCAATGACCGAAACTTTCAAAATTCGAATCAGAAAGGAGATGTGGCTGTTTTAGAGGGCATGATTTGCGGAGATGATTATGCTCCTATGGTGGATGAGTCAGCAGGGAACATTTCAAATGTGGACCCAACATTAGGTGACAGTTTTGAAATTATCATGGTAGACCCAAAAAGGAAACGAACGGACCTTGCGCCCTCCATGTTGCATGATGATATTCCAGCTGTTTTGGGCATTACTTCAGTTTCAAAAAATGGGCCATTGGCGGGTTCTGTGAGTCAGACCCGCCGCCAACCATGAGTACCATCAGTTGGAACTGTCGTGGGCTTGGCAACCCACGAGCAGTACGTTGGCGGGTTCTGTGAGTCAGACCCGCCGCCAACCATGAGTACCATCAGTTGGAACTGTCGTGGGCTTGGCAACCCACGAGCAGTACGTACTTTACGGGACATTATAAATGATAAGAAGCCGACTTTTATTTTTCTTATTAAGACTCTTTGTCATTCGAATAAAATTGCAGAAATAAAGACTTTATTAAATTATGATGGTTTTGTTAGTGTTGACTCTGTTGGCCATAGCGGCGGTTTGGCATTACTATGGAAAGGTGTTTCGTCAGTTAATCTTATCAGTTCCTGCTCTAGATATATCGATGTTGAAGTGGATTTGCACCATTTTGGTGTTTCGCGGCTTACAGGCTTTTATGGGGAGCCAAATCGAAATAGAAGAAATAATTCTTGGCAGTTACTCCGTGCTTTAGCCTCTCACAGTGTTTTGCCTTGGCTATGTTTAGGCGACTTCAATGATATCCTTGCTTCATCGGAAAAGAGAGGGGGAAGACCTCCTCCTAGTCATCTTATTCGGGGATTCCAAGCTGCTATCTCAGATGCACATCTGCATGATTTTCCTATGTCTGGTTATGCCTTCACTTGGGAACATGGTCGTACTAGTGGCAATTTAATTGAGGAAAAACTTGATCGTATTTTGACCACTGACTCTTGGCGACGAAAATTCTCTCAAGCCCGAGCTATGGTTCTTGATAAATCGTTAATTGAGGAAGAAACTGTGGCAATTTAATTGAGGAAAAACTTGATCGTATTTTGACCACTGACTCTTGGCGACGAAAATTCTCTCAAGCCCGAGCTATGGTTCTTGATAAATCGTCATCCGACCATCTCCCGATCTACCTTGAATTACGTCATTTTGTGCCTCGGGCTCAGGCTAGACGATTTCGTTTCGAGAATAGCTGGAAGAGGGAGGTTGCTTGCAAGAATCTGATTATGAGTTCTTGGTTAGAGACGGTGAATTTGGCTTTGGAAGAAAGGCTTTCTCGGTGCAGAGCACTCCTCGAGATTTGGGGGGAAGAACTTCTACATTATCAGAAAGGTGAATTTGCGAATTGCATGGCTGTCATGGTTGCTACAAGAGGTTCTCGTACCGCAGGAGATAATGTCCGATTTTTGGAGGCAAATAACAGGTATCAGGAATTATTGTTACAAAGGGAAATTTTTTGGAAACAACGTGCTAAAGAGTTCTAGTTACGGGAAGGTGATGCTAATACCCGTTTACGAACGTGCTAAGAGGTCTGAGGTTATGTGGGGCGGGGGAGAGGGATGCTAATACCGGCGTTTCTACCATGCGAAGGTCGCTACAGGGGCCGACAACGGAACTGAAACCGTGATGTCTATCTCTGAGGGGATGAATCTGGAAAACTGGGTGTCACTGTGAGATTCCGGGTGAGAGAGGACCAATGGAGTACGTTTACTGTACTAATGATGTTTGCTTCCCAGAATTGGCAAGCGACCTCTACATGGTTTCGCCGATCTTTAATTTCAGGCCCTGTTCCTCAACTGAGGAACAAGATATGAGTATTGGTTTTTTTTTTTTTTTTTCTTGTTAGCTCAACCTTACTCAATTGGAGGATGTTTCGGGTAGCGGTGTGTTGACATGAAGGCCGACTAAAGCCCTCGGGGTTCTTGACGGTTTTCCAAATCCTGGCGGGCTAGCCGTAGAGGCGCGGGATTTGGTTCTGATACGGTAATTTGATATGTTGCCGTCATGAATGTATCGAGAATAATGTCACAGGAGGGGGGTTGCTTTCCCTGCCTATGCTGAAATGGAAGACTGGTTGTGGGTTTTTGATTTCCTAAAGAACAGTCATCCCCGAGTCTATGTCCTGATGGAGACGCGAGTTGCCGCTGTTGCAATGTTCTATTGAAAAATCCAATTACAAAGATGCAGTTGCAAATCGCGTGCGTTCGCACTAATTCATTCGCGTCTGATTTAAAAGCCAGTGTGCCTTTGTTGGCGGGCAGGAATATTTCAGATAATTGTACTGTGTTGCTTTTGGAAGCTTTACAATGCACATTCACAAGGGAGAAGACTAGGGGTGTCTGAATGTTCCTGCAGCCGGTCAAAGATGGACAATCCAAGCAAAGCATACGAACAGGAAGGAGTGAGTCCTTATTCTTCGGCATGATACTAGCTAATTGTAGGGTTTTAATGCTCTAATGGATTAATCTTATCATGTGCCTAAGGTCTAACTTCGGTTAGTACTGGATTTACCAGAGATAACCAGAGAGTTGGGCCGGTGTGTGTTCCTTGGCCCAGACTAGGTTTTGCCGACAAGGGGAGAAACCCACTTATATTCCCCGTACTTGTTTTCAATCATCTGTGCTGGAGGGTTTGAGTCACACATAGATTGACGGAATATCTACTCAGCATCCGCGCGCCTCATGAGTGGTTTATCGAGTGTGTTGTGCGGGTTGTCCCTTAATGGTCCTCAATCTATGTTTTCGCCGAAACGGACATGTTTGGGGTGTTTTTTGAAGGCTTCATTCAGGAAATCATATGCATGCTCTCAAAGCGATGATTGCGGTTTGGCTATTGGATGAGCTGAGGCAGGATCCAGGGTCAAGCAGATAAGATTTCCGAGTTCCTTTTCAATTACTTTTAGCCAACTGAATGGGTACCGGCCGTGCCGGGTGCAAATCGTCCACAGACCATCAATAGGTGTTTCCATATACATCGTCAGTACGAGAGAAGGATACTTTAGGTTCTTACATCTGGGATCTAACCATACACGATATGGGGCGGAATCGAGTGAAGAGGGTCCTTCTAATTATATGAAGAGGGCGATCGAATGTGAGAGAGGGCGTTTAAACTCATTAGAAACTCAAGATCCTTCCGTGGCGGGATAGAGAGAAGTCCGATAAAAACTGTTCTATCAGGCTTTAACTAATTATCTTATGAGTCTTTTCTTGTTACACCAAGACTTTGTGTAACAGAATTAGAAAATGTATCAATGAATGCATTCTGGTGGGGTAAGTGGCGGTAATTATCTCAGCAGTCATTGGCTTGCGTTGGGACAAAATGGCCACGCGCCAAAGTTGTATTCGTTGAGGGCTTGGGGATTGTCGAAAAAATTCTGGAAATTTGACAGTGATAGCCTTCTGGTGTAAACAGGGCGAATGCTTTATGGCAAACGCCGGAGGCTCAATGTGGCCTTGCAGGGCTGCGATCTTTGCGGAAAAAAGCAAAGTATTTCCAAATTGTAGTTCACATCTGGAAGCTCTGATGCTCGCAGCTCAAATCCAAGCTATGTTTGGCGGAAGCCATTTGGGGGGTCACAGAGTTTGGATCCATAAAAGGACTATCTTTGTCGTTTGGTAGTGGGGTTTCCAAAATATTTATTTGGATTCTCCTTGGCTGTCTTAAAGGAGAGTTGAGTTCTTTTATCTCGCACTGCGCCAGAGGCCAAGTATAATAGTACTGGCTATTCGTTGTTGTCGGATCTTAATGGGTGCGCACGAGGAAGATGGGCATGTCGAGAGGGGAATTATAGACCGATTATGTGTAAGTGAAGGAGAGATGTTGCTGGTGTAGATCCTCCGTTTGGTCTATTAGCTGTTAGAGCAATCAGGATGGGAGATGGGGATGCGTGACGGTGTTTGTGATTGTGAAATTTTTTGAATGCAAGAAGGTAGCTGTGTACAACAGTCAGGAGTGGTTACAGGGGTTACCTCTGCATAGACCGGGCTGCTTGCTCACAATTTATGTCTTGCCTATAGAGTAATGTTGGGCGTCGGACTGTGGAAGAATGAGATTCCTCGCGCAAAGCAGCGTAAAAGTTGTCATGCTTGTGCGTGCCCCGTAATGTGAGTGTTCTACCGCTTGTAGGAGAAATTTACACGCTCTCGAAGGATGGACAATTCCCAAGATATTGCTGCCGCTCATATGGGTCTTGTGACACGTCGAACAACTCTGTCATATTGCTTGTAACTGGCCTTTTTCACAGAACAGGTTGTGGGAAGCTGCTTTCCCATGCTTGGGCGTGGGGTTTATTGGTGGCAGGTTTGGACTCTTTCCCATCTTGGGTATTGGTGGTCTTCAGCTACATCTTTTGGGGAGTGGTTTCAGCAAGCCTCATCGTCATCCACTTTGGAGAACTTGAACTATATTTCTATGGTGTGCTGGGCATTATGGGTCACTAGAAATGATATGGTATGGCGTCAAAGAAACAGGAATCCAGGGGCGGTAATTCTGCTAGCTACGGGTGTTTGGCAAGCATGGAAGGATGCTCAGCTTCATCGTTTGGTAGCTCCTTCTCCGGTCACCTTTGATCGTACATGGACTCCACCTCCGTTTAATTGGTTAAAAGTGAACATAGATGCCTCAACTAGAGTGGCTACTGGTTATGTGGGTATTGGCACAATAGTTAGGAATTCAGCCTCTGAGTTTATTGCTAGCAAAGCGTGGAGATTCCCGGGGTTTTTCAATGCTACGGTAGCGGAGGCCATCGCCTTGCGAGAAGCTTTGAGCTGGGTCAAGGATCGCGGATGGAATTATATTTTGTTGGAAACTGACTCTCAATCAGTTGCCAATGTCATCAACAATGTTTCTACAAATGATTCGTCTGCTTTTGGTTTGATAATTCATGACTGCCGATCTCTTTTGTCTGAGATACCAGTCGCTAAATGTAATTTTATTTATAGGTCTGCGAATGTGGCTGCACATATGTTAGCAGTTGGAACACATTCCGAAGCTGGGTTGGAACCCATTCGAACTGCTTGGGGTTGGGGATTCCTATACCACCGGTCCTGTTGTACTTTGATTATTTGATTTCAAGATGATATTTCGCTCAATTTTAACTTCAAAAAAAAAAAAAAAAAAAAGACTTATAACTAAAGCTTGAAATCAGTCCCAGGAAAAAACAATACTTCCCAGTAAAAACAAAAAAAAAAAAGTTAAAACTGGGCACCAACCCCCGAAATCCACCGGTTTAATCAACAAAAGGAACCGCGGAAAATCATTGGTACTTGCCTCCTCTGCTCAAAAAAAAAAAAAAAAAAAAAGACTATAACTAGCTTGAAATCAGTCAGAAAACCAATACTTCCCAGAAAAAAAAAAAAAAAAAGTTAAACTGCACCAACCCGAAATCACCGGTTTAATCAACAAGAAGGAACCGCTGGATCATTGTACTTGCCTCCTCTGCTCTTCACTTTTTAATTTGTAAGCCTTAATCTAAGGTACAACTTCTTGTACGTAGACCACAAGGCCCGCAACAACAAAATTGAGTCTGGTGCACAATATCAGCCCAGATAAGTAATAAAAGATGAATAATTTATTTACTTGATGGGCCAATTGGGCCTGCAATGCAAAGAGTAACGGTAAAGTTTTGACTTTGACGTGGCAGGACACGACAGGAGGACGTGAGATTATTTAATCCAAGGAAACAATGATGGCTACTGCTTGAAATTCGGTTGGTCTGAACACCACAAGGAGAGTGTTCATACATGCCCAAAATCCATCTCAATCTCTCAACCTCCTGAGTTTGGTCGGTCAAATTTAAAACAAAGAGATTATATTTTCTTTTTCAACCATCAAAACTTGTTCGATGAGAACGAAAATTGTCGGTATTAGTATTTTGCATCGTATCTGCTGACATATAACTGTGTGATTAATGAGCAGTATACCGAATATGGATTAAGATTCAGAGTTAGAGAGTAAAAAAGCATTTTAAAAATTTTTCAAGATAAGGGTGCTCTTACACTATGATTTTTAAGCTAGTTTTTAGCGTTTATCAAATTTGAATTTTATCTTTATTAATTACACTGTTCAATAACATAGTTTTTATAATAATTTTTAGAGATTGATGAAATTTTTTATAAAACAAAACTTAGAGATTAATGAAACATTAAACTTTCTAAACCTTAATATTTCTCAAAGATTGGTTAAATTTTTTTAATAATTATATCTTTTTTTTTTCAAATTCAATTAATTAAATATTTAATATCTTTTTTTGTCATTTTAAATTAAATAAGACTGCAATATACTATCTAACAACTAACCATTAATAAAATAATTAAAAACTATTACAACAGCTAATAAATATTAAAATAACAATTAAAAAGTTAATAGCTATTAAAACATTTGTTATTAGATATAATTCAATATATTGAAATTCATCTATTCAAAGAATTGAAAAGTTCATATAAGCAGACAGCACTAGGTGGAGCTGTGAGAGACCCACCGCACCCTCAATAATTTTTTTTTTAAAAAATATTTATGAAAAATTATATTTTATCCTTAAAAATATAAAAATTTATATTTTGAATGTCCAAAATTTAAAAAAATTTATTTCGTACTCCAAATAATTTTTCTTAATTTCGTCGCTGTATAAGCACTATTGTTTATTTTGTTATTAGATTATAATTAGAGTTAATTTTTATTTTTGGTATAATTTTAATTGTGTGGTGAATGATAATCATTTAGTCAAATTATAACTACTATGATATGATATACGAAAACTAATCATAGTCACCCAAAGGCCAAAGCTCTTTTAAAGTCCTGTTACGGGCAGACAAACAGTTGATATTACGTATATACATTAACTACTCAAAAGATGACACGTGTATTTGAACCATGTCCTCCAAAATAGAAATAGAATAATCCAGTTAAATTTGTTCCATAAATGAACTGTACTCTCTTCTCAAATTTAATCCTATCTAGAAGTTCGCATTGAGTTGGTTCAATTCAATTTAAAACATACTGATTTTTTTCTTCTTTTAGAAAAACTCAAGTGTAAATGAAATTATTTTATCAGTTCACTTTTCTATTTCATCCAAAATTATATGTATTCCGAGATGATTAAGAAAATACTAATTAACTTCTTTCACTTTTACTTTTATATTACAAAATATAATAATTACTTTGTAATCTTTGAAAATTGACAGATTAATAAGAAGAATTATTGAAATTAGAGTAATTAGATGAAATAAAAGAGTAATTTAATTAAATTAAAAAGAATTTGATATATAATTTAAATGATTGGATAAGATAAAAAGAGAAGTAAATATAAAATTAAATAAATCAAACCGATTTGATTTGATTTGATGGATTTAACCTAATTGTGCTGGCCCTACTAGTTAATAGCTAAATAAGAAAAATGAAACACTAATTATTAAACACGTAAATTAGATGACCTGTACTAACACTGCTATATTAATCTTTAAAACAATAAATATTATATAAATAAGAAAACGTTTCGGTTTTAAACCAAGTAATCACGAAGAAAAGGACAGCCTACAGGAGCCACCATTGCCTTTTTGTTGCTTTGATTCTTCTTCTTCTCTATAGTGGCAAACCCTCTCTCTTTCTTCCCTCTCTGTAGGAGCTGCTTGCCTTGAACTCGGGTTGCTATACTCACCCGATTCAGGCGGTACACGATTGTCACCAACCCAATTAAAGCTGTTGAAATTCTTCATCGATTAACTATTGCTGAGGAATAAAATTAATAGTGCCGTCACCGTTAAATCCACGATCCTTACCCTTGAGAAGAGTCCTCTAATGGAGAAATCGGCGGTTGCTAAGGAAAATTATCTCGACTGGAATCACCATCAGTCCTTTTCTTCTTCCTCTGCTTCTCTTAGAGACGTTAGTTACAGGTTCTTCTTCCTTTCTCTATTACTTAATGATAATTACAGTTGTTTTTGTTGGGATTTGGAGAACTTAAATTTAATTCGTGTGAAAGAAACTGGTTTGCTAGATGGGTTCTTGATTTCGAATCGTTAGCTTTTGCAGATTGGAATAAATTACTATTTTTTTTTTCCAATAAATTACTCTTCGGAATACTCTTAGTTTGTCCAAGATAGCTGGTGGATCAGCTTGTGAGAAATGATCTTAAACTTAATGCTTGTAAATTGATTTTTTTTTTTTTTTTTTTTGGATTAGATTAATATTTATAGTCAATTTCTAAAGATGGGATTTTGAAGTATTTTCTAAGTCTATATAGAATAATGCCTTTTTTCGGATTAGTGATACTCACGGGAGGATTGAAAATGAATGAATTGGTACTTTCTGCTACATCTGGCATTTTATTTGTTGATTCACACTTAGTCCTTACATTGAAGTTAATGTATCTTGAAATTTAAGTATCTCCTGTTAACAAAATGGTATCCTGTTTTAGTGAATTCAATTTCAATGTTTGTTCTAATTTATTTTGTTTTGTTGGGAAAGTTTCTTTTAGCCAGCGGTTATCTAGCATTGAATCAATGTTCTCTCCAATATACTTTCAGCTTTTTCTGTGTCTCCATTTGGTGTCAATTGCGAAGGCACGGAAAAAGCTTCGATGTAAAGTGATACCTGATTAATGTAGTGGATAGTAAAACTATCTGGGAACTGAAATTATTTGAAAACTTGCAAACTTGTGGTTTCGATAATCTTAATAGATTTTGGTGAATCACAATGCAGTTGTTTGCCCATCAAACATTGGTGGTGCTTATAATCTTTCCTATCAGAAGTTCACTATTATGAACTATATTTATTTTATATAATTATGCAATTTGTCAATATCTGATTTCTGGTCACACCATATTTCGAACTAAAAGTGGATTGCCAAGAAATGCCAAGAGTAATAAAATTACCTAATTTAAGTATCATTAACAAATAAGATGGCATGAACTTACTTTGTTTACGGTCTTTGAACACTCTTTATTGGATTCTGGTGGTTTTGGTCGTTTCGCTTCGAATTTTTTTTTCCTGAAACCTGAAGACTGAACTAAAATATTTGACGCAGCTGTGGCACTTGTGGATATGAGTTGAACTTAAGCTCTTCCAATAGAAACACCTCAACCATTGGCTCTAAATATGGAAAATCCATAAAGCGAGGGATCATCTCCTTCTTTAATATTGATGAGAGCCGATTTACTCAGACTGAAGAAGTCCAATGCATACCTTATTTTTCAAAGAATTCATGGGGTTTGTTCCGCAGGAGAACCAAACTTCTTTGTCGTAAGTGTGGTAATCAGATTGGAATTGCTTATGATGATGAAACTTTAGCTTATCCAATTGTATCAGATGGTTCAGATTCATCGTCAGTCAATGAATCCAAACGTAGAAAATATGATGTGAAAATCCGTGCCTTACAGCCTTCTTCTCTTGAACGGTCTGGCAATCCAGTCTATATGTGATGTGTTGGAGCTATCATTTTTATAGTTCATGTTTATTGAAGCATATCAATGATTCAATAACCATAGCAAAGTTGTCTTGTGGTATATATGTGCCTTACAGCCTTCTTCTCTTGAACGGTCTGGCAAATCCAGTCTATATGTGATAGTGGTTGGATAGCTATCATTTTGTGATGAGTTGATCAATCTGTTTATGTGAAGCATATCAATGATTCAATAGACCATAAGCAAAGGTTGTCTTGTGTATATTAATATATATCATAAATATGAAGTAATATGAAATATATATGCAATGAACAAGTTTCTAAGTCTTTTTCTTTTTTTAATCTGTGTGCATTTACCTTCAATTTTTTAGATTGTCGAGCTGGTAAACTTGTACAGAGCAGTACTGCTGGAGACTGAAAAGGAAAGGGGCCCGAGCAAAGTTGTCATAATCAGTTTTTTCAGAATAATCGATTGTAGAATAAATATATATATATTCATGTAAACAAGTTTCTAAGTCTTTTTCTTTTTTTTACTTGTGCATTTACCTTCAATTTTTAGATTGTGAGCTGGTAAACTTGTACAGAGCAGTACTGCTGGGAACTGAAAAGAAGGGGTCGAGCAAAGTTCATAATCAGTTTTCAGATATTATTGTAGAATAATAGTGTGATATCTTGAGTTTGAGATAATTCAACCAGTAGATTGCGGTGAGACATTACTGATACATTTTTGTTTCCCTCTCCCTGGTCATCACTTTTCTGTTCATTCTTGATCGGATGCTCTGCTACTCCATGCTTTCAGTTCATATAATTATGTAATGATATTTCAGTCAATTGGATGCTTGTACATGTTAAATTAAATGAAAATGAAATTTTACATATCTAATTTTCAGTTTGTTTTGAAATTAGCATGCTTATCAATATGGTGATGTTACTTTTAATAGTTTATATAGTTTTTTGATAAACTGTATTGCTTCAAAGGGAAAGTTGTTTCATTACTTGATGGGTCATTGTTGTGCCTGAATTAATAATCACTCCAGGGTATGTTCAGCAAAATTAATTGTTTTGATAGCTGTTAGCTGTTTTAGTAGCGTTTAATTATTATTTGTTTGAATAGCTTACATCTTACATCTTTCTAAGTAATTTCTAGTGTTTTGACCAGCGTTTTATGAAAAAGTTAATTCATGTAACGTTTAACTTTTAGTATTTCATGCAAAGCTACTAAAATAACTAAAAGCTATTAAAATAACAGTTACTAAAATAATTAAAAGCTCTCTTTCAAAAAAAAAAAATAAATAAATAAATAAAAGCTATTAAAACTGTTAACAGCTATTAAAATAATTAATTTTACGGAACAGACACTTAATCGGTGTATTTGTAAGCTGGCAACGGTATAAACGAAGTGTTATATTTCGAGATAAAGAAATGAACATATGCAAATGGTCTTCGACTTTGTAAAAAGAACACATTTTTATATAGGGTGATGTGGTCATGTGGATGCTGAATCAACAATTATGTTTGATAAGGTTTAGTATTTTACGTGCTTATTGGCTGTTTCGATAAGCTATCAGAATGAAACGAACTAGTGCATCCTCTCCGTAATGGCTTTAATCACATCTCCAGCAAGAAATGTGGAGCCAAAAATAGGTCATCAATAGGATAAAACTTCTCAGTTAGAGTTATTAACTTTTAATATCCTTGGTTCTTACAAAAAAAAAAAAAAACCTTATTATATTAATCGAAAGAATTTCTATTTATATTTAAATTAAATATTTAATTAGTATATAATTCTCAATTAAGTAAGATTTTAATTTAGTTAAACTAGAAGAAAAACGTAAAATATATATACAGGAATAATTAACTATTTTTTCTTATATTTTAGCATAATTAACTACTTTATCTATATAGTTTTATTTTTAGGGTTATTGTTGCCATTTTCACTTCCACGATGGTTTTATTTTGTATTATTTTTGTTATCATGCAGTCGACAGTAGCAGTAAGTTGCCATCAACCGGAGCATACTTGCCATCAATAGCATAATTTTATTGTTCCGTTAACTCAGATCAATCCCTTAAATCAAATTAAAAGTTTTATCATTTATATAAATGGTTTATAATTATAACTCCTAATGCAAATAGAAGCTTGCTTATTTGTATATTTATATTATATTTTCTTTTAATTTCTACTTGCTTCTGAAAAAATGAATGGGTCACACATTAAAGATAAAATAATTTAATTATGGTATAATGTAAAAACAAACAAAATAGTAATTTTTTCTTTATTATTTAACCTCATATTCTCTATCTGTTTACCTTGCCTAATCTGAATCCTAAACATTTATGAAGAAGGAAAAAGCAAAAAAAAATTTGCCTTGCATCTTCTTTTTCCCATCCAGAAACGCTCACGTCTGAGTACTACGGCCATAAGGACCGTAACAATGTTTTGGTGATTGAATGAATTGAGGTAAACCTGTTCTTATATTGGAAATTGAAGAGCTCATGCTCAATCCACCGGTAATTTTCCTTTTCCATCTTATCATGAAATCTGTTTTCCCCAAATTTGTTGTTTCTCTGTTGATTATATGATTCTACGCTTGCTTTATCGGTTTCCCCTTTCTCTTACTGTGTTCATTGAAATTGAAGTACTGAGGTGATTGACTTTATTGAGATAAATATCCTTTCTCTGTCCGTGTAGTCCTAATCTTAACAAAATATTTTTCTTATAATATTTTCTTGCTTTCAGGAACTGAATTGCTTTTAAAGCGTCAACGAATTATAAGAATTCTGAATCACTGCAAATTAGCTCAACTTCGTCTTCAAAGGTGTGTGGAGAATTGATAATTTGACATCAGGATTTTATATTTTTTTGTTTTGCCCTTCGTTTCACTACTAAAATTAGCATATTATCGCAGATGGTAGGACGCATATGTGTGAATCCAATATTCATATGCAAACAAATTCATATACTCCCTTCAGTCTTCACTATCCCAACTCGGCTAAACGTTTTTGTGAACAATCTATTCATCAGTCAAATTGATTTCTTCATTCCAATTTCGCGTGTATCATTAATTTCTTCATTTCAAGAATGAAAAACAACAAGTTCTTAATTGTTGCGCTGCAAACTCAAATCAGGAAATATGATACTTATTTTATTAAGCCAGTTTTGGCCTAATCTCTATCCCTTCAACAATGAGACCCCTCTTCCAATTACCATTCTTCACTTCCAGAACGCTAATTTCTAATTCCTCATCTGTTCCATCGTTATTAAAGAACGAACCCAATTCAACTTCCATCCAACCATCTCCTCTCTCCTTCGGATACCCCGCCGCCGCTTGTGAGTTGCGCCGGGGAATAAAGTCCAAATAAACACTCCGCGTAGCGATTTCACTTCCATTGAAACCCACTTTTGCCTCTGCTGGTGGCTGTAAGCCATAGTTATTTGGATTGAGCTTGAACACAAGATACGCACCGTAATTTGTTACCGCAGACAACATTTTCGTATCAATTTTGCCACTTATTTCAAGCCAACACACATCAATAAGCACCGCCACCTCTGCAAATCTATTCATATAAAAAACACATTAAAAATTTATTAGTAATGTTCATTTGATAATAAATTTATAGCCGAGTCAGGTTTACCTGGAATCAGAATCCGACTTCCAACTCCAGTAGCGAGGAGTATCGGCCCAAACAATCCTGAGATCTCTGGCAGAAAGCATAAAGCATTTCTTTCCTGTCCATTTTTCTAATGAGAAACTCCTTTTGCCGTCGTCTATGAGGATTGGGTTCCGGCAGAGGCTGAAAAAGAGCTGTTTCTTAGAATAAGCCAGCAGAAGATTAGGATCGGAGGAGCGAGAGATTATAGAGACACAATCTGGAGGTAGAAATCTCTGCCAAACGGTATCGGATCTGGCGGCGTTTCTGAATGTAGAAGAAACCATGGACAGATTACAGGCAACAAGAGGATCCGTAAACGACAGTATGTTTGCTATGCAAGCTTCCGGCAAGTCGGACATGTCTTCTTCCTGTTTGAGTATAACTGTTCACTACCCTCACTTAGCTATTTTGTTACTCATTGTGAATATCTAACCTCTGTTATATACCGCCATGAAAGCTTAAAGGTTAAGTACTTTTGCGCGATATTTTCCATATGGTAAACTTAACTGATAAGGATGATAGACGTAACAATTGAGAAACCATGGTGGGCCTGCTTTTATTTAACACCATACAAAGATAATTTCATCTGACCAAAAAAATCATCAACTGTTCATATTTTTTGTTTTTTTCTAGTGAGGATGTATGAAAGGATATTCGTATTTCTATATTAGAAATAATTATAATTTTTAATATATGTGAAAGTCAAATTATATATATATATATATATATATATTTATTTTAAGGGTTTAGGGAGAGTAATATAGTATTTTAAATTATTTTTATTTCATCTTCCCCATTAGTGCTAAAATCAAATTTTAAAATCAGGGGATAAAGAATAATTTTCAAAACTTAGAGGGCTAGATAAAATAATTTTCAATATATTGTCAAAAAAAATTTTGAAGATAAGAGGTAGGCCACTATCGCCCTTTATTTCTGCCCTTTCCATAAAAAAAGACATATTTGTTGTATTTATTTTAATAGAATTTTTTTTAATATGTTGAGAAATTTGAATGAAAAGAAAAAAATTGGTACAGAGTTTGCAAAATTATAAAGTTTCTTTTTTTAAAAGGTAAAGGATATAATAATAATGCAGTGCTTTGTTCTGAATTTTTAAGATTTCAATTAGAAATGGGATTTGTAATCTGATTTAATTTGGGCTAAGTCTGGATGCCATTCAACTATTTCTAATGTTCCAACCTACTCTCAGCCCCTGACAATGTATAAGCCCATGGGTCTCAATTTTAAACTAAATGGCCTTTTTTTTCAAAGAGAATATATTATATAAATGATCAAAGGTACCTGGATAAAATTAGAGAATTAAGAACTAATTACCAAAAATCACAATTATTTTTAAGGAAAATGTGAAAATATCGTTAAACTAAATTAAAATTGACAAGATCCCACTCCTTTAGATCAATAACAGAATAAGTGTAAGTATAAAACGACAACAAGTATTATGGTGGAGTACTATCCCAAACATAAAACCTATTGTAACTATAGAAAGTTGGAGCAAGAGGGTGAAACCCCACTTTGCTTGTCAACTGATTATCTAACTGCAACATAAATCTACTAGCCGATAAGTTTTTACAATCCTAAACAACCATACCTAACTCAAAAAAATCTAAAGAGTTAGAAATTAAAGCATGACCTAAATTTTGAGAATCTGTATTGGTGCATCCAGGAATAAGAAAACGATTTTGTAACCATTAGCGTGACCTAATTGGCTTTATAGTTTTGAATTTGCTTAGCAGTTAGCATTAGAAATTGAAAAAGCTAAATTTAATTTGGAAAAGTCAGTCAATGGGTGATGTTGCTGTCATTAATTTTGGCAGATATAGCAGTTCAAGAGAGACAAGGAACCTTCATTTATATATATATATAAAAGATAAGATTTCCCAGTTGAGTTTCTAATCTTATACAGTACTGTACTTTACTTGCAATATATGGAGTCTCACAAGCCTATCAATATCATCTCTCTTTCTGTCCTCTGCATTTTTATTTCTGTAACTTACGCAACTTCTAAAAACTGTGAATTCCCAGCAATCTTTAACTTTGGTGATTCAAATTCTGATACTGGAGGATTTTCTGCTGCCTTCGGTCCTCGTACCCCTCCTTATGGACAGACTTACTTTGGCATGCCAGCCGGAAGGGATTCTGATGGAAGGCTTATAATTGATTTTATAGGTGAGTTATAATTAGTTATCTTCTTCCTCCTTTTTTTTTTTTTTTTTTTTTTATGTAGAGGCTAGTTTCAAGAGAGGACAAGGAAACCTTCATTGAGTATATATACTAGTAAATAGAGTATAGATTTTTGCCAGTTGAGTGTTGTCTAGAATCTTATACAGTACTGTACTTTAACTTGCAATATATGTGGAGTCTCACAAGCCGTAATCAATATTCATACGTTCGTTTCCCTGTCCTCTGCAAATTTTAGTTTCTGTAGAACTTACGCCAACTTCTAAAAACTGTGATTCCCCCAGCAAATCTTAAACTTTGGTGATGGTCAAATCTGAATACTGGAGGATTGTTCTTGCGGTGCCTTCGTCCTCGTACCCCTGCGTTATGGACAGACTTACTTTGGGCAAGCCAGCCGGAAGGGATTCTGGATGGAAGAGGGCTTTATAATTGATGTTTTATTAGGTGAGCCTTATAAATTAGTTATCTTCTTCCATCCTTTTTTGTTTTTTTTTTTTTTTTTTTTTAATAATAATCTTCCCCTTTTTTTTATCTTTCCCCTTATAGGCGAACTCAGATTGTTTTAGAAAAGTTTTTTTTTTTTTTTTGGTACTTCAATCCTCCAGTAATAAAGCAGCTAGTAGTATTACAAACCAATTAACTGGTCCGATATCTCGGGGTGAATTACACTTCTGCAATTTGTAAGAGCATCTTCCACCAGCGCAATGTTACAAAATCAATCTCTCATTTCACTTGCTATTCAAGTTCTCACCAACCTCAGACCAAAATGATGATCATATACAAAAAATGCACCACTGCATAAAAATTGCCTAACTAAAATCACAACAAATTTTCCCTTTTACCTTTTTTTCCATTACTCGTATCTTGGATCCATAGTTTAGGTTACATTCCTCACCTGCAAGTAAAGTGGATTCCAGATCTGGATTCCAGATCTCTAGAAATGGGACATGATGAGGATTGTGCAGTGACCTCTGTAATGTATTTATGTATGAGTTTCAGAAGAAGCTAGTTTATTGTTTATGAGAATGCTTCTTTCTTCCAAAACGCGGCTCTCCCTTCTCCCTGCTCTGTAATAACTTCAAAACAAAGGATATGAACCCTATGGGAGACATGGCATAAAATACTTTGTATGCTTCCAAGCCCAAGACAGACAGATAGGAATAATAGCCAGCAAGTAGGTAGACAAAATCCAATCTCAATTCCTTACCAAGAATGGCTGGGAAGGCAAACAAGGAATTGCTCTCGGGTTTCGAATTAAAGATACCATGAAGAATGACCCCAATGCAAAGAGCTGAATCCAGGAACCACCTAGCGGAAAAAGCTATGACCTCAATCCTATTCTCTGCAACTCGAGCCACAAGAGATGGACAAAAGATAGGAATAATAGCCAGCAAGTAGGTAGACAAAATCCAATCTCAATTCCTTACCAAGAATGGCTGGGAAGGCAAACAAGGAATTGCTCTCGGGTTTCGAATTAAAGATACCATGAAGAATGACCCCAATGCAAAGAGCTGAATCCAGGAACCACGGAAAGCTATGACCCAATCCTATTCTCTGCAACCGAGCCACAAGAGAGGGGACAAACATCAGTGCTCCAAGGAGATGCAGGATCAGCAAGCCTTGTTGGTGATGGAAGATTTCTAATTGTGTGTCTCCGAAACTTTTTGAAGAGTTTGGACTACCCATGCTATTCTCCTCAATTGTTGAATTCCGGTTGAAAACACTTTCATATTCAGATGCCAATTCCTCAGTTCTTCCATTTCCTTGATCTTTAAAATCAAACAGTTCCTTTCTCCGTGCATGGCTGCGAAAGGAAGCCGTCAAAAAACTGCACAATGCATTATGACAGCATAATGCATGAGACGAGAGAAGTATGAATAAACCCAGCGCTGGATGAACAAAGCTTCCAAGGGTAATTGCAGTCAGCGCTGTTACAAGTAAGGGATTACCTCTTAGAACCCTTACGACCTTTAATGAAAAGAAACTGGAGGAGAGATTAATAAACCAATGAAGGAATCCTAAGCAAAAATTTCCTTCCCATCCTTGCCACCTTGTCTTGATGAAAACATGCATGATGGCAGCCGCATAGAAGATCAATTGGGAAACAAATGTAAGCAGAATTATGAACCCATTTGCAAATAAATAGCAAATCACTGAAATGATGATGAAGCTTGCAAATGGAGGAAGGGGTTGAGACATCAGCAAGGAAATGAGCAAAGAAACCAAAATGGGTATGACCCCTAGAAGTAAGAACGGTAATGGCATTCTCAAATTTGATTCCAGAGCTGTCAACATTGAAGGTACGGGCAAATCAAGATTCCATGCGTGTGCTTGCCGCATTAGAGCAAAAAAGATAGCTGCAATGGAGAAACCAACTATCTGTGAACTATACAAAAGCAAAAACCTGCTTGCTGCTGCCGTCTCAGAAACAGCGAAACTTATTTTATATGAACAGTGAGGATCAACCAGCAACAGAACAGTCGTTTTTTCAGATCCCTGAATAGAACTCCACGTTGCTGGTGAGGAGTCAACAATCATAGTTTCACCATACAAATTAGGAAGATGTGAAGACCCGAAGTAGGATCCCATGCAAGTGCTACAGGTGGAAAACACCGTAGTTTGCAAAGCCTAATGCTTTCGATGTCTCCAGCCTCTTCAGCAGGAAGCCCAGACCTTTTAATTCCACAGCCCATAGTTTTCAGAGAAAAAGTAACAGGCAAAAGTCCTAAGCTAATGGAGAATGATAGATTGAACGCAAGGGGATGATCCTCTTCCAAAAATATTTCCTTTTGTAAATGGGTAGATGGAAGCATCGATTGAACGGATAAATTTCTCTCCCCATCCTCTGGGTTAAAGAATTGCCCAAGTGCCATGGATGTTGCTGGTGGAGGCCTGCCTGAAATACTTGGACGAGGAGCAACTGAGATGGTCAGGAATCTGAAACCGCGCATATCCACCAGACCTAAACGAAGAATGGCAGATGGTGGCGCTTGCTCGGTCTGACTACCAGGTTCAACCTGTCTTGGTGCTGGTCTTGAAGGAATCTGCACCAACTTTGATGTCACTTCTACAACCCTTTTACTAGCAGCCAAGTCCAAAGTTGATTTCGCCTTTTCAGGCCAAAGATGAAGTCTAACCCCAAAGCATGGAGCAAGATTTGTCACAAAGATGAAATGGCTTTTTCCATTTGAACCCAGTTTTTGTATGTCCAACCACCGCCTCCTCCCATCCATGGCCAAAACAGTCATCGTAGTAGTTTGGATGTACAGATCCCTCTCAAGGCCATCATCATTCCGGTGAACATTTTTGGGACAACTGGATAAAGCATGCACTTGAGAGCCAAAAGCATCTTTTATATCTTTAATGGGTGCATGAGAGTGTGGTTGCCTCATCCAATTGAATGTCTGTGGTATCCCGCTACGAAGCATTCTTGAAAATACTGTTAATCTCTTCTGAGTTTCAGGAAATGGCAGACCTGTTCTGGAGTCTATCAGACTAAGGAGAGTATGTGATACTTGTACAACTAGTTGATGACACCATAAAATAGCCTGATGTTCCATCGATAACCACACATTTCTCATGCCTGTACTACTTATCATAAATCCATGAGTAGAAGGCACAATGTCGTCCAGGGTCTCTAACTTTGATCGTACCTGATAATCATTATAGCCACCAGAGATGGAGATAACAACAACATGAGAGAGCAATGGATCTGATACATAATGTCCTGTCCGAGTGTTTTGAATCTCATATCTATCCCTCCATTCCCGGTTCACATATGCAAAATAATGACCCAATGATGGCTGCAAGGCCACAGGAGGTGACTGGTGTGGTGTAGAAAGCGTAATTATGGTCTCAACTGCTGACTTCCTTAAATTAGGGTGTATAATTGCAGCTCTAGCAACAAAACCACCCATAGAATGACCAACCAATATCACATTTTTTGGTAAAGTACCAGAGGTTGCAGCACCTTCTCTTTCTCGGGCATCACGAGATTCTTTGTGTTGATCCAAAATCCTATGTATAGCATATACAACATATTCTGTGTGTTCTTCAAGTATTCGGCCGTCCATTGCTGAATGTTCACCTTCAAGGTCTACAGCAAACCAATCCAGCCTGCTAGCATACTGGTTAGGTAGTTGAAAAACAGCTACACTTTTTATCTAACCCTTCCTCCTCAGGAGTCAGGATAGCCTCTTGATAAAATGTCCGTTCAAGTGGACCTCCTTGATACGCCCCATCAGATTCTGCAGCCAAGGATCTTACCTGTTTGTAGCTGCCGCCATTGCCAGGAATAAAAAGAACAGGAACCCCACTAAGCTGCTTAAGATGCTCATTGAAATCAATCTTTTTCCACCCTTCATGGTACAAGTACAATCCATACTTTGCAGATGACCCACCATCATTCGTAGAAATTGGAACATACGTAGGATACATATACGTCATTATACAACCATTTGAAATGGGCTTTATCAAACCATACAAAGCCAATAGAGCAATCCATATGGTTAGTATAACAAGAACTGCCACACTAAGCTTGGCTCTCAAACCTTGCATTTTCCAGATCAATCTTCTATATCACCAACTCTTGTTCATAAATCGAAGGCTAATCCATGGTTTTGATTGTTCCAACTTGAGATGATATGTTTAGAACTTAGAACTCAACGCTCACGAAGAAGAAACAGTAATTGGAATTTCAGGTTTTCGCTTTTGAGTAGAAGATGGAGGAGACAGGAAGAAAAGTATTATATATATATATATATTGTTTAATATTTGAGTTTTTGCTATCTTCAATTATTTTATAAATATCTATATGTTTGTGGCAGCCAAGAGTTTGAATCTCCCATATTTGAGTGCATATCTCAATTCCTTGGGAGCCAACTTCAAACATGGTGCAAATTTTGCTTCATCAGCGGCCACCATCAAACTACCACCTTCTGTTATACCAAATGGTGGATATAGTCCATTCTACCTTCAACTACAATATGACCAATTTATGCAATTCAAATCCAGATCGCAGATTATCAGAGAAAAAGGTACAAATTTAAATTATTTTTCACTCGTGCATGCAAACGAACGGGTCTCTCATTAAATTTTGTCTGCAGGAGGTTTATTTGCAGAATTGATGCCTGAGAAAGATTATTTTGAAAAGGCTCTATATACGTTTGACATCGGTCAAAACGAATTTGATGTTGGATTCTTTGCCAATAACATGTCTGTGGAACAAGTGAATGCTTCTATCCCAGATATCGTCAATACCTTTTCACTATCCGTTAAGGTAAAATTTATTTGCTTTTGTACTTTCTATAGGTATCCCTGCCCGCTAGTACTAAATCCTGCTTGTTTAGAGTCAATTCACTGTAGGGTAAATTGCTTTTAGCGAGTATTAATTCTCCATTATATTTAACGGAAAATAGTATTGAACTATTCATCCAAATACTTGTTGGTGATAAGATCCATATTTTAATTTGCATAAGTACCTCAATAAAATTATTAGTGCACATTTTTTTTTACAAAGCTAATGGAGGGATTGTGACGCAGAACATATACAATTTGGGAGCTAGATCATTTTGGATTCACAACACAGGTCCTTTTGGTTGTCTGCCTTATGTTTTGACAAATTTTCCCTCAGCAGAGAAAGATAGTGCAGGCTGTGCAAAAGCTTATAATAAAGCAGCTCAATATTTTAATCTCAGATTGAAGGAAAGCATTGCTCAACTCAGGAAGGAGTTGCCTTTAGCTGCATTCACATATGTTGATATCTACTCCGTCAAGTATTCTTTATTCGCCGAACCAGAAAAATACGGTAATTCAGAATATTTCTGATTATATAAAAGAAATAACTTCGAATTAAATTTGCTAAAATTTCCTAAACTATTTATTTGTGGTATGATTTACAGGTTTTGAGCTTCCACTTGTGGCGTGCTGTGGATATGGAGGAATGTACAATTTTAGTGGGTCTGTTCGATGTGGAGATAATGTAAGAGTGAATGGGAGCCAAATAGTGGTGTCATGTGATCGTCCTTCAGTTAGAGTAAATTGGGATGGAATTCATTATACTGAAGCTGCCAACAAATTTGTTTTTGATCAAATTTCTACTGGAGCTTTTTCTGATCCACATACCCCTTTGAATATGGCTTGCCGTAACATTTACTCATTAAATTATTATGTATAAGAAATATTGGATTCCTAAATCGTGGAGATGAAATTAAATTATAGAATAATTAAAGGGTTATTGATCTTAAATATTTCTGGTTATAGAGGAAATTTGAGATTAGATAACTGATTATAAAGGCATATTATAATTATTGTACTATATATAATAAACAGCTAATATATATGATTAGCTAAATTCACATTGTTGATTAGGGTTTAAGAATCTTCTAGCATTCTATTGTGATTCTTTTTTTTTATGTCCGTCTTGTTATTAATTACTTCCAAGGTGATCATAACAAAGTTGCAGGCTTGGATATTCCTCCATCAACTCATTAAAAATTGGAAGAAAAAGTCTGCTATTCCCTTTTAAATAAAATGACATGTTGATACGACAAAGTAAAACTTTTTATATGTATATATATACTTTTTATAAATTTCCATCTTTCATTTCTGAAATTTAAAGCTACTTTGCTGGCTTAGTTCCAAAATGGAGTTTCTAAAAACTAACAATTCTACCATCAGTATCTCTTGCTTTTGCTTTCTTTTTGTTAATTTTTCTGTAATTTTGAACCCTACATCTGCTTTGAGAAGCTGTGAGTTTCCAGCAATCTTTAACTTTGGCGACTCGAATTCCGACACTGGCGCAATGCCGGCTGCCTTCACTCCTCCTAGCTTCCCTTATGGGGAGACTTACAATGATGATATGCCTCCAGAGAGGTATTCTGATGGAAGGTTGATAATAGATTTTATTGGTAAGTAATTCTTACATTAAAATTTCTGTTTCTTCTTAATTAGTTCATGTGTGTTTATGTTAATATGTATTCCGATAACCAGTAAGTTTAGACTCAAGAATACTGAAGTCATCTCTAGAACTTAAAAACAAAAAAAAAAAAAGAAAAAAAAAATGTAAAGCTTTGTTCTTTGTTGGATTGGTGATTAATTAAATGTAGTGATATTAAATTATTGGTAAATTACTATATTGAAACAATTAATTTTGTTGTCTCAGCCAAGAGTTTCAATCATCCATATCTTAGTGCATATCTCAATTCAATGGGGACAAATTTTACACTTGGTGCCAATTTTGCCACTGGAGGATCCACCATCACGTTACCATCTAGTATTATACCTAATGGTCTATCTAGTCCCTTTTTTCTTGAGGTGCAAGTCCTTCAATTTCTGCAATTCAAACTCAAATCTCAAATTCTAAGGAAAAAGGGTATTCTGTGCAATTTGTATTTTCAATTTAAAAGATATAATAATTAAATAAAACGATCGGTCGTTTATAATTCATGAAAATGTATATATTTCTTATGTTGCAGGTGGTGTATTTGCAGAATTAATGCCAAAAGAAGAAATTTTCCCCAATGCATTATACACATTTGATATAGGTCAAAACGACATTGGAGATGGGCTTTTGACAAATATGTCAATTGAACAAGTAAAGGCCTCTGTCCCAGATATTGTCAATAAGTTCTCTGAAAATATTAAGGTACTACGGCACTTCATAAATTATTTTCCTATATATTAAGGTTATTATAATATTTTAAGTCACGATTAATCAAATAAGGGAAATTATGAATATTATTTAACTGTAAATGCAATGTTGATGCAGAATATTTACAATTTGGGAGCAAGAACATTTTGGATTCATAACACAGGACCAATTGGTTGTCTTCCTTATATTCTGGTCAATTTTCCTGCAGAAAAAGACAGTGCTGGATGTGCAAAACCTTACAATGAAATAGTTCAGTACTTCAATTTCAAGTTAAACGAGTCCATAGTTGAACTCAGGAAGAATTTTTCTTCAGCAACATTTATATATGTTGACATCTATTCTGTCAAGTATTCTTTATTCAGTTCACCTAAAAAATATGGTAAGCCACGTAATTTTTCGCATTTAGTTTTATTGAATTAGAATATAAGATTTATGATAATGATTACTCAATTAAGATGATTTATTCTTATTGGATGGAAAATACTTTGAAGATATTGAGTTTATATCCCTTTTTTATATATCCAGCCAATAATTGATTGCCACCTAAAAAAATCCGTTAATCATTGAAATTGTTATACAGTATAACATATTGATTATCAATTTTAACATATTGACTATAACAAATATTATTATTAGATTTGTCGAGTGCATGCACTTAGTCCAGTTCATCGGATTTTGCTATGATATGTAGGTTTTGAGCTTCCACTGATAGCATGTTGTGGATATGGAGGAATGTACAACTACGATAATAATGCTCGATGTGGAGATACAATCACAGTAAATGGTAGTCAAGTAGTTGTAGGTGCATGCGATCGCCCATCAGCTCGAGTCAATTGGGATGGGATTCACTATACGGAGGCTGCCAATAAATTTGTTTTTCATCAAATTTCAACGGGAGCCTTTAACGATCCTTCTATTCCATTAAATATGTTATGTTACAAGAATGCTTATTGAATTTAATGTCCATTTTCCGAATAATAATTATTACAATTACCATATATATGTTCATTGCAAGTGAGTATATTTCATACATTAACACATTTAATAAACATTGATGTTATTGTCAGATTTAACATCGGTATTTAAATAGGTAAGTATAATCGGGTTCGGGATGGATTTAGATATTAAAAATGAATTTTTAAACAGATTTAATATGTGTTTGAATACCTAATTTATAATCATATTCAGATTCGAATTTGAGTTCAGTTAGTATATTTTAAGCAAGTACTGACCTATTGTCATCCCTATATATAGCTTGTTGATGTTAATTGAGATTCAAAATATTGTTTTAGTGCTTGCAAAATGGACTTTTTTTTTGCTCTAATAGATCTGCCGTATCTCTCTCATTTTCCTTGTGCTTGTGCTTTTTGTAACTTATGTTGAAACGTTGAAAGCTATATTTGCTTTGAGAAGCTGTAAGTTTCCGGCAATATTCAACTTCCGCAACTCGAATTCCGATACCGGTGGGATTTCCAGCTGCCTTTTCCCCCCTAATCGTCCTTATGGAGACACCTATTTTCAAATGCCAGCCGGGAGGTACTCTGATGGAAAAGCAATTAATGATTTTATTGGCAAGTATTTATTTTTACCTTATCCAATAATGTTATTCTTTTCCCTGTTACATATAGGATCAAAAAAAATAATTACATCAAATCCAACTAAAAAATAGAGCTGATATGGTAACATTAATTAAATTAATAAGCTCATATGTTAGAGCATACCTAAATTCCAGGGAACAAAAAGGGTAAGCGAGCCGAACTGAAGAAACAAAAACCCATCTCGAATAAAAAAGAAACAAGATATTAGCTTTAATCTGTGTTTACATATATAGGTTGTATATTTTCAAAATTGATGCCAAAGGAAGAATATTTTGGAAAAGCTTTATGCACATTCGATATTAGAGAAAATAATCTTCAAGCTGAAATTTTTAGTAACACGTCTATTATCTATTCCAGAAATTCTCAATAGGTTTGCAGTGAATATTAAGGTATATATATCTACTGATACATTCTTGTTTTTTTTTTTAAGATTATTTCATATTTATCAATATTTAAAAGGTTATGTCTATTCATTAAACAATTTACTTATTAATTTTTGTTGCAGAATATAACAAATTTGGATTCATAACGCAGGGCCAATTGGTTGTCTTCCTTACATCTTAACAAATATCTAATGGGTTATTTTTTTATCCTCCTATTCCCTTGAATATGGCATGACAGAGGAATAAATAGTATATTCACATTTTTTCTTTTCTTTTCTTTTCTTCTTAATTTCAGTCTTTCAGAAATTCTTAAAAACAAGAACTATCATTTCAGAAATTAAGAAGGAAAAATATTTTAATTGAATCCGCAAGCCTAATATTTTTGTAAAATAAAACAAGAACATTTTTATTTCACATTGGTAATCGTAAGATGTAACAATGGATTCAATGTCTTGGAGAGTGCTTTAAATATAATTGCTTCTGATGTAAAATAGCTTATATATTATTAATATAAATCTTATATTATTTTGGAATATAATTACTTAGATTTTCCTATCCTACTTTTTTTATCTTTCTCCATTTCTATATTGCAGAAATTAGTCAAGTAACACAACTATCATTACTACTAATAAAGTTCTTTAATGTATGAAATTGAAATGAAATACCATTTATCAAAAATAAATTATGGGGTTAGTCAAAAAGATGCTCGAATTCTTTCCATATGATTCGACAGAGTGGATGGGGTAGAGATTGGAGGTTTAGTCAACAAATAATTGACCAAGTTGTTATTATCACTTATCACATGAATGGTCACATGCACGAAATTTCAAATTCAGTATATTTTACGTGATAATAATAATAATAATAATAATAGAGGATGCATGAAAACTTTCGAGACAAAAGCATCTACGTTTTTTATTGAGCCTTCTCAAAAAATATTTCCTATTAAATCCTTAAACTTTTAAATTTCAAAACAGACAGCATTTTTGAGATACTTGAACAAAGGATGCTCAAAATGTTAGTGGGTATAACGTTAATTTGCCGTTATGACGTGTACAAACAGAGAGAGTAGTTTTTTTTTTTTCTCTTTTAATTATACACATTTATACAGAAAAAGATATATAATTATAACTACTTTTGTGATGGTCTACCATATTGTTTTTTTTACGTATTTTCCGTCGTGTATGACCGTCTTTGTTATAATATCTTGTTCCTAAGTACAAATATTTTTTAATAAACCGTAGGAGTGAGACAGATTCAAAGAAGTGATGCAAAGACATCCTCAAGAGAATTACTGGACTTGTCAATGTTTTACCCTTACAAAACTGAGATCAGATTGAAGTCCTATTAGAGCCAGAAGCATAAAGAACTTATTTACTGTTGTCCTTGACAGTAAAACTTCCTGAGAATTGCATAACAGGATTAAATTTATCTAATAATATTTTTACTTGTCCAAGATAAGTTATTATATCATGTTGATTCTCTTATAAATGGACAATATTAGAAATAATTTTGTATATATGTTGTGTTATTAATATTTTTGTGAATGGGTAAAATTCCTACTAGTAGCATTTTTCCCTTGTGGGCTTGATTTGATTAGGAGGATCAGATTGCCCAATAGACTTAGAACACTTGTAGTATTAATCATAAAATATAAAAAAATATTTTTTTTAAATAAAATAATTATAAAATTTACACTTTTAACTAAATTAATTTAAATTAAGATTTATTAAATATCAACTTATTAAAATATAAAGTCAATATTCATTGGCAGTTCCATTTTTAACGAGCCTTTAAAAGGTCAATTCGTCCTCGAAATCTCAAACAATTAAAATTCCTAATCACTGATTTACATAAAATGACATTTAAGCAAAGGAAGAATTTCTGTTTGCTGAGAATACCCTAACCATGGCCATCAAACAAGCTTCGAGAAGGAAGTTGAGGTTGTACTACAAGTCATTAAACTATACTATAACTTTGAGTGAAACGCACGTTCTATTTAAGTGGTCACAAAAAATTGCCTCAAAGTTTGAGGGTCGAATAGGAAATATTTTTGTAAAATGGGTGAATAGGAAAATATAATAAAGTTAAGGAGCCCCACTAGACTTTTATCCGAACTTTCTTTAATCACATCAACAAGCATGAATAATAAATAGAACTTGTCCCTTGACATTCACAATGTGGCTGCCAAACTGTCCAACCTTCTGGATGTGAAATTAAGGACGTTGATAGCCAACAAGTCGGTTAATTATAGTTTTTATTTTTATGTGTGGTCAATTCATGTAGACTACTTTGACTTATTTCTAATTTATATTTTCATAATACTAATATGTGTATAAAATTTAAATCAAATATTGCAAGTACATTTTTACTTTACTATGCATAAATTATTATATAATTTATAACTAATTATTTATATGTAGGGAATTTCATAATTAACTATATAAAATTCAATTAAACTATTATACTTAAAGAATTACATAATTACTTAATTTTAATAAAAAATATTTATGAATTTTATATTTTCTACAATATAAATATAATTAGTATTAAAAACAAATATTTTATATTTTTGTACCTTAAACATTAATAAATTTATTAAAGTAGCTTAATGTAAGTAATTTTTTTTTTTTTTTTTTTAATGTAAGTAATGTTAATATATCTTAAAAAGGCTATAGATTCAAATATCATCCTAACTAAAAAGTATAATTGACAACTCCAACATTATTAATTTGCATTAATATATTATTATTATAAAAATTATTGGATACACATCCCGGATAAGTTTCCTAGTAATCTCTTTATGAATATATGAGAAGTTATTACCCTACTCAATTTCAATAAAATAATTAAATTAAAATACATCTCCCTTGCTGAATTTATATATATATATATATAGAAAAAAATTTATTTTAATCATCCGGTGTCCAAAGTTTATTGGCCTAGTTAATCTGAATTTTTGTAAAAAAATTCTATATCCAAAACTCGATACCTCTAATTAAAAGAAAGAAAATGAGACTCTATCATCTCGTCTCTCCGAGATATATATATATATATATATATAGAAAGTTATTAAGCTAATAATTCGGCAATCACGTATCTCATAATATTATATTAAAAAATAAAAAGGATTAGGCAAAGGCCTATCCAAACAAGGTGCCTAAAGTCTCAAAAGTTATTATTTGTGGAATACTTTTGGATATGTGGATAGGAGTTTTTCTTTCTTTATCCTATCTGTATGAGTTGTGACAAAACAACGTGTCTCTCACAGAGGGTAGTCTTTTTCTTTTCTTGTTAGAACTATAGAAAATAAAGCTCTTTCACTTTAAAAGTTCTTCATATATATATATATTTTGGGTGGATGACATGACAGAGTTACTCTCTAACTCTCTCATCCTCAGCTTCTGTTTTACTCAACCCATGTATATGCACATTGCCCTATAACATTGGCACTTGCACAATAAGAATTTTAATGCTTGTACAAAACGTATTTTGAAATATATTATATATTATAAAAGTTCTTTTTTAAAGATATTATTCATACTAATAATTTTTTTGATAGCAACTTTGATTTTATTGCCAAAAAACACTCCTATTTCACTTTTTTTTTTTTTTTGATTGCATCACACAATAAATTTGTTTTTTCAGAAAAATTTTAAAAATTCATTAAAAGGAAACACAATATAAATATGAAATACATACTTGAATCAACAAGTTTTTATACATACATATATTTGTGCCTTCAACGGTATCTAAGCTCCATTTAGTGACAATTTATGAACATTATTCAACTTTATGGTCTTTTAATAAGTCTGATTTGATGTTGTTTAAATTTTTCCAAGAGAGGAAATTGGCATATTGATTTGTATTACTATACAAATAACCAAACAATGCAAGCAAAATACCCAAAATCTATATTTGAGAATTATTCAACAAAAAAAGAACTAAAAAGACAAAATTAGAGGAAAAAAAAATGAAAGAGAGGTAGAAAGACTGTGAAGAGGACAGAAAAAAAAGAAGGTTTAGGATTAGAGAATGGGGAAAATCTGTTTTTGGACACCATAATTTGTTTTGCTTTCACTGATTTATAGCAATAATTTTTAAATTTTTAGTATTACTCAAGTAAAATAAATTTCATTTTCAACATAACTTACAAAATTTATAAACTCCATCAAGATATTGTTGTTTTGGATGGTTATTGATTTACATGGGAAGATGAATATATTAAATTTAGTAATTTCAGGAAAGACACATATTCTATTCTTTTTCCTTTTCTTTTTTTATTTGAAAATAGGGAAACATAAATTCTTAATTTTACAATCTGATCTGCTTAAATTGTAATAAAATAACAATACATTGTGTACCATAATATCTCCCAGGGAGAAAACAAATTTAAAAAAAAAAAAAAAGGCCCATGCTAGTCTTTCCTTAACATACATAGTGGTCCTATAGAGGAATGGTCCAATGGCTAGAGTTAACAACTAGGACAACCTAGACTAGTGAAGGGCACTAAACAACAATAGGGCTTCGTTTGCCTTCCTCCTGCTTTACACACACACACAAATGAGTACTCGCACGTGTGGGGACAAAAAATATAAGGGTGATAATATAATGAACCCTTTTTTTTCTTATATATTTATCAAAATAAATAATTATATATATTATGAAAATTAGAGATCCGTTTTTGATTTTATGTATAGTGTCCTTTTAGAAGGAGCAAGATACATGTTCCCACCCAGACAACTATAAGACAAGTTCCAATACTATGCATTAGGGCCTCTTATTTTACATTGTTTCCCACTTTAATGTCCACCTAACATGTTGTCATGTAATTTTTGTAATCACATTAATTTTATTCTTGTTACAATGTAATACATTCATTATTATTAATTTTTAATTCGTTATTATTAATTTTTCATTCGTTCAAAGATCCAACTGACTGAAAGAACAATATGTATTACAGCAAAAAAAAATATTACGCACTATAGAAAAGAGGTAGTCCTAAGGGCGGAACTACATGTATTGGGAGGAGGCAATTGTCCCCCTCTCTTCTAAAAAGAAATTGTCCTTTACATCCACATGTTTGGAACCCTAATCATCTAGTCATTTTAACATACTTTCAATCACTTTGTCCCTTTAACTTTTATATAATCTTCTTCTAACTATTCATCCCCCAATTTCAAATCCTTGCTCCGTCTTTGAATAGCCTCCTTTTTAGTCACTTAATTGTTGAAAACTCTTATAGTTGAGAGGTCTTGAATCTAAAACTTCCTACTTATTACGTAAGGAAGAAACTACATATATCACATTTGGTTGGCACTCATAAATTACTTTTGTAATAATAGAGTTTGACATTTACTGCACTTACCATCAATGAAAGACATTATATATATATATATATATATACAAAGGACAATCTTTTACAGTCTGTACTTTTGAAAACATGAAAAATGAGGGAGAAATCAAGAATGACATAGGCAAATTCTTTTCTAGATAGCTAGAAGAGACTGAGATAATAAAGCTTATATATATTGACTCTACAATCTCAATAATACATACCTTGAGAGTCCATGAAGAAAACCCACAAAAAATTAAAGAAGAAAATGCTAATGTCTCGTTCTATAGAATTCTTCTTCTTATTCTTTGCTCCTTCGCTTTGTCAGATTCCTTATCCAGCCTTTCCTTATCTTGACTCCCTCAACTTTGGTGCCTACATGGCACACATTTCCACTGCTAGACCTCTTCCATCTGATGAGTTGGAATAAATGACCAATCCGCTTTCGCCACCTCAGCGAGGCACGCGGTTTTGCATGCTCTATCACGCTCATTGTTTTTTCCCTGTTGTCTTTGCCTTGTTTGTCTAATTCCTTGTTACTGTTGTTATTATTACTATGGCTGTAGGACTTAGTGTATTGCTCCATAGAGACCTTACTAGAGGCAGTGCCCTTTTCCCATAAGGCAGCTCCATTGTCTTCAAACTTAATTGATATAAAAGACTCTGCAGAATTAAGCTTAATTAATTAATCAAAAGAAAGAAATCATCAACATGAACATTGTTTAATTTACAATTCATGTGGGTTTCACACTATGTATTAACACTAAAAAAAAAAAAAAAAAAAAAAAAATATAATGACTAATCCACTATTTACCATATATTACATGCTAATTGCTAAGAGAACATAATGGACAAGATATGAATTTAAATTGACACCCAAAGGGCCCCTCTTTAGATTTTCTATGCTTGACCTCTATATTATTAATTATCAGGCTAATTAAATATATTTGCATGATTTCAGCTGCTTATAATTATTCCCTAATCACTTCTCTGTATCTAATATATTATATTGTATATACATCATTTATTCGCTACGTAAGATTTCGAGTTTAATAGTCGAAAACCATGTAAGATTTTGAGTTTCAGTCACGTCGATTATAAAAGTTTTCCATAATTTGATTAGTAAAAAAAAATGTCTTTGTTTTATAACTTATAATATTAATCCAACTCATTCAATATGCCAATAAAAAAAAAAAAATCTTGGAGGATAAACAATCCCAAAAAGAAACTGTTTAATTAACAATTCCATGCACATAATCATAATTCATAAATTGCTTGCTAATTATATATATAGTATATATCTATGCATTAACCAATTAAGGAATAAAAATCAAATTAATAAGAATAAAATTAACTATAGTTAATAAGATTCTATCACCTCCATTTCCCAATCTTCTTCTTTATAGATAATCATACTTTTTTGTCATTACACAAAAAGCAATAATCAATTCTGCAAATAAAGACACAAGAGTACATGCCAAATTTTCTTTTGTTGCTGCCATTAAAATGCAAGGACATGCAAAAACTGTACATAATAATTAACAAGAAGAACAAGTATAAAGTGAATGAGTAGTGATAATGGAGTCATTTCCAGAACTATTATGAATTTGAACACACAGAATCAAATTGAAAAAGGAAACAGCAAGAACAAGAAGAAACACACACACATACACACAGAGATATACCTTCTGGGCTGGTGGAGGCATCAGATTTATCAGAGACATCAGACTTCCAATGGCGATTTAGAAAAGAACCCAAAGCGAAGATCTTAGGGAGGCTTATTGATGGCTTTCTGGAATGAGAAGCTTTAGAAGATGGAAGGTAGTGGCCATGTCCTTGCTTTGCAGCCAATATAAGAAGCCTTTCATTAAGGCAAAGAGGGCAAACTCCTATAACTTCCTCTTTTGGATGGAAATAACACCAACAACTATTGTCTTCTCTGTATCCATTCATCGTATAATCAAGAAAATGCAGAAGAAAAGAAAAGAAAGAAGAGGGAGAGAGCAAATCAGAAGACTAAATCTTGAATATTGTGGACTTATGGAAGAGAAAAAGCAGAGTTGGTAGATTGTGATTACTTATATATGTGTGTATTTATGGTATTATGTTTATAGATTTTCTTTTTTTTATTATTATTATTATTACTATAAACAAATGCTAAGGGTAAATTATCATGAGGAGGGCCCGCCAGTATGTATCAGTTTGGACAATATAAACAAGAGGGTAAATTTTTTGGGATCTCAATATCTAGATAAATTGTTGTCCATTAATCTCTCAGTTTATTTTTATCCATTGTTTTCTAAAAATTATTTTTTGCGTACAATTATTTATCTCTTTCGGAAGATAAACAGTAATTATTTTTCTCTATTTTTTTTTTTACTTTTTTTTCTTATCTCTATTAAAAAATAGATTAATGGAGAGAAAATTATTGAGATTCTAGTAATTAGGTAGATAAAAGGTAATTTAGTCAAATTAATAAGTATTTTATTATAATTTAAATAACATATTATTTTTATATAAAAAAAAGTTTGAAACATAGATAAAAATAACAAATACTTAAATTACTCCTAAACTTTATCATTTTAACCTTATACTACTCTCAATTTTTATTATTACTCGTCGAATACTTCAATTTATAAAATTATCTCCATTAAATATTTTAATTTATAAAATTATTTTGTTGAAAATTTCAAATTGCAAAATTAAATGGTAGAAAAACATAAAGATTATTATATCTCAATCATATATTAAATCAATATTTTGTAAATAGAAGTGAAAATATCCTAAAATTTTATTATAATTAGTGTGAAAAGATGTGTAATTTTAAAGAAAAATAAATGTTTCTTAAAATTAAAAATAATTTATATATTTGACATAGATAAAAAATATTAAAAAATAATATCAGGGAGTTGTTTTATATAATTCTCAAGATTGACTCTTTTGGTTATTAATATTTCTTCCTGTGTAAAACCATGACCTGCTGGTCTTGGACCAAGTGATTCTTTACTGGAACTTTCCTGGAAATTGCTTTGCTTTCAGTTACTTTTTTCTTACTACTTTTTCTTTTATTGATTTTTCCCCTTTTTATACTTTTTATCTAAAGCAGGTCCAAAGAATACTTTTTTAACCCTTTGTTAAATCTAGATTTTACATAATCAGATGGTAGATTTGATTAATGATGATGATGATGATGATGATGATGATGATAATAGATTGGGTGTTCATGGAAATAAAAACTATTATGACTGTTAAGGTTTCTGGCCAGTCTTTCTATCCTTTAAAGTCAAGAAAAGGACAAAAGAATTAACATTCAATAATATTTTTTAACTGAACATTTTACTGCTGCTTTTTTTTTTTTTCTCTTTTTCTTTTTTTTTTTAATTGTATATTTCTCAATTGGAATGGGTCTATGGATTAAGTCAAAATTTGCAACTCCCACTTGATCTTGGAACTACAAAAGTTCTAGATGATTTTTCTTAGAAGTTAGAACTTATAATCCCCTCTTAGCTTTTTATATATATATAATTTACTTTTTTTTTCTTAAGGTCCATTGAATTATCTATTTTTAAAAAGTTGGGCAACCCAAAGCATGTGAGGAAGACTGAAAATAATTATCAGGTGACCTAAAGCTTATAATTAAAAGCAGGACTTCCAAATCAAATACATTTGTAATATAAAGAATTTAAAATTATTTGTAATATTACTTTTAACTAATTTTAAAAAACAAAATTAATATAAAAAGTTACACTGGCAATGTTTGATAAAATTAGCCATAAAACTTCACTAGAAATGAAAAACAAATCAATAAATAAATATATATATTCACTTTATTTGGTTAGTCTTTTTCTCTTTTTTCTTTTTCCTCTTCAAAAGCTGTGCAACACAAAAAGTCTATGTCACCACTAAGGGTCATATAATATAATATTATATGTGTAAATTGTACAAAAGAGAAGGAGAGAATCTAATATTATTAATAACAAGGAAAGGAGAAGAAGAAGAAGAGCCCTTCGGTTTGGAGTGTCCATAAAACATCCTAAAAGGCTCTTAAAAGTGATGGAAACAAGCAAACTAATGGTCACATGGAGAGCTGTTTCTATTTTGGTTGGCTTCAAGTCAAGTTCCCATCAATGGACCCAATCTTGGATGTGGAAATTGTGGGTCTCCTCTTGCCACCCTCCTCCCACACCCTATTCTACTTTGCATGTGAAAATTAATGAAAATTTTTTATCATAGAAATAAAACTTTTAAAAAAATTTCCACTTGAAATCTCTAACGTAAAATGAAAAAATCAACTAGATAAACTCTAATTGGCTATCACACACGATTCTTTTATAATAGATTTGTTCCAAACTAATTAGATCTTTTCTCTCCTAATTAAGAGTTCTCACAACTCTATTTTTCTTTTTTTTGGTATTATTTTTCTCCCTTTCCCAATAAGTTCTTGGACCCATTGATTAAAATTTTCATTTCTATGATGCCTCGAAAATGAAATTAAATATTTTGGGCATTTAGGCAATTGACTCCAATCAGGGTAGTTGGACCCAAAAATGAAAATTTTGCACATTAATGTGGTTAGGTGCAACCATCTTTGAAAACCAAAAAAGGGGCTTTTTCTCTAATCTTCCATATATTCTCCCTAATATGTAATTGTTATTCTAAGCTAATAAGCTATTAAATGGTTGACACCTATATGTAAATTTTATGTATGACTTTCAAGCTTTTACATAAACAAGTCAATTGGCATCTACACGTTTCAACCTAAGTATAGACCAGCGTTCGAGTTGGAGTTTCTTGAACTAAATTATTGTTCCCAATATAAACTGCAACCTACTTGGAATGAGAAAATTACTCGAAAGAATATTGGGGTCTTCTCCTATCGCGTAAATGACCAATCCCAATTACCCATTCTTTGTTGAAGGACCAATAAATTTTGAAATATTCAAAAATTTCTCTAGAAGGATTTGAGAAATTGATGGAGTTTTCTTTTAGAGAAAATTATAATAATTTTATCCCTTAGTTACCCAAAGTTGTTATTTTATTTTGGTTTTCTGAAAAATAGATTACTTTTATCTCTATGTTTTTCTCTCATGATACATTATTATTATTATTATTATTATGGTTCTGTTGAAAATTAAAAAAAAAAATCCACCTTTTGTAGTTATTCGCCTTATGCAAAGACAGGAATATTCATATATAGTCTGTCCCTACCCTTAAATCTTTTTCTTCCTTAAACGATTTATATTTTGAGACGGTGTAAATGAACAAAATTATAATTATGCCTACCCCTTTTCAAATTTATGAATTTATATTTTATTATGTCAAGCACCATTTCAGCACGTTGAATATCTTTTGAAGGTTAGAAGATTTGCAGGGTTTTAAACCCTAAATCTCTACCATTAGGAGACAAGTATTATGGAGTCACTAAAAGGACTTCATTCTGCATTCGTAACCTGCAGCAAAAAAAAAAAAAAAAAAAAAAAAAAAAAAAAACAATAATTGAAATGCCAACAAAATACTCATATATCTATAACATCTTTGTATCATAGTTTAGGATCTAGCAGTCGTCTTTTTGCTCCTCGTACTTTCAGTCTCCTTTCATAGAATTAGAATGTCCGAAAATTTCACTGCCAAAAGCCATCCTATTCCTATCCTTTACAAATAGTAAGCGTCAATTGGGAGTAACTATGTCAATAATTCTTCACTGTACTACCTATACATTATTAAATTTCTGTTGAAACTTTTTTTTTTTTTTTTTTTTTTTGTTGAAACTTTTTTATTTTTCGTTTTTTTTTCGCAAACATCACATTTCAATTTGACCTGTTCAAAGAAAATTATAAGTTTGAAACACAATATTCAAACTAATTTTTTGAAAGATTGAAACAGTAAATGTCCAATACACACAAAGGAATGGCAGCTGTTTGTTAAACGCACGATTTCTTGTTGCCATTAGTGATTGTGTCCCTGGTTTATCTTGGCAAGTTTAAAAGTACTCTGGTCACATTTAATTCAGACACAAGTTGGAGCTTTAAATATGAAATTTTCTCTTATGAAATCATTAATCATGAACTTTTTTTTTTTTTTTTTTCAGAACATCAATTTCAATACTGTTAAAAAAATAAATTTAAAACAATATTCAACTATTTTGAAAGTTGAAACAGTAATGTCCAATACACTACAGGAATGCAGTGTTGTAAACCACGATTTCTTGTTGGCCATTAATGTGATTGTGTCCTGTTCTTGCAATTTAATACTTGGTCACACAAGTGGAGCTAAATATGATTCTCTTATGAATCATTATCATACAATCACATCATTTGTTCCAAGTTATAGCGACAAAAGCAAAAAATGACAGAATAACTGGAGACTGTTAGAGACAATCATCCTTGTTAGCTGCTAACTTCCTGAACTTTATGCACGCCAGATATTCCTTTTCAGTTTCCTAGGCTAGCAATATTAAAACCCATATGTAGAAAGAGGAAACAGGAAAACTGTTGTATGTAAATTAAGAAAGCAAAAAATTAAGGTACAATAGATAGAGGGAGGGTATTAAATAAAATTAATGTTAAAAAAAAAAAAAATCCAAGAGAAACAGCAAGTCATTTGTACTAGAAATTCTGCCAATCACCAATGCAAATTAGTTTTTCTTATCTCATGATTCATATAACTTGGAGAGTTCTGCGGAGAAGGCTTTCCTGATGGCCTCTCTCTTGATCTTGAGCGCAGCAGTGACAAGTCCAGATTCAGGAGTCCACGGCTCAGAAAGCAATTTAATTTTTGCTGGGATCTCGAACTTTTCCAAACGTGCTCTCTTAGCTTCCTGTAAATAATAAAGATCGAAGAAAAAACAGTTACCACAAGAAAGCTAACCCAATCATATGAAGTGTCAAGCATATCTTGTCTATCACCATCGTCCTGTTTCTAATAAAATGTCAACTATTCAAGAAAGTGCAGCTGAATTGATTGCAAATTTTTTTCTCTGTTCAAACACAATTCTACAAAGTTCAGGTGCTCAATTAGAAATTGCCAAAAAGTTTGCGCACACAAAATGCCATTAATCCTCTTTTAAGAATAACAATTGGATTATACAAAGCCATATCAGACCAGAAGGTAGAAACTTTCCGCACTTTAATTTAACTTAACACTTGACAAAAGGTAGAACATTGCAAATCAGCATAAGTTCCCAGGAATAAACGAAATTTACCAATGTTATTCAAACTATTAAAACAAGAATAGCTTCATAACATTACAAGTCAGGCGGAAAATTATACCTAAAACTTTTGGAGGGTAGAGACAACATGAGAACCTAATAGTAATGACTCTTAACAGTGTCTGGTCTACTAATAATCAGATTTGTCTCACATCATGAGTTTATTTTTGTGTATAGCCACATGCTCAATTATGCCAAAGGAAATGTCAGACTCACATACAAGTTGCTTTGAAACAATTATGATGAGCAATGAAGGTACCCTATTCAAAACTCAAATTATGATTGGAAATGCATACCTTGCCGAGTGATGCTTGCACTTCCTTTATCGCTTCATTTCTCTCACACAAGTCTGAAAAACTGGTAAAGCTGATTCCCTGTTTTGAAGCCCAATCTTCCAGGGCAGGTTGTGCAGGCACCACAAGGGCCACACAGTAACTGTGAAATGGATCAGCATGCAGCATCATGTTGTCAACATAGGGGCTTACGATAAGAGCAGCCTCAACCTGTAGGGAAAATATTAGTCACAAAGAAATCAGGAAAGAGTTGCGATCTACCTTCAAATATACATACCTTTCCCAAAGAGACATATTCCCCATGCTGAAGCTTGACTATGTCTTTTTTACGGTCAATTATCTCAAGGCAACCATCAGCATGAAATTGCCCAATGTCACCTGTGTAGAACCACCTCATTCCTCTCTCATCAACCTTTTCAGAACAAAAAAAATTGGTATAAATCATAGTGATACATGTTGACATTCGAGCTTGCATGTGAATCCAGTAACATATGATGCCATGAAACTTTTGAGATTTTACCTTGTACACTTCCTTTGTTTTCCCTTCATTCTTGAAATAGCCAACAGTTACACTAGGACCACCAATAACTATTTCCCCACGAGGCATTGGTGAATCACTGGTTAAATATCCACCTTCTGGCCAATCTATTAACTGCCAACAAAAATGATATGGCATATTATTAAAATCTGTAAGTTCATTAGCTGATTGCAGTAACCATGATACAAGCTGGTAGAATTGTCAAGTCAAACACAGAGCTTCTATTACCTAATTTTAATTGATTCTCACCTTAATAAATGTGCTAGGGATTGGATTACCAACTCGACCAACAGATGAATCATCAAACTCAGAAAAGGTCCCACCAGCACAAGTCTCAGTGAGACCATAGCCTTGGCCTATTGGAGCCCTGTATAATGTTCAACACTGCTCAGACGCCGAGGGGAAAATTTAAAAATAAAAATAAAAATGAAACAAAAGAAAATTGGAAGATAAGCATGAAACAATAAGTTAAAGATGGAGTTGAGTTGTTGATATTTATTTCATTACTCACGCCCAAACATGACGAAAGTTTTATCCACTGACATGTACAGAGCTTTTATTTTCTTATTTACTTGAAGCACAAATTTAGAATCTCAATGATCTTACGGAAATTTCAAGAATTTTTGGTGTGTTTTTAGCTTAAAAGTTGTGCATCAATTCTTTTCTGTTTTCTCTTGCATGGATCAGAAATAGCCCTTCAATGTAAAAAATGTAATAGCACTCAAGTGGATTCGTTCCTTACCGAACATGCTTCAAAGTTACGAGGAATTCTCTTTAATTTTCAATTTTTTTTGCTTATCCTTTTTGTGCTTTTAGTGTATAGGACTCAGAATTTCCCTTTTGTACATAAATTCCTTCAAATCAACTGATTTGTAGGTTGAGTTTCGGCAAAAATATTAATTCCCGTCCCTCTAAGAAGAAACCAAAATTCTGGTTTAAATTTTAAAAATTGAAACTAATTGCTTAGGTTCACAAGATCCAGGCTGCAGTATATCATCAGTGGAAAAGGTATTGGATGAAACTATAAATTTTCAAATATAGCATGATACACGTAAAGCTACAGTTCATCAATAAATATGCATAAAAATCGACCAAGCTTTGCGAAGTCGTACTAACCCAAGGCAAATGTTGATAAATCTTTGAGTATCAGCAGAAAGAGGAGCACCTCCAGAAAGCAAAAAACGGATGCGACCTCCCAGAACTGCTCGAACTTTCCTAAATACAAGGAAATTCCAAAGAAGCAATTCTAGGCCCCAAGCTCCAAACCAACTACCATTCAATGCAGACAATCTACGGGCATACGCTAAGTCAAACAGTTTCTTACTTAGGCCACCCTTTGCATCCACCTGAGTCGTTAAGAAAATTTAGTGACCATTCTTGATATCAGACAAAAAGCTATCACTCAAAAATAGGTTATTTGTGTCGACTTTCATGCATGTTTACGTGTTAGCATTCATGTAAGAAAGCTCAACTGTGAGAAGAGATATGGGAAGCATGCATATAATCCTAACCTTCTTGCGCACACCATCTCGGACACGATCAAGAATTGCTGGGACAGCTGCCATTACAGTTGGCCTCAAGACAGTGGCGTCCCCCTTTGTTCCCCTTTTAATCTTATTCGATGTATCAGTTAGCGTCAGAGGAGTTCCATACCCTATCGCACTTCCAACAGCTGCTACTATATTCTGCAACATGAAAGGTGAAATTTGTTAAAGAACACAGAAGGGAGGAATCATATAGTTTCATAAATCCTTGTTCAACGGGAAAGATATAGACAGGAAACAGCTATTGCTGTGTAAATTACTAATAAGAGCTTCATAAATCCTTGTTCAACGGGAAAGAAATAGACAGGAAACAGCTATTGCTGTGTAAATTACTAATAAGAGCTTCATAAATCCTTGTTCAACGGGAAAGAAATAGACAGGAAACAGCTATTGCTGTGTAAATTACTAATAAGAGCTTCATAAATCCTTGTTCAACGGGAAAGAAATAGACAGGAAACAGCTATTGCTGTGTAAATTACTAATAAGAGCTTCATAAATCCTTGTTCAACGGGAAAGAAATAGACAGGAAACAGCTATTGCTGTGTAAATTACTAATAAGAGCTTCATAAATCCTTGTTCAACGGGAAAGAAATAGACAGGAAACAGCTATTGCTGTGTAAATTACTAATAAGAGCTTCATAAATCCTTGTTCAACGGGAAAGAAATAGACAGGAAACAGCTATTGCTGTGTAAATTACTAATAAGAGCTTCATAAATCCTTGTTCAACGGGAAAGAAATAGACAGGAAACAGCTATTGCTGTGTAAAGTTGTCATAATGGAAACAAATAAGTATCATGCAAGCTCTGATATGTTTTGATAAACTATTAAAATTCCATATATTTCGTAGTAACATGACCAAAGCACAAACAAGTTCAAGGGAACAAATCAAACTATTTTGTTAGTCAAGGGAACAAATCAAACTATTTTGTTAGTGCAGTTTCAAACTTTACAAAGAAAAAAATATTCATCATGATTCCATAAAGTTGAAAACCACCAAACAGAACTATGATCCCAATGGCACAGGCACCATAAAAAAAAAAAAAAAAACTTGTGTTGAATTTCAATACATGATGAAGTAGACTAACCAGTTGCTGTTCCACAACTTAAACATATAAAATAAATGCTTGGAATTTGAGCTTCAGCATCTTGTCAATATTGAAACAATTATGTTCAATTAGCCATATAATTTCAGCCCTTTGGAATGAAAATAAAACTAAACAGCAATCTGTGAATTTTATGGAAAAGGGTTGAAGAAAAGCATGCCAGTACTTTCCCTGAATTTGCATTTGCCATACAAGGGTGATAGAAATCAATTTTACATAACAATCAAATATAAATAAGAGACAACACCAACTTTTTGCAATAAATTAGATTAGGCTTAACAGCCAAGAGGAAATGGCAAATGGAGAAGAAAAAGATGGTATCATCTAGGCGACATACTTGTAGAAAGCCTAGATGTAGTCACCTTAAGATGCCCCATGCAACGCTACCGTTCAAAAATCATCCAAGTGTCAAAGTTACTTTCTAGTTACAACCAATTAGAAAACATTAAGAGTTAATCAAGTGAAGGTGAACAAGCTTATAACAATAGACTATAACACATAATAGATGCTCTTACTTGAGTGAAGGGCATTAATTTTTTTCAGCTTTGTTTTATGTTTTAAGCCTTAGGAGGATTTCTTGCCTTCCACAGCATACATTCATTTCTTTCTTTCTCAATAATATTTTCGTTCAAAAATCATCCAAGTGTCAAAGTTACTTTCTAGTTACAACCAATTAGAAAACATTAAGAGTTAATCAAGTGAAGGTGAACAAGCTTATAACAATAGACTATAACACATAATAGATGCTCTTACTTGAGTGAAGGGCATTAATTTTTTTCAGCTTTGTTTTATGTTTTAAGCCTTAGGAGGATTTCTTGCCTTCCACAGCATACATTCATTTCTTTCTTTCTCAATAATATTTTCTTATCTAAAAGAAAAAAAAAATAATAATAAAGATGCTCCAACCTTAGGCAATCCAGTACTTCCACTAGTGTACATTATTACAGCAACATCAGTTGATAATGGTAAATCAGCTCCAACAGGATTTTCTCGACCAAGTTTCTCCACGTTAGGAAGTGAGATGATTTTCCAGTGACCACTCTGCTCCAGTGATGATGCAGCAGATGGAATTTCATCATCCATACAAATCACACGTCTCACTGTGTCAAGTTGTCCACTTATGTCCACAAGTTTCTTCAATTCTTTGTTCCCACAAATGATAGTTGTAACCTCTGTCTGAAGAGAAAAACATGTACGAACAGCAGTGAATAAGATGTCACAAAAGGAGAAGGAAAATTACTATTGGAAACATAAAAATTGCAGTCATTCATTATGATTGCATTTTATCCAATAGCATGTCCCAAACAGCAGACCATATCAGTTTACTGGAAGTACCAAACTTGTCCTCTCAAGCATAAAATCTACAAGGCCATTACACTTGGTTTTACACATACTAATGTGTAAGAGTGTATGTGTGTGTGTGTATATATAGCGAGAGAGAGAACCTCGTTTAATGAGTGACACAGAGCCTCCTCCCCCAAAGATGCATAAATGGTAACCACAGTGACATTGCGCCTAAAGCAACCCTGATACGAGATAACACAATTAACCATTTGAGTAATTCCAGAAGACCATAGAAATGATTTAGCAACAAAAAGAATTTAAGATGAAGCTAATAAAGTAAGACATTTCTATCTTTCACTTTCACAGCATAACTGAAACAATCTCACACACTTGCTTTCAGAAGTTCTGACTCAGTCGCAACATTATTTTCCATAAAACAATAACTACAACTAAAAAGAAAAGCACCTGCAACGCAATAAACCATTCAGCTCTGGTGTCAGCAAATATAGCCACACGTTCTTCCTTTCTATGTCCAATCTGAGCTAACCCAGAAGCAAAACTACAAACTTTTTCGAACACTGTCTCATAAGTAAGCCATTCATACTCTCCCAAATGAAGCTTTTCAAAAGACCTCCCATCTTCACTCACTTCAGTCTCCTTTGAGATCAATTTCCTTGTTCCTAACAATAACTTATCCCCATATCTCATACACGCGTCCTCAAAAAGCTGAGCAAGAGTATAAACACCTTCCCACGCCGTTTCTAACGGCTTCGAGAACTTCGCATTTCTTATCGCATAACCAGCTTCGCCGCCAACATCGACCGGAACTCCTCGTTTCTTCACATTGTTCTTTGAACTCCGGAACAGAAGAGTAACCAGAACAGGAACAAGAACACCAACTAGATAAGCACTCATGCTTCAAAATGATTAAAAAACCACTATAACAAAAAAATCTACAAATTCCAAATCCTGTAACACCAAAAAAAATCAAATTCAATCTCGAAACATAAGATCAACAACAACAACAACAACAACAACAACAATAAATTAAAAGACGAAAGTTTACCTTTTATTCGACTAAAAGAGAACTTGAAAATCAAAGGAGTGGCATTGAGATTTTCTTGAGAATCCAAACGGTAGCGTTCAAAGTAGCGTAGGTTGCAGTGGTGGACGGAGAGATCGAGAATGGAGAAGTTGGAGTTTCAGGAGCACTAAAAGTGAGAAATTCGTTTCTTTGTTTCAGTTTTTTTTTTTTTTTTTCTCTTCTCTCTCCCTCCTGTTGACGCACACAGAATACAATTGGTTTGCTTAAGGACCATACACTTGGCAATCGGTTCAGGGGGTATTTTAAATCTCAACCGTGTAATTAGTTGACGGGACATTGATGATGTGGTATGTGCGGTCCGGATGGGAAAAGGAATATCGCTGCGCGAATCGTAACCGTCAATCTGTTTGCTCCGCCTTGATCTCCAGTGAACCACAAACAGCTCAAAAGGACTGCTTCTCAAAGGCATTATTCCTTTTAAATCCAAATTAAAAATATACTTTTCATTTTTACTTTTTAGGCCTTAAATAAAATAGTTGAAAAGGGATTATATCAATGTCATGTTGCTAGTTTTCTAATTTATAAATTTTTATCCATTTATATAAAAAAGAGCCGCATCTTTCTAGTTCTCTATTTTTCTTTCAAGGGTCTTTTACACCATCTTTGAAATAAATAAATTTATATAATAAATTAAAATAGGGAATTTAATTGAATTCTATAAAATTATATTTGAAATAAATTCTTAAATAAAAATTCATTTCTCTTTATTTTTTATAATACACTTGACATAATAATTTAATAAAAATAAATAACAAACACCAATTATGTTTATTATATACAATAAAATAACATGTTATTTTTTTAATTATTTAATTAATTATGTAAGTATTAACATTTATCATAAAAATTATTTTAATTATTAAAAGTCTTATTGATTTAAGTAATTAATTTGAAAACTATAAAAATATTTAAAAAAGTTATTGTTGTTTTCAATTGAATTTCAAAACAATGGTTGATAGTCGGTTTTTATAGTTTCACAGTAATAAGTAACGTTTTTACTAGATTAAGAAAAAATTAACGTTATTACTAGTTTAGGGTGGAGGTAAAAAATAAAGTTAGTTATTATAAGATTTAAAAAAAAAACGTCAGTAGGAATTTTTCAAAAAGAGAAAAAGTAAACAAAAAGGAAAACAAAAAAGAGTAAAAAAAAAAAATAACCTTAGTAGGAATTTTCCAAAAAAAAAAAAACAAAAAAGAGTAAAAACAATTGAATTTATAATAAATGGTAATTTCCTCAATAAAAATTTAATGGTTTAATTTTGTGGAATTAATTTAGAAATTTCACTAATTTTAGTAGAATTTGAATTAGATATACCCAAAAATTTTATAGAATTCAATTCCTATAATTAAATCTATATTTTTTTTAATTCCAAATACAAAACATTGGATTTCCAAATGAATTCTAAAAAATTTTATGGAATTCATCCCTTCCAAATAGGGTTTTAGATTTTATTTTTTTAATCACTATTGGCCATTAGAAAAGATTATTCTTTTCCATACATTTCCATCATTTTTCTTTATATATTCAGTTTTTTTAATAAATTCCAAATTTGTAATCATTTGAAATAAATCTTGTATTTAATCTCCGATAATTTATTGATTTTTCTTCTTTTATAGACTTGCTTTCCAATATTAAGTAATAGCTTTTATATGTATCTTTTATTTATTTTCTGTTTACAACTCGAAATATAAAATAAATTGTTTATTCTTTATGATTTGATATTTTAGATCTTTTAAATTCAGCCTAATAATTTCATAAAAATTTAATATTTTAGACTTTTTCGCTGCATCAATTATCGCAAGTTTCCGAAAAAAAAAATAAAATTGGAGACAATATTCTCTTTGGCATAATCACCTCCAAAACGAAAATTTCAACTTTCTATATTTATATTTAGTGCACTTACATAAATACCATAATGTAATCAATTTATATTATTTATTACATAAATACCATGAAACCGAGCCAAGTTTAAACCTGATTTTCATACTGTTTGTTAAACAATTAAGAGCTAGCTCGAGAAAGCATGCTTTGTTAAAGCTTAGGAACTCGGTCATTTATTAGACAAATATACGTTATTTACCAATTCAGTTACTAATTATTACAATTTATAATATAATAAATATATTAATTTTTATTAATAATTATTATGATTTGAGAATAATATTAATAACTGTCATTTAAAATTATGATAAAATTTTTTATTATAGATTTATAATGGAAGAATTGTAAAATTATATATCTATTTATATCTGTTTATTATTTACCAATCTCAGTTACTAAATTATTTACAAATTTATACATATAATAAATATATAATTTTTATAATAATTATTATGATTTTGGAAAGAATAATATTAATAACTGTCAATTTTTAAAATTATGACATAATTTTTTTATTATACGAGAATTATAATGCGAAGAAATTGTAAAATTATAATATCTATTTTATATCTGTTATCTATAATTAATATATATATTAAAAGTGAAACCGAGAAGGCAATATTACAATTGGCAAAAAAATGTCCAAATGACCAAAGATTAATGGACTGATAAAGGGGTTTTATATTTATTTATTTGGAGAAATATAAATAATTTTAATTTTCATTGTTATATTAGTTTTCTATTTAAATCTAATTCTATTGAATAAAATAAGACCAATATATTATAATATAAGGGTGTTTAATTAAATATGGTAAGAAATATAATATTTTTAAAGGATTTTTAATATTATTTTAGTTTAAAAATAAAGATAATTTAGTTTTATTTGGTTTATATTATTTTATATTTAAAGTATTTAAATTCTATTAGGAAATTAAAATACAGAAGTATATTATATTTATCATATATTAATATGATATAGAACTATAATAATGTTTTAAGGATTTAATTTTATTAATTTGAAAAATAAAGATATTTATTATTTTTTTTATTATTTATTTTTTATATAAATTAAATTATACTTGGAATAAAAAAACTATATAATATATTAAATAATATACATATTAAATATGACAAGAAATATTATAATTTATAAATAAAAGATAAAATAAAAAATTATATAATATATTAATAAGAAATTATATAATATATTAATAAGATAAATACTAAATATGACAAGAATATAAGGATACAAATTGATAAAAAAGAAATTATATAATATATAAAATATGATATATTAAATATTGCAAGAATATAAGAATTCAATAAAATAAAAAATTATATTGTATATTAAATATGTTAAGAGTATAAGAATCCAATTTGGTTTTTTAATAATATTTAATTTAAACGTGTAATTTAAAATAAATCAATTAAATTTAAAGTCTATATAATTTAAATACAATTCCTTATTAAGAAATTTTATACCAATTAAATTCACGACGGATAAAGTCAACGATAAGCAAGGCTCGTTCAAAAAAACTACATATTTACAAGTATGAATGGAGAGAGGAACATTGGGATTGAAAAAAAAAAAAATCCTAACTAATTTTAGAAATAGACAAAAAATAACTTTAAGACTTAAATTTTATTGGGTGGAAATATAAAGATTTCTATACTAATTAAATATTCTAATATAGTACGATTAGTTAAAACCTATTAAAAAAAAGTAAATCTAATAAAATTCATAATTGTATTAAACTTCCTAATTGAGTTGAATTTCCTTAAAACCTCTAAAAAAACTTCCTAATTTTCTTTGATTTATACCATTTAGTTTGCAAAATTGAAAAACAATTGGAAACAAAATATGTATATATAGTATACAATAGAAGATTGTGTTTGTCTTCTCAAAAAAAAAAAAAAAAAAAAAATCTCAAAAAAAAAAAAAAAAAAAAAGTTTGAAACCTGTTGGCGATATTAAATAATAAATTTAATAAAATTTGATTAATGTAACGGATGACATTATTTTTTGAAATATTACTAGTTTCTATTTAGATTAGTATTACAATGGAAGTTATAATTTAATATTCTAAATTGGTTTTCAATTTATATTCTTATAAATATAGTAATTTTAAGAAAAAAAAAAAAAAAAAAAAAAGTTTGAACTTGTGCGATATTAAATAATAATATTATAATAAAAATGATAATGTAAACGGATGACATTATTTTTTGAATATTACTATTTCTATTTAGATTAGTATTACAATGAGTTAATAATAATATTCCTAATTGGTCAATATTTATATCTATATAAATATAGTAATAGATAATATATATGTATAATTCATATTTAATTATGACTAATTTACTTGCTATTTGATTTTAAATTTTTTAGATAAAAAATTCACCAACAAAATGAAATCATTCATCACTAATTCAAGGAAAATTAAAATTTCACTTTCTATCTTTTATGGAAATAATTTATGTATTTTATTTTACAGAAATATATATTTTTTTCTGTTTTGTTTCGATTTGATTTTTTTACTAAGCTTAATGATAATATATTATAACATACAAATATTGATTTTAAAATTATAAAAAAAATTAAATCATTTATATTTAACGTGTAAAAATGTGTAATGCATGTTCATAAGAATTAGTATATATATTAACCATATTTATATTTATAAAGGAGTCTTATAGTTATTTTATTATTAATCATATGAGATTCACTCCCCCACAATTACTTGAATTAAAAGAGAAAAGAGATTAAATTTGAGAAAAATAGAAAGTGGCTATAATAGTCTTATTTTGATGGTGAAGACGGGCAGAATCAGGCTTCCAATTTTGAGTGGGCAAAAAAATAAAATCTTTAAAGGGCTTGAATTTTTAGAAATTAGAACTTTAAAATCTCAAAATATTTTATACTCCGTTCCACGTAAATGAATTCAAAATATGGAATTCATTTCTAAATGAATTTTCATATTTTATATTATTAATTAAAAACATGTAATTCAATTAAATTTCACATAATCATCAATGGAATAAATTAATAATTGAAAACTCATTTGTTCATGTTTCCTCGAATATCAATGAAATAGTAATTTCACAAAAATAAATAATAAATGCCAATTATATTTATGTTGTGCTATATAATTTTTTATATTTTTATTAAAATAAATATATAAAATAAAAATTATCAATAAAATTATACATTTAATTTAATGGACATTTAACTTGAATCTCTCACCTCAATAGTAAAAAAAAGGCTAAAAAATATTAAAATAAAATATGGAAATATTAAATAAAAAAAACATAATGATAAGAAAATATATTTCTAAAAAAATGAATTTTTTAAATGGTGTTGGTCAAATTTGATAAAATAAATAAGTTAAATAAGTAAAAAATTAAAAAATTAATTTTGTAAAAGGAGAAAGGTAGTCTTGTCATAAAAAATTTGATTGCTTAGTTTTTTGAAATTCATTTACAAATTTCACCTATTTTTATGAAATTTGGTGTAGTTATGTTGGATTTCATAAAATTGAACTCATAATTTTTTTATCCCAAAAACAAAATATAAATTTTAAAATGAATTTCACAAAAAATTTTATGGAATGCGTTTGTTCCAAGATTAAAAATTGAGTCCTTGGGTGGTTAAGGGACCAAACACGTTGAAATCCCAACCAAAAAATTGAGCTAATTTACCTCTAAACAAATCCATCAAACAAAAAAAAAAAAAAGTTAATTAATTTTTTTTTATGTTCGCATGTAAAGTAAAAAAAAAAAAGTTTTCAATTTCATAAATTTAATTCAACAACAATATTCTTGTTTTAGACCTCATTTTTATTTTATTTGAAATTAGTTAAAATTAGTTGTGTATCTGCATAATGGGAGTATTGTATAATTTTTTTAATTGATTTGAATGAATAAATTTTTAGAAAATTATTGCTATTTATATTTATATTAATTCAATTTAAATAATTTATTTATATATTTTGCTTAAATGATAAAAGGTGAAATTATATGTTCGTTTTGAAATTCTTAAGTAATAATCTGATATGTTTATTGAGATAATAAATTAGTGTAATTTCAACTAATATAATTATTAATTTTTCTTTTTAAATTCTCATATATTGAATTGAAACACTTTTAATCTTTTAATTTTTATAATTAAATGAGGTAAAAGAAGATTTAATGGTAATAGAACAAATTTTAATTAATAAAATTATATCTTAATTCTATTAATTAATCATATTATTGTAATTCTATTATTTAATTAATATTTATTAATTATAACTCTATAGAATTGCATTAAATTTCATTAGTTTGTAACTTCATTATATAATAAAAAAATTATTAAATGCAAAAACATAATTATAATGGAAATAAATGTTTCATAAGCTTTTTTATATTTTAATATCATACTTTACTCTATTATCACATCGATATTCTTGTTTTATAAATTATATATAAATATAAATATAAATTAGTATAGATAGATAGATGAAAGCAGCCACCTTTGTCTCATTCACTAATTACTAACTTACCCTTCAATAATTTTCTTTAAAAAATAGCAAGGCAAAAGACCTTTTTTTTAAAAAAAATTTTTTTATGAAGGTTTATACGAAGTCAACAGCTGATAATAAAATTGTATAATGTGATCATTCGAGTGCACGTACGGTATGTATTGAATTAGTCGATGCTTTCTCCTTCTCTGCCGTTTCCGTAGGAGTTTGATTCCACGCGTAATGCTTTCTTTAGCCCAGCCATCCCGCTGAGTGCTTAGACTATGTGATGATGATTCATCAAGACTTCTTCAACGTTTCACACCTACTTTTTTTGTCCACTTCCACCTACGACCTACCTTATTGCAAGTTGCAACAAATATATAATTTATCTAGAATAAATTTTTTTAAGAAGATTTGATAATTACAACAAAACCATTTTGTATAAAAAAAACCTTTTGACTCAAGCGCCTTTAACAACTGGGCCAAAGCTTATTTGACTAGGAAACTTCAATGTGAACCCAATATCTTCAAACTTACATTTTCTCAATTAACTACGAAGTATATTGAAGTTCCTAACTAAATGAACTTGTCTAGCATAGAATATAATTGACAAGTTCTTTGTTAGAGATATTGGACATGACGCTTTAAGAGTTTGAAACTTCAATTGCTTGATTTTGAAGCAAAAAGTTCTTGTTTACCTTTTCTGTTTGCCTTGAAGCAAAAATAATTGCTATGGGAAAAAGAAGCACAATAGAACCACTCGCGTTTCATATTCTACAATGTGTACATAATTGGCCAAGTCTTGCCGTTACAAGAAAAAACTCCTCTCAACATTTAACAAATATAACTGTAAAACTCTATAAAAATGTTTAAAAAATATATATATCTTAAAAGAAAGATCATGATACAAGATTGTAACAACAATTTCAGTTTGTTGATCTTCCATTAGTTGTATTTGTATCTTGAGGGTTTCCGTGGGATGCAGGCGCAGGGGCTGCCCCAGAGACCATTTCCATCATTGATCTCAAAGCTCCTCTGAGTTCTTCAGGTATATTTTCTCCGAGATTTAAATTAATGTTTCCACCTAGACTTATTTCTGGTTCATCAGCTTCATTAGAATTCCGATCTTCTCCTTGCCTGTCTTGAGGGTGCCCGCCTGGGTAGACTTGTGCAGCCATGTCTCTTAAAATGTTTGTAAAATTGACAGGAATGGCATTAGTGTTGAATGGCATTGATGGAAATGGAGGAAACTGGCTATTAAATTCTTGACCATCACGAGTGGACAAATTTGTATTCTGCATAAGATGGGATTGACAAATAATTTCCTTAATACAATGAAAGCATGCAGAGGAATATGATAATTATAAGGATGATTAAAGATGACTTTTAGACCTCGAAAATTAGGGCGCATAAAAACCTGAACATAAGGACTGTTGAACTGCACATAAACGAGCCACAATAGATGTTGTGTGCTTTGCAAAGGCTATAAAGAAAATTGAGGGCAACTAGAAAAGAAAGTTCAATAATGAAAGAAAGAACTTCATGATACACACAAAATCACACAGTAAAAACATGAAATGGAAGGTCCGCATACACGGAGGAGGTTTCAAAGGCGAACCAGCAAGAGAAAGATTTCCAAAAAATCCAATGCTTTAGACCACCTTCTTGCGCCTGGTTAACACAATTTTGAAACCTTTCTAGTATTGACACTCTATTTACTCATTAAATAACTGTTATCCAGAGCAGTAGGCCCACTACATGTCAATTCTCAAATAAAAAGGGAAGGAAAATATAGATATACCTGATCCCGTCCAGTCCGTTGCTGCTTTTCTTTCAATTTCTGTGCAGCTACCTATGTATGTTTGAAGGAAAATAAGTGATAAATAATTAGTGAATAAGAGGAAGAAGAACAGGGATACGAAATAGGGAGGCAGAAAAATAGAACAAACCTGAATATTTTCTTTGACTGATTCATTGTGGGGATCCAGTTGCAAAGCTGAAAATAAGAATATTTGGATGGAATATCAGGTTATTTTAGTTTAAACATAATGAACAGCATTATCCCTGCATAGACTCAATGTTAGATGATAATGCACCACAGACATCTAATGATGAGGCAAGCTCATATGTTCATCGCTCCTTAACAATGTTGCACGATATCATTTATTCTAAACATCCCAATATAATTAATAGATAAAAGATCTCAACCGAAACACCACTACTAATCATACAAGATGAAAAGAAAATTAAGCCATTGGCTCTCCAGTAAATATGTTCATATTTCAGTTGCAAGCTACCTGATGTACATTAAGCAGTAAATGCTCAATAATATACAGTAACAGCTTGCAGCTTGCATCGGCTACAACTAAATCAAACATTTGCATGTGGATGAAAAACAACGTTACAGAAAAATGTTAAAGTACTAGCTTATCCTCTTCAGGTGATTGAGTAATCGAGTCTACTGCAGCATAATATAGAGATAGTAAGACATGACAAAGCAATTAGGATATTACATTAATATATGAAATGAGAAGCAAGGAATAAAAACTCACATTTATGTCGAAATGATAAATGCACTTTGTGTTGTTCTAGCAATATTGAGGGTATTAAAGAATCAATGTTGCACTAACCTTTGCTAAATCCTTTATCAATAGCATCCCTGTAGTTTCCTTGTGCATAATACGCCAGTCCAAGACGACTGTATGCCTTACTGTAATTTGGGTCAATCTCAATGGATTTAAGGCAGTCTCTGATTGCTTCAGCATATTTGTGGATCTGAGTAAAAGCAGCAGCCCTGACATGCATACATCATGCTAATGAATTTGAAATTTAAATCATGCAATAAAACAATATAAAAGCCCCCAATACTCCACCAAAGCATGGTCCTAGAAAGGGAACATGACTATCATCGCATCAGATAATATAAGTGTGCGCATGTATGTGGAAACCAAATAATGCCAATTTTATTGCTATTTGTCCTAAAGCAATAATGTCCTCAACTCAACGTCATTGAGCAAACATCTAGTATATTCTTTAAAGAGAGAAACAACTCAATCCTTGTTCCAAAAATTGAATTATGTCTTGTCACAAATTGTTTGAAAGAATTATGAGACGCTTAATGCTTATAACATTCAGTACATTCTTCACGAACCAATCTAGTGGTCAAGGTCAGACTCTCTCTAAGCGCAAGCACCAGGGTCCAAATACCAATATACCATCACTAAAAACACCCTTCTATAAAATTCTGTTGAAGCATGAAGCTACATCCACAAAATGCTTCTCCTTTTTATTCATGAGAAACAGGGCCCTTATCATAAAATCATTGTAATAGATTCATATAGTGCAAGTATATGTAAACAATTGATTGGAAGAGCACCTGTTACAGTAATAAATGGAATTATTTTCAGACAGTGAAATGGCACATGAATACAACTCAATTGCATTAGAGTACATCTTTGACTGCATGGCCATGTTACCTAAAAGCAAAGACAAATATAATATAATACAGTCAGCATTCACAAAGATCAAATTATATTAATGTAAGATAATATTATTCTCTTTGGTATTGCTAAACACACACTCGATAAGACAAACACATAAATGTAGAAACATTTGAAGGATGCATATCTGCTGCCATAAAATTTTGCTAACAGGCAATTTTTGTACAAGTTATAAATTAAAAGTGTCTCAAGCTGTCAAGCATAAAAGCTAAAAATGCATATGCACCTTGCGACTTGAATGTTTCTGCCAGACTGTTCCGGTTATATGATTGGCATCCAGCTTTTTCCATCTCCTGATACAACCATGTTTTGATAGATCAAGCTAGTAATGAAATAAGAAAAGGACAGACTGGCAGATGTACAATCTACCATCAAACTTTTTGCCAAATTAAACATAGGGACAAGCATAATAGTATAAAACAAACTGACAAAGAATAGTGGAATAAATCAATGTTTTTTTTTTAAATGCACCTAGTTTACATGGGCAGCAACAAGTCTAAATTACATTTAGAGCATCATGAAATAAACGTGTTGCTTTATCCAGTTGAACTGGATCATCGTTCCCATCAAGCGTGCTCTTAAAAAAGTGAATTTTCTCAAGGGCAGCAAAGAATTGCCCAAAGAGTTCATCTTTGGAAATCCCTGCAATAACATTTGAAATAAATTAATGAATGTCATAAACCATAAATCTTTAAACCAATAACAGAAGTTTCAGACTGCAGAAACCCATCCAAAACTCAAATTAAACCCTATAGAAAAGGGGAATGAAACACGCACAACAACAACACTTTTGAGCAATTAGATCCTTAATGCAATTTGTGGATGGGCAATAACATCACTTTTGCCCATACCATTTCCAAACAAGTGAATGTTCAACAATTTCAATTCACTTCTCTGTTTCTTAAAAAGAAAAATAAAAACAACTATGGTTATGATACTCTAAACTTGAACATAATTTCAAGTCATTAAAAAATTACCATTAATTGTCAATAAGACCATCACATTGTGCAAAATAAAATATCAAGACCCAGAGAAAAATTAAACACAAAAATAAAAACAGAATGCAACTTCTTAATTCTCAAACTCAAACCCATAATTTAACATTTATCTTAATATACATAACTTTCCTGTAATTCTTCTATGTCAAATAAATAAACAATAAGATCAAACTAATCTCACATCATATGCTTTACTTTTGTGAGGGGACATTAAAAAACTAAAAGGAGCAAAGTGATGCCAGCCAAGTTTATGATAAGCACCCTAACTCTCATTTTTTCACATTCCTTACTGAATTGTACCTCTGAAAGTATCTCACCTGGAGCACAATTTTTATTGTGCACTGGGAGAGTTGATATAAACAGTCATCCCCCTGCTTTTGCAGAGAGACTGTTTCTGTGACTTGAACCTATGACCTCTAGGTCACAAGTTGAGTAACTTTATCTTTAGACCAAAGCCACCCTCACTGAGCACAGTTCCTACTCCTATGAAAAATCATCATCGTAAATGTGCTTTTTATTTGAAGAGAAATAGTAATCAAGCTGGCGCCACATAATAGTTTCTTTGGAAGAAATTTATATCTAGCCAGTTTAATGCTTAGTTTCTCATTGCACAAACAGTACACTAAAGTTGAAAAGCATTGAAGTAATAGAACAAAAAGAACTCGATACATAATCTTGGGCAGTGCCAAGAGAAGAAAGAGTACAAGCCTACCCGTTGCATAAGATGGTTCTGTCCAATCGTCACCCTGATGAAAATAAAATAAAATAAAATATTTAAAACTTGAAAAAACTGTAGTTGTACCAATAAATTTTAAAAAGTAAAGCATCCATATGTATATGCATTTTCAGTTTAACTTAACAAAAAAATGGGAAACAGCACCATTCACACAAACCAAAACCCTAATAAAGAACAGAACACTTATGGACACTCCAAGAACATTAGTTGAACTCCATCATTACATCTTTTTCAATTTTCAGTTTCATCTATAAACTCTCTTCCCATTTACTCATCCATATAGCTACTTATAACTAGAAGTTCAACATTGTTAAGCAAGCAATTTTTCAGTTTAACTTAACAAAAAAATGGGAAACAGCCACCATTCACAACCCAAACCAAAACCCTAATAAGAACAGGAAACACTTATGGACACTCCAAGAACATTAGTTGAACTCCATCATTACATCTTTTTCAATTTTTCAGTTTCATCTATAACTCTCTTCCCCATTTACTCATCCATATTAGCTACTTTATAACTAGAAGTTCAACATTGTGTAAAGCAAAAAAAAAAAAAAAAAAAAAAAAAAAAAAATATAATATTATATATATATATATATATATTATATTATATATATATATATATATATAATATTATATATATATATATATGTATGTATGGTATCAAAGGTTTTTGAAGTTCCATATTAGCTACTCTAAACTATAAGTTCAAACATTGTTAAGTAGTTATATTGCATAACGTCCTTTGCTATGTGCTTTTCAAATTGTGGATATATAAGAATGACAGACATTTTAAGATTCAACAAAAAGATTTGGAAACTTATGTATGTATGTATCAAAGGTTTGAAGTCCATATTAGCTACTTATAACTAGAAGTTCAACATTGTTAAGTAGTTATATTGCGATAACGTCCTGCTATGTGCTTTTCAAATGTGGATATATAAGAATGACAGACATTTTAAGATCAACAAAGATTTGAAACTAAAATAATCTCAAAAGAAAACCTAAGACAAAGAATAACAAAAACAACACAAATAATTAAAGAACAATGATAGGGAAAAGAAAAAGACCAGAGTCCTAGAAGCTTCTACGCGATGAGCATCAACAGCACTGTTCTGGACATGGGATGAACTAGAAGCATCTACTGGAGCAGCTCCATGACTCAAATTTGATTTGATGTTTTGATCCTCATTTACCTCCAGTGAACGAAATAAGTCAACCAATAAACCAGGTTTTATGCAATCACTGGTAGATGTTGAATCGAGCTTAAAAACCTCAGTCAAACATTCCCTGGCAACTTCTAGACCTTCAAGATCAACACCAGGTGCGGGTTCAACTAAAACATAAAGAGCCACCATCAGAATACGAATCAAACAACCAGAAAACCAAACTCAATGCACATAATCTATGGTCATCAGTCTATAAATAAATATAATAAAACAATCATTATCATATAACTAAATACGACAGCATTAAATTATCATTCGAAATTGATCAACAGTGCCCATGCCAACATATATATATATATATATAGAGAGAGAGAGAGAGAGAGTATAACCGGAGTTGAGGAAGTCGAGGAAGGCACGAACGATGCGAAGAGAGAGTGGAGAATCTGTTTTCAAGTTCGCCATTGAGAGAAACAGAGAGACCGGTAGAAAGAGGCTTAACGCGGGCACATGATAAGAGTAAGGGTTTTGATGTTATTTTCCGACGTTCAATAACGCAGGGGAGAAGAGGAAAGAGCAAGGGAACGACGAGGCTATGAGAGGAAAAATGCTCCAGCGATAGTGAAGGCCGTAGGTTTGGTTGCAGGGTTGGCGATGCACCTCCCAGGAATCGGAACATCTACAGGTTGGATTTTGGGGAATCCCTTCTTTTAACCAAATGCTGGAAAATCCTGGAAGACCGGAACCGCTTTCAAAAGGAATTGGGCCGTAAGTTTTTACGGATGCCTAAAACAAAAATCAATCTAAAACTTTAATTTTTAGTTACATTTTGCATTGAATTCGTTTACTAAAAAAAATTTTATTATAACAATTTTCTAAGTGTGAAAGGAAAAATAAATTATTCTCATTTCTTTGTTTACACTTTTGATTGACAATATAGAGAAATGTGTCAATGTTAATGTAAAGTTACTATAGCTTTTAAGATAATTTTTAATTTAATATTTGACTAGAGTTAAAATACTACATTTGTTATTAAAATTGTTTAGTGCCGCAATAGTTATAGTGTTTAAAAATTGGGAGCATAAAATTTACTTTTACAAAGAAATGAAATAAAATAAAATTAATAATATAAATTAATAAATATCGCAATTGATTTTGGTCATCTTAACAAGTTTCCCAGGAACCTTTCATTTGCATATCCCTTCTGTTTTCACCCATCTCCCGAGTGGGGGAGCAACCACTGAGGGGCAAGACAAAAAAGGTTCAAGACATAATTAGAGAAACCAATAAGAGTTCTGTAAGAGTAAAGTCAGCCCTGTTGCAAGAATGATTTACAGAAGGCAGTAAAATTTAAATAAAAAGAATAATGAGTTCAACTATGCACAGCATTCCTTTGATCCTTTCTACATCCGCTAGCTATAGGTAAGGAATATGTACAAATTTACATAAAGAGCTAAATACATCATTTACAGTAAAGGGCAGAGATGAATAATTTTTCAGATTTGTTAAACCTAGTTTTGAGAGAAAAAAAGCCATGAATGACTTGGTAATTAATCCATGAAGTTACAGGTCTGAGCTTGCAGACCCTGGTTATTCTTGATTGGCTATGTGAGATCCCAAAATCCTCCAAAAGCACAGATGGTATCAGAGGAAATTTATACTTTCCGTCGCCTTGTTCTTCTGACAAACTAAAAGAAGAAAAATCACTGTTTTTTACTGCTGAAAGATATGATGAGTAAACAAACAAACACGCACTTCCTTCCAGACTTTGGGAGTTAAATAGAGAGCTTAAAATTGAGAGAGAAACAGATAAAACTCCAAAATATTTTCTTTAAAAAATAAAATGAGCAATGAATGAAAGCAGGGAGAAGAGATTAAGGGCTTACAGCATCTCCATTAACATCAGTCACTTCTGATGCTGACGTGTCTGAAAAAACTTTCTGCCTATTCTTTCCCTTCGCTGCATCAAATTAAATTCTTATTAATAAAACACTGGAACAACTTTGTGAGTGATTTTCAGAGTAACTTCCAACAGTTCCAATAAGACACGAGGAGGAATTATTAAGCACACTCGATGCACATAAAAATAGCATGTCCTCCTCACACAATCATGTGGGATGCACCCATGAATTTAGCTCGTAGATCCATTATGATAGTGAGAACGTGCAGTATTTCCAAAATCATAATATCAGAAAAATTAATTTGGGGTATTTGAACTTTTTTCTCTGACATGCTAGCTACTGAATGATAGACTCCCAAAGTACACAATTTTTTTCAGACATCTTAAAAAGCAAAAGGATCAAGTAAGACAATGTTTAATTATTTGCTCAACCTAATGTATGGAGTAGTATGACAGAAAATAACAGTCCAAGAAATATTCCGCTAAACCTGATGGGAACACATAGAGCAAAATGAATGATTCTAAAGAACTTTACCAGGAAAAGATGCTGATCCATTACAAAACTTTTTATTTTCCTTGTTTCCCAAGTGTTTTGACTTTGTGTTGGGATCATCTTCAAATGTATCCACAGTTTCTTTCAGATCCCTGAGAGAAGAGCACAAAATTATATCATTGCAACATCAAAGAGAGTGTTTACCAGCCGGTTGATATTCACTTGACTACTGACCTATACAATTTCACCATCAAATTTAATCAAGACTTTATAATTTACATAGTTCAACAAGTTTCAATGCCATACGAATGAAAAATGCAATTTAGACACCAGACAGTAATATAATTCAAGGAATTAATCACCAACCAAAGTGCCAGGTAATAATCACGAATATCTATATTTTATGTGCCAGGTAATAATCACGAAAATCTATGTTTTATGGTAATAAAGGGTGAACATCGTAACTCAATCTATGAAATGAAATACCACACAAAGTTCTTGTTAAACTTAGCTTTTCAAGTTTGTTTAGTTAGACAAAATTTTACAAATTGAAAATTGCAGAAGGTGCATCATGCAGAACAAGAAAAATTAAGAAATTTTTGAGAGAGGACAGGGAGTTTAACTTTTAAGAAAACAAAAGAAATTTAAAGAAAATAGTAACATAATCGATGACACTTTCATTGTGAATAGAAATACAATTCCAATCTGATTCCGAACTTTTATCTTTTTTGTTCTCAAGTCTCAACTAAACCACAGTATCCTTTTCAAGTCTTAATGTCTCTAAACATGCACATGAAGTCACAAACAAACACTTTCTTTCTTTAAAAGGAAGAAGTGTAATAACAGAAATAACCTAAAACAATAAGAGAATCCAGTATCCCTCAATTCAGAAAGCCCAAGTAGCAAAAATGGTAGAAAAGTAGTGGTTTTCACAGGTACAACACAGAAGTATGGTTGGAACATGCTCAAAAGTCAAAAGTAAGACATTTTTAATAACTCACTGTTCACTAGAATATAATGCATTTGACTCGTCTGCCAACTTCGTCTCCTGAAAATGAAGAAGTGAGCCAAGGAGATTTAAAAAGAAAAGAAAAAACAACAAGTAAATGAAGGCATTAAAAGACGATTAAGTCAGAGATAACAATATTAAAAATAAAAAAAAATAAAAAAAAGGAAAGCTCAACAAAAGTATACTCAATACAAAAATAATAGTCAGTCTAGGAATTTTGATAGAAAATCAAGTTCATAAAATAGGGTATCTTCATCTTTTGCCACTCGTAACAAGAGTCTTGTGATAATTTTCAAAGAGGAAAACTGAAACTAAGGTCATAGAATATGCTAGCTGAAAGTAAACTGAATATCATATAATGCAAACAGCAAACTTATGGGAATTGTTTATCCTTTAAAAAGAAGTAGAATTCCATTTTAGCTTTTGCATCTGGAATTTCATTTCAGCCCATGGCATTCACAAATTTTAGGTTATCCAAAATACTAATAATCTAATAACTGAAACTTCAGTAACTTCAGACTAAATCTCTATACATTGGAACTACATCACATAATGTTGAAATCTTTGTGATTAAAGTAAATATTGTGTTTCCTAGTTTAGGTTTATTCCTATTTAGATTACTTCCTATATTGGAACAATTTTTTACATTCACATTAATGTTGAAATCTTGTGATTAAAGTAAATATTGTGTTTCCTAGGTTTAGGTATTCCTATTTAAGATTACTTCCTATATGGAACAATTTGTACTAAATATATATTAATAGTGGAGTAGAGGTTGAAAAAGATAAATACAATAGAAAGAAATAACAAACATTATTCTCTTCTTTAATTAGATTACTTCCTATATTGGAACAATTTTTTGTATATATATATATAGTGGAGTAGAGGTTGAAAAAGATAATACAATAGAAAGAAATACAACATATTCTCTTCTTTAATTTCTTCACATACTATATGCACCGTTCCAAAATCCACATGCTAGCAATCAATATATTCATTGTGTTTTACTATTACCCTCTCTTTCGGAGAATTATCATTGATGGTCTCCCAGCTTTCACTGTCCAAGCATAGTAATTCAACATCACCACTATCATATGAGATCTGCCAACATGAAAAGTAATCCAAAGTCAGTGGCTTACAAAAACTCAGTCCATCTGAGGGAAGAGGCAGAGAGAAAACAAGGCTGGAAAAAACTAATTTACTAGTTAGATAAACAGAGAGTTGAGCTAGAAATGTAGACTTAGTAGTAGAGCTCAGAAGATAAGATACCCATCATCCCAGAAGTGTGCATTGGCAGCAAATGACCATATATACAAACATATATTACTTAGATAAAAACAGAGATTTTAAGCATAAAATGTCACTGTATAGAGATAAATCCCTTTGTCATCTAACAGTTGTGCATCTGCCAGGACATTATAGAAGCTTGACAATTTCCTCCAACAAATGTGATAGTTGGGTACTTATTGTATTTTATATTAGGTACATATCCAAGTCATATAAACTGATGTACCAAAATAACCAATCATAACTTGCACAGTAATAAAGAAAATGAAAACAAAACCATAAGCTAGAGCAAGAGATGAGGAGCTAGAGCAAAATGACATTCTAAATCGAGAAAACAAGAAAAGACCAAAACATATCAAACCAAGAAAGAAAAGAGAGTCCTCCTCAAGACTGAACTCAAATTATCTGCAAACTAGCAATTAAAATTTTGTTAGAAAACACAATGAGCCCAGTAACAGTTAAAAGCATCTCATTACCTTGTGGGTCTTATTGCAAGGATTAAAACCAACCACCGTGCCGGAATAAAAACTGACAAAGAAAAACCAGAAATCATAAAAGAAAAAATGTTCCAGAATACTTTTCGTCCATGAAAAATGTCCTTACCGTCTATCAACAGGGGATGATAATTTGATTCGTTTTCCAATTAGTGCCTCACACTTAGCACTAAATTCCTGAAAAGAAAAAAATCAAAATCACTAGAAGAAAAGGAAAAATTGTTCCAAAATAAACTAACCAATTTCAAGGTGCATCAAAATAGAATGTGCATATACCCTTGAACAGCAAGGTTCATTAAATTTGTCCGATGAAACTTGGGAAGATTCAATGGTGATACTGGCACTTAGCCCAGCATTTTCTTTTAAAGAAGGAATACTTTTTTCTACATTTTGGATCAAAACTTGTGATTCACTCAAAGAAGGTTTCACTGTTTCAGAATCACATGATAAAGAAAGTTTCTTCTCCATAATGGAATTGGAAGAAAGTCGTTTCTCCAGAATGGAATTAGAAATTTTAGATGCCTGATTTTTGCAACCCTCACTGTGCAGCTCCACTGATTTCAAAACATCATGCTTTTTCCTATGTCCCAAACTGATATCTTGCCCAGCAGGTTTTTTCATCTCTTTCGCCTCAACTGTTGACAAATTAGAATGCTTTTGCGATGTCAAGTTCAATGTGTTGTACTTAACATCAGCAGACTGCATTCCATCCTCTTGATTTTTTCTACCACGTTTTGGAAGGCTGCTAGCAGGCTAAAATCAGATAGCAAGTAGGGAAAAAAAAAGGTTGTCAATAGAAAATTGGTAGCCATCGAGTGAAGCAAGAAATTAACGGGATTGAAGAAAATTCTAGATATGTACCATTGAGATCTGAGACTTGAGACTCTGAACGACTCTCTTGACAAAACTTTCATCAACAGGGGACTGAGTGAGACATTTTAAATTGGCCTGCAAGTAAAAATAAACTAAAAATTGATAAACAAATTAACTTGTGGAGATTTGAGTTTTTCAGAACCTGCCTCATCACACTTCAAACTTATTCTATACAATGATGATGGCAGGAAAATCTGTCCAGGGGCGCGCAATGACAAGATGCCATTTTGATTTAATGCATTTAAAGAGAAGAACCCAATATCCGCCAGAATTCGCAGATTCTGCATCCAGTTCAATTTTTGGATCAATATAAACCACAAAATACTGCAGAAATAACTATCTCTGAGAGAATAATACTAACAGGAGTTCGTGTTGTATCAGCAACATCTTCAGCTCTTTTAATAGCCCGAAAAATGCTTAGCAAATACAGGACAGCATCATTAACAAGGTCCATGCGACCATTAACAATATTGCCATTCAATAATGCTCGTACAACCCAAAATAATGGACTGCAAAAAGAAAAACATCTCTCACAGAGTGGAAATAATATTCACATTAGCTTTGGGTAGTTCATTCTACAACTAATATTAACTTCAGATTCATACCTACAAAAATTAGCATATGCTTGTTCATCCTGACAGTCATTAGGTGGAAAATCAGCATCATGAGCAAGAATATGGATCAAGTGTACAACTACATATGCTGGATAATCTGTAAATGGTCCTCCCTGAACTGCAGATGTTTGGCGATTTCGAGCTTCTAAACCATATTCCTTGATAAATTCTTCAATGTATTTCAATGACTAAACAAACAGTTAAATAGACATTATTCTGATGCATTATGTGTACAGAACAAAGGACAATGGCAATATATTAGATAACTACAATAAGCAAGGAGATGAAAACATACAGCATCTTGCAGATCCTTACAGCAATCAGATGAAGCCAATGCGAAAGCGCATGCATATCTACTAGGGATAGCATGCTCCTTTAACAGCTTGTGTATTTTAGTAAGGAAAATTTTTCTAACCCAAGAAGAAGAGTCCTGAAAATGAAACGAGAAAATGATTAGTGGATCAGGTCCAATATGTGCTCTTGATCACAACCTCTAGGTGTAAGAGCCTTAAGATCAATGACAAACAAAAACTTTTTGTAGTGTATCCCCCCAAAGAGTCCTAAGACCAATCACTACCAAAAATGTTTGCACTTACCAATATATTCCACACCCCACTACCACAAATCAATTTTAAGACACATCTCGCAACAGGTAACAATCCAATAACAGGTTAAACAAATTCATTAGAATTTTTAGCCAGAAATATGACCATCATCTTTTATGTTGTAAAAACAAGCATTCTCCTTTCTCGTGAATTTTCTATCTATAATATGATTAAAAATTGCAGTTTCAAAAAGATGAATGTGCAGAATATCATCTTCATTTTGCATTCTGTGAAGATACATCGACTACCAAAAGGCAAAGGATCATTATTGTTTGTCTCCCTAGAAACAAAAGCTATTTATTGAGCATCATATAGCCGCAAGATTTTCAATAGAGATATTCTCTGAATCCATACTATCATAAAACTTTTCTACAACCTATTTCTGTCAGCTGACTTTATCTCATGCACAATCCAAACCAACATACCTTTGCCACCATAATCGTTAATCGAAAAAGTTCTGGAGACATATGTAAATCCCATCTTCTGGAAAGCCGAAGAACAGATTTTGCAGCAGCTAATATAATATGAGGTCTGTCGGTTGAACTGCCAAAAACTCCACAAACACATTTTATACACAATCAGTCTTGTGACATAACTACACCAAAGTATGAAATAATTACAAAACTTAAACTGAAAGCAGCATAAATAAACAAACATGTGTACATATTTGTGAATAATTCAGTTAGATAACAACTGAACTAAGAATAAGAATAATGATAAAATAATTAAAATAATGATAAAAATTAAATAAAATAAATAAATCGCTCAAATTGAGCCAATGACTAAAAAGAAGCATGAAAACTGTGTTAGCTACACCTTTCTAACAGCAGATAAATAAAAACAAACTGAAGTAAAACTGGAATTCATAGCTCCATGCATATGCTAATGCAAATAAATAAATTCTCCAAAACACAGGAAACATAAAGCCATAGGAGAATGCTACCTAAGTAAAAGACAAGAAATTCTCTTCAATGCTATTTAAACAGTTAGTCTTGAAATTGATTCAAGCTATGTAGAAATTAAAGGAAAGAATATGTTTTATTTCTTTCAATTGTGATGTGTTTTCAACCTCTACTCCACTATATATATACAAAAAATTGTTCCAATATAGGAAGTAATCTAAATAGGAATAACCCTAAACTAGGAAACATAATCTTTACACTAGGAAGAATATGTTTTATTTCTTTTCAATGTGATGTGTTTTTCAAACCTCTACTCCACTATTATATTATACAATAATTTGTCCAATATAGGAAGTAATCTAAATAGGGAATAACCAATAGGAATAACCCTAAACTAGGAAACATAATCTTTACACTAATTAGGAATAAACCTAAACTAGGAAACACAATATTTACTTTAATCACAAAGATTTCAACAAGCTAAACAAATTCAGATTTGATGGTCAACAACTGACATATGAATGCAGGTCTACCTTATTCACCAATTATAATGATGTCGAAATTAGTAAAAGAAATGACAGAGAACTTAATGCAGGCATGGAAGTTGTAACCACCATTAAGACAGCAAAAAACCAAAAATCATTGTTGAGACAAACCGTGAGATGATTCCATCAAAAGCATCACCCCGTTGCAGCAACTTCAACAAAAAATCCAGTAAGTCATCAATTTGACGATTAACATGAGATCCTCGATGTGGCAGAAAACTCTTGACAAGCATTTTCAATCCATAAATCTGCAAAAGCAGAGTATTGAACTGATATCACAATCAAATAAGGGATTAAGACTTTTCCAGAAATATATCCATGAATACACTACCTAAGCACTGTCTAGGAGTTTTACTACCCAACCAGAACTTTTAAGAAGCAGTGGTGATAATGGGAAATGCTTATGCAAAGCCAAAGTAGCAGTTTATGCGACTCCAAGTTGGACCAAAATACTGCATTTAAAGAATAATACAAATTGATGTGCAACATAAAATTAGATTCTCAATTACTGTACAAGGTTCATTTGAAACACTTGTGAAAGTGCATGGATCAAACATACCCGGAAATCTCATCAGGGCTTCATATTATATTGCAGAGATACAAAATTTTATCATATAATAGAAAGTACCTGTAACTACTATCATAAAGATACCAATAAAAACAAAAATTTTGCAACTTACTAAAAACATTGTAGCAAAAAAACAGAAGATAGACAAGCTAGAACGCCAATCTCATATCAATCAAACCCATTTTCTTTCCAATTCCAGTATTGAGGCTTCTTTTAACAAGACAAGCTAGAAAACTGGTTAATCTCAGTTTACTGTATGTATATATCTACTTGGACAATATTAATATTTGCAAATTTGCTTACAGTTCCATTGTTCCAAAGTTCAATTAGTTCAAATTTACTAACTCAAACTTGCAGTAAGATTCAAGTAATGACACTGCTAGTGCTGGCAAATTTTCACAGAGAAAAGGAAATATTATGTTACAAATTTAAATTAATAATCTAAAATTTTAAAAGAAACATACCTTCAATTTGCAAGAAACACTACGCTCGGAAGTCTCACCAAATGAAGTGAAATCATCAGATTGTTCCTCCTACACATACAAGAGGCCATATTACTTGGACAATAATTTACCCACATGCACAGACAACTCATTCGATATTCTTTAGAAATACGAATCCTATATTGTGGCAAGAAATAATATAAAATGATGAACACAGTACAGTTTGCTTCAATTACTTGAAAAATTCTCTCAAATATATACAATCTGATCTCTCTCTCTTGAGCTTCAAATGCCGAGACAGAATGTTGTGCGATACATCCCAAGGACTGCAAAATGGTTGGAGTATTCCAACCTCTATGTAAAGAATATACAAGTTCCTGAGAAGACAGAACATAACCTCAAATTAAAAAGGAAAAAGAAAAGTAAAAGAGGAACATATTTTACAAACAAGTAGAATCAGTAAATGCAGATGGATGTACATCTGAAGTGAGACACTGAAGATAATAAATTGTAGGCTAAAATACATGAATTCACCCCAGAATTTTGCAACTATAATTGTAGGCAAACTGAACTTTGCAAAGGACCTATTGTGTCCCTCAACTTGCGAATGTTGCACACATTGTGCCCCTCTCCACACTAGTAACAACAATTTTTAGGTTTGTCTTTTATATGCAAAGTATTAACGTTTTTGCGTAGTTTGTACAAGTTTATGAATTTCATATTTTTCAACTATTTAATAATTTTTTAATTGATATAGTTTTACAAGATGAAGCATTCAATAGAATAATTTTTACAATTTGAAGTGTTTAATAGGTCCAATTTTATAACTTGAGGAGCACTATAAGTCCCTCGCAAAGTTGTTTGCACACACCATTACACATATAAAGTTCAAAGATACTTTTATCTATTTGGCCATAAACTGTAATGTTGTAACATGAGATTCATCAACAATATAGAAGGACAAACAAGGTTCACACGTTAAAAATAGATATCACGCATTGTTGAAGAAGTCTGAAGGTCTAATCCCATAAACATTAAAACTATGTCAAATAAAGATACATAAAAGAAATAAGAGAACAATTTTAAAATTTATGAATGTTGAATAAAAATAACTAGGAACTCTCACTGCTGAGCAATCATTCTATAGTAAATATTATATCAAATTCCATCATATTCGACAAATTTTAAATTTGCAAAGCACTTCTTATTTCTAATAACATTAACATGACCAAAAGTTAGAACATGATAACATACACAATACTTTAGTATTGTGACAAAAGAGTAAGCAGAAATGAATCAGGAAAAAATTGTTGCCAAATACATAAATTCACCCCTGTAGTTTTCATGAAAAATCTTGTGATACCCTCAGCTTCCACTTTGAACAGTTGAACCTTTCAACTTATAAAATGCACCTATTAAACATTTCACCTTGACCCATTGAACACTTCAACTTCTAAGATTGGATCAATAAAATGCTTATCAGATAGTTGAAAAATGTGAAACTTGTTGTTCTAATAGTTATACTAACCACATATCAAGTCAACATTTTGCACATAAAAGCCAAACCTTAAAAATAGTTGTTGCTACTATGGAGAAGTGTGTAATATTATCAAAATCCTTAACTTTAGGGGCATATGATAGATCCCCTGCAAAGTTTTTTTGTGAAAACCATAAGGGTAAAAATTTATGTATTTGGCCAAATATTGTGGTACCCATAAAAAATGAAAATGAAAGAATTTCACATGAAAGGTTATTACTATTAGCGAACTTTGCCAACCTGGTCATAGAGTTTTAAGATTTAGTAATTGCACTTTAATATTAATGAATACATAAAAATCACATGCAATTAGCCCCAACCCCACTAACCAATAAGTAGTTAAAGCAACAGAATGTTTTTCACTTCATTTTTGTTCTTGGCAAATGAAATAGACGCAAACAACAGGAAATTCATATTAGAATGCATTTAAGAAGTTCGGGCTAAATAATATCAACTTGCCTATAACACAAAAATCTGGCATACAAGTATAATAATCTTTTATAATTTTATGCAAACAAGATTGTCTCGTCTTTTCTGGAAGTCATCAAGAATGGTGTTGTTGGCAAAAGAAAACAGCTCATGAAAATTGCATAGATCATTCTTATCTTCCAATGAAATTTATATTGCTAGAGAGTGAGAGAGACCAAAGAAGCAATCTAGAAAATACATAAATGGATCAAATTAAAGAATATTAGTCACCTTAAATTTAAAATAACTATTAATGGAATAGAAAAATGAATTAGAAAACAGGGTTTGGTTCAACAAATATCCCGCAAAACCAAACACAAACATAACATGTGAAATGACAAAAAATAATTAATTAATCATGTAGCAAGTAATTTAATGAATGAATATAAACAGTTACTATGTTTGATCACCCAAAATGTACTGACCTTGCATAGTTTTGGAAAAGTGAACTCCTCAGAAGGGCCAATTAATGAAGCAATTGCAGAAATCGCGTGCTTGGACTGAACACGAGTTCCCTCCAGACAAGCACTCTCCAGAAAAGGATAAAAATCACTAAATCACCAAAAAAATGGATAAATTGGACAAATCAGTTACAGGCAACAAATATTAGAAACTCAAGAGATCTTAATGAGGAGTCTCTTAAATTGGTACCAAGTGAATAGACATCGCTTTGTACAATTCTTGCAAAACAAAATAAATAAATATGGTATTACACCTTGCAAGAGAGGTTCAGTTGGTTTAAGCATCTAATCAAATATGCAATTTGGGAACCAAAGAAATCCGCAATAAGAACCAACATTAATGTGTGAAATGATCTTCAGTTAGAAATAACATGGCTTATGGCAGCCTTTTCTCTTCCCCCCTTTTTTTTTCTGGTGGGAGGATTGGGGGACCCGAGTGACAGAAAGAATGAGTTTCCTTAATGCCAATTGAATTGCCAATGAAGCGGACAATACAATATTTGCATAGAGCATCTAATAATTAACATGCATGATGAGTCATTACATTATTTTAAAACATTTCTAGATTTTAAAAATATATGAAAAAGGAACCAGCAAGATTAGGCAATGTCATTTATTGTAATATAAATTTCTTGGCATTCCATTCCAGTAAAGTGTAGTTCAAGCACTCCCGCCAATAAAAACTAGAGAACAGCACTACCTAAATTTGACCGATATATGTGGGCCTGCTTTTGCAAAGACTTCAATAAGCACATCATTAATTGAACGCTTCTCCTCTAACAGTATTCGGAACTGCTCTTCAGAACCTCTCAATAGTAAGGGGGAAAGGCTGACAATAGCCTATATCAGGTAAAATGGCAGTTAATTTTAAGCAACAAGGATTGAAATAATAAAGAAATTTTGCATTATTGGAATTCATTCGTATATGAACTGATATACCAGATCATTCTATTACAATACAGAAAGCTGGCCCTAATATCCCACACTACCGCTTCTCCATCAAAATTCTGCTTTTTGTTAATTACATATTTTTTCAACAGGTTAGAAAGGTGTAAGACTAAATTTCATCAGAATCCATCCAGCCCTTTGGTGTAAAAGCATTTGCAGCATCAGCTATGCTGAATTACAATGTTTAAGAACTCCACATGAACAGCACAATGAGTACCTCAAAGCTGAATTTGGTACGCATGACAGGGTAGATGCTACTGGACAAGACTAGACAGAACAATAAAACTATTGTCCAGTCTAGTGTTTGGTGTGAAATATAAAATAAAAATAAGAAGTTAATTGTTTAAAGGATTAATATAAAACGACAAGTTAAAAAATGACTATAATACCCTTTATTTACCTTTTGTCTCCTCTTTAAAAAACTTGGAATTGAGATGGATGTATAACATAGTACAATCTGATGCAAAAAGTCATGTAACTGTAACATATGAAAATATATATCTTTTAATTGCTATTTTTCCATTTTAATTTTTTAAATAAAGCTAATAATAAACTATTTATTTCACTTTATTTAACGTTCTAATTTTCATTTTATAAGTGTTATTTTAATTGTCATATGTGTTTTCAATTTAATATGATATTTAATTTCTACGTATTATTTTGTTTTAATATTTTAATTTTAAATGACATAAACATCTCAGGGTATTATCATAAAAAAAAAAAGGATGGAATCTTGCCCAAAGATTGGGACAAGCTTGTACATCAATTTTAAAGACACAAATCACTATTGGGACACGATAAAAAGTAAATACTGGTTACGACAAACTTATCCTGTCCCACCAGTGCACTGATGAACGCAAAGAAGAATTTGCCTTGTCCTATCCTTTCTCATTCTATCATGCATGCTAAACGCAGCTCTGATTATATAGGAGTTCAAAACCCTTTTTCTGAGAAACTCATGAATCAAGTTTCACATGGATTCCAAGCCTATAAGTATATTTAAAATGATACTAGTTTAACATACTCCAAGAGCAAACAACTGCTCATGTATTTAAGTCTTAATTGCAACATGCTTGGAAAGCGATGACAGATGTCAACATTCCCTCATGCAGAACCAAGAAATATTGGGCAACCAATCTGAATTTGACCTAATTTACTTTAGCAAATTAACTTGCCTCTGTCTCATAATTTAAGATTATTGTATCGAGTTACAGGATTATAATGTCTTATTAGACTAGGACGGGCCATCAGCTTTCTGCATCAACTAACTGCTGGATCACATATTCTAGTGGAAAAGCTTTAATGAAATTTGAAAAGAGATGCATCACATACAAAAGCAAACTTAAATAACAATTATTATTACCAGAAGCAGCTTGGCAGAAGAAGCCTCCAAATGTCCATTTTCAAGCACCTTGCTTGAAAGAAGATCTAAAATACAACATACATGCTCTGAGCTGAATACATTGAATGAGCATTTTGAAGAGAGTAACTGTAGAAATTCAAAATGTGGATGTTTATCTCCTATCATTTTCAGAAATTTATCCTGAAAAAGGAGCAAATGCAAGAAGAGATTAGGATAAACAGAAAACAAAGTATCACAGTAAGCTACATATTGAAAGTTATTTAAGTAACAAAATGATGCAAGCTCGTGGATCTGACTAATGAAAGCAAAAGATGAGAGAACCTCCCACGACAACTAAGAATCAAAAAAACTTAAAAAACTGCACATCCACCAACTCCTATCAGGATAAAAAACCTTTAAAATAATAAAGCAAAAAAGAAAATAATAATGGCACAAAAGAAAAAAAAATCATTAATAATGGACAACAATCCGTAAAACCTTGGCAAATCATAGATGAACCAAATGAAGCCAAGCCTTGAATCGCTAAGGTCAAATTTAACCACTCATATTAGGAGAAGTTTTCAAATCAAATCACGTGTTATCAACTAACCACAAATGTGAAAGCATAGAATAAAGGAATGGTACCTATATATTCTACAAAGAGTATAATAAAGCTCATAAAACAAAAAAGAGTTGCTTCCAGACTCTCGTTTGGCAATGCCTATATAGAGATCAAGCATGTTCAAGCTTCTTTACATGCAGTAAATGATTCTCCTACATGATAACAAAGCACAAATGATCTAAACCTCATTAGGTTTTATCCAAAGAATAGAATGATCTTTATGAATTCAGTTTGGCTGCTTTAAATGCCTTTCCAAATCTTTGGGCTCTAAATATTGAACAGCAACACTGATATGTTTCCCAAGCTAACTTGAAACCATTACCAGTTTCAAGACTAGATAAAGAAATGAAATCAACCATTCACAACTATTAATGCAACAGATGGAAGACATGCATAATTGAGTGGTAGAGTAATGCCATGGTAAGGTGCAAGTCATCAGTTCAAATCCGATTTTAACAAAATTAACCAACAGATTAGCTTCAGTTTTATGTATCAACCAGATAGAAGCATTCATAGCTTCAGTTTAATGCAGAAAACAAACAAAAGCATTTGCAGCATATATTATCCATATGAAACTGCAGTTCTTTTCTGAATGTTTCACCATGATCTAAGGCAGTGATGTGGTGGTGCAGATATCGTGCACTTAAATGTCTAAGTAAAGAGGACACTAAGAAAACAGCATACTCTCATTGACTGAGCCTTTATACTTGTCTGTTCAGTCAGTAATAACTCCAATGCATTGAAAATCTTATTGTCTTTCATCTGGTTCAATTTATGAAAGCACTCTTCTGCTTTTGAAGGATCTGGAAAGGATGCTGACATTTTCATGAAAGAATTTTTTATTCTCTTTTGCATTTCTTCCGAACTATTGTCCTGCAGGGTATATTTATTGTGATTTGTTAGTTGCAACCAACAATAATAAACTGAAATTCAAAATGCTCTGTGACAGTGAAACTTAATTGGATTCATAAAAAGCTCATGCTGGGATATTCAAAACGAACTGATAGACAAAATAAATGAGGCCAACAATATATCACAAGACAAATATCCAGCACCAATGCACAAAATATCAATCATATCATAAGAGATCTATTAGAAATTATTATATGATGTTTGCATATATTATAAAATTAATTTTTTCGATGACATATCATGAAAATGCATGGATGTATAACATCTCGACATTTTTCCATTTATCGTTGAATATGAGAAAATTAACAAAAAGAGGGGCTAAATTGGGGGTGATTGACGATTACACAACACAGGAAGCAATTATCAATGGACTAGTTTACTAGTTTTTATGTGTTTATGATGTTCGCTTATCAATTCCCATCCTTTTGAATCTATCAAGATCTAGAAAATGACTTTTCAATTTTGCAAAGGGAATTAATCTTCTTTGAAAATAGCTTAATTTTCCATTATTTATGGTTGACCGGTTTTTTCTATATGTTCCAAGCATCAGAAAAGATGATTTTTTAAATGAAATTTTTCATGACAAATTGGAAAAGAGAACCCATAGTATATGATTTCATATAAAAAAAAAAGAGAGAGAGAGAGAGAGAGACTCGGCTACATTTTCTCAAATCTAGAGAATCATAACATCATAATTGTCAAGACAATATATAAATATACAATTGTTCGCTAAAGTTCAAAAGAATTGAACCAAAAATGAGCCCCAACCATAAATTCAGAGTTCAAACACTTCACATAGTTTTATCAAAATAAAATTGAATAACTGAAAACTTGTTGCGCATATGTAAAAGCTGGCAGAAATACAAGCCTTTCTACATAGGCCCTCCTTGTAGAATAAGAATAACAGGAAGCACAACAACAATCTTTTATCAACAATGGACTAGAAAAATGCATTATTCATTAAGAAAATCTCTGCTAATGAAAATCTGCTAACCAAAAGAAAAAGAGGAAGACAACCAATACTCTAAAGACGGTATCCACAGAACCTTGCTAGCAGTAAGAAACACACACAAAGAACCTGTAATAGTACCTTCTCTTTCTTCCGAAGGGCCAAATAACTTTGCATTTCAGTCTGCAACCTGAAAACAAACAAAAACAAATAAATAAAAAACCTATATTTTTCACAATGGTCAAAATAGTATTGATTATGAATACCTATGTTTCTGAGATAAAATTGAGTTCAGTGCCTTCACATGAAGAGGAGTGAAAAGAGAAAACAACTGGACCCAATGCCTAGTCCTGCATTCAACAGAAAGACAAACTGGAAACAAATCCTCTGCGAGAATAAGCTCCATATTTTGCAACCTGCAGAATATAGATAAAAGATTACACATAGTATTATAAAGCTAAATTTTGGATAAATGAGTCATAAGGTGGGCAGGAACAGACCTGAAATCCTTACAATCTTTATCATAGCAAAGCATTAAGATTTTACAAGGAATTTGTTCAAAGTGGTTGTTTATATTCATGTACCCTTCAGAACATTTGTTACAATAATCCTGATATACCTCCATCAACTTCTGCAAGGCCTTCTTCCTAACAGATGCCTGCAAGATATTCAAAACTTGGAATTACTTAATTTTCCCTCCACGATCTGATAGTACAGCGCATTCATTGATTGCTTATGAAACTTGAAAAAACTACCTTCTTATCCCGAAGTCTTTCAGTAGCTTTTGATATTAGTTCAGGGGGAAAAAATTTCAGGTTTAACCTGGCAAGATCACATACAACAACCACCGCCAGTGTTCTCACCCTGTCATCATAATCCAGCAATCGACCTTCAATGGCAACTGCTTAATTGACAAGTAATGAAATTCAAGTTTCAGAAGCAAGCGATCAGGAGTTAACAGCATCAAGAGAACAAGTTTGCTTGCTGAATGACATACAGAGAAGTTCAGATGATTCTTTTGCAAATGGATCGGCCGTGTAGCAAGCCTTAGCACATTGCAGAGCAGTAAGTCTAACTTCCACAGATTTATCAGAGAATCTATTTTTGAATTCTATAAAAAGATTCTGATACTCCTGTGCAACATGTTGTCCAGGTAGTGCAACGAGCTTTCCAATTAAATTAACAGCTTTAATTCGAACGTCAACCTGATCAGTCTGGAAATATAACAATAGTGTCAGTTAATCAGCAGACTAAACTTGCATAAAGAAAAATAAGACAACCTACGAAAAAGAATAGGATGTCCATAACAGTCATTCCATGCCATTCAAATGAGATGATATTATGGAGTAATATCAAGAGAATTAAAAGAGAAGTCATACCAGTAATTCTTGGGTCAAGTTAGGAATGACTGCAAGAAGCATCTGAGGGGCACACTGGAAAACTTTAAATAAAATTTCATGGTAAAATTCTTTGAGCTCACTCTCAACAGCATCTCTATCCAAAGAACAAGATGTTAAGAACCCACAAATGAAGGGCTCAAGCTTTTCTGCACAATGTTCAATGACAGAAACAGCAAGCTGAGAAGCAGCAGGGGATGCAGCCTGCAAAAAATACAAGGAAAAAAGAATTCAGAAGGAAATAATGTGGAGATGTTTGATACACCATCTGCATATGTGGTTTTCCAACATCAAATGGTATTCCATATGGATTATCAGCAAAGAATTTCAAAAGCAACTATTTAAGATAAACCATAAATTAGGAACTTTAATAGGCCAAGCCCAAAGCAAGAGAATCATTCGATAATGCACATTAAAAGATCTAACACAAATTACCAATTATTACCTGTAAAACCCCAGCACTATCAAGCAATTGCACATGCTTAATATTTAATAATATACATGTCCTGGGATCTGAATCCACAAAAATATATAAATACATTGTCCAACTAGCTCCATAGCCCAAAGTTAAAGAAAGAGAACTGTTGGGTATACTTCAACCATGAATTTTGGCACAAATTATGGAGAATACCTTTGAAGCTCAAATCTTGTGAAGTTTTTCTTTTTAGGAGAAAGCTAAGCTTTATCATAAATTAATATAGGTAGTGTTCTGCTATGAAATGCTAATTTGCAACCATTTCAACTGTAAATAAACATAGTTCGGAAATGAATGTCTATTTAACAGAAATATCTGCAATAAAAGCTTTCAATTTTGTTTCAATACAATCATCAAGTAGCAAAATGGCTTCTATACATGAGAAACACAAGCAGGAAAGCTAAATGGAGACTTGAAGAAGCATAAAATACAGCTTCATGAAAAAAAAAGTTTTCCCAGAAGAATTCAAAACAGAAGCTCTGAAGCACAAGATGCAATAATCATGGTGTTAAAGGGACGCTAAGATGCTTGTTTTGGATTTATCATAAAAACCACACCAAAAAAAAAAAAAACTCAAGTTTCTCAAGCAAAGAAAACATGGGCCTCTTCATTTCTCCTTTAAAAACTCATCCTAGGCAAACAACAAGTTTAAACATCTCCAATGGAAGAAATGAATTTGCATCCATGGTTATGCAATTGTTGCCTAAATACCACAATATGGTTCCAAAAATAGTCCTATGGTACCAAGAGCTGCAAGTGAAGAATAAGATCAATCAACTAATCCATGAAGGTCTAAGCCTAAACCTCATAATACAAGAAATTTGAATTCTGAAAATTCCAGCAACAATATTTCACCATAACTTTATTCTGAAATGTGGATGTGCAAGCTTCAAAAGACATTTAGAGAAATCCTAATTCAGGAACTATATCTGCAATTTACTTAGTTTCCAGGAAAATAATCTTTCACCACAGCTGTGAGACATTTCTCAAAATTTCACCTTTAAAAACCTATAAAAGGAAACATCATATATATGCCGATCATAACATTAGAACTTAGTGGTCTAGAGACTAAATATAGGCATGACCAATATTCCATAAAAAAATATAATAAAAAAATTGCCTGGAGTGAAAGAATAGATACTCTAAAAGCACTTACTGGTCCTTCCTTTACAAGATTTTGCAAAATCAAATCCGAAAGTGGTTGAGAAGCCTCCTCATTTAGAATATGTCCCATTATAGACAAGATATCATTTATCAAGCTTCTCTGATGGTTTTCCCTATTAATGAAGGAATGCAAGGCCATTATTGATCAAAAAATGAAAAACAAAAATAACAAAGATGATATAACTCAAAACAGCTTGTAACACACTAGAGAGTAACCATGCTATTCACAGCGCAACTCTTGAGACCATCAAAAAAATCCCAACCATTCAAACTCAATCATGTCATCAGAGTACAGCGAACAATACATGCTCTACAAAATTTTCAATACCATAGTATCTAGTTTGTGGGATAAAAGTATCAATGAAGTATCCATTTCAAGCTAGATTTCACAAATTATGTAATTTCATTGCAACTCATCACGTCTTAAACTTTGCCAAACCATGTTTGCATCAGGAGTTCACAGTTGGGAATTCAGCAAGCAGTAAAGGAGGAAGAAAGAAGATATTAAACCAGGTTATCAAAAAAGCAAATTATTTTCATTGTTTTTTTAGTTCAATAAGAAACAATAGACAGAGGCAAAACTTTTCTAAAAAAAGCAGAGAGAGGGGAAGAGAGCATCCTGACCTCACAATGGAGAAAAAAATGTTGAACATTTCACGAACTAGATCATTGCAGTCAATATCCAGCATTATCACACAACATTTACATCGTGCAACAGTCTCTAAAATTTTAGCCCTCCTTGAAAAATATGGACTAGCAGTGTCAGCAAGCTCCCCAAACATGCTGATTATGAGTTTAAAGATATCCTTTTAAAAAAAAAAAAAAAAATCTAAGTGAGTTGCAAATACTACATACAAACAGAGATCAGGAACAAATGCATACACGGAAAAGCACTTACAAACACAAAAACAAGCAATCATGCACTTGCTATTGAGAAGAGCAGGGAGACACAAACATTTATAGAGAAAGCAGAGGTTAAGAACATGTGAATTGACAATCTTATTACCCTTAGATATTTGTCTTCAAAAGGAGGCTCAGGTGCCAGGATCCGGAATATTTCACTTACACAAATAGCCACCAAAAGCTTAACGTCCTTATCACTATTTCGAAGAAGGCTAAGCTTAATAATAGATTTGCTTAGGGGTCTTATTGCAGCTTCTAGCGTCTTAATAGCTTTTACCTTCTTAGAAGCTTCGGGCATTGAAGGCTGCTCAATTTGAGACAAAGAAGTTGCAGCTTGCTGCAAAATTACAAATGAGCAAATAAAAAAATAGCACATAATGAGATTATTCTAAGAATATACCTAAGGAATGCACCACATTATGTATATGATTTAGGCTTAAAAATACATTAGTCGCGTATCCTTAGAACTATCTAAGCTACTTGACCAACAAGAAGCAACGGAAATGAAACCATAACCAGTTCTGAATTCAATAAAACCAAAATAAACCAGATATTGACAGGTTGAAGATGCAAATTAAATTAAGCCCAACAGAAAATGAGAGAGATGCAGAGAAATTAAGATGCGAGTAGAAATTTTTTTCTTTTTTCCTAATTTTAGGCAAGCATTTCAAGTTTTGGGGGAAAAATAGGGAAAACAAAAGTATTTAGTCAAACTACAGACACAGTACAGTACTGTTAAGCCGCCATTATCTCTTTGACGATACTATTTTACTGTAAATTCAGTGATCAACAGTTAAGTAAACAGCGTACTCTGAGCGATTTGACAAGAAAGTCTTTGTTGGGACGAGCGAGTCGGCCGAGTTGAGTGCCGATTTCGGAGACGACTTGTGACGGAGACTCGTCCATGGACTCGGTAGATGAGAATTGGAAACCCTAGTAATCCGACCAAGAAGGGAGAGAATCACAGTCAGAGGTTTTTAGGTTCTTTCTTTGTTACTGGCATTGGTTCTGATTCGAATACAAAAAAGTACTAGTATTTATGAGAGGAGAAAAAGAGGAGCGATTTTGAGAATGGATGATCCCGCCTTCGGTGCGCGTGGATGCTACGCTCTTTTTTCTTTCACTTTGGTTGGCAGTGATCGTGGTCCATGGCTCGGTTAAACGGATTTGCTTTTCCATGGTCCAAAAGCAAATTTTTGGGATATAAGCTCAGTTATTTGATATATAACATGGGCAAAACTAGTTGTTTTTACTTTTAAAAATTAATATAAATACTATATTATCGAGTATCAATTGGATAAAGCTAGTTGTTTTAATTTTTAAAAATTAATTTAAATACTATCTTATTGAATATCAATTGCTGAACGCAGTCAAATTTTAAATTTATGATTGATTTATCTATTATGTGAAAAATAAAAAAATTTAAAAATATGAAAATCAAAAATAGATTTTTTTAATCCGTCTAGAATAATTAAGGGGTTGTTTGATTTTGTAATTGATTTCCTTGGACTCTGTCCATGGGTCTACTCCTTAATCAAACCAATAAAAAATATTTATTATTGAAATAAAATTATTTTTACTATTAATTAAGAAAAATAAAATATTAAATGGATATATTTTTTAAAAGAATTTGCATAATTTAATCTATTGATAGAGCCATAGACAATGTCTAAATAAATATAATTCATTTGAATTAACATGTCATCTAAACAAGTTTAATCTATTTTATCAGCCCAAATCATGATCCACGTATGATCCAACGACACATATCTAATAACAGGAAATTATAATTTCGAATTCATTACTAAATGTTTGCTCTCGTTTTTGATGGGTTCTCCCATTAACAAGTGCTTTAGCAGTTATCCTCATCATTAAAGCTAAAAAGGGCTTCCCAGACATCTGTGCAACTAGGTGAAGATGTATAATTATGAAAGCTTGACAAAACTTCAATGTCAACTTTGCAAATACTGCACGAACCTTTTGCAACCATTCAAGCTAAATCTAGAGAAAACAATTTATTTTCTAATTATAAATTTTATTAAAATTAGGGATTAAATAATTATCTTTCTTAAAATCTTTTATTTCTTTAATTTTCGTCCTATATTTATTTTTGATTAATAAAAGATTTAGCAGAAAATGGTTTACAGATTGAATTAGGTTGAATTAATTTGGAATTAAATAATACAATAATTAATCTAAAAATGATATTCAGCCCCTCATTGTCAAAGTTCAAAGTTTAAACTGATAATTTGGGCTTAAAGCCCATGACCCAATCCCAATCGGCTCGCCTTCATTTTCAACGAGTTCCAACACAGCGCAGGCGGTGCTCAGTGGCCACCAAAAATGGAGTTCGCGAACAGATTGGTCGCCGCAGCAACGAAAGCCGCCAACAATAACACAGTGATAAACGTATGCCTCGTAGGAGCCTTTACAGCGTTATGCGTGCGATCCGTGAACCACCAAAAGGACATTGAAGCTCTGGAGGCGGAGAAGGAGTCTTTAATAAAATCAAATAAAGCCTTGAGAAAGACCATGTGGGATTGGAAACAGGAGCTTTTTGCTGAAGCCCACTCCGATTCTGCCTTGGTGCCTCTCGCCAGACTCAAGGCCATCTATGGCGAGGCACCATCGCACCCAACTGGTAATTCATTTTTCTCTTATGTATTCATATTTCTATACATGTTTTAAGGAAATTGATTTTGGATATGTTTCTGTTATAGCTGGATTATGGATTTTCCAATTAATGAAAGTCTATTTGCATTTGAGGGGTTGATTTATTTTTATTCATGCTAGAAGCTTCCAATTCCTAATTGCACAATGCGGCTTAGATAATTCAGAACTTTTTTTTTTTTTTTTTTTAGTTCTATTTGCCATTTGAGGGGTTGATTTATTTTTTATTCATTGCTAGAAGCTTCCAATTCCTTACTTGCACAATGCGGCTTAGATAATTCAGAACTTTTTTTTTTTTTTTTTTTTTTTTGGAGAGAGTGAACATGGAATTCATTGAATTTGCAAATGAATTTCTTTTTTTTTTTTTTTTTTTGGAGAGAGTGAACATGGAATTCATTTGATTTGCAAATGAATTTCATAGAACAAGAAAATTGATTCCATTTGGAAATGACTGGTCCCATTTTGATGGAATTTGATTAAAGAATGATCAGTAGCATAAGCTTAAAGATGCAGAATTGCGAAATGAAATTGGTTTAACAAACTTGACAAGTGTGGATTCATTATTGAATTCCATAAAATTTTGTGGAATTTCTGATAGAGTTTGAGCTTGAGAATAAAAATATGGGACCACAAGATTTTAGACACCCATATCCTCTAATTTGGGAGCACTAATCAGCATGTACTTCTATTCATATTTATTCAAAGAAAAGAAAAGGATTGTAATACTAAAACCTCAATCCAAATTTCAAAGGTATATTGACCCTTGAATACAGGGAAACTTTAATAGAAGAGTCTGTTTGATCTCGCCAGACATCTCAAGTTTGAAATTCCCAAATTATTGGACTGTTGTGAGATTAGGGAGGGGACCTACTGGATCTCCTAGTAGTCCCACCAAATAAAAAAATAAAAAAAATAAAAAAAAACTATATTCCCAAGACAGAAATTTTTTTATGAAATTCAAAACACTGTATGGTTTGAAAATCATTGGTTTTGGTTGTAGGTAAGTAGCCTGATCGTCTTTACTTTGTTGCATTTCATGTGAGAGGAATGCAACAATGAAAATACTTCAGTTCAGGTTATAATGCACTATGAGATTGATTGTCTAATGGACTTCAACGAAACACAACCACATTTGCAAAATTTGTTGGAAATCCTTATGCAATATGCTTTTATATCCCGTGAATTTAGAGAAGTTCAACATTGTAATGTGATTTTCTATCTTCAGGCCAAGGGATGTTTATGACTAAGATCATGGTCCTAACAATACCAAGTGATGGGCAGATAAAGACAGGAAATTAGATACCATTTTTTCTATTGCCAAAGCATGTGTCTATTACTTTTATTGATAGCATTAATAAGATTAATCTACTAGTTATATCAACCTAGCAGTTTCTAACACTGATAGTGGAATACGTATCTCCTCAATTGCTGCGGTGTCTGTCTAGTACTGTATGTCGTAAATAAATATTGCAAGCTGCTGGATATATAAAAGTGAAGCTGAAATAGAGATGCAAACTTTTTATGCCTGAATCAAGTATATTATTTGTTTGATTTGTTTTTTTATCCCTGCTGATTGATTTTTTCCTCATATGGCTTTGACAGGAGATGCTGGGAAGGAAGATGCAAAATTACCAGCATCTAAACTTGTAATCTAAAGGTTTTCATCATGAATTATTCACTTTATCTAGCATGCAGATTATAATGTAGCAGTGGCAACAGTTTTTATTTTATTCTCTCACTTCTGCTGATAAAGTATGAATTGATTTTGGCCTTTTTGGCATTTTGGGTATGATCAAAGCAATAATTTTCCCTCTTTCTAAAAGGTCACTAAATTTTGGTTGCAGACGCTCAAATCGTCATTTTTGCAGCAAATTGGGCAATTTCTAATTTACTAGTGTTTCTAGATTAATTGTTGATCATATCTGGCATACCATGTTTCTCATGTTCTAAATGCATGCTAATTATACAGCTCAAAAGAAATGCTTCTTGGTTTTTCATTTAGAGGTCAAAACGTTTAGATCATGACACAATGTAATGGGCAACCATTGTTCCTTCGCTAATAATCTCACTCCGTGACTCTGGTGACTCCGATGATTTTAACAATAACAAAAATAGAGGAGGATAATTTCATATCATATGAATTTGATTCTCTGCTAATTAAATTAACATGTATTTAACCTCTCAGTGGTAAAGCATTGAGATTTCCGTTATTCTAACTTGAGTTTGGCATGTTAGCATCAATCTTGTTTAAGTTTGGCATGTTAGCATCAATATTGCATTATGCTGTAACATCACATTATTTTCCTTTGAAATGGTATGGAGAGTCATTCAACCAATTACCAATGGCTGCCGACCAAAATATCACACTTTAATTATGCACATGTTCAAAATGTTCATAGCCATTTTGAGGGATTACCCACTTACCTAAATAGTCTTGAAGATGGACAAGTCAAAACAAATGAATAGGTTTTCACACTTTTGAGTTTGAGAGGGTGGATTGCTTGTAAAATGGAAAAGCTGACACTTTAAATTTGCATCAAATGTTTAATTTGGTACAAATTCAATTTTTAGATTAATATATGACATAAATTTTAAGTTTAATAAGTAAAAGTAGTCCGAAACCTAGGGCTTGTTTCAATTGAATCGTGGTTTTTAAATATGAAACTTAAGAATAATTCACTGGTATGTTTCAATCAATCAATTTATAATTTCTCTTCCTTGAAAATAGGATGAATTAGTAAAATAAATTTGATAAAGAAATAAATTCATAATGTGTTTTTCTTAAATATCATTTATTACAATAAATTTTCAATGGCATTATATTTTTTAGAAAACATTAAAGATTAAAAATACTTAAATATTTAAAATTATATTTTTTTTTCCAAAACATTTCCTTGTTTATTTGAGATTCTCTCTGTTTTTTCCAATATCACGGTAAAATAAACAATTATTTATATTATGGAAATTAAAATATTTAAACCAATAACCACTAATGAATGCCATTAAAAAATGAAGGTGATTATTGGTAAGAGAGACAATGTTAATATAATTTTGAAGTTCGCGTATTTAATAGGTCCCATGAAAAATTGAATGTGAATTATGTACTTAGCATTTTTAATATTAAAAAACTTAAAAATATAGTATTAAAATATTAAAGAATTTAATTTTTTTTTCTTAAATTTATTATTATATCTAAAAAAACACAATAATTATTTTCTACAATTTTTTCAAAAATCTATTTTCTCACTTCTAGATGTAACGATTGAGTTAAATTGCGTATTGTTTAATTTAAAATCAAGCAAGTTTAGCTCTTTAAACTTAGGGAACATAGTTTACATTTTTTCTTTTTTTTTTAAGATCTTCGTCGAGCAATTGACAAATAGTTTGGCTAATTTACAACTCTATGACTCCCTTTTACTTTCTATTATTTTTAATGGTAGATTAACGTAGAGAACACTTCAGATTATAGTAATTATGTGAGTAAATAGTAAATCAAATTAAATAATCTCTTATTATAATTTATATAGTGAGCAAAATCTTAAGCGACAGAAAAAAAAAAAATGGAGAGGATATCACTTTTTTGATTTCGTCCTTGTAATTTTTGCATTGAAAACGGTACTCAAAATGATAATAGCGTAGTCCACATCAACATAACACATATTTGAGAAGATTGTTAATTGTTAAATATTTATTAATAAATCAAAAAGCTTATATTATAAATATAAATATTTTGTGGTGAGATATCTCTGATTTAATTTCTCAACTTTGATGAAGATACATTAATATCAAATTATCAATTGATGACCTATTTCCAACTAGTGAAATGCATACTTCACCTCTCCTCACCTGCAACAGTTGCTAAATCAGCAATTAGGGTAAAAATTTCTATTTCCCATTGAAAAACATGGGATATGATTGATTTAACTTTTTAAGATAATCAAAATGTTAAGATTGAGAGAATTAACTAAATACTAAATCCGTTTTTTGTACTTGTATGGAAGTTTTTATTATATCTCGAATTTTTTAGAAGATCTATCGTGTTTTTGAAGTTAAAAATTTTGCGAATCTCTTAACAGCAACAATAATAATTTTTAAAGTTTTAACTTTTATACATAAAATATTATTTTCATATATGGTTGTTATAATTTTTAAAATAATAATTTTTATAATTTTTAAATGTTCAATAAATTGAACTTTACAATGATTTTTTCTAAAAAGAAAAAATATGTGGGCAAATTTGTATATTATCCTATTTTCATTGAATTATAAATTCATAATTAAAATAATTCTTTATAGGTTTCATTTTTTTACCACTTGGAATGTCTTAATTATATATGTGAGGGGAATCCCCATTCCCAAAAGTTAGAAACTTCACGCTTCATGGGTAAGGCAGGTGCTCTTTTAATTTCGAGTGACCTAACGGTTAAACTCATGTGCTCTAGTTGTCCTTTTTTTTTTTTTTTTTTTAATTCTTTATAGGTTTTCATTTTTTTTTTACCACTTATGGAATGTCTTTAATTAATATATGTTGAGGGGATTCCCCATTCCCAAAAGTTATTAAACTTTCACGCTTCATGGGTAAGGGCAGGTGCTCTTTTAATTTCGAGTAGACCTAACGGTTAAACTCCATGTGCTCTAGTTTGTTCCCCTTTTTTTTTTTTTTTTTTTTCATTACATGCTATTATACGATGGATTAATATTATCACCAACTTTTTTTTTTTTTTTTTTCATTACATGCTATATACGATGGATAATATATCACAACCAGCATTGGGAACGGTTGAAATTGAAACAAACTTAAATAATTTTAATTTTAAATATAAATTATATCAAAATCCATAAATCCTCTATTTGAAAAGGAAGGGAAGAAAAATATTGGAGGAAAGAAAATAATGAAAATTTATAGATTTTCTTTCTCTAGCTATTTCTCGCACTTATTTTTGAATATAATAAAGAAAATAAAATAAATTTATTTTCCTTAGTTTGGGAGGGGGAAAATTTTAAAGAAAAATAAATGTTATTATTGAAATTGACAATTATATCACTCCTTAAATTAGTAGGCATGTAAAAAATGGTTAAAGTTTGTTAATTAATTTGGAATATTTGGATAGATTAATAAAAAATAGTGAATCTTTCACTTTCTTCCTTTATTTTCTCTCCAATTTAGAAAGATTCAAAATATGTGGGCACGGTGGAAAATAACTGAAACATCACTCCGTCTGATATTATCCTCCTCTTTTTCAAACAAGGAAAAATACATTTCTTTAGATATTTTTCATATTTATTTTATTTCTTTCAAAAAAAAAATATATCCGTTCAAATAGAGAGTAAAGTTAGCTGTAACCCAATTCATGGACCAAAAGAGAAATTTTTTTTATTAAAATAAATATATTTCTGACCATATATATCAAGAAAAAAAATCATAAAAATAAGATAAATTTTTAAAAATTTATATTGTCATAGATTCACTCTAATGTTGCCACATTATAAACAGAGTCTGTAGAAAATAGTGGAATAGAACCCATGACCTCTTATAGTCATAGGTAGCCCACCTTAGCCATCTAAGCCAGCAGGGGTTCTCCGCCACTTATTCAAACTTGGCTTTCATTTGATAATTTATTAGCTTGAATTTGCAGCAGGAGTGCCCAATACAATGCAAAGCTCATTAAAGTCAAAAACTATATGAATTAAATAGAATGATGAGAGAAAAAAGAGTTGAGTTGGGATTTTTTGGCCCTAGCTAGGAGAAAAAGTGTTGCATCTAAACTTTTTTATTCTAAGCAATTCCACTTTATTGGCAACTTCTAATGGATACCTTGCCATTGCTATCATAAATATACCATTAATGTTATATGGTTGTAATAATAGTTTTTAACTAACAAGTTGACTTCAAATTTTTTTTTTTGATTTATTAGCAAAATCATATTCATCCCAATGATAAAATTTATGCATATGTAAAAGAATCAGAATTTATAATTTTTATGATTTTTTTATAAATCATATCTTTTTTTAAAAAAAAAAAAAAAACTAACTTCATTCTTTATCTAGTAATTTTATTAAATTTGGTAATTCTATCAATTTTTTTTTGGTAGCACAAGAAAAAAAAACCAACTTCATTCTTATTTAGTAATTTTATTAAATTTGGTAATTCTATTTTAGTAATTTTATTAAATTAGGTAATTTCATCATTTTTTTGGATAGCACATAAATGTAACTTGATTTTATGATTTCAATCAAGTTTTTTTTTTTTTTTTTTTTTTTTTTTGTGTTCGCTTATAATTTGATTTTAGTTTTTAAATCAGCGGATGCGAAACTTCAGGAAGGCTATCTATTAGAGGACGTTTCGATTTTATGCATTCTTCTTCTTCTTCTTTTTTTAATTTTGCGACAAACCAAATAAATGCACCTTAAAACAATACAGATTGTTCTGTAATAATATTAATTCTTTTTTTTTTTTTTTTTTTTTTTTTTTTTTTTTGTGTCGCTTATAATTTGATTTTAGTTTTAAATCAGCGGATGGAAACTTGGAAGGCTTCTATAGAGGAAGTTTCGATTTTATGCATTCTTCTTCTTCTTCTTTTTTAATTTTGCGACAAACAAATAAATGCACCTTAAAACAATACAGATTGTTTGTAATAATATTAATCTCACTCAAATTTCGGCAACTAAGCATCTAATAAGATGAATAAAATTATTCTTCTTATTCAAGAAACTATTATATTTTCAATAATTAATTTAATATACTATAACGTACATCGCTCATTTTTATTTTCACACAAACTAATATTGTTGCTTAAATAATAAATTTTTTACCTGCATTCTTTTTCTAATATACCTTTAATTTATATGCCACTCTAAAAAAGAGTGGAAAATGGTTAATAACTAGATAAATTAAATAAGGCTATATTAAAGAATTGAGAAACTAATTATGAATTAAAAAAAAAAACTTATAAGTTGAGACAAATGAATAAATTTATTTTTTACTATAAGACAGAGGAAGTATTTCTTAAAAATAAAAGCATCGTAATTAATAAAATTTTCCAACATAGAAAAAGACCAACAAAAAAAAGCATGTAATAAATTAAAATAAAGAATAGTAATAATAAAAGGAAATATTAAGGAAACTTATAATAATAAAATAAATAACAATGGGAGGAAATACGGTCAAAATTTAGCGAAAGAAAATAAAGAAAAATAATATAGAAAATAATGTTAATTTTTCTCTTATAATTATTTTTCATCATCGTGTTTAAATGTAATGAAGAAAAATTTTTTCTTCATTTAAAAATGATAAAATTTCATAGAAAATAAAATATTATTATTGAAAATTGACAATTATCCACTCATTTGTTTTTAATCAATAAAATGTGATTTTAATTATCTTAAATAAATGTTAATATTTGTTAATTAATCTGAGGTTTTTGGATAATTAATAGTAGCAAGTGAATGACTTACTTTTCTCTGTTATTTTCTCCTAAAATAGAAAATAAATGAAATATTATTTCATTTAATATTTTCTTTTCCTAAACAAAGAAAAATACATTTTTTAAAATATTTTTTCATATTTATTTTCCCTTTAAAAAAAAAAAAAAAACTCCCAACCGAACCGATTCGTTATTGCTTCGATATGATTTCAGTCTGAATGCGAAATTGTATACAACATAAAAATAAATTATGGAAGGAAAAATCGTAGAAAAATAGTAGTAAAATGTGGTGAGATGCTAAATAAGAGAAGAAGAAGAAAAATTTTGTGGCTGCGGATTTTATTTTTATTTATTTGGTGCAGACCCACTTAGACCCCATTACGTATGCAGGATACAAGCTCTTGTCTTTGGACCCACCGACCTGCGATCCCCGTAAAGCTCGGGGCTTTTATAAACCGGAGGACGGGGCATTAAGCAAAAAATGCAGTTTGTGGCAAATTAAGAAACATTTGGCCTTAATTCTCAAAAGAAAAAAGAACAAAGAAAAAAGAAAAAAGAAAAAAAAAAGAAAAAGAAACATCTGGCCTGATTTGGAAATATCATTTGCTATGGCATCATAATTAAGTGACAGACGTTTAAAATTCAATGCAAAAACCGCACAAACAGAGAGAGGGGCAAATCACATGGAAGAAGAGCTGCCTGCTCCGTTACGCCCTCCCTCACATTGTTATTCTTGTTAGGGTTTCTTCTTCTTAATTGTTCCTTTATTTATAATTTTTAATTGTTGTTTTCTCTCTCTATGTAACTTTTAGTTTGGTCTTAAGCCTCTTTATCTACTTTCCATTTTGAATTGGGAACTGAAAAGGGAAGGGAGTGAAATTGAGGTGAATTGGCGATCTGGTTTGTTTTCATTTTTGGGTCATTTGAGGGTTTGAGCGTCTGTGTGTGTGTGTGTGTGTGTGTGTGTAGGAGAAATAGAGAGGGTGGGGAAATGGAGGAGACTGTGTTGTGTCAGTGGACCGTGTTCAGATCTCTGCTTGCTATTCTTCAGTGGTGGAGCTTCAATGTTACAGTAATTATCATGAATAAGTGGATCTTCCAGGTCTGTTTTCTGCCTTTTTGATTGTTAAACGATCTCCATTTTGTGTAGATTTTGAATGATAACCTGGTTTTATTTATGTCGCACCACTTACTTTGTTTATTTTGTATAATTTGTTGGGCTTAATTTTGTTAATGTGATGAATATTTATCGATTTATTTGATGGGTATGCTAAATTATGTAGAAATTTTGATCCTTTATGGCTTTTGTTTTATGGGTTACGTTAATCTGAATGTTCAGTTTTCTGCGTACGTTGATGTTTGAGTCTGAAATTTTATTAATTTTGTTGATTTCTAGAGAAAGTTTGTTTCCTTCTATTATATTTTTTGATTTGGACGTTTCCGTCCTTGGGGGTTTGGTTCTACTTAGATTCAAAGAAGTCCCATTTTAAAGGATTTTTTATTTAATTTTTCCTCTTTCCAGCTATTTATGTAAAGTTAATAATTCCAATTGCCATGTGCAGAGTCACTAAGCCTAATAGTTTATCAGAAACTGGCGGTAGATGGGAATATATATTTGGCACTAAAGGCTTGCCATTTTTGAATAGTATATATAATCTGACAGTTTGATGGGTATGGTTGGGTTGGTCATCAGTTTGTCTGTACTTCAAATCCTTTTACATAATTGGCAATTGGCTTCTTCTTTCAGAAGAATTATGCATCTTAAATGGAGAAAATGACTAACAGCAAAGCTGTCATTTTTGTTTGCATCTTATCATGATTGATGCAATATTTTGATGTATATGGAACGAAACCTATGTAAAGCTAAGTAATTTAGTAAATCATGGTCAATGGAAGGTTATAAATCTTGCTAACCTATGAACTCCTTTGAAAAGCGGGAAACACAATGGAATGTGGTTATAAAACAGAAGGTAGATAATTGTTTGAGATAGACATATGCTTGATCTTGATTCCTTGTTTTCTCCCATTACTTTTGTTTGTTTAATAGATAAGAAAATAGGCATATTGAATAATGAAAAATTTTGATAGTCTGATGGTTTCCTTTGTATTTAATCCTGATTGCTGGAGTGCCAAATTATTTATGAAATCCAATTCTGGAGCACTTTAGCCTTAAGACTTACAAGCTTGCCCATGGAAACTTTTTCTTTTTTACCCAGTATTTTAACTGGCTTCACTTAAACCAAGTATTTTATCTGTCTCTCTATCTGATATCAAATTTAATTATCATAAACGGCTCTATTTGATATTTAGATTGTGTTTTAGTATTTTTATGTTCCTTTAGGATCTATTTCAATAAGTTTAATATTCTGGCTCATAATATCTTTGTTGGTCTACATTGAATTAAGAGGAGATGACTTGTGGGAAATTGTTGTGCTTAAAATCGTTCACTCCATGATCTAGTCATTTGCTGGTTATTTCATTCTAAGCCTATTTTATGGTTCCCACCTGATTTGTTTGTTATCTTGTTTGCTAAGATTGCCTTCTATCCTTCATAGTTCTGACGTCTGAGTTTTGTTATATCCTTGATACTAGTTTGCTTCATCTTTCAAATCGATGGTTTGTGCAGAAATTGGATTTCAAGTTTCCACTCTCAGTATCTTGTGTTCACTTCATTTGCTCATCCATTGGAGCATATATTGTAATCAAAGTGCTGAAGCTGAAACCACTAATCGTGGTAGACCCTGAAGATCGCTGGCGAAGGATATTTCCTATGTCATTTGTATTCTGTATCAACATAGTTTTGGGGAACGTAAGCTTACGTTACATTCCAGTTTCTTTTATGCAAACAATTAAGTCATTTACTCCTGCAACCACAGGTTAGCCTCAGATATCAATTACACAAGCTATTATCTCTTTGCTGCTTTCTACTGTATTCTTGTTGTCATATCAATCTCGATGTATTGGGCAGTTGTTTTGCAGTGGTTGGTCTGGAGAAAATACTTCGATTGGAGAATTTGGGCTTCTTTAGTACCTATTGTTGGAGGAATTCTCCTCACTTCTGTTACTGAGCTTAGCTTTAATATGTTTGGATTTTGTGCTGCCTTATTTGGATGTTTGGCTACTTCAACAAAGACTATCCTTGCAGAATCGCTGCTGCATGGATACAAGTTTGACAGGTAGTGCCTTTATTCTTGGGACGATATCTTCATCCACCGCTAAAATACATCTGTTTGTTGCTTTACTTGTTCATTTTGGTATTTTTTCTTGGAAGCCCTCTGACTGGAACTCTTTCATCTGGCTTTGGTTTGGATTGCTATATTTTGCTTCATTTGTCTTTTTAACTAGCATTTTGAGATGTACCTTGAGCATGCATAATGTGTTGAAATCTTATAAGAGTTTGGCCTACTTTGATAGACAGTGCTGAATTAATCATCAATATCTCTAGTTACATCTGATTCATAGTATCAAAGTCTTGCCATGTGAACTTTTTGATGCATACATGAAATGTTACCATGGCAGCTGGGTTTTATTAATTATTTTGGATACTCTAATGTATCAATAATAGTTATTGAGAATTGCTGCACTCCAGATTTTTCAGGACGGGTATTTACCCGACAGTTGTATTTCTCTGATTTATTGTTTTGGCTTCTTTGTTAACATAGGAAGTGGACTACATTATATGTTCTCATTTTGTATATATTACAAACTTGAGGTGTAGCTTTTGAGCACAGATAATGTTTGTATATTTTAGGCCAGAAACCCACTATAGACCATTCATTTCAGATAAATAAATAAAGATTGCTGAAGGCAGGCTAGAAGTTTAATGATTCAAATTATCAAACAAAATGAGATGCATACATTATGGCAAGGGACCCTGTTTCTGTTCAATATCTCATTTAACCTGTCTGTAAATGCGAAGACATTGACTAAGTAATTGCTGGTGTTCGCACATTGTTAAACTACTCAAAATCATTATAGAGATTTCCTTTTTGTGGAGTCACTTTGGATCTGCAAATGTGAGTCAAACAATTTTTTGTACCATATATATTATAATAGTATATGGTCAGAGTTATGAGATTGGGAAATAGATTTGAAGTTTTCTGAACCTCTTGTATTAGGAAACAATTCCAGGATTTTTTTGACAAGGCTGCTTGTTAACTCATACTCGTTTATCAAAGTCAATAAGATGAAAGTCAAGGGGCTGTTTGGTATCATGTTTGGTGTCTGTTTTTCTTATACTAAACGCTTCTATCCTGGGAAAAGGTTAATGAAGCAAGGAAATCTCTGTTTGCGTTTTCATTACTGTGAACATATTTTTAAATCTTAATACACCAATAAGAAAAAGAAAAAGATTTGAATAGATATTCTTCTACATTTGGGAACAAAGACCAAAAATGATTACCAGTGAGATGGGCAGTAAGTTTTTGAAAACTTTGTGCTTGTGTTGACGTGTTTTTCTTTGGTGAGGTGAAGCCAATGCATGTGAAATTCTTTGCCAGATTTACTGCCACATGATTTAATTGGATCGTTTCCTTTTGTATAATTTTTGTTGCACCTTTTCAGCATCAACACAGTTTATTACATGGCTCCTTTTGCAACCATGATCTTGGGTGTACCAGCGTTGCTACTTGAAGGTAGTGGGATTGTTGATTGGTTTCACACGCACCAAGCCATCTGGTCTTCCCTTCTCATCATTTTGAGCTCTGGGGTGCTGGCCTTCTGTCTTAACTTCTCAATCTTTTATGTTATTCATTCCACTACTGCAGTCACATTCAACGTTGCGGGAAACCTTAAGGTGAGAGACCTATAGGCAATTCTATCCTTACATGATCAAACCAATTATATTTTTGTCATCAAGCTTTCATAGTTAAGTTGTGTGTTGATTCTGTACAGGTAGCAGTCGCTGTCTTGGTTTCATGGTTGATATTCCAGAACCCAATTTCAGCTTTGAACGCTGTTGGATGCGCCATCACTCTCGTGGGATGTACATTCTATGGATATGTGAGACACATGCTTTCACAACAGCCGCCACCACCAGGAACTCCTCGAACGCCTCGGACTCCAAGGAATAGAATTGAATTGCTTCCCCTTGTAAATGATAAATTAGATGATAAGGTCTAATGAAAGAGGTAATACAAATATAGAAGGGAAATTGGATAAAACAGAAGTTCACTTTGTTCTGTACACTGTCATTAGATTACTTAAAAATTTTTAATATATAGTATTTATTTTTCTTGATTAGTTAATAGTTATAGAAAAATATATATTTATCTTTACAATTACATTTCCTGGTACTTTTTATGGATTTAGAAGTCCATCATAGCCTGCTAGGCTTTCATGATACAAAGTTGCACGCTTGTGAATGCATCTCTGAGAAAAGCTTAGGTTTTTAGCACACTCCAACCGAAAAGTAAATGCTGTATGACTGATGGATGCCTCAAATGATTACTTTTCTTGTCAAATTTTCAGAAGATTGCTAATTGGCTTGGATTTTACACGTCACCCAAAGATCTGTTTCATGCCTTCTCTCTCTTTTGCCAGTTATATTATACATATTGTGAAGTATAAATTTAAAAAAAAGCAGGCCAATAGAGCCAAGTAAAAATTCTATCAAGTGTATCAAATGGTACTGAATTTTTTTTCATCTATTTTCTAACCCAAAAGCTTATATCTTTATTTTATCTCTATTTTCAAAACAAAAAAAAAAAAATTATGAATTTCAAAAAACAAATAGAAAGAAATGTTAATGAGAGTAAATAAACAGATTTCAGGATTGCATCCATAATAATATTACATTACATAAGATGCCCAATAGCTATTGGTTTTATCAAACTAGATGAGAGGGATAGAGAGGAGAGAGATTTTAATGACATGCCATTAGTAAAAAGGAACATCTAGTTAGCACTTAATGGTCTACAGAAGGTGATATTAGGGTATCTAAATAATAACACTTTTTATCTATCTTTTCAAAGTCACTAACTTTATTATTAAACTAAGCTAATAACCAGAAGTTCTTCCTCCATCTAGTGCTAATAAGGTACCCACCCACACTTTTGCTCTGCTTGCTCACTCCAATGGTTAGGCACTCTACCTTGTTAATGCACTGCTCCACAAACTCCTCACTGCTGCTGGCCCCACAAAGGCTACACAATAACAAGAATAATTTTTTAAAAAAAAATCCGCCAAAAATATTACAGTATTGGGAAATTTTAACTTCAATATCAGAACAGAGGAGAGAGAGATCAAATGGTGATGGTGAAGATTTTGGACTAACCAGTTCATTAAAGCAGAGGGCTTTTTCTGGCCCAGTACTAAAACAGACACATCCAATTTCTTCACTTGATTCATTACTGTAGCTAGCCTTGGCCCTTGGATCACCAGTGCTTCCACTTCCACCTGAATATTTGATTTTAACCCAGAGCGAACAATTACCAACTGAGGTGACAAAACAAAGCTATGACATTTTTCTCAGAATAACAAAAATATAGAGAGACAAAATCTCTCATTCCTATACCTATCTGTATTATGGACACAAGTAAGTGAAAACTGAAAAGACAAACTGAGGAGATGCTCAAAATTGTTTCCCTTGCTCTTTCATTGTTCAAAAACAACTGACTACTTCATTTTTGTACGAGAATAAAAATGAATTAAATCTTCTTTTATTTTCTGTTTAAAAAACATAAAAGTTTGAAGTTCAAACAAAGAATGAGTGAAAATAATCTAACAAAAAAAAGGAAATGATAATAAAAATGTAAAATCAAAGAATGTAAAATCCTCTTAGAAGCTAAAAATTGAAAAGAATGAAAGAGGAACACTGAAGCAGCATCTATCAAATTTCTTTTAAAGCGAGCTCAATCAAGATCCATTTATGCTAGCTCTCGGTTTCTTGATCTACAAAACCCAAGACTCCATATATTAAAAAAAAAGGTGATAAAAGTTCACTAAAACATAAAAAATACATACCTCAGGCTTGCAAGCCTTGCAAAGAGACCCAAGGGAATTAGCAAGATAAGGAGGAGAAGAAGAATCAGAGGCAGAGGGGATAATATGAAGCAGAGTAAGCAAATCACCCTTATTAGCTATATGAGTGAGTGCCCACATCATTGCATGCTTAGAATGAGAAGTTTGATCCACTACTACCATCACTCTTTTCCTCATAATCAATCCACCATTTTCATTGTTATTACCATAAAAATTGTTAAAACCCTCCATCTGCATTAAACCCCAGTTTCTATCACCTTCAGAAGTGCTATAGCTTTTATTATTAGCACCCCACCTGTTAGATTTGGATCTCCAAGCTTCTTTGCTACTTAGCTGCCTCAAGAAAGAGCCTGAACTTGGCATTTTCTTTCGATAATGTATTCTTATAGAATTTGTAATCACAGAGTTGTAGAATGAAATGGTACAATGAGCTATAACTCTAGAGAGAGAGAGAGAGAGAGAGAGAGAGAGAGAGACTGAGAGTGTGTAGTAGTAGAAAGTGAGTGACAAGTGAGGGAGGGAGGGATTTGTTGAGAGGGTAAGAGGAAGTTGGGACTTGTGAGTTGGTTTCAGAAAAAAAACATAAATAAAAAGAACTTTGATCACAAGAATTTGTATTTTTTTTGCCCCTTCAAATAAAGAAAGGAACAGGTTATCTGTTTTATTAATCGCGCTCTAAATGCTGCAATCTCATATTTGAAAGACAACTAGCTTTAAACACTATAACTATATTTTTAATTTATATGATTATAACATTTTTATGTGTTTAAATTTATTAATAATATTTTTAAAAATAATGAATTACAATGATAACAAAATATATTGTGATATAATAACGGTCTAATAAGTAAAAATACCATAAAATTTATGATTTCCTATAATTACACTCTATTGTTTAATTTTTTGACAAACATATTCTAAATGAAGCTAAAAAATCTCATGATTAAAATTAAGAAAAAATAGAATGTAATTGTTAATTGAAATATATGCATAACTTATTGTATTTATATATCTAAAATAATTAAACAATTTATATTTTTATATTTTTATTAAAAATTAATATAAGTTAGCATTAATAAAAAGCATTTAAGTTATTTTAATAAAATTTTATTCTAATAATTATCGTTTTAATTGGAAAATCTCCCATATAAATATTTCAGATATAAAACAAAAAAATTATTGGGATTAGAAAAAGAAAAAGAAAAAGATTATTAACTGAGAGAGATAGTGATAGCCTGAATCTGATAGGGTTAGGGGTTCTTAAAGGCCGCCTCGTGGGTTAGAGGTGATGCAAAGCCATGATTTTTCTCTCTTGTGTACAGGCTAGAGAGAGAGAGAGAGAGAAGAGAGAGACGAAGCAAAACTGGTAATGGGTGGGGTCAGTTCATGATGATGAAAAAAGGATTCTTCTGTACTCGAAATATCAGAATCTTTTTGTACGTTTTCAAATTTTTTTCCTAATTTAATGTTATTCATGATCTATCCATGATATGTAGATAAAGAAGAGTAAAAATTTCAGAACAATATATTAGACCCATTCTAATGTATACTGTTACGTATTATTCAGGGCACATGCAAGGAGGGGTCCATCATCATCTTCTTCTTCTTCTTCCTCCTCCTCACTGTTTGAATAGAACTGCATCCTCTTTAAGTTTTTAACCTTTTTCAGGTAACGCCAATGGATTTCTCACCCAGTCTATCATTTCTCTGTCTCTAATAATGGGGATCAATAATAATCCATGGCAGGTGCGGAGCTCTTTGAGGGGCCAAGGGGCTGTGGCTCCCAGATAAATTAAAGGAAAAAAAAAATTCCTCGTAGAAATGAAATGAGACAAATAATTTGAAGAAGCAATAATTGAAGTAAAATACACCAAACATACTCATGCATTAATGAACTAATTGCATTCATTAGAAGTTTGTAGTATTCCATTAGACTGTATTTTAACTTTTGCAGTGCTTTTTAAAGGAAAATTTTATTCAACTAATTCTCTGATCCATTTATTTGGTAGATAGCGTCAATAAATCATTCATAACATGATTAAATGCTACATTACCCTTTTTTTTTATATTTTATTTGAATTAATCTTGTCCTTAATATATACAAAAGAGCTATTTGAGCAAAGAGAAGACAAAGAAGGGCAATATAAATATTAAATATATAATAAATGAAAATAGCAAGATTTTAGTATAATGGCCAAAAAGTACTGCTTACTGCTTACTGCTTTGCTTCTCCTCTCATTCACTAGTCAGTGGTCACAGAGTGTCAGGTCAGTAAAGAATCCCTGACCAAGCTCAGGACAGCCTATAATTGCATTTTAATTTTCAAATCTATTACCAAAATTATTAATTAAAATAAAAATGATAAACATAAATTAGTTTTACAAATATCTTTAAATCTATTTTTTGTAGTTTCTATAACAATTGTGACTTTTGTGTAATTATCTTCTAATTATTCCATATTTGACATGAAAAATTTATTAACCACGATTTGTTGGTTGGGTAATAAGAAATTGTTCAGAACATAAATTTAATGTTACCCTTTAGATGACTCTTGAAAATATTCAGTATAAGTAACACATGAAAACTTGCCCAAGGTTCTGATGGCATAAATAAATAATTAAACTGCAAAAAGCTAAAATAAGGGAAATGTCAGAGTTTGGGGCCCTCGTGAGTTGGGCTTTTCTGGTTAACTGTGTCAGACGGTCGTACTTCCAAATAATTGCACCCGCTTTGCTCGCTAATTTATTCTCAATTACCATTTTACCCTTACCTTATTAGTAATCACCATTATTTTTTTTTTTTGTAGTTAATTTTCCAATTACACATGTCACATATCTAATGTTTTCCTCCAATTTTAGCAAGTTTAAGATGCTAACCTGAATTTGAATTGCACTAATTATGACCTAACTGTATGTATTTATAGCAAATCCCGCTAACTATATTTGTTTTTTTGAGAGTATTCTTACGATCTTTTCAAATTAGTTTCATTTTCAAATTAATCTCGTTTTGGGTGTGTGAGCTTAAAAATTAATCATATTATACATTTTAATATGAAGAAATTTTGTCGTTTTGATGATGATTAGTATGCAACTGTTTTTCCCGATTAGAAAAAAGGTTTGACATTCACAAGACAAAGAAAGCATTCACGGGAATTAGTGTTGTGCAAACAAAAGCATAGTGTTCTGAAATTAGTTTATCTCGAAATGTGAAGAGAAGAAGAGAACAGACGAAATAGCATTCAGCCCTATCCTTCTTCCTTTGCACCTCGTGAATAGAGTAGAGAAGAGAGCAATACTCTATTCTATTTCTATATCGTGGGTGGTGGGTGGATATATCCCTTCACTCCATTCTGCTCTGCCAATCGACCTAACCAAATCTTTCTTCAACATATTTTATTTGGTGAAACATTTGTTGTTTTCTATTTTTTTTTCTCTTGAGAAAATAGAATATTTAGCAATAATTAAAGGTTTATAACATAAACAATGTAATAATTTAGTAGAGTATAAGAATAATCATGTGCTTGTACATAATGTATAAAAATCAAAATGTAAGTAGAGACAAAATTTTAAAAATAATCATATGACTGATAAATGAAACAAAAGGTATACTAATATGAGGAAGATTCCCTTGGGTATGGGAATCTAATTTGAGAAATTTTAAAAAATAATCTAAATTTATTTATTTTTTTCCAAAAATTTAAAATGATGCCATCTTATTTCACTCCATGCTTAATTTATTCGTATTCTGGAATTGGTTGTTTAAAATGTGGGGAAAATATATCACTTTTGAGGAAAAAGAAAAAGGGAATACCCCCCAAAATTAAAAATTAATTTAAACAGTAACCTTGTTCGTAAATAAACTTTTTTTGCAATACTTGAAAAATATATATATTAAAAAAAAAAAAAAAATTAAAAATTAATTTAGACCTAGTTTGTAACCTTGTTCGTAAAAATAAACTTTCTTTCTTCGCGAGAGTACTATGAATAAAGTATATATATTAAAAAAAAAAAACACTCAACCATACAAACTACAAGGAGATGGCAGGTACCTTACTAATCAGAAGGTATAATGTTAAAAGAGTATAAAATATAATGTTACTCGCACTTTCGTACGAAATTAAAATAAAGTCAGTCAAATTATCATTCCAGACAAAGAAAAGACAGACATCCGAATAAAGGCGCAGCCAAAGGCCAAAACAACCTGAACCGGTCTTTAAATTTGGGTTAAAGGGAATTTGGAGAACAAATGTATTTGAAGTTTATGCCTTGTTAACCCGAGCAACATAATATAGAATGACAGTCCCTGGTTGGAGTACATTGACCTATGAGTTTTCAGATCTCCCAATATTTCACAGAAATAGAGTTCAACAAAACCAGTGCAAAAGCCATTTCTGAGTACTTCCACCTTCTCTTAAATAAATATAAATGACTATTCGGTGAAGATATAACCACATATTACAATCTTTTCTTAACATTTGCCGGCTACTATAACAGTGTTACTCTACACACTGCTCCTGTATTGAATACTCCATCAAAACAGTAAATCACTATCAAACTTTACAATAAATGTTATACTCGATGACAATTGGTTAGGATACTTTGCTTCGTGTATATGCTGTTAAGGTGCTGGTGCGCACCGTACCGAACAATTTTTGGCCATTAGCCAATGGCAACAAATATCATATTGCTCCTAGTCAGAATTGCACAAAGAAACTATGTCTCCACAATCCAATCCTAGCTGGTGCAACATTACCTATGACCTAACAAATGTAGTTAGCGAAGAGTGTTATTTTCCTGTGCTCTGTTTAGTGTTATCCGTTTATATGACAAAGATCTTTTTACCATTTGGCTATCTAAGTAATTGGTGTTTTATTAAAAAAAAAAAAAAAACACTCAACATACACTACAAGGAGATGGCATACCTTCTATCAGAAGGTATAATTTAAAAGATATAAAAATCATAATGGTTACTGCATTTACGAAAAAATAAAGTAGTCAAATATATTCAGAAAAGAAAAGAAGACATGAATAAAGGCGAGCCAAATGCCAAAAAACAACCTGACGGTTTTAAATTTTGTTAAAGGAATGGAGAACAAATGTATTTGAAGTTTATGCTTGTTAACCCGAGCACATAATAGACATGACAGTCCTGGGTTGGAGTACAGACTCTGAGTTCAATCTCCCCAATATTCAAGAAATAGATTCAACAAAACCAGTGCAAAGCATTTCTGAGTAACTTCCATTTTAAATAAATATAAATATATTTGAAGATAAACACATATTACACATCTTTTCTTACATTTGCCGGCTACTAAAGTGTATCTACATGCTCCTTGTTTGAATACCATCAAAGAAATCACTATCAACTTTACAATAATGCTACGTCGATGAAATTGTTAAGATACTTGCCTTCTGTATTGCTTTAAGGTGCTGTTGGCACGACCGAACATTTGGCCATAGCCAATGGCACAAATAAATCTATTGCTCCTGTCAGCAAATTGCACAAAGAAAACTATGTCTCCAATCCAATCCTACTGGTGCAACATTAGCCTATGACTACAATGTAGTTAGCGAAGATGTTATTCTGTGCTCTGTTAGTTTTCGTTATTGACAAGATCTTACCATTCTATCTAATATTGGTGTTTGTTAATTGTGATGAAATCTTCCCATATAGATAGGAGATTGAGCCAATAATGAAATTTCTTCAGGAGATAGCGTATTCAAGTAATTTCTAGCAGCTCGTCCCCTGCACGGTAAAGTCAACTGAAGTTAACTGCTGAGAGATTTGCCAAGACAGTTTAATATTGATGAGGTTACATGTTAGAGTAAATTCTAAAACTTCAAGAAATATTGTACATCATTGACCATATACCTCCGTCTTTTATTCTTGTTTGCATCTTCAGATAAACGAGAAGCTTCTGATCTCGAAATGTGGCTCAGAGAAGAAAGATACTCATAGAGTGCATCACCTTTTATTGTCATATATGCTCGTGAAGGAACTACAGACTGGACTATTGACTTCCACTCGCTGAAGACATACAACCATGTAAATACTCAGAATGTTATGTGAAATTAGATGCATGAAAAAAGGGTTAGTGACCATTTGGCTCGGATTCTAGAAATGTTTTTGAGAAACATCCATTTAGTTTTTTTTTTCAAAAGAACGTGTATTTGACTAAATAAACAACCAACCATGAAACATCTTGGTTGCATACATGATGAGCAAGTTGCAACGGAGTAATTCATGAAATCTCCATTTACAAACATGCTAAATTACTTTAAACTGTGCATATACAAGTTGGCAATTATTAAATTGCATGCCACATGAATTTGCATAACCTACAAGCAAAATCTCTGCCCCAGTAAAAGGAAGAAACAAAATGTCACATAGAAGGAAAAGTTTTAACGGTCATCACATAGAAGAGCATCCGACTCATTAAGAATGAGCTCCAATCCAAAAGTGATCCATATCAACCATCCATGTCAGTCTACAAATGCTGTGGAAAGTGTAAGCATGAGAAGAACAAAAAGGATGATTCGTGTACCTGTTTGGCAATATCCCATTCTCTGGCTGGCTCATCTCTGCACCTAGCCCAATATTTAAGGCCTTACTATTCTGCCCAAATAAGCTATTAACTTTCATCTCACAAGGGGTAGACGACACTTCCCAGGCCAAATCCACCTTGCTGTCGTAGCCCATATTTAACCCTGCAGTAGCAATGTCTTTGGCATATAAGCAAAATCCATGCTGCAGAATCGTTGATGCCATCTGCAACTGCTCATTATACCGGCTGAATGCATCTGATTCCTCAGAAAAAACTATTGGCAATCCCAAGGAATCCTGCAAAAGACATACTGAGATGGACTAAATATGCAGAGGACTAAACGTAAACAACTTAGAGCTCACGTTAACACCTACCATTGATTGGCACTTAATATGCAACAGTTCCGCTTCTGAAATTAGATTGCTCATCCCACAAGCAAGTTTTACAATTCCAGAAGAATATTTTTCTGCAGCAGCAAAATGTCTTAGATTCGCACAACGATCGCGAAGTTTTCTCCATGATTCTTGTACTGTATAAATTGCTGCAGAGGACCTCCATTTCTCATGCTGCTTGAATTTCCTACTAAAATTGATGCGGCTACATTCATCCATCAGTTGGTGTTCACTTGTAATGGTTTCCATGAGTTCACTTTGAGAATCTTCCAACCCTTCTTGAGATAATACTACAGTCACATCACAAGTACCTCCCAACAAATCAGAATCTTTATGCAAATTGGGCATAGATTCATCATAATTGTAAACTTCAACAGGCAACACGTTTTGCCTGAACTCATTGCTTACTGAAGCTTCTTCTAAAATTTCAGCCTCTTGGCCCACTCGGTCACACAACCTACCAAGTAATAATTCTGTTCCGTCATTAACTTCTGTCTCGGGAACAAACGATGATTCTGGCACACACGATAAATCAACTGATAAGCATGTGCCTTTTACATTTAAGTCAATTGCAGTTTCTGAACGTTGGTAATTGTTTTCCACCAGCTTTTCTGCTCCGGAATAAAGGTTCAGCTCAGTTGATGGGCTAAATTCTTTTTGCATGCTTGGACAATGGGAGGGACATTCACCATCCACTTCAATGAATAATTCATTGCTAATATTCTTGTCAGGAGATGTTGCTCCTCTGTCAACATCACCTTCAGAATCAGAAGACATCACCATTAGTTTTCTCCTACTGTTTCTCTGAGAGAATGGGAATGGGCTGCTTGAGGAATCAAAAAAATTGGATTCTGTATCAAAAAGAGGGATGAAGTCAATGCAATCATGGTCAGAGCAATTCTTGCTCAACATTGTTTTCTTCTTGGCTTCTAAACTGTCTGATCCATAAATTGGCTTCTTCAAATTGTTTTGCCTATCTTTGTCATCATATTTTTCTTCAATGGCCCCATTGAATACAGAATTTTCATCCATCATGTTTAAGGCCGATGTGATCTCCTTCACAACTAGCTGAGACAACTGAGATGGGAAATCCCAAGGGATCATCTTCGGCAATATTTGATACCCAGCTTCAAGATTAAATGGCATCAGACTTGACAGTTTTTGTGCTTCACTACCTGGGCAGAAAAAAAAAAGATTTTTTTTTTTTTAGGTCTCTCTTATATGCTTTGAGACAATGTATTGAACAATCTATAAGTGCTTGCAAATTGTATGCTTCAGTGAAAGCACTCTATAGGTATAATCTAAAACTTTATATTAAAATCAGTGAAAAGAAGAATGCAATTTTCACAAAGCTTGTAGATTTATAAATAAGAAAATGTGGATTTTGGAAATTGCCATAAACACATTCCAGCCCCTGGAAAGTCCATAGCTTCCCCATCAAATGAAATGATTGGCATGTGATCAATATTATTTGCATGGTTGTGCTGGTTTCTAGAACTTTCAACATTATATAAGTTTTCCATGTTACTATAATAGGAATGAGTTATTGAACTTCATTTCAGATCCATGTATATAAACAAAATCAGCAATGGTAAAATGTAACTAGCACTTATAGCACATTCAGGTGATGCAGGATTCACCTTTTCTGAAATTTTCACCCTGACACCAGAATTGCAGATGCATAATGGTTTTCCTGATATCTCTCTGACAAAATTCAATTAATTCCTCTACTAGATTAGGTTGAATATTAGTGTTCTCCGAAGAACAAACCTAGAGAGAGAGAGAGAAAAGAACAAAGAAAAGTTAATTCAAAGCAATAGAAAATTACAATTATGAAAAAGCATAAAGAACTGAAAGTGCATACCAGACATAGATGCTGAAGAAGCTCCTCCTCTAATGGCAGTTTAAAACACACCGTTATCCTGTCCATACTATTAGGAAGAACAGGTTTGTCACCTGGTAATCACCGGAGTTATAATTAGCAACAAGAAATAAGATAAATATCAGGACACTAAATCTAAGAGGCCAATAAACAATTTTAACCAGATGATTGTCTTACTATTGCTGGTCAGTATTACAGGTCCCTTTACATTGTTGGCAATTTGTTGTATTGCATTAATAAATCCATGGTCTTCAGAGAAAATAATATCCACATCCTCAAAGAGAATCAAGGGCTTGAGTGTTCCTTGACCACAGGCAAACTTTTCAGATGTTTCAGTAGCCTCACGAGAAATATCCTCATCTGATATGGGTATTACTTCAATAACCTCACTGTCAGGCTCTTGCACCATTTTATCATTGGCAGGGACTGCAGGGGACTTCATAATATCCATGCTCTGAACTTCTAAAAGACTTTCCTGTGACCTGGAAGAAATAGGTAATGTGTCATAAGTCGATGATTATATTATAAATGCTTGTCTAACTCATAAGCATTATTTTTCACATAAACATGGAAAAGAAAACAACAGATACAAACATGCATTGCTGCTGAATAACTCATAGAAATTCGACAAACCATTGAAGGAGTTGTGAGTCTAAAGTGGATTGTGACTGTGATGCTCCAAATCTTTCCTTCAAAGTGGCTCCATTTCGACACTCTGATGTATTAGCCTGCATAAGACAAAATGGTGATGCATTTAATTTTCCATGGGCTGTTCTAATAGTCATTGCATTGCAACTCTAAAATGAAAAGATAATTGCTTAAACATAAAAGATATGAGATTGTGTAGGTGAATTTACTCTAAAATCAATCAAGTAGGTACCACAAAACACAAAATGGAAAAGAAATTATAGAAGTTGAGAGAACAGTATTTTAAATTTAAGTAGCACCTCCACAACTCTGAATCCTTGTTCCTTTGCACAAGCATAAATAGCTGCAGATTTCCCGCTCTGCATAGTATTTTAACTTTGATTATTAACCAAATACAAGCACATATCAAATAAACAACAATTACATGAAAAACTAAGACAACATAATAGCATGTTAGTTATTTAGCAGTTAGCACTGAAAAACAGCTCCAATCATCTAACATCCAAAGAACAGCAGGCATCCTTTTAGTTGAAGCATGAAATCCTAAACAGATGTGGAAATAGGACTAGCCTGACCGCCTCCAAATTGTCAAGCATACAACAAAAGCAAAAAGACTTAACCTGACATGAAGCCAACTCATCAAAAAAAAAAAAAAAAAACAACAAAAAAACAAAAATTAACATCATGTTATTAAAAGGAATAACTTTTTATATACAAGAAAAGTAAAAGAAACAAAGTAGATGTAAAGATCACATCAGGGCCTCGTACTGTACAAAACAAATTTTCAGTGCCTTTGAAATAGTGGGTCTTGAGTCTCAACAGAGCCAACAGAATTACAAGGTAACGAATTGTTATAATATAATAATATAAATCATGATAGATCTTAGCTTGTAAATTCACAGAGAGAAACCAAGAAGCAACGCGGTAGAGAAAGATGAAAACAATTTCAGTACCCCAACTGGTCCAGTAATTAAGAGAACATTTTTAAGGCCGGCATCTTCACTAGAGTTTTCCAAATCAGAATCATGTTGAGAACAGTTATAATCAGGATCTTTCTTATCAAATTCTTCGTTAACAATGGAAGCTTTGTTGGTTTGACGGCCTCTTTGATGCCAATTGTAGAGCCACTCATTCAAAAATTTCACTGAATCATTATTACCACATATCTGAAGGAAAATTTTGGGTGACAGGATGTCAGAAAAAATCATGTGAAAAACAATGGATAAGATGACACAGAGATATTGGTGCCGACATCTTACCTCCACAGCCTTTTGGGGCTTGTATTTGTCTGTCCACAACCTGTTATCAGGTTGACTGGTACAACCAAGGTGAGATGACATCCTACAGCAATATGAGAAAAAGGACCTCATTGTTGGGTATATTAGCTATATAAAACACAAGTGAAGGTAGCAAAAGATGGTGTAAGTTCCTGTATGAGAAATAAAACAATTATCCCAAGTACAAAGTTCGTGAATATGGCCTTTCATGACATTATGAATCTGTGTCATGGAATCAGGTTCAGCATCAGGCATGCAAATATTATTTCTAGAGGTCTGTTGTCTCAGCTTGAGAATAAGGGGAATTAGTGCTTAAGGATTGAAATAATAGATCGGGTGCATGGACATATTACACATAAACTAGCATTAGGATGCAGTAAGCAATTTAAATGAACTTACGGAACATAAATATACACAAGTTGTGAATAATTGACAAAGTACTTGAATGCTTAAATTTTGTTCTTTAAAAAACAATTGATTGCAACCATTAAAACCATCATAAATTAAAGTTGCTGATGTTATATGGCACAAGCTTAAGGAGTGGCTCGCGTAAATTAGATAAATTAGGGCCTGATATATTTTGGGCATCTTATAAATCTTCAGCCAAGCTGGCTATGATGCTTGAGGTCTTGAATTGTGTCTGTTTATGTTTTGAGTCTTAGTGAGGTATTCTAACCACCTTGCATCAATTGGCACTCACTACCATTCTCCTCAACTATGAAGGCTAAATTAATTCATCTCCTTTATATCTTAAAAAAGTACAGAATTATAATTTCACCAAAAGGTTTATATAAGAAGGCTTCCATCTCTAATTTTTATTGTGATATTCCTTTCAGCCATTCAAAACTAAATAAAATGAGTAAGAGGGGGAAACATTGTACACACATAACAAAGAGACAAAAAGCCACAGCAACATGCACAAACATGCATTAATCCTAAAGCCCTAAAGGAAATCATCTGATAAATGGATTACATTATAAAGCAATATGCATGTAAATTACAATCTACCAAAATGTAAGCAAACTTGTGCATAAAACAAACATGGGTAGGAAAATAAGGACATGTATGGTTGCAAATGAAGAAGTTCAATACTAATCCCACCTTTCTACCAGAATATTACTTTGCTGCTCACCGTCTGATTTTCTTACACGGCCAGAAAGAAGATCGGCATCATCGACCTGGTAGTCCTGCCAAAAACACATTTACAATCTCAAAAATCATGATGTGCAAATGTGGTTCTGGACAATGACAATCCAATTGATTCTTATAATAATTAGTAAACAATTTATTTAACAATTATTGGAAAACAGTTCATATGGAAGTTGAAGTTGTAAGGAAAAAGAAAGAAATCATTAGGTCAAGCATTAAAATGCATACTATTTTAGCATCCTCAACAAGATGGCATTCCACCTGCACGTCAGATGACATGGCTGTTGCTGATGCTTGCTGCAAAAATTCTTGCTCGAAAGGACGTCCATGCAAAGACATATTATTGTGAAGAAGTGATGAATCAGAGGGATGCAACACACTGGAAACCTGATCAAAACATGACTTGACTGTGCATTCAAAAATTGATGAAGAGCCTTCTAGAGTACAGTTGCTATTGGCCAATGATTTCTCAAAAAATTCCCAATAGCTCCAATCAATAGTCACAGCTTCATCCTACGTAGTAAGAGGTCAAGTTCACTGTAGGTGAGTTAAAAAGTAAATATAACCATTGCATTAATGAAATTGATTTGGGAGTGAATTTGTATAATCTATCACAAATGCAGGGGCAAAGCTACATTCATTGTTGGGAGCACTTAGAAATTCTTAAAATCAAAAGAGTCTTCACTAATCCTAACAAAATATCAACAAAATCCTGCGTAGCCTTAAATATCAATATACTTTTCACTCTCAATATTTCCTTCTGGCAATCTCCAGACAACTAGCAGGGTTGGGTCAAAGTGCCCTAGCTCTGCACCTGCATATGTGTGTGGTGAATTCATGATGAATACCTGTTCCTTTTCAAATACATGAATAGGACCCATAGTGACGCTCTTAGGTTTTCTCTGAATAGTTTTCTCGACAGATCCCATACCCATTCTCCGAGACAAGAAAAAAGGGTGTATTTGCTTTCCAGCAAATATTCTTGAATTTTCCTGATGAAAAAGAATTAAAATAAAGATTAATGATTTTCAGACTACATATTTATGAATGTTTTCAAAACAAACTAATGACTCAATAATGAACTTTCATGTCAAAATTTTCAAGCCATTGAAATTGCGAAAACACCACAAGATTTTCACATGGTGGACTAATTTTACCTATCAATAGCTACTAATCATGGAATGACTGGCACATGCATATCCGCAAATCCATGTTTACCAAATGAAGAAATAAAAATAACCTCAATTCAATGACGCACGCACTGTAGCAGGTTCTCTTTTATAACAAATGAGAATACAAAAGCAAATTCACTAACCTCAGCAATCATTTTTGCCTCTAACCTAAGATTTGGGATTTGCGGCAATACATTCCCATTTTCCACCAGATGAGTAGCACTTTTCCCGTTATTTGCCCCATTCTTTTTCGGTGTGGCTTTCTTTCTAGGCGTACCATTTTTAGGTGTGGCTTTCTTTCTAGGCGTACCATTCACCTTTGATTTTTTAGGTGTGGCATTCTTTTCAGGCGTTGCTTCCACAGATGAATTCCCTTTTGCCTGTTTCACAAAGCAGATAAGTAAAGCACTCACTGTCAGCTATTTTCCATGGAGTAGGAAGACGAGAAGTGGGGAAAACACTGAATGGACACTGAGAAAAACTGAGATTGACACCGGTTTTCTATTTCTAAGTTCTCTCCTAAAATAAAGCAGAAAATTACAAAAAAATAAATAAAATACTATTGATTCATTGCATGACAAATTGTGTACTATATCATGCATTCAGAACAAACCGAGCAAATTGATATCAAGAACTTGAGATAAGTTTCTACGTCACTACAACATGCCACTTGCATTGCAATTATTCTTGCTAATCAAACAAATCTCCCTAATTTGAATAGCATTAGAGTATATCCAAAGTAATTTTACCCTTTTACGAGCTTTAGGAGTTTTAGTTTGGGGAGTTTCTTTTCGCTTCCGCGTTCCTTTCTTCTTGCCTTGACTGCCACAGAACTCCTCGTCATCACCATTCTTACTATCGCCATTGCAATCTTTATAGTCCTTTTGTTCATCTTTAGATTCTATAGCTGGGGATTTATGAGGTACAAGCGTGGACTGGACCAACCGTCGGCCAACTCTACTGCTCCCTCGCTGTTGGATCTCTGCATCAGCGCTGTCCACCATCGCTGTCCCTTCTCCCTCAGAAGGTTTATCCATGAAATTTATTAATTAGGTGAAATTGGGATTGAGAATTCAGGGTTTTGACGAATTGGGGGTTTTGGAGTGAGAAAGATAGGGTGCAGAAGGAGCGTGATCAGGAAAGGAGAGAGAGACTTGGAGGGAAGGGAATTTTGTTCCCGCCTAGAAAAGGGGCTGTTTGGTGGTGGTTTTGTTTTTTGTTTTTTTTTTTTTTTTTTTTTTGAAGAAGTTTACACTGAAGCATTTATAAGTTTTAAACTCTATATTTTTTTTTGTTTTTTTTTTTTTTTTTTTGAGAAGAAGTTTACACTGAAGCATTTATAAGTTTAAACTCTATATTAATATTCTAAACACTTGGGTGTTTTAGATGGAGTATGATTAGGTCTAAAATGAGTTATAACTTGAATCTAATTCTATTTCTTAATTATAGTGAAAAAAAATAATTAAAAATTGTTAATTCTCTTTCTATAGCTATTTCCATCTTATTTATTTATTTATTTTGTTTAGAAACGGTAAAATTTTAGAGAATGAATAATTGGAAACTGATAATTATGCTCTCATTTATTTTTTTAAAAAATAAAAAGTAATTCTAGTTATTTTGCAATATTTAGTAATTTAATTAAAATATGTGAAATTTTTATTTTCTTTAATTTTTTTCTCCAAATTAATTAGAGAGATTTAAAATATATGAAACTTGACGGAAAATAAGTGAATCTATCTTTAAAAACTGAAACAAAATTATAAAAAAAAAAGTTCCAAGTTCTAATTAACAATATTAGAGGAAAGAATAAATTATAGTCATAGATTTGTAATTATTAAAAAATAAATATTTTTATCTATCTTTAAATTTAAATTTAAATTTGGGTTCGAGTGAAGGTCGTTGAACTGATTCTTGGAGCTTTACCAAACCCAACTCTATTTAGGGCTTGTCCTCTTTGAAGCGTTGTTATAAAAATTTGAGCCCAAAGTTGGAAAAATGAAAATTGCATGTAATTAAAAAAAAAAAAAATGCAAGGTCACGTGATAGGTGTAATTAATTGTATTTATAATCGACCTCTTAACAACAAATAATAAACGTTAATAACCACATACTAATAAATGAGTCCATTTTTTAGGGCCCAACCAATAGCTGAAAATGTTGAGTTCTTTGAACTGCCCTTGACCACGCGCTCTAGCACGTTAGTCATATTTTCAAAACTAAAACGGAGGGTCTACACTGCACGCGCAAACTGATCAGGTGAGAGGAACCATGCTATGCCTAGAGTAGCAAGTAAATACCAAAATTCTTTCCTCCATGCCTGAAAAGAAACGGAAAGGTGGAGTTGTATGTGGGGTTCATGGGATGCCTCTCAATCTAAAAAGCAAAATGTCCAATTACTAAAACACCCTCAACTCAACAGTATTTCAAAATCTGGGAGGTGGAGTGGAACAAGTAAAATCTTTGTATTATTTCAACTTCAAAACTCTACGGAGCCGTTAGTCAATTATCACCCGGTTATGAAAAGTTCATATGGCAAATTGAAATTGACCGGTGAATGTACTGAATCTGTTGAAAATCAATCTAAACCAAATTAATAGACTTAATGGAATTAATATTTATAAATTTTTTTTTTAATATTGAATGACTTTTTATTCAATTTCATTAGTTTTGATTGAATAATAAAAAATTAAATATAAATAATTGAATTCTAAATGTAACATCAATCGTACTAAACAGATCAAACTGATTTCATTTTGACTCGATTTTTTATTCAGAGAGCCTTTACTTTTAGTGATGACTGATGAGAGTATTTCATCAGAATTCTAACCAAAAGAAAACCTCATTTACCATAGTAAAAATGACACAATCGATGAGCGAACAAAATAATAATTGATAAAACATGAATCCGGGGAAGGGACGTCAATTTCAACAACAAACGTCAAACGAATGTCGAAACGTCGCCGTACTGACTTGGCTAAAAACACTTTTCAAAAGGAGAATTATGAATGCTGACAAGGACAAATTAGTCCAATGAAAAGTATTGTCTGAAACTCTAGGATCGAGAATCTGACTGGTGTCTGCTCACTCTATTGTCTTCTCCTTCCTCATCCTCACTCTTCCAGAAAAATAAGCACAACTTTCCCTTCTCTTCCTCGCTGGAGGCCATTACAGAAAGAAGAAGAAATCCAAACTGTGGAATCCTGTAACCGAACAAAAGTCTCTTCCCTCTCCACTCCTGGCATTGTCGATAACTCTTCTGCTTTTTCTGTATGTTTATTCTGGGTTTTGTGAGTAGTAGCAAACCAAACCCTAATACCCTGAAAGACATTCACATTTTCTTCCATTACCAAAGCTAAAAAGTTTCTTTCTTTTTTTCCTTACCGAGTGATCAGTACTAATATTTCTCTCCCCTTTAACACTGAAGATGCGAAGTTCAAAAACCATTATCCTCTTTTTGATTTTCATCAATGTAGTGGCTTTTGTAACCTCCAAATCCACAATCGAACCTTGCTCTAACAATGATTCTTGTAATGCTCTTCTTGGCTACACTCTTTATACAGACCTTAAAGTTTCAGAAGTAGCTTCTCTCTTTCAAATTGACCCTATAGCTCTCCTCACAGCCAACTCCATTGATATCTCTTACCCAGATATTGAAAATCATATCCTTCCTTCCCAGTATTTTCTCAAGATCCCAATTACCTGTTCCTGCGTTGATGGAATACGCAAATCTGTTTCTACCCACTACAAGACGCGGCCTTCAGATACTTTGGCTTCTATTGCAGACTCGATTTATTCGGGTTTGGTCTCCGCGGACCAGATAAAGGAAGCAAATTCGATACAGGATCCTTCAGTGCTGGATGTGGGACAGAGCCTTGTGGTGCCTTTGCCATGTACTTGTTTTAACGGGACCGATAATTCGTTACCGGCTATTTATTTGTCCTATGTGGTGCTGGAGATTGATACTTTGGTTGGGATTGCTTCTAGGTATTCCACTACTATTACTGATTTGATGAATGTTAATGCTATGGGGAATCCAGCTATCAAGGCCGGTGATATACTTGCTGTGCCATTGCCAGGTAATTCGGGTTAAATTTGAAGAATTCTCTCCATTTCACTTGCTACTATGTTTATTTTAATTAGTTAATGTTAGCTTCTATTTAGTTATATTATATATTTCTGCAATTAATATATGGAAAGTTTGTTGCTGGTTTTAGCTTGTCTTAGGATATGCTTGGCCCTTGTTGTTTGTAGGAATTGAGCATATATATAGCAGTTAGTACATTTATGCCATTCACTGTCAATCCAGTTGATTTCAATCCTTTTGAGAAATTTAATCATTGTCAATGTTATATTGCCTGTTTGAAATAATTTTACGGAAAGAATGAAGATTAGCTCTTACTTTATGCATTCCGCTGCAGCCTGTGCTTCTAAGTTTCCCAGATATGCATTCGATTATGGCCTGATTGTGCCAAATGGGAGTTATGCTATTACTGCAAGTCACTGTGTGCAATGCAGCTGTGGACCAGGAAATCTTGAGTAACTGAAAATCTCTGCTTGCCTTTTGTTTTTTGTATTATTGAAAATAAAGTGACTCCTTTTCTGCATATATGGTAAGTTATTAATCTGCTCTGTGGTTTGTTTTGTGTAGTTTGTACTGCATGCCTGCTTCCTTGGCGGTTTCTTGTTCCAGCATGCAGTGTAAAAATAGCAATCTCATGCTTGGGAATGTCACGTGGGCACGGAGTAGTGCTGGGTGCAATGTCACTTCTTGTAGTTATGGTGGATATGTCAACGGCAGCATTGTGACAACGTAGGCTAAATGTTCCTAGTTGTGTTATTTGTTCAGTAGTTTATTTAATATCTAACTTATCATATCTAATACTTTTCATTTCTGTTTTTCCCCATATAGGTTGTCCACATCACTTCAACCTCGATGTCCAGGTAAAACTTTGATGGTTACTATTTATTTATGAGCATATAAGATACAAATGGAATTGATGTCTGCGGTGTTTGAGTCTTCATGAATCTGCCGAGTGTTATTTTTGTGATAAAATGCTATACCATATATGTTTTGCAAGGGTCTAAGCATTTCTTTTTTTGCTCTGGCGTCTAAAACAATATATTGGTTTTAATGATTAATTAAGTGCACCGTCTTTATGAGACTACTAATTGATCTTCATATATAGGAACCATGCTGTTAGTGCTTGTTTTAATGAATAGAACCTTTGAAAGTTGAAGATGATTTCTCTTCATTGTATTGTTACTTGCTCTATTGGCATTTTTCAATAATTCAGTTAACACGAAAGAGTTTGTTGAGGAAGTTAAAGTTGAACAATTTATCATTATTTATTGTCATATTATCAACGAAATTTATCAACTAAGATTGCACTGCAACTGCTAACTGGTTTGGTGCATTGTGCTAAACAAAATAATGCAGGCCCACAGGAATTTCCTCCCCTGCTAGCCCCACCTACTACAGTGAATAAGGGTTCAATATTTAGTCCAGCTCCTGCTCCTGCTCCCCTATCAGCTGGTTCTGGTACAACAGTGCCCAAGACTACAGTATTACCGACAACTGGACTCCCTGGATTACCCCCTGTAGGCGGTCCAATGGGAGGCGCATCGGCTGCTTGCTCCTTGGTGAATCCATTAGCTACTTCACTAATTGCAGTTGTGCTATACTTGTTTGCTGACTTAATGATGTCGATGTCATTGTAATTTTGCCATGAATTGCTAGTCTAGATGGTGAGATTTTGGTTGGCTTGGTCATTTTATGTTGACAGGTCCACTTATCTTTGTATGTAACCTTGATTTATTTCACTGTGAACTGATTTTTGGATGCGGAATCATAGTCTATCATTGTGCCTAGCTAATATTTTGTTGTGCTTGCTTGTTGTGTTATGTACTGCTTTCAGGTATGGGCAGTCTTAAATTTGGTGATTATTCTTGTCTTTATTATTATTCTTCATGCATGGCTTCTACGGTTTTTTAGACAGTCTTATCTGTGTTCAGATGGGTTATTATTGGAATATTGAAAGTTGAAACTTTTAGGTGCCTTTGATTGTAGATTTAATGAACTGATTCTGGTTCCTTTGGTACTTAGTATTTTTTTTTTTACTCTGAAACTTTTCCCACAAATAGAGGGCAAGGCATGCACTCTGCAAGGTACTTGTTTTAGCAGGTATAGCTTTCCCTGAGAAATTAGTTGTTCAGTATTGTAAACTTAACAAGAAATGCGATCCTATGGCCTTGACATTTTGTAATATTGAGGATGGAGATTTTAAAGTATGTGTCTTTATATCTTTTACTAATTAATGGCTTAATTGATAATTTTACCTTTCTATTCTTTATGAAAAAAATTTTGTGGCAACCTTAATTTTTCATTTTGACTAATTTAATACTTCAACTTATAAAATTGGATCTATTATTCAACGATTTATTTGATATATTGAATACTTTTGCTTTAAAACACCAACTTTAAAAGCTATTGCGAACCCATACAAAGTTAAATTCTCTGCGTTAGTTCTATAACTGGGCCAATTAGATAAGTGGGCTTGCACAAGGAATAATGAGGCCCAACAAACTAAGTATAAATAAAACAAATCAGATTGTGGATTAATTTCACACGTGTCCCTCCACAACACTTTTTCGTTCATCGTTATATTTCGAAAGAACACGAACGAGCCAGTGGTTTGTTGCGCCAAACGAGTGAACTACTCAGGTTTCCAACTTCACTTCTTCCCTCTCTCTATTGATCCAGTTTCGGCCACTGGATTTTGCATAAGGTTTTCTATCACGACTCTTTTTTAGATCTTTTTCAGGTCATTTTTCATTTATAAACATATTAAGGTGCTCTGAAGTAGAATTTGCAACTCGCCTATTAAACTGTGACTGGTTCTTGTTCAAATCGTTACATTGATGCTTGCTGTATCCGCAAGTTATAATTATTGGCTTGGCGAGCTATGTAGCTAAATATATATTAGGGCTTTGTGGATTAGCACCAAAGTTAAAATTTTATTTGCCAATTTGTGTTGGTCAATTGAGTGTTCGAGTTTTGTGACTTTTAGCTTCAGGGTAGTTGGGATACGTTGATACAAGTGTTAATCTATAAGAATTTCTGCAAGTGTTTCTGTTGTTTTTCTCTTTTGGTCTATTTTGTCGGTTATACCATTTGGGTTTAGAAATTCACATATATCCCCTATAAATCGGTTAGGTGAATGAACATTGTGCTTTTTTGTTCTATATTCTGGTACTGAATTGAAAACTGAAAATAATAGAGTTTATTTATGATATCAACATGACATTTTTTTTTTTTCCTAGTGAAAGCTTTTAGCTGGAAAACATTGTACATGAGTGCAAAGCCTTTTTTTTTTTTTTTTTTTTTTTTTTTTTTTTTTTTTTGTTTTTTGGATTTTTTTTTTTTTTTTTTTTTTTTTTTTTTGGAGATAAATTGTTTTGATTTAAGGTCTAATTTTTTTATTGGATTGTTTTTTTAGTTCTTTTTTTGCAGAGGGAGAAAGTAAAGTGAAGAAGAAAGAGGAGTGAAGTGATTTCTCGTTATCTGTCCCTCCAGATTCCTGAAACAGACACTTCCAAAACAAATTGGCAACTATAAAGAAAGGGAAAAGAATCCTCTGATGGCTTCAGTTCCTTCAAAACTCTACTCTGGTTACTCTCTTTCTCTGTATATTTGTGTGTTTCTGTATTATGCTTTGATTAATTTGTTTGATTTGATTTGTTGTTAATTGCGCAGATGATGTTAGTCTTGTTATGGTGTTATTGGACACTAATCCGTTTTTCTGGACCACTTCTTCTCTCCTGTTTTCCCAATTTCTCTCTCACGTAATCTCTCCCTCTTCCTCTCTGTCACACAAACCCTAAAACTCTGTTCTAAATACATATCAACAAACAAGTGGATTTGGTTGCAGGTGCTTGCATTTTTGAACTCCATTTTGCTGCTTAATCAACTGAACCAAGTAGTGGTGATTGCTACTGGGTATAATTCATGCAACTATGTTTACGATTCGTCTTTGGCAGCGAATCAGAGCTCGGAAGATGGGAGAATGCCTGCTTTATACTCCAATTTGTTGCAGGCATTGGAGGAGTTTATGATCAAAGATGAAAAGTTGGGGAAGGAGGAGTCTCAAGGAAAGATTGCTTCTTCGTTGCTCTCTGGGTCATTATCCATGGCTCTTTGTTGTATCCCTTATGGATATTAGTTCTGTGCTTATTTTTCTAAAGTTTTTCATGTTATTATTGGCCATTTGTAGGTTTTATTGTGATCTGTGTTTGATTGTTTGAAACAAAAGGTCAGTTTTGAAGAAATTTGAATTTTTTTAGGGTGAAGTGACTTGGAGTTGATTGAGGTGCCTGCCTTTTTTCATTCTATGTGATGATAGCTGCTGATTCCTGACTAACTGATTTATTGTAAATTGTGTAAGAAAACTATTGGGATCTTTATAAGATTGTTTCATTTGACTTGGAGAATAGATATACAACGGGTCTTTCGTTCAGGACCACTCAATCCTCAGCCTCGAGTGAGTATTTGCATATTTATTCAATTAAGAATTTGTATTTGTTTGCACAATAGTCCAAATTGAATTCTAAAGTACATAGCTGAATAGAACTAAGGTGACGTTTGATTGACATTTCTGGTGGATTGCAAACACGACTATGAATTAGTAATGGAAGCAGTTATTGAAGACAATAGGATGAAAAGATAATACTATATTGTAAAACTTTTAGCATATGCATTTACAACTTGTTATTTTTCTCACTACATTACTAACATACAAAAGCAGATTTTGTGTTTGCAGGGATCTCCAGACGGACCTGAACAGTATGTTTATGATCATTTTGCTTTATTTATTTCCCCCCTCAAGCTTTGACTTTTTCTGTGTGGGGGGTTGGGGGGTTATGATGTTCCAGATATGTTGCAGTAATGAATGCAATATTCTCTGCTCAACGCTCGATGGTACAATTATGCATTCAACTTTTTCTTCTTGTCATATATTTTGATTGTCCTATTTATATACTGCAATTTTGATCAAAAGCTTATTGGTGCTCACTCACAAGTTTTATTTGTACATTATGCATTTAGTTAAGATTGCAGTTGGCTTTTGTGAATTTATATCAATACTGCTGATTTGGCTCATGATCTTTTTGAGTTTATGACATATAAATTTTGTTGATTTGACCATACTGCAGGTCCCTATAGACTCTTGTTATGTTGGTTCTCACAATTCAGCCTTCCTCCAGCAGGTAGGCTCTTGTTATAGATGAATGTTCTTTGAAAAACATACAGAGTCTATCTGCTTTTCTGATTACTTGTAGTGTATATCTAGCAGGCTTCTTACATAACTGGAGGTGTATATGTTAAACCTCAACATTTGGATGGGCTGTTTCAGTATTTGGTGGTAAGTTTTTTGTTGGCAGCAATAGAGAATTTTTTATGAATAATCTTCCACTAGTATTGTATTTAAATTGAAATTATTCAGTTCTTTTGTCTCCATTCTTGTGCATATATGAATATGTTCCATTTAAAAGAAATTCCATCAATTTGGATCTATAGCCTTTTCTTTTCCCATTTTTTGACACCTTGATATTGATATAATGTTCTTGTTACATGCAGACTGTATTTGCAACTGACTTGCATTGTCGCAGCTTCTTGCAACTTCCCAGGCCTGCTGGTGTTGATTTTCGTGCATCGTGAGTAGTTGTATTGATTTGATTTTCACATGGCTACTTTACTCATGCTTGGCTGCCAGGTTTCTGCGACCTTCTTTTTTATAGTTGATCAGTACACATTAGACGTCATATCAATTGTTTTTTAGTGTCCAGTTTAACCTACTGACAGACACAAAAGAATTTTATGTAATGACTTGTTCTTATCATATTTCACTTTACATTTTCATAATTTCTATCCATTATTTTATTTCATCCCAAATCCAAGTGGTGAGTGCACAATTGAGCACTGGCTTGGAAAGGCCATTACACAGGAATGGTCCCATCGAGATGGGATCTTTGGAGGGAAAATTGGTACTGTACTATGCATCAACTTTTTTGCATGTAGTGGCAGCTCTCAAGAGTCAAATGTACACCCTGGGGATTGCAAGTGTGTAATTTTTTTCAATTGATCAATTTGCACGGAATTCGCTTGTTTGAAGAACTTCAATCCGTAATTCTCTATGACTTTTTTGATTGTTACATTTCAGTAGTTCAAAAATTTTGAGAATTCCTATGTAACCTTTTCAGGAGTTATTACTTCCAATCCAGATAACTGGGTTTCATGATAACATAGGGTTCTAATGAATGCTCTGGAATATGATATTATAAAATTGCAGCTGTAGTTCTGAGCAGAAATGTGAGTTTATTACCATTGTCCATGTTATACGTTGTTTGGTTGCTGTCCAGGTATGATAGCCTTTTATGATACCATAAGAGTGCTAGATCTTAATTAGATTTGTATATCATAAATTCTGGCGGTAATTCTGAGCAAAAGAGGTGAATTCATTATCATTGAGTACTATCTGGTTGCACTCATATGTGATCGATAAGCCAGTCTAGGAAAGCTCTTTGCATGTGTCCATTTATTGATGGAAGGTTTACTTATCATGCTTCAGATTGGCATTAATATTTCTCTACAATCATCTGAATTTGTGATTGTCTCACCAATTTTGTGTTTTGCAGGTGTTTTTGCCATAAAACTACAATTGATATGGGGTACATATGTTCTGTATGTTTATCCATATTCTGTAAGCAGCATAAAAAATGTTCAACCTGCGGGTGGGTAGATATTTCCTTTCCGAAATTATCTGACAAAAATTTGACATTCTCATTCTGCAAGTGCTTGTTTATGATTTCCTTTTTAAAAAAAATGTAAATTTGAACTAAAATCCTATTCAATTCTTGGAATGTTAAATTCTCTATCCAATTGCAACTTACTATTCAAAAAAAGAATATTGCCTTTTACCCTTGGTTTCATCATATTTATATGTTACTAATGTACTTTAATGTTTTATCAAAGTGCGGAAACTGAATTCCGTTGCTACAGAAGCAACTTTTTCATTTTGAAAATGCTCTAGGTAGATTGGGCTTCGACAAATGTTTTTCTCATGCTTAGAATTTATTGTGCATTCATAAGTCCCCTCTCTATATGTGTTTGCGGGTTTGGTTGGACCGATGGGGCACATAAATGAAGGGATTAAATTATATAAATGCTTCTCTTTCCTTTATCTTCTGATTTGTTTAGATTTCGAGTGTGATGCAGGTCAGTGTTTGGTCAATCCCAATCAGATAATTCCTCAGCATCAGATCGCAAGAGAAAGGCTCCAGAAACATGATCTAGCTCTTCTAGATGCATATTGTAAGGTAGTTGTCTTTTAGTTTGATGTCATTTTGCAATTACATGGCTTCATATTGCAATAACTAAGCATGTATAATTGTTTTGTCGCAAGTCTTTTGGGACTGATCAATCTGTTTTCAAGAATATTCTTAGTTATTGCATCACAGATTTTGTTAACTACCAAGACTAGCGATAATATGAAATCTCAAGTGCTGCATTTTGCTGAAAGACAACTTGGTAGACTGATTTTGCTTCTTGTTAAGCTGAAGAAGATGAGATTTTGATTATCGAGTAATTACCCTTACTTGACCTCTGTGATTTTCTTGTTTTTCAGGAGTGGTGTTGCTCGCAGGAAACATGTTTAGAGATTGGATGAAATAGAGTTTTATGGAGTTGTTCAATATGAGCACAGATCTAATTTTGGGTGATATTTGGAGTGACTCGAGGGCTTCCTTGCTCCTCTTCAAGATTTTCCTTAGAACTTTTTCCCAATAAACAACCGAAGGAAATATAGAAGCTAGAGATGTTTTATTTGCAGTTTGTTTAGTCGTATATTTTAATGTGTACTCCTAAAAATCAAAAGCAATTTATTGATTAGACCAAACATCAGCAACTATATATTAATGCCATCCTTATTTTTTTATATAAATTATTCAAGAACAAACTCTAGCTAATAAAGGAACTGCACCACAAGCTAGTTGTCATCTGAATAATGTTCTATCACTCTTGTGAAAATATAAATAAATGCAACGAAAGGAAGAAAAAATTTGAAGGTTCCTGCAATGGCAATTCTTTCAGTGCACGCTACACAAACAAAACAATTCAATTATTAATTGAAAGCTTGTCATATTTACATTGATAGAAACTGTCAATAGGAAGTGTAGGAATAAAATGGTTTTGATTTGCACACAGGATGAAACACCGGAAAGCCCCATAGATTTCACAAAGTAAAATTACAAATTTACAATTCATTTTGTTTGTTCCAGTGACGTGGCCTTCTTCAAAGTGCCTTTAGAACGACTTTGCTGGTTTTGTGAACGCCCTTTGCAGCAAGTTTCAGAATAGATCGAGTCCGATACAGCCTGTGGCAAAACATGTGTTATAACACAAAGCCGACACATTTTATAACTTATTAAGGTAATCTAGGAAGCCAGCCAAAATGCTTCCAGCATTAACTTTGTACTGAGCAGATGAAAATCAAATGCTACAAAATAGTAGTTTAAGGTTAAATTTCACCATAGAAGCTCAAAATTAGCCAAAAATTCACCTAATGAAAATCTCGATTTACGACGTAGTATAGCATTTTATAAAGACGGATAACGAGAAAATAGGGGATTCCAACAAGGAGATAATAATTATTAATTGGTTTACCTAAAGCCAGCACATTTGCTTTATGAATGAAAAGAAAAATTAAAGGCAGAAGAAGATGAAGCGGAAGAAGGCACTCCTAAAATTCAAGTTAAACACTAGTATACTATATACTAACCCCCACAGGGCAAGTCCCCAGGTAGCCAGAGTGTAAAATAGCTGTCCTGCATGCCAAATATTTAATATCTTCTCCCATTTGCTCACACCTTCCAATGCTTTTTCCAGGGCTGCAAATTGGCAATGCCATGAAAAATGATAAACTTGTTAGCAAGGGTGCCTCTAATGCTGGTTCATCACAATTTCAATGAAAGAGAATGAAATCTATGCAGTGCATGAAGATTCAAAGAATATCGGACATTGTACTCAAACTAGGAATAGAGTTTACTCGATTATACACCTCCAAGTATTTTAGGTAAGTGTCAAGAGTTCAACACCCAAACCCTATTCAAGAATATATGATTCGAGTGATATCAGAAAACTGGAGGAACGAATTTTCAATATAGACAAAGTTAAATTTATTTACTCTTGCTATATCTCATCAAAGCATGAATATCAAAGTGGACACTGTTAAGCAAGTATGCAAATATATATATATATATATATCTCATGGCAAAGCATGGGATATAAATGGACCACTGTTAAGCAAGTATGCAAATATAGTAAATAATATTATATATATATATATTTAAACCAACCCAAAGAAATATATAAAACCAACCCAAAGAAGGGGAGAAAATGATTTCTGATGAATAAATAAGTTCAACTATGTTCCTCAATTGCCAAAAGAAAGGAAAATTTCAAGTAGTCAGATCACCTAAACATAGAAAATTTTGTAATTCCTTATGATAAATTATGCAAACAGTTGTGATAAAAAAGTTGTAGGACTGTCATCAGGTCTTAGGATTTTGTACAGAAAGGACAAGATCATCAAATTCAAAAATAAACTTACACTTCTGCAGCTCCTCTGGAGTCATTTTCTGCATATTCAAGGCAATAGCTCATATGAGAAGCAGCATACCAATTAAACAATTATGTACTATATCTCTTACTAGTCCATACCTGAGCCTTAGGATTTGATAGAATGCATTTAGCCATAAAATTGGCAACTGCATCCACCACATGTTCCTCAGTAACAACTACATAGTTTTCATTGTCAATTCTACTCCGTTCTTCAATATTGTTGGGAGCCATTTCTTCTGTGACCCAAACCCACCAACTAGGTTCCTCGTTAGAAACATTAATTAGCATTTCAGCAGAATGCATATCATCTCCTGATCACGGAAACAAAATTAAGTGAAGCAGGGAAAACATCAGCAGCATGGACGAGTAAAATAAAACACATGAAAAGGCCTGCGATACTTTTATGAATAATTAAAAAAAAACACCTGTAGCCTCCTTGAAAGGGAATTCAATGCCACTTATGTTGGCTGAAGCCAGTTGAAGGGATTTAAGTCGAGCCAAGAAGTCTTCAGAATCCACAGTAGCAACTAGGCGGGCATGTAGCTGCGATTACACAACCAAAAACCTGAAATTCAATATTTATCATGATAAAGTCGTGGTTCAAAAAGAGCAGCACATAGGCAATATTAGCTAGACTATGCTTTGTGGATACAGCTTAGTCCCATTTTCACTAGTGGGGTCTGCGAATTGTCATATTAAGCCACTATGCTTATTCCCATTATTCTTTTATGGCACAAAAGTTGTGCAGGTGAACCTGAACTTGAAACTTGCTTAATTTTAAGCCATTGCACAAGAATACCAGTAAATTATCAGTGCCACACAATTACCACGAGCTATTTCATAAATTTCCTCAGCAACATTTCTAAAACAAGAAAAGTTTTTTCTGTAATAGAAAGAAATATATGAAAAACTAAAAACTTAACGCCACCACATTAGTAAGCATCAACTAACAATTGACTCAGAATTTAATACTACCTAAGGGTACTGCAACTACAAATGACATAAAGCCATGATTTTTTCTATCCATTTTCCTCACTACAACTAATTTGAGTACCAATTCTGCTTTTTTGGTCAAAAAATGAAATTTCCAACAAAAAATTGAACCCTATTACATAAAAAAATAAGTCCTAAATGGTTCCAGGAAGGAGAAATGAAAATTTTAATGCAGCAGTCACTCTTTCGGTTATAAGACCTTGTAACCACAAATCAGAACCAGAAGATACAGCAAGCAAAACGAAAACTACATATATATTTAGAGATTTATGCACAAGATATGACGTACATCAGGAGGGCAATCGTTTAACAAGCAAGGAGATTCAGATAAATTTTGAAGAAGTTTCAAATTTTGCTCGAGCTGCAATTTTAGACAACGATTCTCGGATCTCAAGGACTCCAATTCTTCGTCTATTGACGCATGTGTGATATTATCGTGATTTTCGTGGGTTTGATTATGGTGATGGTTATGAGTAAATTCCATGGCCTTCCAAGCGACGTCGGCTACCTCGATAACCGTCTTCGCCGCCTCTATTGCGCGGTGGCCTCCCATCGGTCCGATTTCTGAGTTCCTTTGCAAACCCTAAACGAATATCGCTTTGAATGATTGATTGGCGTGACAAAGCGATTTTGATTGTGGATATGCAGTTTATGCATTATGGAGAGAACCGGACAAGACAATCTCTATTGACGACAAGTAGTTCGTCACATGAATAACTGTCGTCCAATGGTGAGAAGAAGGAGTTCGAGTTGTCGTCGCTTGAAATCACCTCATAAACTGCTCTTCCTTTAGAATAACGGTCGTGTCCCGCGTGTGACCAAGTGTTAGATCTGTTGTCCAACGACTGCGTGTATCATTTAACCACGCGTCATAAGGAATCCTCGAGCCTTGTCGTTTAACTGCATTACTACGTGTTAAAGCCATTGGGACTCTGACTACCGTGTTTATGTCGAAGAAATCCTGGCCGGATATTGACACTGCTTAATTGGGCTGGGGACGGCTTAGTTTAAAGGAGCTTAATGAAGGCCCAATAAAGAGTTGGGTTGCCTGACAGCTGGGTGATACCGCCTAAAAATAAACCTCTAGATGTTAGTAGTGGTTTACTAAAACCCTTTCGATGTGAGAGTAAGATATTATTTTCTCCGTCTCTAAATATATATCTCGAAATATATTTCGTTTGAAGTTTTTAATTCGAATTAAAAAATTAATTAATTTTTTAAATTATAATAAAATTAAAGATAATTTAATTAAATTATCTTTTATCTAAAAAGTAAAAGTTAGTAATTATTATATTTAATGTAAATAATGATAATATTGAAAAATTATCATTTATTGCTTTTTAAAATATTCAAAACAACTTATATTTTAGAAAAAAAAAATAATCACCTCAAAATAACATATATTTTTATATGAATAGAGTACCCATTTTCTCACTCAAATCTCTATGCCCTTTCAAAGTCAAATCTATAACTTAAATTTTACTCCATTAAGAGTAGCATTGTAAATGAACCGAACTTTGATGAGCATAAGCTCAAGTCCATACTAGATATATTCAAGTTCGAGATTGACTTATTTAAAAATAATTAAGCTCGGGGTCAATAATCATAAATGAGTTAAACTTTAAACTTATCAAGTCAAGCTTTGAGCAGCTTATTTAAAACGACTCACTAGCTTTTATTGATAAGCATCAAATTTTCAATTCAAAATTTTATCAAACAAGCTTTTAAGTTTGAAGGAAAATTGGAAAACTAAAACATTAGTTATTCGATGCTTGTTGATATGAGGGATGGAAGCAAGCGGGTACCCTGAATTTTGAATTACCTATGATCGTATCTGTTTAAAATTTTATTATCTGTATTCATATTTTTGCACGATTGTATAACATTTTTTCCGAGAGAGAATAAATAGGTCCGAAAAGAGAAAACAATAATAAGAATATGAACAATAATATAAATCATAATAACTCATAATAACTCATTGAAAAAAAAAATACTAAAAGTTGTTATTTTTAAAGTCATAAAGCTATAAAATTTATAAATCATAATAACTCATAAATGTTATTGTATTTATAAATCATAATAACTCATAATAATCATAATAACTCATAAAGCTGTAAAATTTATAAAATTTATAAATCTTAATAAGGGAAATTTATTATTTAGTTCCTCAGGTTTTACAAAATTAACCAACTAATCCAAGGTTTTGTCGAAATATCTAGCTAGTCCCTCAGGTTTAACTCCGTCTAATCAAAAGGTCCTTCCGTCCGAAAAGTTGGTTTTTTTCCGTTAATTATAGACTAAAAGACTAAAATATCCCTCCCTAGCTGACGTGGACCATAAGAGAAAATTATTATCTAATCCCTTAGGTTTTACATAATTATCTAACTAATCCCAAGTTTTGCGCAAATATCTAACTAGTCCCTCGGGTTTAACTCCGTCTAATTGAAAGGTTCTTTGGCGCAAATATCTAAACTAGTCGCCTCGGTTTAAACTTCCTCTAATTGAAAGGTATCTTCCATCCGAAAGGTTAATTTTTTTCTGTTAATTTGAAGACTAAAAGCTAACACCTCTCACCTAGCTGACGTGGACCAGCTATGAAGCGATTAGAAGTAAATTGTATAAACTAAAAGACTAATGAATTAATTTTCCCTAATAAAAGTCGATGGAGAAACATAATCATTTTTCTTCTCTTAAATGTACGGTTAGTTTAGATTTATGAATATTTGCAAATCGAAGAAAACCATTAAATTATAATTAATGCTCTAAAATATTTTACTATTTGCATTCTATAATATTCGTCAGCATTTAAAATATTATGTCTTTTTAAAAAAAAAATTATTAAATTTGTATAATTATAATAAATTATTGAATATTTGACAATATTACTCTTAATTTAAATATTAATCTCTAGAAAATCTTAAATGAAGTAAATTAATTTTAATCAATAAACAAAGGGTAAATATGAAAAAAATATTCATTACTCCTTAAAACCGCAGAATATTAAATATAACAAGTATTTTAGACCAAATTAGATAAATATTTTAGAACAAACTATTTTCTCAAATCTGACAAGTATTATGGAACAAAGACAGTATTAAAAAAAGGATAAAAAAATCAATTTGATGTTCTAATTAAATATTATTAAATTTAACTGAATCATGAAAGTAAATACCTCTTCAAAAAAGTAAATACCTCATTTTTCTTTTTACCCCAACTTATCATCATAGTTTCTTTTTTAGACAAAAAGTAATAAACATAATTTTCTATTTTATTCATATTTAATATGCAAATTTTATCAAGAAACATTACTATTATCATTGATAAAATTTGATAAATCTAAAAAAAAAAAAACAAAGTATATCTTATCTATTCATGAAACGACCCGAAAATTTTAATTTCGTTTAGAATTTTCATTTAAAAACCCAAAATTTTTATTGTCAAGCCAATTGAGGGGTGTTACTACAGTAGTATTTTATTATTGCAAACTCGACCCCCGTAAACGCAATGTTCGATTTTTCGAAAATCCAAGCGAAAATAAAACTCAAAAAACAAGCAAAAGTTGAGCCAAATCATTAAATAGACCAAACCTGGTTCGAATCGAACCGGGGAGATCGGTCTAGAAGCAAGGATTTTTCTTTCTTCTTCTTTCTTCCTTCTTTTTTTTTCTTTTTTTTTTCTTTTTCTTCTTCTTCCTTGCGCCGCAGCCCCAATCACGCGACCTCGCGGCTTCCTTCTTCTCGTTTTTCCGACCACCAGAAACCAAGGCTCCTCGCCGGTCGACTCCTCCGACTCCTCGCCGCAGCAGCCCGCCTTCCTCCCCTTCTCTTCGTTTCTGTTTCTAGTGAGCGCAAGAGTCACAGCGAAGCTGGAACCTCAACGCGATCGAGACAGTCGCGTCTCCGTCGTTCCCTCCGAGCAGCTCCGGCGATGATCTCCGACGAGGTAAGTTGATTGCCCTCCCATTTCACTCCTTTAGAAATCATTTTGTATAGATTAGGCGATAAAGATTTATCGCAGGAATTGATCAAAATGGGACTTAGGGATTTAAGAATAAAAATTGGGATTTTTGTTAGATATTGACAGAATTTGTAGTAGTTGGCTATAGAAATGAGTTCTATGAAATTTGCTGCAGTCTTGGCGTAAGAATTGCAAGATTTTAGAACCAAGTACCTCCGGCCACCATAAACGGGCGACGCGTTGGGGTGACCGGAATTCCTCATAGACAGTATATTCCAATTTTTACATAGAATCTAGTTTTGCAATTAGTTTTGCACTTTGATATTGTATAGTGTTCGAAGCATTAGACGACAGAAATCGAAAATTAGGCTTCTAAGCCGTAAATATCACAGAAAGTTAAATTAAGGAGGGGTTGGTAGAAATACAGTAGCTAAGTTATTGGGTATTCTAATCACATGAATAAATTGGTTGTTAGCTTATTTTGTTAGCATGACTTGAGATTAAATTGAAGTTATAGTTTTATAATAAGAAAACTTTTAGTGTTATTGATTTCATATACAGATTATGATATAAGGATAAATAGACACGTGTTTACAATTAGTAACGGGTAAAAATATTTAGTTTTCTACGCCAAGACGAAGTTGAATTCATAAAACATGAATTAAAGTATGCTTAGGAAAGAATTAAAGTATGCTTAGGAAATCAAGATATGAGTTTACTTAGCACATATTTTCATGTTGGACTCAAATTCATTGTAAGGATATAATAACCAGCAGGGTTGTTAGACATGTAAATTTGTAAGTTATACTTGGCTTATTAAAGGAAATCTAGGATTTAGTGTTGTATATAATTGGTTATAGGTCATGAAATATAAAGAAATATAAATAGGTGCAGTCAAACAAACCATTTATTTGATTGTGATTAAATTTGAAAGGTGAAAATCAATAATGGGTATGTATATAAATAAGACTTATTGATTCAATTAAAGAAATTATTTTGTTTTTACTTATTAAGTAATTCATAGTAAATTATGGATTCAAGATATTGATTTGATAATTACTGTATAACGAAGAATGGTGGGTTGATAATGATAGGAGGATGGGGATTTTATTTAAAGTTCTTTGCCTGGTGGATGGGCTGCCGATTGTTTTACGGTAATTTAAACTAGATGTTGAGTATGATTAAGGAGAGATGCTGCCGGGTGTTCGGCGGAATATTTAAAAGCTAATAGGCCAAGTGTATTATTAGAAATCATTAGTTGACTAATAGAGTTATAATAGGATACGAGTTACTATTGATTGAGTATTATAAACTTTATGTGTGCAAAATAAGAGTGCTAAATACAAAAAATTTAGTAATGCTAATAATTATACTAAGGTAAGATGAATAATTAATCTACTAATAAATCAAATAGATGTATAAAGTATGAATGTGAAAACATTGGATTGGAGAAATAGTATAGACAAACTATTCTATAACCCTTTTCAACTGGAGAAGATCATTCACGGAAGACCAATTGGCATTTAAGATAAGGTATCAATTTATCACCATCCTGTGGCTACTTTGAAACTTTGAATATGTCATAGTTTATAAGGCTTGGTCTTTAAAAGATTTTCACATATGTGTGAGTCTCTCTCATCAGAGTTAGCATTTGGTATAGCTAGAGTCATAATAACATATGAATATCTTGAATTCGCTGTTTTATATTGTATATAGATATATAAAGATTCCTTTATTAGTTACTTTGTACAATTAGCTAAAATAGACAGTGATTATATTATCTTATCTTTGAGAGCACATGATTAATGTTCATGTTAAATATTATTTTCGAACCAGAGTTTGAAGGTATATTTATTAAGTTGTTGAATTAATAATTGAATGTTTGCATTATTCATTTTGGAGGAGAAGGGGAAATGTTTAAGGATTTATCAATTTATCGGGATATCCGGTGTTTGATCGCCCTACGGAATGGGCTGTGGCATTTGAATGATTGAATATTATAATTGTGATATTTTAGCAGGAAATAGTACAATTTTTAGGGGAGGTTGCTGCCGAAAATTTCGATTAAGAACTTAGAACTAGTTTAGTTAAACAATCTATAAAGTAATAAGTTTAATTTAGAAATAATTTCTATAACTTTAATAATAAGTAAATAAAGTTATTTCAATTATTTTACTATCATCATTATTTACTTAAATATTTCAATACTTCTTTATTTCATTGTTATTGTTTATTATCATTATTATTATTATTATTTATTTATTTGCATTTGAGTATGAACTGTCTAATTGTGCATGTTGCATTCCGGATGTTCAACTTGCAATATTTCTTGCAATTATTTGCAATGGCTTGATTAGTTGTGATGTGACAATGCCTGCTGTGTTTGTGTGTGCTTTGTTTGTGTGGAATTGGGATGAAGTGGGTCACCATGGGTTTGTGAGGACGGTCGATAAAGCATGGATCCTAATTATGATGAATTATGAAATTGAACCGTCGGCCGGGAAAGTGGGAGATCGGCGCCCCCGTGTGCACCTACCGTACCGTTATCGTAAATCACAGGTTGGTCTCTTTATTGGGCGCACCTGATAATCTAGATTAGATCGCAGCCCGCAGGATGGCCTCCTGTTGTGAGCGCCTGATGATCTAGATTTGATGGAGACGACCGGGTTACCTCCTGTTGCTATGGAAAAGAAAAGAGAGAATGGAAAAACAATGAGGTCAAGTGAGGATTAGACCGGATCGGCCAGTATGGGGGATGGGCTGTTCCCTGAGTGGCACACGTGTGTGAAGAGGATGGAGTACACCAATATGATAAACCTGAGAGACGGCTCATGATCGGAAAGGTTTCGGTGACCCGTGACCACTGACTAATTTCCACGTGATGTGATTATATGAAGGAGATGTTAATAATTGTTGAGTGCTGGTGAATGCCATTTGTGTGACTGGCTGTCTAGTCTTAGTTAACAATATAAAGTAATAGGTTTATTTAGAATAATTCTATAACTTAATACATAGTAAATAAAGTATTCTAATTATTTTACTATCATCACTATTTACTTTATATTGTTAACTATTATTATTCATTAATAAACTCACATCTCTTTTGTTCAAATCTTTCAGGAAGTAGCATTTTCTAAATCCTAGCTATAACTCTGCTCTTTGCCCTTAAAAAAGAAATTCGCTAATTTTAGTATTGATCAATTAAATAGATAAATGTCCGAAGACTTATATGTATACATCCGTCAGTAAACTCCGCAGTTATAGTGTTATAGAACTTGTATACTTTTAAGTTGTTGTCATAGTATTATAGATGAATAATTGCTGTGAGCCTGGTATTATAACTATAGTGTATTGTAAGCAGGGGAAAATTTGTAAATGTTTAAAATTATATTTGATGGAGGGTAGCAAATTTGAGTCAGCTGTGTTCAGGCTTACTACGGCCTCGGGGCCTTAAGCTTACCTGGGCCTCCTAGTGCCGGTCGGACCATGGAAATGGGTCGTGACAATTCATTAAAATACTTTTAATGTTTATGGTAATTTAAGTAAGTAATTTATTCTTATTAAATTATTAACAATATTAAATGTTATATTAACGTAACCTTAAACTACAAGAGCGAGAGATGTTATATGATTTTTCGAAAATTATAAAAATAATATTAAATTTTATAATAATAACGGCCACTACAAAATTGTGAAAAAAATAAAATTAACTTACTCTTATGGTGAATATTCTAAAAAAATGATATTGCGGGAGAAAACACACGGCTTGCATAAAAATAAAAAAGTTATTTATAGAAATAAAGTACTATTATTGCCACCAATCATATTATGATAATTTTCATAACTTTGAATATTGCCGAAATTAATATCTTACATTGCAAGGTTATTCTGTGCAAAAGGATAAACTAGTGGATATGATGATATGGCATGGCATAAGAACAAAAGGGAAACAAACTAGGTAGTGGTCGAATTTATCGGGTTCATACTGACGTTCCACAGTCAGCTAGGGAGCAGGGTTTTTAGTCTGTTTAAGTCTTCAAGTTGGACGGGAAAAAAGAGAGCGTACACTTTTAATCGGGACGGAGACCTTTCAAATTAAGACGAGAGTTAGACCTGAACAGGACTAGTTAGATATGTTGCGCAAAACTTGATAGAATTAGCGTTCAGTTATAATTAATGTACACATCCTGAGAGGCAACTTAGATAACTAATTTTCCTTTAATGGGTCCACGTCCAATCTTAGGAGGGGAGGAGAGAATGTTTTGAGTCCTCTTTAGTCTATAATTAACGGAAAAAAATCAACTTTTCGGACGGAGAAGACCTTTTAATAGACGGAGTTAAATCTGAGGGGACTAGCTAGATATTTGACAAAATTTGCCTTTTAATTAGACGGAGTTAAATCTGAGGGACTAGCTAGATATTTTGACAAAATTTTGGATTAGTTGGTTAATTTTGTAAAACCTGAGGGACTAAATAATAAATTACCCATCTTAATAACTCATAAAAAAAAAAAAAAAACTAAAAGTCGTTATTCTTCAATAAAAAGAACATCAAAAGTCATTGTATTTGAATGTTATATAACTCATAAATTAGAGAAAGGTAATTTACGAAGAGTTATTCTGTTTAAAAACCATAATAGTAGAATAATGACCGATTTTAAAGATTACTGAAGAATTATATTGTCGGTGGTTAATAGTATTGGTTACTATTTTAGCAACATAATTTTCTGCTACATATTTCTTTTATCGCAAATTTATTGCTAATTTGAAAATATTCATCGATTGTAATTTAGCAGCCAGTGAAAAATCCGTCGGTAAATGGCGTAATATTTTTTTGGCGATGTCTTCATTCGTGGACAAATTAGCAGAGATATATTTGGCTGCTCCATATGACATTTTTAAGTAACTTAAAGGAACACTATGTCGATGTCGTCGTCGTCGTTTTTTATTTATTTATTTATTTATTTTTTTTTAAAGAGTTTTCAATCATCTTGGACTAAACTCAAATTGATATCTTACTCAGATAGTGAATAGGCTGACTCTTCTGAAACAAGAAGCTTAGTTCATTAGTGAAATTATTCTTATAGGTTGTTTAGTCAATAAAATTAATTTTCAGATCCTGATACATTCAATTATATAGAAATAAATTTATTTTCCAAACAAATTAAAATGAAATATATTTTTCAAGGGATATATAAATTTACTAAAATCTTTTAATATTCGATTAAGTATATATTTCCACCCATATTATTATAAATCTTGACAATGATTCGTTAAATTTATAATTTCTTCAAGACTTATTTTATAAAATATAATATAACAATTCTTTCCACAAAATATGATAATTATTGCGGATTACGTGTATTTTAAATTTATTAGTGTTAAGAAAAATACTCTATTCGTCCATGATAATTAAGAAACAATTTTAAAGTCATAACAAAACATTGATAAATTTGATTAATTTATTCTTTAAAAAATTATAGAGATAATTATTGAGTTTAATATAAATAAACGAAAATTTTAAAAATATTATTAATTATCATGTGATATTATTTGTAAAAAAAAAAAACTTTAAAATGGCTTACATATGTGGACTAGGGAGTAAAAAAAAAGTGAATGATCGGTATGACTGTGTTTGGACAATAATGTTTTTAGTTAGCTTTTAGGTTTTGACAGTTATGTTTTATAAGTAAAGTTTTATAAAAATTATACGCTTTTAACGTATTATAAAAAATTACAACTATTTAAACAGTTAAATATTATTAAATCAACTAACATTAATGAAAACAGTTCATCTTACTGAATAGATTTTAATACTAATATAAGTGATCAGAGCACATCAACAATATAGATTTTTCAGAATTACAAATTAAATTATCAACACAACTCAGATAATAGAAACTTAAACTCTCTTAATAAATCTAATATACGTGACCTTATAAGCATACATTTAATAAATCATCGATAATCATTATTACCGGTAATTCAATATGGCTGGTTAAAATTGTTTTTAGTATTATAATCAAATCACAAAAATTAAATTATTTGAAAAATATATATTTTTTTAATTTTCCAGAGACAAACCACTTAACCCCTTATCCACTTCCAGTGTAAGTTGTTTACCTCGCGAGAAAATAAATTGGAAAAGAAAAAAAAAAAAAGGTGCAGAAAAGCGGAAAGAACAAAAAAACAAAACTCCGTTCCATTTTCCTACTCTGAGTAGCGCAGAGAATGGCCGAGGAGGCTCAAGATTGCGAGACGCCGGTGAAAAAGGAAACGGCGGTTGGTTCGCCGGATATCGAGTCACAGATTGAGGAAGCTATGCGCTCCCGAGTCAACCACTTCAAAGAACAAGCCGAGTTCTCTCTCTCTCTCTCTCTTTCTTATTGATTTGGTTTTGATTGTCTCTGTGCAATTTTAGTTAACAAGTACTAGGTTCCTTCAATTGTATGTGAGTTTGTTTATTGCGTTTTGATTTCTCATATTTGCTCACACTGTAGTCAGTAATTAGTAGGAATGGTGATGATGGTAATTTAAATTTTTGGAGTATTTGGAAATTGCAGTTCATTGACATTTGAGGGAGTCAGGAGACTGTTAGAGAATGACTTGGGATTGCAGAAATTTGCGTTGGATGTGCATAAGAGATTTGTCAAGCAATGTCTGCTAAAGGTACCTTTTTTTTTTTTCGCCTTATTAAACAGTAATTGACTTAAGCTAAAGGTGTAAAGTACTTTCTGTCTATCTATGTTTAAGCTCCTCATTCGATTCAGCTGTTGTAAAAAGAATTTTGGATTGGGATTTAACAAACAAATTAAACAATTGTTAGTAGGCAAAGGTGAAGCTGCAAATTTATTGATTAAATTGACTGTATCTTTGTGAGGTAGGAAAACACAACTTCCACTATAATTTTCGATTAGGTGCTAAAGTTGTATTGAATGGCATTTCAAATTTGCTTTTTGGTTGAATTAATTGGGATAGAAAGATAAAAATCTCTTCATGGTTCTGGCTGGATGAAACTAGAAATTGTCTGTGGGATTTGAGTTTGAAATCTCCAATTAATTTTACCTGGGTGATTGGTAGGATAATGAACTGCAATTTTTAGGGAAGGGCAGTGTTATCAGAATCTTACGAGTTACTATTCGATTCAATTTTCATGCTAAGCGATTCGAATCTTGTGGGTGAATCGGTATTGATCCTGAATCTTACGATTCATGCAATTCGAATCTTACGATCGAGTCGATTCTCATGTCCAATGATTCTCTTGCCAAACAAAACCAGTAGAAAAGTCAATATAGAGAAAAAAAGAGCAGAAGAATATAGTTATATTAGAAGATGAAGATAATGAAGGGCTTGAATTTGGAAATGATAATGAATAAATATGGATTTGATAGGAAATTTTAATGGCTTGATAATTTTACTTTGTTTTATATTAAAATTTTTAACTTTACAGTTTGATATTTTGAACTTGACGACTACACAAGTGATTAAGTTCTCTTTCATTTTGTGTTTAGTAAATGATTTATAATTGAAATATACATAAATACATTATTTACAATTAATTTTTAGTATCCTTTGACAAAATTAATGGAAATATATCCATAAATATGTATGCATTTATTTTTAGTTAATTTTGAAAAGTTATATTGAATCTTACAGTTTGATTCTTGATTCAGTTCTCAATTTGACAACCTAAATTTAATTTAAATTTATTTTGGTGAAAGTGAAATTGGATACTTACTGATTAAATTGAATATCTTTGTGAGCTAGGAGAACATAATTGGCCTAATCTATAAGTTCCTGTACGCGCCAAACTCTTATATAGCTAAAACTTGATTCGTCTATGATAATTGGAATTTGAAATATCCAAATATGCAAACTAGTTACTTTACCTGGGCGATTATTGATGGAATAAGAACTATTGCGGAAGTAGAAAGTGGTAGGCATGGTTTTGCATTTTGTGCTTAGTTTGAATTGTATCCTGACTAAATTTTTGGGATTGGTTCGAGCAGAATATTTGATTACTAATCACTCTGTATCACTGGTTAGTTATTACACTCTTTTGCGCTATCTATAGTTATGGACCAAGTTGTAGACATAATATGGACAGCTTAATGTTACATATCTTGATGTCCTGTATCACTCTATCTCTTTAGTATCAACTCTTAATATGAAATATTAAGAGTTCTGATATAGATATTTATTTTTCTCTAAAGATATAGCCTTGCGGTTTAACCTTGGGATTCCACCTTGGAAGTCTCAAGTTCAACAACTGGGATGGGAGTGCTAACAACCATTTTAAACCGTTCAACTCTTATTTTTTCCTTTTTCAAAAAAGACCTGCATTTATATATATTCTACTTGTTCTTGCCGAAACATCTAGGATCATCATTGATTTAGTTTTTGTTGCTACTCATGTTTTTGCTGTGAAAGATGGTTAGTTGTTGGTGATGTCTGAATGTTGAAATTTCAATGCTTTCTAATTCTCAATGTGATTATTTTTTACTGATAACAGTCAACAAGCTCCAAAATAAGTATCTATGTTTGTCACATTTACTTCACATTTTTAAGTGCTTATGTTTATTCATTCAATGGTAGTGCTTGGAAGGAGCTGTTGATGACAATGCTTCCAAGGATACTGGGGAAAGCAGGGAAAAACATTCCTGTTCAACAAAAAGAGAAGCTGCAGAATCTCCTGAAGGACACGATTTGAAAAATGATATAAAAGAACAGGGTTCCGAGGATGAGGAGAAAATGGAAGACTCTCCTGTAATGGGCCTTCTGACAGGGAAAAAAACCAATAAATCGGAAACTAAGGAAACTCCAGTTGATAAGAATAAAAAAGTTCCAAGTGAGGACAACATAAAGAAAGCCTTATTAAAGAAGGCTTCCTATGTCAAAGCCAATTCTGAGTATGCTATTACATTTTGCTTCTTTTGTTTCTTTCTCTCTCTCTCTTTTTTTTTCAGTGGTCCTTAATCCTTATTTACTAATTTGCTACTGTGCATGTCTTCACATGCTTGCATGTCATTTTTATGTGCTGATGGTTGTTTTTTTTTGTTTGGTCCATCTTCACTGCTTATTTTTTGTTGCTCATATGAGTTCAGCATGTTCACATCTCTTCACTTGCTTCAAATTTCAGGAAAGTTACAATGGCTGGACTTCGTCGACTTTTAGAGGAAGATCTCGGACTTGATAAATATGCACTTGATCCCTTCAAGAAATTTATAAGCAAACAGTTAGATGAGGTGAATATCAGTTGTTTCTTTATCTTCTCTGGGCATCTCATAGAGTCTAACTTTTGTGATTATCTGTTGTTTATTAGATATTACAATCTCCTGAAGTTTCTGAACCGAAGAAGAAAAATTTAAAAAGTAATTCTCAAGAAAAAGCATCTGCAAAGAAGAGGACTAAAGAGAGTTCAGAATCTTCAGATGGAGGGAGTGATGAAGAGGATGAAGATGAAGACGAAGATGAAGTAAAACCAAAGAAGAAAATTATTCCGAAGCAAAAGATGCTAAACTCTGAAGGGTCAAAAAAACGGAAAAGGATTGAAAAAGAAAGCATAGTATCTGGCAAGAAGCGCAACAAACCTGTGGAAAAAGTGGCAGAGGACGGTAGTGATGTAGAAGACAGCGGAAATGCCTCAGAAGATAGTAATTCTCAATCATCAGCTGAAAAACCAGTGAAGGTTTCAATTCCCTTCCTCCCATCAAATAAACATGTACAGGAGAAAAAAAACATGGCTGTGTAATACTAAAACTTGGTTTTCTGAAATTGTTCATTTCAATTTCTTGCAGAAAAAGGACTCTTCAACTCCAGCATATGGGAAACATGTTGAGCATCTAAAATCTGTAATCAAATCCTGTGGGATGAGGTTTTCCTTCTCATGCTTGCATTTACAAGCTATATTACATCTTTGTTGAGCTTTGAGATCTTAAAATTCATTATTTCTTTTGCAGTGTGCCTCCTGTAGTTTACAAGAAAGTCAAGCAGGTGCCTGAGAACAAACGTGAGGCACAGCTAATAAAGGAGCTAGAGGAGATACTATCTAGAGAGGGATTGTCATCAAACCCTTCTGAAAAAGGTGCCTTTGAACTTTTATCTCAGATGTTTTATTGGGTTGATATTGTTTCTGATGAAATGAGCTTAGTGGTAATTGATTTTTTTGTATCTTCTGGCAATAGTTTCTATTCACTTTATACTTATCAGATTTTGCTGAAGTAAAGAATAATCTTTGTGAACCATCATTTGTTTGCCTGCCCCCTTTAGTATGGATTCTCACATATCCCTAAAAGGTAAAATGAGCTGAAATGAGTGAAGTGTATTTAAGTCCTTTTAAGAAAAACTTGCATCCGTTCCTTAAGTGAATAAACTCCCTTATGGACAAGGAGAATTATGATTCTTTCTAACTTGGAATGGGGTTGGGGGGGCTACAACATTGTTGTGTAATCAGTGATGAAAGACCTCCTGATAAACATCGTCACTCTTGGAAAGAAGAACAGAAGGCCTTTTTTTTTTTTTTTGCCTTCTCTGTAGGTGAAGAGGTCAGTCTTTTATTATAAACTGCCTGTTAGTTGTTGCTCTACTAATCTTCTTGCAGCAATTTCGTTGAGTAGGGGAGAACCAAACCCGTCTATATGATGTAGTTCATATATTTATGGGGATCTTACGTGTGCTTAATAGGGAAGTATAATAACAAATGCACTTTTGTTTCTTTGAGAACAACAAATCTCTGTTTTTAGCATGTAATATATCATGTAAGAATTGATTTGATTGGTGGTAACTCTAAATTAGCAGAACATTTTTTGCAACATGCTGATTAAGTTAGGGTCTAATTTGGAGTTTAAGGGAATTTAAGCTTAGAGGGGGTGCATCATGCATTTGAGCATAGATAGTCATCAGCCTATGAACACTCGGATGCATTATTAACTGTTTGTTATTTACTGTTCAGAAATCAAGGAAGTCAGAAAGAGAAAGGAAAGGGCGAAGGAACTCGAGGGCATAGACACGAGTAATATTGTGTCAAGCTCACGTAGAAGGTCGACAACAAGTTATGTGCCCCCTCCGAAGCCCAAAGTACCGGTTGAAAGTGATAGTGACAATAGTGATGAGGATGAGGATGAGGATGAGGATGATGATGACGATGACGAGGAAGAGGAAAACGATGAAGAAGATGATGGAGAAAATGATGGGGATGATGAGAGCCAGAGTGAAGAAGGTAAGTAATAATGGATATGGTTCCTTTCAGTTCAAAATGGTCAATAACATGATCTCCAATATAAATGGCTTGAGGTTTAATAAATCATTGGTCAAGTAATCTCCAATATTTTGACTTGTTTCCAATTTCCCTTTTATGATATTATCTCATATTGTATGCAGAGAATGCCGAAGACAGTGATTGATTGAATACCGAGTAGGCCGACTCGCAAGTTGATTGATGAATAGATACTTCGACAAATTAGATATATGGATGCATCATCTATTTTAATTATTTAGTTCTATTTTCTTTTTTTGTATTTTTCTCGAGTGTAGGAACGTATAGCTTTCAAGGACAATTTGTTTGCAGGTCCTTCCGTTTAGGATATCCTCCCCCAGTTCATTTGGTGACTTATAGAATGTTTATCTTACCCTGATAAATTTAGCTTCTTATGTAAACAAATAGTTCTGTATGTTGATGTGTGTTACAGTTTTCTTGCAGCAACTGCCCATAAAAGGTCTCTAAGATGTATGAAAGCTGCTGTCGGTGTGCTAATTACATATTTTGTGTGTTTGTATATAAAGCAGGTATACGAATAACATCAATAGTAATTTAACCGGTAGACTTAAAAAAAAAAAAAAATTAATGGGAAAAGGGAAAAGACTATTGGAGCAATAAGTGGAAGGAGTATTAAGGGAGAGACATTTGAATCTGAATTTATTGTCAGGTCGTATATGCACGTGTATGCATTTCTCACTGTATATCTATTGTCATGACGTATATGCATGTTTATGCATTTACCACTGCGTATCTATTCCTAGGTCATATATGTATAATATGCATTTACTCGTATATGTACAATAATTTTATACCTTGGTGTGCAAACATAATAATTTGAACCAGGGGCGTAATGTAATTAAAGTTATTTTTAATGTAAGTGATGCATTAATATTATACTTAATTATGTTAGATTACGTTCTATTATGGGTTCTAAAGAGAGTTGTATTACATTTAACACCTTATATGCAAATATCAGTAACATGTTACAGATGCTTGTGATGTATTGCAAGCAGAATATACGAATAAGAAAATTAGATATAGGCATTATCAATGCAGATTCTGTGCCTAAAATGCAGATTCACTTTGATTAGCTGGCAAAATTTAGACATTAATAATGAGAAAGATGGATTTTTAAGGATGGTGTACAGTAGTTGTGTATGGTATGCTACCCTGGGTGATTCTAGAAATAGGGCTATTCATATTTATTAATGAGAAAAAAGTTCTTCAATTCAACTGAAATCAAAATAATTAAGTACAATAATGTATCTCTTTTCATGGAAATAACAAGTTCTAAGCACATAATTTCTTTATGCCTGTTAAATTTCAAGCCAAAAAAAATATATCTAAGAATCTTTGTCTAATTGTCAGTCATTTATGGCATTATGAAGTCAGCTCCTGCTGCTCCATCTCTGAAAGAATTTGCCTCACTTCATTTGCAAGATCCATAACATGTTTGTCCTTAACTCCTAAACAAAAAAAAAAAATTGATGAAAGTAAAATAATATTGACAGAACAAATCCGAGATTAAATAACTGGAAATAACTTGTATAATTAAAATATAAGAAGAAACTGACCAATTTGAATAAGGGCCATTTCAAGATTGAAAAGGTAGTCTCTGTTGGGTCCTGAAGGGCCTTTAGCATGAACGATTTGTCTGCATTTAGGGATTGAATTGCGTGAGGCGCATAGCCATATATAGAATTTTGATTTGGGTTTTTGATTGATGGGTAACAGGTGCAAAAGTGAGGTGCCTTACGTAGATTCAATGTTTTCTCAACTCAATTAATGCTTTAGTTCGTCCAAAGGAGAAATATGTTTTATATAACAAAAGTACAGGCTTAAGATGCATACTTGGCTATGTCTTTAAGAGGTGCAGGTCCCAAGTAATTTTGGTTATGCTTCTTATCTGACGATGCTACATATCTGAAAAAGGAATGTGTTAATTTAGAACTGATTAAATTGGTGGTACCAAGTAAAATAAGATATAGGATATTAGTTGTGCTTTTTGCTACTTACACCATTACTCCTGAAATGGCTGGAGTTGTGGCTGCAGGGTCCTGAAAGAAAATTTCAGAAGATGCTTCCATGATCTAAATCTAAATTATATGGATGCTTAGAGCTTACAGTGAAGAAATCAAGATAAGCCTTCTGGTCATACTGCTTCTCCCTCACTTCCAAATACTGTAGAAATAAAGGCAAAAGTGATACATATATGCATGAACACCTGTCTATTTAAAAGCATGTCTTTATGCACACCCGAAAGAAGGCATTGATAATGGTATTAAGCATTTGTAAGATACTGAACAAGGATATTCTTTGCAACTAATAGAAGAGCAGGCTAACACTTAGACGAGTTGAATATATACCGTTATTGCAGTTTCTTCATCTTCCTTTTTGGAGATCTTGTACGCAACTCCCCACTATGACCTCAAAAAAAATTAAGAGATTAAGAACCTAACTCATATATTAGGGTCATTAACAGACTATCTTCTAATGAAAAAGAACATGTAGTCCAGTAAGTTGAGAATTATCAATAGACTGCTAATTGTAAAAGCAACAAATTAACCCATGAACATTAAAAATAGGCATAAACGCATATGTAAATATATACCCAAAGTATGTTTCTTGCTATTTCACTGAAGAAATGACATCAATTTGAAAGAAAACATAATATTTTCTATTAAACTCTAGCAGAAAAACGTATGGCACTACAAACGAATGTCGAATTAGAAGGAACATAATTCAACCCAGGTACTCTTGAGTTATTGAAACAGGTTAGAGTCAATCCCCCCATCAAAACCCACAAAAAAGAAAAAAAAAAAAAAAAAAAAAAAAAAAAAAAAAAAAAAAAACTCTTTTCCCTTTTGATTTAAAATTTTTATACTATCAACACTATAAATGGTTAGGCCACCTGTAAGGGATAAACTTTCTTCAATGCATAAAATCACAACCTCCCATCTCATAAACCTGTCCAATATTCAAATTTGAGATCTCCAAATAGGAAACCCAAGTTTTAACCATTGGCCCTACAATCAAATGTGTCCTTCATATCATACTTCCGCCCAACTCACTCTCTTCCTCCTCCCCTCTTCTCTTTTTTCTACCTGTCCTACTTTTCAATTCAGACATTGCATCTCATCCATTTTCCTCATCTAATTTTAACATTTTTTTCCAAATGATCCATTAAAACAGCAATCTATATTTAGTTAATGCAGATAAATATGCTTAATTGAAAAAGTTAAAAACTTTAAATTATTACTAGTAATATAAATTCAAAACTTTCGAGCAATCACAATAACCAAAAGCAGACAAAGAGTTAAATTAAAATTAAAAATTAGGTCTAGCTAGAGGTTTCATTCAAAGTCACTCACACAAACTTCTCCATCAGCAGGTTCTAAAGTGACAGCTCTACCAGGATACTCCGGAGTCCCTCTATGGTCAGTGCTACCTGTAAACCAATGTTAATTAATTAATTAATTAATTAATAATAATACCAGCAAAAGCATTTCACAGTTAAACGTAGAAAAATATACAATAATAAAATACATTGCCTTGGTAGAAGACACGGCGATAGCCTTTGATGAAACCAACAACACGATCATCGTAGTTAAAGCCTGCTTTCCATATGAGAGACCCATACCCAAATACCCACATCACCATTTTTGGGTCAGTCTCTCCCTAAAAGATGCAGCTAAAAGGAAACAGTCCGTGACTACTCAGGAATGTAGAGAGAGAGGGAGAGAGGAGCAGGCGCAGCAGTGATCTTTAATTAGAGGAAAAAAAAATAATAAAATGGCATGGCGTTTCATGGCATAAGATACGAAATTAACGACCAACAAACAAACAGACTTAGTTTCTTTTGGACCAGGTTGGGCCAATCTTATTTTAACATTTTCTTTTTAAGTTTAATATTGGGCCAGTTTTATGTATTCGGATGGTTCATTGGCCCAATGGGTGCTTTTGAAAAGCCTTTTAATTTTTTTAATTTTTTTTTAAATACTCGTTTGAATATATTGTTATGTAGCTTATATGCTTAATAAATATTACAAGACCAACTAAATTAGATTTAAAATTTCCTCAAAAACCAAAAAAAAAAAAAAAAAAAAAACCAAAAAAAAAAAAAAAAAAAAAGACATAACATTATATTAGGACAGAATTGGTTTAGGTCCCATTATAATCCACATATCCTAATTTTCTAAATATGCTTTTACATTGACTTCAAAAAAATATTTGTAATATAATATTTATCATATATTATTGCGATTTGAATTCTAATCTCATTTTTAGAAATTTTGAAAGTTTTTACAGAAAAAAAGAGTATCTTAAAATTTATTTTTATATCCTATTTAATTACTCAGAAGAATTCTTTCTTAAATGATATAATTTGTTTTAATTATGTTGAATTTTACAAAATTTGGTTTTTTAAATATAAAATAGAAAATTTTTAGGGTAATTTTCTAAAATGGTATAAAAAAAAAAGTCTCAAATGATGTTGCTTTCAAAGCAACTATCAAAGAGTGTGACATAATTTTTCAAAGGCATTTATTAAAACTTACACTTATAATATTAGAGTGTGATTGTAACAAGGTGTTTTTCTATTAATTAATATGGAATTTTGCGAATTCGCTCAAGAAATTAAAAATTAAAAGAAATTACACAAACAATAGATTGGAATTAAAAACTCATTTATACTAAACACAAAGGCACTTTGGTATTAAAAAGAAAAAGAAAGAAAGAAAGTACATTTATACTTTAATAACATTTAAAGGTTACTGAATCTTCTTATGGAATTTGGTTATTAAGTTAAAAGGAAGAAAAGCAATAGGAATCAAATCAATGTTCCTTGGTACTTCCCTGGACCTCAATTTTCAGTTCAAATTCTGTGATTCTTATTCTTCATTTTATGTCAAAGTATGCACGTTCTGTCTTGTCGTTTTGAGAGCAAATGGCTAGCTCATACCCACAACACAAAATATATATGGGTATAACATCAAATTCCACAACTAGGTGTTTTTGAGCATATACAGCCAAAAATGGAATCCACTGCCATTTGAAACCCTAAACAGAATTGATTTTCTTTACCATTATAAAGAAATTCAATCCCATCTACACCACCTGAGGTGATCGCTCAATGATAAGCTTTCTACTTACTTCCACATGTTTCATCTCAAAATTTATACTATCAGAAAGAAAGAAGGTAATTTTTTATTTTTGGAACAAGAAATTGAAATTTAACTATAAGAGAAATTGAATTAAAAAAAATCCCATATTGAGTTCAAATTAAAAAAAATAAAAAAACCCAATAACCTACCATATATCTTAGAGGTAATCATAGCTGGTGATGTGATATTATCATGTAGAATCTCAAATGGTTTCGAATTCCAGGTGACTCTGTTTTATCTGTCCATATGTCCAAGTTACAGAGAATTTGGTTCTTCTTTACTCTCTGTGATCCTTTTCCATCTATAAGCTGTCCATTTCAGACAATCTTGTCTTATAAATTATGATGTGAGATAAAATTCTCATAAAACACATTGCATATGCAATGCTCGATGCCTCTGCTTATTACAAGACATGACATGAGATCCATTTTTTATTCTGCTTTCCATATATATAACATATCAATGGTTCCAAAGAAATCTACGATCAATATATATATATATAAATTAATTAATTCTTTAGAAAAATCTAAAATCAACTGGAAAATTAAGTTAAAAATTAATATTTAATAATTAAGAGTTGTTTAGTTAGCACGTTTGAATCCAACGAATGATCATTTTCAGGTGTAGTTAGTGTTCAATCCGTAGAAAAACATTTATATAGAGAGTCAGTTACATATCTCGAAACGAGATTAATGAGTACGCATTTATACTTACCGGTGATCAAAATCAAAATACATTAAAATTAGCAACAAGTGAGGGATATATAATGCATATTGAAACATATATATTGCCCAAACTTGTGATTATACACTAATTAATTTATTTCAAGCTGACACCACTGGATTAATTCCATTATCAAAATTGGTAGTTGATGATGATTTAGTAGTAATTGGCAATTCTTTCTCATTTGTCAAAGCTGGTGTTGCTGAGATTCTCTTATCCTTGGTTTTACCCCACACAACAGTGTAAAGCCCAATAACTATAAGAATTGCTCCAATTATACTGAAAAAACGAATAAAAAATAATAATTAATTAACCAAAAAAAAAAAAATGATTGCATTAATTACAGAATTATAAATAATTACATACCTTCCAAGGCGAAGTTGCTCAGCTAGGATTATGGTTCCTAAGGCTGCAGTTATAATCATGCAGAGAGGGCTAAAAGAGGTGACAAAAACAGGGCCTCTTTCCTTAATTACCATACCTTGCACATAATATGCAACTCCAGAGCAAACGATTCCCTAATTACAAGATTAATTAATTAATTAATCGAAGTTTTAATATTATTGTGTTTAATCATAAAATTAAAAATGGTATACTCACAGAGTAAGCAGCAGCAAGAAACCTAGAGTCAAATCCTATTTTCCAAGCACTCATGTCACGTTCCATTACAAGTGACACAGCAGCTCCTTGAACCGCACCCATTAAGCATATCAAAGCTGTGAGAGAGAGCTCCGCTGGGTATTTCTTCAAAGTAAATGACTGACACCGAAATTTGAAATTCTAATTAGTACCCACTTCTTTAAATTCAAATTACGAAAACAAGCTTTCTTGTTCGTCAATTGGGATATGGAGATTCAATTTATGGAAGAAATTACGCATAGAATATATGAAATCTTAGAAGTTTAGGTAGGAGTACTTAAGATACGGAGATGTATATATGTGTATATGTATATATATTATATGTGTACATATGTATATATGAATATTATATATATTATATTATATATTTAATATATACTCACTTGCAATATAAAGAAACTTGCCCAGCCACAGCAACTGGCTAGGAGCATTAAAGTTCCGGTAACCCAATGTTGGTCATTAGGTTCAGTAGATGTGGTGCTTCCATGGTGGCTTCCAGCTCCATGTGAGGTTAAGAAATTAAGAATAGGACCTTTGTACAAAGTCATCACCATTGCTCCTGCAACTGTAACACATGTTCCCATAATCTTGGCTATGTCATGTACCCTCTTTATGTTTACCTTCTCCAACCTGTAATAATAATAATATTTCATGATGTGTTATAATTATTAATTTTTTTTTCATTTAACTAAAAAATTATGAAATTTAAACTTATATTAAAAAAGGGCTTTATTCCTTATAGAATTGATTCTAAATTGGTAACAATGTATAAGTTAACATATGATCGAAAGAATTATCTTCATATCTCATTTTCACCCTAAAATATGCAAAAATAAGAAAGAAATAAAAAAAAAGTTGATTATTCATTTTCTTTTCTTTAAGGAATAAATTACTAAAAAATTAGAAAAGATGATAAAAGCATCTCACTCTATATATATATATAATGTAATTGCTGGGCCTTAGTCAGGCACATATCTTTGTCATTAGCTTAAGTGCACAACACTTATTATTATTATTATTATTATATAACGTAATTGTTTCTTCCTTTTTACCTGAAAATAATTGCTAGAATAAAGGTTATGGCTGGAAGGACATTGACTGATGCAGATGCAAATGTTGCTGATGTGGACTTCATCCCAACGTAGTATAAATTCTGATCAAGCACTGGTCTGCATATTTTTCAACATGTTTTAATATAGTATTAATTAATTAATCATAATAAGTAGCACATATTAATAATAAACATATCATTAATATATTACAACACAAAACTCTATATTCTTGTCTACGAATAATCCTCGTATCAAGAATAAAACTTTCTTGATTATTCTTCTTAATTATTAATATAATCAACAAGAATTCATTTTCACCAATATGTTATTTGGTAGAAAAATGTAGATATATAATCCACATATGTTTTTCTTGGCTCCAAATATTTTTCACACATGAAAATAGAGAAAAGAGAGGATGTTTTAAAGGATTACTCGAGAAAACCAAGAACCGTTATTCTAAGGAAAATAGGGAGTGTCATCTTTGGCCTTATTTTCCTGTAAAAAAGTAAAAAACAAGAATTAGAAGAGTATACATACTATTTCAAGAAAACAATATATATATATATATATATAAGAAGCGTGACTACCATACTATTTCAGAAAACAATATAAATTATATATATATGAGAGAGAGAGAGAGGAGAGAGAGAGAGAGAGAGAGAGAGACCTTTCAAGAACAAGTGCAAAAGGAGCAATGACGAGAGTGGCAACAATATGACGATAGAGAGCAAGAATATAATGGCTCATGCCATGCTTAAAAGAAACCATAGTAACAATGTACATTCCTGCATATCCAAATTGCAGAGACACCATAGCCAAGAATGGTTTTGCTTTGATGAGCCCTTTGCACACAGCACTACATATACTCTGTTCTCCCATCTTCAAATTTTCTGAGCTCTCTCTGTGTGTGTCTCTAAAGCTCTTAGTAGCTCTATGTTTGCATGTCACAATTAATATGACAGGTGCCCTTCTTATAGAGGGAAAAAGCCAAAAAAAAAAAAAAAAAAAAAAAAAAAAATTACTACTCTACATGACCTAAAGAACTCCTACTCCATTAATTTTAATTTTTCAAGATTCCTTTATCCAATATGACCAAAAACACATATTTTATTTTTATATATATTCCAAAGCAAATTATAGTATCCTCATTTTTGGTGTGATGTATATATATAGAATCCCCACACAAATAATTTTTAAAAAGCAAAAATAAAGAAGAGAGAAGAAGAGTAAGATTTTGTTTCGATCTCTATGAAAATGCTTTTTTCTTTCTTTCTTTCTTTCTTTTTTTTTTTTTTTTTTTTTTTTTTTTGAATTTATTGCTTATTATTATGTATTAAAGATAATTATTTTGGTGGGGCTTTAGAACAACGCAAATGAAATTTGGGATTAGTGCTCAATAAGGATGTGGTGGTTTTTGTTTGTAAAAGAATATGGGTGCTTTAAAGAGTGGAAATCCATTTCTAAAAGACGATTGACCAAACACCAATCACTCCATTGGGTCATTACTCCGTTTTTTATTATTTTTAATACTATTTTTTTTTTTTTTGGAAAAAAATTTTTTTTTTTTTTTTTTTTTGAATTTATTGCTTTATTATTATGTATTAGAAGATAATTAATTGGTGGGGCTTTAGAACAACCAAATGAAATTGAGGATTAGTGCTCAAAAGGATGTGGTGTGTTTGTTTGTAAAGAATGGGTGCTTTAAAGAGTGGAATCCATTTCTAAAAGACGATTGACCCAACACCAATCACTCATTGGGTCATTACTCCGTTTTTATTATTTTTAATACTATTTTGACCTTGATCCTTAGTAAACTCAGTGCAAATGACGTTGCTTCAACTTGCTTATATTGCTAATTCAAGTAATTGAGAATATATCTTAAACCAAGCTGACAATTAATTCACTTCAAATTTTATATTCTTTCAACTGCATGTATAAATATTTTTATTAAATTAGTAATTCAATAATAGAGTATTTATACCATAATATAAAAATCGAGGTTCAAACCCTAACGACTCCTGCTCGATAAATAATTAAACATATATAATTTTCAGTTAGCTAGCTTTGGTTTTTATTTGAAACCGAACGGGTTAACTTTGCTTATTCGTCTCTGAAGTGGGAGATATTACATGCACCTAAATAAGCTGACGCAGTCCCATTGCTTTCCAAATGATTATCTCGAATATATATTTATTTATACGTACCGAACTTATTATGTTCTTATTCCAATATTCAGTTTCTTTTAGTTTTTTTTTTATCGTTCATAAATTTTTTTCCTTCAACTGCAATGGTGTAATCTATCCAATTTGTAATGTCTCATCCATCAATCTAATGAAAAATTCTCTCCCTCCTTTTTGTTTTCTACTCCATTATCTTATTTTCCTGCATATTCTTCTCTTTCTGTACGATCTCACTAAAATATTATCACGTGAAATTTTCACATATTATATGAAATTCATCCCATTTAATTTCTTTAATTAAATTTAAACATGATGAATTTAATTGAGTACTACTATTTTAGATTGATAAATTCATGTCGTTTAGTCCGACTTTGCTATTAGTTATTGTACTTTCTTATTCTACTGACAGACAAAATCATAAAAGTTGGTATTGTACAACTATAGGATAGATAAATCAAGAAATAAAGTATATCTCAAGATTTAAATGCTACGAAATACTACTATTTTTGATTTAATATGAGGTTGGAATAATATTTTAGATTATTATAATTTTCTCTTTTAAGTCGTCTAATTAGTAAAAATTTTCATAATAAAAAAAACTCAGAACCTGAAATCTCATACTTCCCACATCAACGAGGAAACCAATTAAACTATGACTGATTGGTATCAATTTTGACTATTTGAATTAGGTTAGAGTAACTTCTTTCTTTTATTTTTATTCTTCTAGCATGTGTGTGCGACGTGTGTAATTGGTTATGAAAATGTAATGGGAGAGAAAATGTATTATCGGTTTCCAAATAAAAACAACAATGAATAGCAAAAGCTACTGGATAATTATTTGACAAAACATATATATATATATATATATATACCAGTAGACAAAAACCCAGATGGGAAGATAATGGCCAAAGAAAAAAAGTTGGTGCTATCGCGTTTGGATTCCAATTAGAGGAGAAAAACAGGTTGGTGGAATCCCACATTCTCAAATGGGAACCATTTTAAAGATTTCATTTCATTTCACTTATGCGTTGTTACTATGTTTTATCTTATAAATAAATTCTCATTAATCTACTATATATATATGTGTGTGGCTATGGATAAAGATCTATACAAATTAATTAATTATCTATATATGTGGCTTTTAAATTATCAATCTATTATTCTTTTTGTTTATTTTTTTAAGTATATTACAAATTTTTAGTGTATATATTCTTTTTTATTGGTACAATAAAAAAAGTAAATAAAATTAACTAAAACAAGAATGCAAATAAGCTATACCAACAGAATTATAATCAATTCAAGATAAGATATTTGTCTGTGGGAGGAGAATCGAAAATCTGAACCCTACAGACATCGAAAAGTATTCACTTACTCCATTAATGTGTTTTATTGAAACTTATGAGAACAGAGAAGTTAGTCATAACTTTCCTTCTTACAGTTATCTAGTTGAAATATTGAACTAGTAACTATGTTAACTTATTATTTTGCTAATTTAATCGATTAAATGTTGCTCTCGTAACGTCTTCAATTTTTTATATTTTTTATTCTTATAGGAATATACTGATGTACTTTGAGAATTCAAGTTCGATCCTGAGAAGTCTTTTTATTGGGAGGGTAAAAAAATATTTATACTCTACGGCTCTAGGAGATTACATCTCCTGATTGTATTAAAAAAAAAAAGAAAAAAAAAACTTGGTGATGTTACACTTTTTCATTTCTGGGTGTGAAATTATTTTTTGCTAACAATTCAGAGTCCCTTACTTTTGACAATATTAATTTATGTTTATATGACACTTAAAGATGCTATTCATAATCCATTTGTGCATAAAAAAAGAATTAAATATCTATTTAAGTTCAAACTCATATTTATGTAGTTTTAGAAATTAAATATTTATTTGATAGTTAAAAAATATAAAAATTATTGTTCTAAAAATGGTACTAATTAATCACACATCAAATTTATTTTGCACATAAAAGTTAAAAATCTAAAAAACTGTTGTTGTTAGAATGGAGAAATTTGCAATTTCGCTAAAATTCATAAATTTAGAATATGATAAGTATTTAATCAAAAGTTAGAAGCGCTACAAAATTTCTCACGAAAAGTATGAGAGTAAATAAATATTCGGCATTTATTTAGAAATCAAGCCCTTTGAATTGACTATGGCATAATATCATAATCTCTAACTTTAAGATTCACTGTATATTCAACTCTTAGGATTTTGGTGTTATAATTCTGATTATGCATACATATGCAATTTCTTGCAACTAACAGAAAGATGAGGGTGAGGAAAGGGAATTAGGTCCCCCATCAGCATCAAATCAGGGTTGACATATATATGCTTATCTCTCTGTACATGAACTTGTCATTTATATATCTTTTATCATTTTGGGTCAGAAAAGAATTGGCAAATAGCATTTATATTATTCTTTGTTTGTTGCATCTGAATCTGATCGATTTTGTTGCCAAACCCTAATAATATACTGCCAGCTAAAATCAATGAATGCACTAAATGGATGCCTTTTCTTTTCACATTTACTTACTCTAGAATATGAAAATTAGACAATTTTTCTTTTTAAGAGAATGACTTAACTAAAATTAGTGTACAAGTACATTTATATGGACCAAACCCATAAAAATATATATTTTTTTAAATCGAAAATATTTCTAATTCTTGACTAAAAAAAGAGAAATATAAATAATTTTTAAAAAATCTCTGTTCATCCCATTAAAAAGAAAGGAAATTCAAATACTTTTCTTTTTTGAGAATTTTTTTTCCATAAATTTTGATTAAAAAATAGTTTCTAACTTTAATTTTAATATTTTTTTTATTCCCATTCTCACAGTTTTTAGATATGAGATTAATCTTATTTCAAAATTCATGATTGTCCCGTCTTTAAGTTTTTTTTTTTTTTTTTTTTTTTTTTTTTTTTGATCTGTGTTGGAGGCACTTGGCTTGATGAGTAGTCCTTGCTTTTACCCCACAACATGATATAGCCACATTGCTATTATTATCCCTCCAATGATACTGACAAAATTTCATTTAAAAATAAAGTAATTTCTCAAAAAAATATAGATCTAATTAAATTAACATTAATAACTAAAGTATATACATAAACGTATACCTTCCAAGATAAAGCTTCTCAGCCAAAATAATAGAGCCAAGAGCAGCAACAATTATCATGCATCGAGGGTTAAAGGCAGTCACAAAGACAGGGCCTCGCCTCTTGTCTTCATAACAACACCTTGCACATAGTATGTGATTCCAGAGCTAATAATCCCCTGAATAACATAATTATCCAAGAAAAATTAAGTACACAAAACTCACATTAACCTTATTAAATTTGACTAATTAGTAATTAATCAAAACTTACTCACGGTATAAACGGAGCTAGAAGCCTAGTGTCTCACTCGACGGTCCATGCTCTGAGGTGGTGAGCCACCACTAAAGTTATAGTCGAACTTTGTATAATGCCGGTCAGACATATTAAAGATATCTTTTTATTGTTATAAACTATATTGAATTCGCAGTTCAGTAATTATAAAATCATTTAAAATAAAATATACAACGTTGAAATAGAAAAATTTTTAATTTTTTTTATAATTCTTCAACTATTGTTAATAAATTTTTTAATTTAAAAAAAAATAGTAAATTCGAGAGTATGAGGATTACCTGCAAAACATAAAAAGCAGACCAAGAGACGCAAACAACAACGATCAAAAGAGTGCCAGCCACCCAATGTTTACCATTTTCAGAAGAATGGTGAGAAGAATTTAAAGAGTGATTTGTTTTATTAGACCAAATTAAATCAATGAGTGGCCCTTTATATATTGTTACAAGCAGAGCTCCTCCTAAAGTCACGACTGTTCTTATTACTTTTGCTTGACTTCGTATCTCCTTTATTTTATTTTTTTCTCCATCCTGTCAATTTTTTTAAATTGATCTAATTACATTGTGAATAAAATAATTATTATTTTATTTTTTATTTATAATCTTACCGAAGAATGACTGCAATTATAAAGGTGACAGAGGGAACAACGTTCATGGTTGCAGATGTAAATGATGCTGACGTGTATTGCATCCCCAATATTTAATTAGTTTAATTAGGGTCTATAGCAATAATTAATTCATTGAAATTTATGTAAATTTGAACCATTACTCCAAACATCCAAATGCCATTATTTGTAGGAAGGCTGGGAAAGTCATCATTGGCCTTATTTTCCTGCATATTGAGAAAAAAAAAAAAAAACAGTCAGCTCCTCTAACCATATCTAAACAAACATATTATATAATCTCTATTTGCAGGTGTGTGCATGCTTGACATTTGTGTCACAAATATGCATTTTAAACAAATCAAACTACAAAAAGAAAACTTGTATTTATTCAATACATTAAAAAATTTTAGTGAAGTTAAAGATTCAAATCTTGATTATTCTGTATAATATAAAGACGAGAATATATATACTAAATAGGTATATATACCTTTCAAGAATGAGAGCGAAAGGAGCAAGAGAAAGAGCACCAACGGCGTTGCGATAAACAATAAGAACGTTACGATTCATGCCATGGTTGAGAGTGAACATGCTGATTATATACATGCCTGCTGATCCAAATTGCAGACACACCATAAGAATATAAGGTCTCAGCTTGTGCAATACTTCACTAACTTTTCCCATCTCTCTTAGTTTCTTCCTTTCTTTCTTTTTCTCTTATTATGATAAAATTGAATGAGAGACAGAAGAAAATATGGCCTTACTTATAACCAGCAAAACACCATTTTTTTAAAAAAAGATAATTAATTATAAACCTACTGCAGGATATTTCCGAGAATATATATTGCTTTCTTTTATTTTTTATTTTTTGTTCATTTACAGATTATGTATGTTTTTTTTAAAAGGAATATAAATATGTTCATGCATGGCTTTCTTGTGTGGAAGATGCTATGGTTTTTGGTTGGTTGGTTGGTTGGTTGATAATGTAATAATGGAGAATGATGAGGAGGAGGAGAGCAAGTTAATTATGTATTTGCCAAATGTTTATCTCGAAGCTTAATTATTTTTAAAGCTCATTGCTTGCTTACGTGCATATAATATAATAGCATATTATTATTAGTAGTAGTGTTCAGTTTATCATAGAAGCAGTGTTTATCTTAATATTCTAATGACATTGTTAACAGTATCTTCACTTATGTGTTAGAAAAGAATAATTAAGGATTGGTGGGTATCGTGTTTGGATTCCAACGAGAAATCAGGGTGGTGGAATCCACCTTACAAATGGGAAGCTTGTAGAAATTTTCAAAACCATATATCTGATTCTGAAAGCGACTCTTCTAAAAAATCAAATGCTTATATTCCTTGGAGAGTACTATATAAATAGCGTAAAACATTTTATTCTAATGCAATCTATTAGTTTATTAATGTTTTTTTTATCTATATTAGAGAAATTAAAAGAATTCAAATTTTCAAGATATGAATTATAATTAGTTTCATGCATTACAAATATTTAATTATTAGATTTTTTTTAATTCATTAAAAGTAGACAGAGTGTAGGATCAATAATAAGAGTAGTCATTCCTAAAGTTGTCCAAATTGTGGGCAAATGACTCTTCAAAATCTTTTACTCCCGATATTTTTGTACAAAGTGAGAAAACTATTTAAATAACACATAATTAGCAAATTGGATTATACGTTAATATACATGTAATATGATTTTTAAGTTAGAATTTAGGGCACTTATAGAACATTTTTCTTTTACAATTCGAATTCGAGATAGATAGGATGAGTTTACTAAAACGATAATCAAATAACGACAATCAACCAGATTTGGTCTTAGTTTTCTCATTAGTATGAGTAATAAGAGGTTTCAAGTTTGAGTTCTCTCGACCATAAAGATTTTCACTAATTTAGTGAATTAAGAATAAACTCATGTTGTATAACTCATCGTATTATTGTAGTCCATTACCTGAGAACCTTATTTTATATACTTTAACATATGAATGGAATATTTCCGATAACTTCCTTTTGACATTTTCATGTTATTTATGTAATTAAAAATTAAAATAAATTAACTAATATATATAATTATTTTTTAGTATGCCATATGAATCCACCTTTAATTACTGTTTAAATGCATAAATAATGACTACATATAATTATAACTTTCATTTTCTAATTTTTCTAATTTAAGATAACTTATTATTTTATTTGTTAGTGCAGCGGTAAGACTGTTGCAGTTTCCGTCAATGATCCTGACGTGAAAGTGGCGTTGCAGTTTTTTTTTTTATTTTTTGAGTTTAATTTTTATTCTTTTATTTTTTTTTAGTTTAGTTAATTTTAATTAGTTCTTATATATAGATTTAGTTTAAATATATAAACATAAATAAGCACAAAAGATCCCACAATTTTCATAAATTATATTTTTTTGGCCTTTCAATGACTTATGTCATTAAGTTTAATTTTAGATTATTTAATTTTATATCCTTTTTTAAATTTTAGTTTTAAATTTAATTTTATTCTATAAATATATAAATATACAATGGTATTAAAAATTTATATTTAAATTCTTTATTAACTCAAAAAAATTTTCGAATTTTAAATTTATTGAATAATCACATGATATTTAATTTATTAAAAAAAATAAATTTAACATTATAATTCTTGATTATATTTTAATATTTTTTAGAAAATAATATGAAAATGAATTGATTGAATTTTAAAATTACAATAACATTTTTAAAATTTAAATATTAATAGTTATTTTATTGTAATTTCTAATATATGAATTTTAGGAAATTATTTCTTTCCTATTAAAAGTTATTATACTAAAAAAAAATCTCTATTATTTTGTTTCATTTATACTATTTTCATTGAAAATTTTGACCACATGTAATATATTTGTTTATGTAATTACATTAATTTTAGACAATTTTTTGATCAATTTTATTTTTTATTCGTCGTGAAATGACAAATATATTTTTGCTCCTATGAAAAAATTATGGCTCCATCACCTATTCTCGTAAAAGTAAAAACACAAGTTCTGACTCCCAAAACAACACTTCGGTGACTGTTAAAAATGGGTTTACATCTCGGGTTATTGAAAAAAGAAAAAGGAAAAAAAAATTGCATGCATGCATGTGACATCCTACTGAGTCAAGTCATTTCATAGAGTCGAGTTGAGTCGAGTTGAACCAAACCCGGTTGGGATAGAATGGGTTTATAAATGGAGTTACTTGAGTGAGAGAAAAAGATCAAAGCATAAGGGTTAGGATTTATTTGCATTAAAAGATCAAGCTTGGGTATTAAGTGATAGCCTGTTTACAATTGAGGTACCATTTAGAACTTTTACACACAAATCCTTTTATTTTTAATGGCCTACTCGTGCTTACATTTCACTTTCCCATTTTTCATCTTTATCTTGATTTCTTATTTATATGTGAAGAGTTCCGTAAGTAGTGTAGAAAAGAAATTTAAAGAAAACTACAAGTTTTTTTGTGAGTAGGTTTGATATCTCTTTTCATTACCATTATTTCTTTGTTGAAGATTTGTGTGGTTGTGTATGAGATAATCTTGCTTCTTTGAGTGGGAGACTGTAATTGGTGAGAAAACAGGGAAACAGGGAAGTATTGAATTAATGACTTATATTGAGTTTATGTGAAATAGGTTTTGCCTGGAATTTTCAGTAAACTTCATCTGATTTTGACCCCATTTAGTGAAGGAATTGGAAGTGTCATAGAAGGTTATTGTTCCTCTATGTGTTATCTTTACATGGGTTTGAATCATTCAAATGATGTTGTTATATGAGCAATATGACCCAAAGAGTAACAGACTGTGCAGGCTGTAAAAGGCTGGAAAACGCGAAGCGCGCGCGAATCGCATGACGAGCTCGCGTTGCCTTCTCGCGCTCGCGACTTTCAAATGCGCGCTCGCGACTTTCACCTGAAAATCTCTGACTCTCATTTGGCACATCTCGCGCTCGCGACTTTCAAGTGCGTTCTCGCGACTTGTGCTCGCAAACTCTCTGTCTCTCATTTGGCACTTTTCGCGCTCGCGACTTTAAAGTACGCGCTCGCGTACTTGGCCCTTGGCCTGTAAGCGCTCGCGTATGTGACATCCCAGGTTTGGGGCACAACACCTTAGGCGAATCCCACATCGGCTACGCACAAGGTGGAATCGCGACTTTTGCTAGGCGCATCGCGTACTTCGTTGTTTTATGCAGTTTTGAATTTATTTCATTGCAATTGTATTCTTTGCTTCACTTATATGCTCATCATTTAACACAAAATACAAATGAGAAACATGTATCAAAACAAATTCAGCATGCAATGAGGTGAAATCAAAAACATTATGGATCTATGAAGTTATGGAAACTATGATATGATGTTGTGTGAGTTATTGACATACCAAATTATGCTCCATTGAGGTTAGATAGTAACATGTAGATAAGCTAGTGCGCGACATAGGATAGCATATCTGCACTCATACAGTTTAATACTCCGGCTACAGCCGTGAGTGGATTGATTATATATGGGCATACGAGCCAAGCATATCAGTATTATCAGTTTCTACGTATTTTTTATCACTTCGGTTTCACTATAACTTATGAGCCATACGATATCTTGACTATATCATGAATCATACATTTACAACAAGTACAAGTATATTAGGTATCATGAAATTATCAGATGGTGTGCTTATCATGTGCCATATGGTTTACATGGGTCTTTCATATACATGTATGTGTTTTAATCGTTTTTTATCTGTGAATATCCACTGAGCTTTATTTGCTCAGCGAGTTACCTGTTTACTGAAGGATGTTTTGTAAATATAAATTACATTTTTTTTGTAAACAACATCAGCATGCTATTATATTCAATATACATTATGATTTCATCATGTCAGGTCATACAGTCAACCAGTTTGTAGCGTCTCGGTCCGGTTCATTCGGGTTTACGGGTGGACCGGGAAGGGATGTTACAATGCATGCGTAGATAATTTTATATTTCATTACCATTTTGTTATCACACTTTGCCAAATGTATTGTTTAATATGCAACAACATGTTTGTGATTGGTCTAGCACCTCTCTTCTCTCTGAGGATTAATTTAATGGCAGAAAATAATTATAATTTGGTTCAAAGAGCAATTACTAAAGCACAATAATCACTTTCTATCCTTTTCTTTAATTAACATATATAGTGCTTGCTTTGGTCATTAACCTATTTAATTCCTCTCAAATTTTTAATTAAAAAAAAAAAAAACGTGAAGTAAAACTAGCCAGCACTTGGCCAATGTTTGGAGGATGATTAATTTATTAATAATTTTTTCTATTACTTAATAAATAATAATTAGTGGTTAATAATAGAGTATAACTAACTAATACTATATATTTCTTTATTTTTTAATTTTTATTTCTAAGTTTATTGGATGAGCTAAAAGAATTTTTTTTTATTTTTTTTCAATAAAATCCCTTAAAATATCTTAACTTCATTTTAAATTTCGATGAAAATCTCAAGTTTCTGTCTAATTCAAAATATTGAGGAATTTTAATTTAATAACAATACAATTATTTATAAGTTTAGAAAATTATGAACTCAATTAACAAATCAATATTAGCCGTATTTACCAAATCAATATTATGGTGACACACGCCTATTATATAGCTTATAATATAAATTCATTAAATTAAAACACTATATTATATTAGAGTGTGAAAATAAGGAAAAAAGAATCACAAATACTAATATTTGGGGAAACAAATCAAATAATTGATGCTTATGCATGCAATTAATGTGATGATATTCTGTAC